TTTTTATTAAGTTAAAAACCTAAGTTTTTATATTTAATTTAATATATTAATAGTATTTAAGATTTTAATAAAACTTTTAAAGCTAAGCTTTATATATTTTAAGAGATTTTAGTAAAATCTTATTTATTATAGCTATTATATAATATATTTTTAAAATTTAGATTTTAACTAAGTTAAAAAATTAATCTTCTATATATAAATTTCTATATTTCTTTTTATTTCTAAAAGTAATAACTTAAGGCAATCTATTTTAACTATTATATAAGAAAGTTTTAAAAATCTATATTCTTTTATTTAGATTAGTATATTATTAGTATTTAAAATCTATTAAGTATTTAGGAAGATTTTAATTATTTTAGTTATTATATATTAAATTTCTAAAAATCAAATCTCTATCTAATTATTTAAATGACTATATTCATAATATTCGTAGTGTTACACTCCACGATCTTACCATTCTAATATACTGACCTTAATACATAAAGATTGTGCAGGATTGGCAGTCGATGTCTAGGCAGGGTGGACAGATAGGCTGGCGGGGCGAACATGACTCCTGATCTCCCTGAACAGTTTTATGAGCATCTAACCGACGTTTGTGGTGAGACAGCTAAGGATTTTTCGAGCACTGACCTAGTGGATGATTGGGCACGGCAACGGAAAACCATGTATAAAGTTCCAAATTATCGCCAGGGAACCAAATTCATTAACGCTAAGGTCCACTGCTAGCTGGCTTTGCACCTCCAAGAGCAACATAGAATGCCCTGTTGAAACGAGCTCAGTAAGTACAACAACGACATTGATTTCAGTCAGGGCTACACAAGCAAGTAGGTGGAACTTCCAGACTTGCAAAAGCCCACTTTAAGATCCTTTATGCAACTCTACAATCACACCAAACTCGGTATAATGTACGAACCACGCCTCCGGTGATCAGAGATGGGCGATCGCTAGAGGCAAACGGCGGCCTGTCGTTACTGCAACTGCATTTTAATCTTCTCATCATACATATGAAATTCATGGGAATCTGAAACGATCAATTCTCGGCTTTCAAGGAATTTTGGAGTAATTATCCGATGAGAGTAATTATCCGATGAGGACTCTCGGGATTGCTTGATCTACAAGAGATTGACATCGGCATGAGGGCGTCTCGACGTCGAAGATCAAATCCAAACGTTTTAACAGGTGAATCCAGAGATTGCTCAGCGGACGTAGATCATACACACGTTCTCTCTACATCTGAAGCTACCCTGAGACTAAATTCTCAAGAGGGGCTTAGATTTGTTGACTGCACCGTGGTCTTACGGGCGAAGCACTTTCCAGACAGGAACCCCAAGACTCGGAGCTTCACTGACCTTTTGTCCAGATCAGCGACAAGAAAAACCTGCTTCGAAACTTGAATGATGACATCGGCTTGAAAGAAACAATGATTACCATTGATGTAAGAATCATTGTGAACGTCCGTTCTGCCAATTTCCAATCACGCCACTCGGAGTCCTTTCGCCTTCACACACCCGAGAAGGTGGCAAAATTCTCATGTGAATGAATAATTCAGCCTTCTGTCCATCGTGATCGCGCCTTCAACTTTGTAGTGTATACTCAAATCCTTTCTCTTCCTCACATGTTTGCAACGTCCTTCGACTGAATGTTTCCCCTCCTAACCATGACACAAACAGCCAAGGATGTAGAATTCTGGGACCAATCCCTTTCTACAATGTCTGACTCTCTCCCCTTTTCCTCAAGAAGTTGAGGTAGACATATGGTATGGCGGCGTCGGCGATGAAATGCTTGCACTACTCTGCCATTAATAATTTCCCGGGCAGATCCTCCTTTCACAAAGTCATGAAAAAAAGCTCGCTTATCACTAGGTCTGTCCTTCTATAGACACTTGATCACCTTCCTGCAATAGATTGGCTTCTCTGTGCTAAGGATAACCCAGCTTTTAGTAGGATGCAGAGTATCGAGGACGCCAATACGGCTTGACACATGATTGAAAATTCTACCATTACTCTCCATATTAAGTCATTTCTCTATGTACCTTTCTTTCCTCGTGTTGTATCCTCCAAATATCGATCTTTGATTCTCGTGCGGAGAAAATCTCCGCATGCAAAATACTGTCTTTGTGTAATACAGACAAGCATCTGATAAGTATCAGCACTGCTCTCCCATGTACTAAGAACTTCAATTTTGACTTGAATGTCGCCAAAATCAGCAAGTGTCCGACCGGTCTCCTCTATGACCATTATGGAGTGGCTTGTGCTCCACCATTTTCGCTTTCCGAGTGTGAAAATTAAAGCGACGACAATTCCTTTCCTGTCCTTGTTCTCGCAAGATCATGCATGATCATCACTTTTTACAATCCCACCCAGGAACATGACAGACATTGTCATAGTCCAACAAGACATCATCATCCATCTGAGATCCGAGTCTCGAAGATTGCTCTGGGCACAGATTATAATCATATGATCTTTATTCTTCGAAGTTGGCAGCATCACTTGGTTGTGACTTGCTTGTTGCGAGATCATTACACGTTTGAATGTTCTCTATCTTATTCCGGAGCTAACCAGCTCATATCAACAACTATTCTTAGATACACATCAAGCTTCTTAAGCCGACGAGAATGATAAGTACCATGCAGCGCTCCTTCTCAAGACTCGTCGTTCAAGATTCACACCGCGTGTTCAATAACTCGAATACCCGTTATCACAAAATCTTGAAGCTACTACGCTGCGATTGCTACCTGTGAAGTGCAGAGCATACATGGAAGCTATCAGTACCGCTGGTCAAAGCTGGCAAGTGGGTGCTGCTCCCTTGTTTCATTGACATGTGCCTCAATTCAACGTTCTGCTTTCATTCGTAATCATATAAATAAATAATGAGAGAGTATCAGGATTCATCTAGAAAAAAGTCAGTGCAAATATGACATTTCTGATGCCAGTCAAAGTCTTGGGGATATCTCCACACACCGCTACTTGCACTTCGAATAATCACTGGGTGCCGTACGAAAATGACGATGCTTCTGCTCTTGGTGACCTCATAAATCTTCCAGCCACTTTTTCGCCTAAACACTGTTGAAAACTTGAACATTTCGCCGCATTAGCAGCCAAGGTCGACAGGTGTGTATGAAGGTGAATCCAAGACTGTTATGAACTAGCTCGGTCTCGCTTACTGCTGTTCATTGATGCAATAAGCCAACTGCACAAAGATAGATCCAAACCTTGCAGCATACTTTCGACCGTACGGTTTGTCCATGGCACTGGGCATGTTGTAGTGTGTTTGGAGCCCTCACATGATCTACCGCAAGCAGTCAAGAAATATCGTTGAGATTCGCTGAGGACAATGTAGCAAATGGGCTTCCCCAGCCTCTTCAAGCACATGCCAGGCATCCGACCTACATCAGGAAGCCCGACAAGCAGACTTCGCCATCAACGTCGAAGCATACGAAGCCCTAAACAACACATAGTCCTCCAAACGCAAAACCCACAGAAAGGAAAAGATGCCAGCGCGACAAAACAATGTGTTCGAGGTGTCGTGGCTCATCCGAGGCTCTTGTGGAAGGCAAGGTCTGGTGCGATGTATGCTGCAGACCAAAAGCAAGCGCGAAGCTCGAAATATTTACGTCTAATCAATGTCAGAACGCACAGCGTGTGAAGAATCGTGCGAGCAACCCTCATGATTTATGTGAGAATGTGGTGGGTGCAATTAAAAACACCTCGCAGCATCTACTTACCGCTACTACGGGCTGACAACAGGATCACTGAATACACTGGACGAAAGAGCTTTTATTGCGAAATATTCGAAAGCAATGTACCACAAGTTTCTTGGCCTGGGGTGACGATCTGGGCTAGGAATATCGACCGATTTCCACTGGAGTGCCTATTCCGCTAGCTACAGACAACAGGAATCGAATACAATAATCAAATCAGGCTTGGGCGACGATGTACCATAACAGCACACTGGCCACATGAGTGATGGTGGACTATACGCGAATCGAGTATAATGAAGCCATGTTCACCAAATCACCATCGACCATGTCCCTCACAAGTCAGACGTCCATCCGCGTAGCCCGCCGATGTTACGTATCACGTTCTCGGAGGGAGTATCCACCGTTTGAGTCTTCTTCTCACGCTAAATGATCGCATCAAGGTATTTTGAGTCGGCCGGGTTGCTTTGCACCCCTAATTATAGCAAAGGCGGGTTCAGGGTGTTGGACACCTCTATGAACGATGATGACGTTCATCTCCTCGGTGGATTTCTCGCATTCATTTTCGGCAACTATGGGAACATCTTCTACGGAAGCAAGTGGCGAAAAGGGGAGCTGCTCGTTGTTCCGTGAACCGGTTTGTGGGAAACAATATTACCGATTATATGATGGCCTTGGGTGTACACCTAAGAGGCGGGAAAATCTAATGTTGGGCTGGCCAGAGAGAGAGCAAAGAGAGATGCACAACCAAGGAAATCCTGTCGCTTTCAGTGGACGCATCTCGTCCGAGTAAGCCTTGAGCACACAAACAGATTCCTTTTGAACTGTGTTTCTCATATTTGGAGCTGAGGCGGAAACGAGTATGGCGATATCGTTGTGGATACATTCTGATTAAAGGCAGCATGTCCACTAGTGGGTAAGTCGGAGTGTTCAAGGTGGTATTTCGATATTGGAATTCTTCTCTGATCGATTAGTGAATACAGCTTCTTTACTTCTGAATGATGTACAGTCGCTTTTAGCCCGAAACAATAAAGCGGCCCTGGCTCTTGTATTCAGCACTTCGTACACATTTAGAATGAAACCTATCCTCCAGTGTGTTGGGTGCTGTCTCAAATCGCTCGAGTAAAGGGCTGAAAGTATTCTCCTTAGATACAACCACGTGATAAGATGTCCACTGGTGAAGATGATACACCAGAGGGGGTGGACCGCAGTCGAGAGGCGGGATGCATGGATCATCTAGAATAGTTCGTCAATGACTTCGGTAATGGTAGGAAGAAACACTATCTATCTATCCTTCTCATCGTCAAAGTTTGGACGTGTCAAGTTCTGTAGAATGCTCCGGCCCGTTCAGCTCTGTCAACAATGAAAGCCTCACTTGAGGATTAGATCCCTCCATCTCGCTGATATAATTTGTGCCCTGCATTTCACTTAGGGCAATAGGTGCGTCTAGCTCATGCTTTCTTGTTTCAAGGTCTTCCAGCTCGGCTTTGTATTGTAGATACGGCTGTGTGTCTCCATCAGGAGTAAGACTGCCTTCTTTGACATTAGAGTTGTTTGTCTTGCGTCTGTGCCACACAAGATAACCACTTAGGCTAAGAATGAGCACAGAAATTGAAACGACTACTCCAGTAATGATCTTTTCTTTCCTCTGAAGGCCCGCACGATTCTGAGTTCCAGAGGATGAAGCAAGAGTTCCATTTGAAGTAGGTTGTGATGTCGCCGACAGAGGTTCTGCCGGTGCAACCGTTGATATCGTAGTCATAAAGGCACTGGATGGACTGCTTACGTTGGCCGAGACAGTGGATGTTGAGGAGTTTGCTGTCTCCTGTATTACATCAGGCGCACATTCTGTCTGTCCGATGTATCGAACGAAAGAGTCCCATGCGCCGGAGTAGACTATGCCAGGATTTTTTTCAGACTGGCTTGCTGTTGAGAATGCCATGGGCAGTGTACTAGTAGGAGAATTTATTGTCTTGCATCCGCCGCTCGTTTTGGAGATTGAGAGTCTTTGGTAGGAGGAAACCACAAGGTAGACTTGCGAAGCGGGAGTACTGAGGAAGAGTCAACGTTTCTCACTGCGTATGCTCAGATAACCCACGCTGTGCCATTTATGTCAGTGGTTGATGATGGATAGAATGTCTGATGGTCAAACGATGCTCGAACCGCGCAGTCGACCTCGCATTCTGCATAGCTGTCAATTTACCTCACGCAAATTGATTCTCGTATGGTATCAGACCATTCGTAGCAAGATGAGGTGCCTGCCCCACTTGACCAAAGCAGGAGCCAACGGACGATAGAACGAAAAATATTTCCCTGTAGAGCCACATTGTAGCCTGAGCGATCGGAGGGGAGGGGAGAAGACGTTGAGCTTTGAGGAATGAAATACGTCCAAACTCCAAGTGGCAAAAGAGTTGTTTCCACGACGTCAACAGGTATATGCTGAAACAACTGTGCCACCGCATACATCTCTAGATACGAGGATTGTATCACTTGGAAGTTTGGGAAACTCTTGCTGCAGGATCCATTGGAGCGACAAGAAGGTATGCAAGCCAAGAAATCTCCCGCCAGATGCGCCGCAGAATGGAAGCATCTCAATCCAAGAGACACAGCCTATACCACTCATATTTAATACTTTTCAATCTTCGCCTTCGGTGCCGGTCTTTCGCCTATCCGAGTTTGCGATGTGCATGAAAATGATACTCCAGTCGACCAGTAGATTTGACACCGCAAGTTTAGGTTCACGTGGTAGATTGAGATCTATTTTCGTAGCAAGGAGATTCATATACTCTGCATATACCATTCGAAGGAATCCTTACATCAAGTCATGCGTCCGATGACCAGTGGCGGTGATCATAGCATTTCTGCACCGTTCGTTGCCCTCATCGCTGTCCTCATGTATTAGGAGATTTTCTTGAAGTTCAATATACTGAACTCGCAGGCAGAGCATCCATTTGGATTTTACGTATAGGGGCCATGCCAGCCAGTCCGGGCCTCGGTGGAGCTCAGAGTGAAGGATGATTGTAAATCTGAAGCGCCCTCTTGTGCGTTCTTTGCACTCACAATATTCTGAATGAGCAAAGGTTTAGTGGACCCAAGCCTCAAACGTCGGTGGTAGGCCATGGATTTCCAACGCCGAGCATCAAGTAGCCACGCCGTGTTCAGAAGGACAGTTTTCTGAAGCTAAAAATTACCGACCCAAGACCAAGTCCCAACTGAGCGCCGGCATTGCGTTGAGATGGATCTAATGTGTTATTAGAATTCATCCGCCTTTGTGCTTCTTTAGGTATGGTGGGATCCTCCTCATCTGTCAAGTCAATAGTGTGCTGCTGGCTTCGGCTATCCAATGACGAAGTAAGGTGCTGTCTACTTGCAAGGCCCAAGCTTCTGAGATTCTCAAGTTGACAATGGCAATCAAGCAGAGCAAAAGAAGCTCAATCCTGCAATTTCAATCTGCGCATGTCCTTATGATCTATTAAAGTGTCCTCCTCGCTGTCTGAACACGCGACTGTGTCGGCATCAGAAGTCAGATTATCACTATCCTCTTCATGCGAGGTCTCTTCAGCATCTCCTGCATCCGACACTTCATCGTCTGAGAGGAGTTGGTTTTCGAGTGGCCGTGCCAGAAAGAACTTTTCAGGATTGTCTTTCAGCACTGCCCAAGATCGAGGGGCTTTGCCAGGCCTTTTGACACCATTTTCCCTAATTCGATGGCTATGGTCTGTAATTAGGTCTAGCTTATTTCGAATCTCCGTCAACTCAGCTGAGACCTCTTCGACATTCGGCCACTGGTGTTTAGAACACACCTTTCTGACAGCCCGAGTCAAGTGCAAACGAGCATCGCAAGAGCAACGTGATTTGCTGCCATGGCATTTGGACGAATGCGAGCACTCCCTGTCATATTGGCGATCAATCCCCGCAAGTAATGTTGGTATTTTCAAAAGAACTTCGAGAGACTCATAAAGCCAATCATCCTCAAGGTTCTGGTCTTGGCGACGGTAGTGCCTCAGTTTCAGAGGTAAAATGATGGTTATCTGAGTGTCGGGATTGAAAGACATCGGCCCTAAAGCTCTGAAATACCGCCATAAGTAATCAATGGCTTTTTTGTTAGATCGATGCATGACTTTGTAATCACTAGTGTAACGTTTCCAAATCGCACTGGCTGCTTTGAGTTCTTTGCTGTCCCAGTCAACAGTGTGATCACTTTTGGCGGCCACGCCTCCGGTTGCGTCAAAGACAAATATCGGTCTACAAAAGTATCCTGCCTGGTTTATTCTGATAATAAATAGGTCGCCAATACCAGGATCTCTATCCAAGATCCACGTATACATGTCTGATTCAGGATGAGTTCCTTCTTCATCTGCAGGAGTGGTACTGCGGCAAGGGCTTCTTTGTGAAGCTCTACTAGATGGACGACTTATGGGAGAAGAAGATCCGAATCGCCGCCCGTGACCTTCGGTATGAGGAATCTCTAGAGTACCTGAGTGGGGATGATAGTTGTGCGAGGTCTTGAGACGCCGTTGGCTGAAGGCCCAAGGCGTATGTTCTGCATCTATTGGAATGTGATGCCTTGATACCACATCTCCTCTCTTGTCTGATGGAAATATTCCGGTATTCTTAAGGCTTTGTAGACGACTGATGCAAGTACCAATGATCGGTTTATATGTGTAATCAACCCAGAACTTGAGTAGATCAACGATGCACAATAATTGCAAAGCACTGTCTTTATCCTTAGATATGCCTGACCAGAGATGAAGAAGTCGCTTTGAGGCATCAGCAAAACTGCGTAGACGAAGTTGTTATGTCACTCACGTAGTTGTAGCCATTCCCAGCCACTTTAGTGTCCTCTATGCAACCGTAGACTCGCCAGTCCGCGCCTATGCTAGAGAAGAACCACACAATAGGGATCGAGTGTTGATACTGAGCTTGATCAAAGATCTCACGCTGCCATATCAACAGACTCTTGATTCTCTTACAAGTCTGGGTTACGGTGTCTTCATGCCCGGCGCCCTTTGCCCTTTTCGCCTCCCACAATCCAAACGCAAACATTGGGAAAGAGTATGCCTCGGACTGCTCTCCGCTTATTTGATAGGGTTCTCGGAGGGCTGGAAAATGGTCTAAAACCCCCCTGATTAGGTGCTTCTGGAAGAAGACGACCAAGTCATTGTCCAGCCAATCTTTCCCTCGAGACGTGACCCCTATGCGGTCGAAATTGTAGGTGCAAAGACCAAGCGTGGCATCTGGAATGTGGTTGGCGCGGGTCCTCATGTAGCACTCATCGCTTTTGTAAGCAAGTTCAAGCCGCAGTTCGCAATTCGATATATTCAAATGTTTCTTTCTTGATTCACTTAGGCTTTCAGTAAGTTTTGATGGCACGACAGGGTTACTATTTACCAGATCTCGAGGTCTTTCCTTTGCGATTTGCCCTCCTGAAAGTCGCTACTCACGTCATTGCCAAAAAAGTGTGGTCGGCTCAATGCGGGGAAGTACCGTCGACAGGCAAAACTTTCGCATCATGAGTATAGCATGTACAACGCAAAACGTCACGAGTTAATTACCAGTGATGAATTTGCAGATTTTCGTCCTCAACACGCTTGAACGGGAGGAAAACTCTGGAGCAAAGCAGGTCGGACCAACCTCGCTCTTTTTGGTCGTCCATTCCCGAGTCACTACAAGCCTTAGATAGTGACGCTGCCCTCTGCTTCAGGTATCGATCATAATGCCTCGATGCTTCGGTATGAACTTCGTGCTTAGAACTCTTGTCTTTAACAGCTCGGCCAAATCTCTCAAAATCGATCTTTTTGCTTTTTGCGACTAAATAGAACAGGTCTTGAATTGCTTTCGGAAATCGACTGTTTTCGAGAAGACTGGGTTCATAGGTTTCCGACAGAATGCCGAGATCTGCTAGTGAGGGAGGATTCCTATCGACACTTGGCCGAGGCTGATAAGACTTCTCAGCTTCATCATCCTGCTCAGCCTCTCGATTGCCGTTGGGTGATCTGTTGTGTGCATCCAATAGACGGCCTATCAGTGCACTTTTGATACCACTTTTTGGAAGCTTGCGCTTTTCAAGTTCTCGCCTCAGCGCTTCACATGTCCAATTCGTATAATCTGACATTTTACCTGCACAAGCGGGAACGCGCAAAGCTCTGAGGTGAGTAGACTGAAGCTCGGATGAGAAGAAAATCAGGAAGAGAGAGATCTTGCGGACCCTCTGTGACTGAATCTCCAGAGCCACAGCCCCTCATGCACGGCTAAAGGATATCAGGCTAGCGCAGCTGGTGCCTGATGGTGGGTGAACCTCATTGGCAGCCATTCAGCGGAAGCGAGTAAGCGCCGCGGCGTGCACTGGGGTCGTCCTAGAAACGACTAATGCAAAGCTCGTGTGTGAATCGGGAATAGATAAGCACACGGGATCTGTGCGTGAGACACTCAGCCTTCCAAGTCATGCCCAGGTCTTCTTCTCTACAGGGGACGCTTTGCGATTTGCTCATATCAGAAAATTCCCGCGTTGCCCGTACGGTCAAAGGCTCGAACCATAGCAACTTCCGCTATGCCCCGCTTACCTGGAGACGGAGGCTTCATTAAACCAGATACAGACCCCTAGAAGTACAATTAGGCATGAAGGGCAGCGCAGAAGACCTCATTGCATCTCGCGTTTCAGTCTTGTTACCTCCATCGCCACGCCGTTGTTTTGGGCTTTGCTGCTTTCTATAGACCACCAATTGGATTATTCTGCGCCGTTCTTACAGTCTAGACCTACGAGACATATTGGTAGCCAATAGATCTGTAGTTGCAGCTACCTTCTGAGGCCGCACGTCTCGTGGCACCTGGTGAAAACATACGGGCTCGAGTCATGTAAGCGTGTCTTTCTTGATTCTTTTGACATGGTCAAACAATTCTTTTGGTCAGGAGCGCAAGATTCGCAGCTCATGTTAAATCATATAGGTCCATAGTGAGCTCTTTTTGATGTCCTCGTAGGGATGACTTGCTGCTTCAACGCCTCGTGCAGAAGCCTTTCATTGACACTTTATCCACTCAGTGGGGGGTTATGAATACCCGAGTCGTCAGGATATTATGAGACATCACTGGGTTTCAGTGTCTGCTTTGTATTTTGTAGTAGTGGTAGTCAGATGCCACTCAAGAGAACGCGGGAGACTATCTAAGCCCGGGCATAAGACGTTCAACTAGTCGGTTTCGAGTCATATCTGGTTTAGACTGCCGTAGTAAATTGAAATCGCGAAACGTCGCGTCGCGTGTCCAGCCTTTAGTCGCGACTTCACAGCAATGAAATCATTTCAATAAATCAGAGTTGACCTCGACAATCACAGCCAGCCACCATGTCTTCTATAGTCGATGGTCTCATCAATTCCGACAACCCAGACTCGGATCTAGCTACAGGTCGTCAACGAAATGGCAGCTCCAAAACTCCCAATGGACGACCTGCCCCACGCTCCTCGGTGGCCCCATCAGAAAGTAATGGCGCACTCAGCGATGTCGAAGGCTTTACAGATGATGAAGTTGTCGGTCTCAGGGGTACAGACCGAAACCGACCGAAGGATCCCATGTCGAAAGCTGTACCGCGGGTAGTAGACAAGGTGGGCGAGAAAGTAGCAGAGGAGTTTGAGAACTTCTTGGAACAGTACGTACGCTTGTGTGGAATCAGTGATCACTCACTGAAGAGCACAGATATGTCGAAGATATCACGCTGTCCGGAGCTCCACCCTCCAGTGCCGTAACAAGCGATAAATACTACATAGCACAGATTCACGGCCTCAGAATATACTCCCTCTCAACCCTCTATGTCGACTTCCAGCACCTACTCTCTCTGCCAAACCCGACTCTTGCAAATGCTATCGCCAATGACTATTACCGATACCTACCCTTCCTCACCCGCGCTTTACACAACCTGATTGCAAAATATGAGCCAAGATACTTCCGAGAACATAGGCAGCCGACAAGCGCCTCAAGTCAGACTGCAGACTCCGTAGCGGGCAATGGAGTCAGCCAAGTCGAGACAGTGGGCTCAAAGACTATGAATCAACAGACCGACAAACTTTTCACACTCGCTTTTTACAATCTCCCTCTTATCTCACGAGTCCGTCAACTGCGGACCGCCAACATTGGCAAACTACTCTCAATATCCGGCACAGTGACACGAACATCAGAAGTCCGACCAGAGCTCTACCTAGCAACATTTATCTGCGAAGGCTGTAGGGCCGTGATCCCCAACGTGGAGCAAACATTCCGATACACAGAACCGACCCAATGCCCCAACCTGACCTGTATGAATCGTCAAGGCTGGCGCCTCGATATCCGCCAAAGCACATTCGTTGACTGGCAAAAAGTCCGCATCCAAGAGAACAGCTCCGAGATCCCCACAGGCAGCATGCCGCGAACAATGGACGTGATTCTTCGCGGAGAGATCGTCGACCGCGCCAAAGCCGGCGAAAAATGTGTCTTCAGCGGCACCCTGATAGTCGTGCCAGACGTAAGCCAGCTTGGCCTCCCAGGCGTTCGACCAGAAGCCCTTCGCGACAACCGCAACACTCCCCGTGGTGGCGACGCAGGCGGCAGCGGGGTCACAGGCCTCAAAGCCCTTGGCGTGCGCGACTTGACCTATCGAATGGCCTTCCTCGCCTGCATGGTAACGCCCGACATCTCCACACCAGGACAATCCGCGAATCAACAGACCAACAACATCCTCGCCACATTAACACAGGGGGTGGAAATGACCCCCAAGACACAGGCGACCAAGCCCAAGACGCCTACCTGCAATCCCTCACGTCCGCCGAAATCGAGGATCTGAAAGCCATGGTCCACAGCGACCACATCTACTCCCGCCTCGTCAACTCCCTCGCCCCGATGGTCTACGGGCACGAAATCGTCAAAAAGGGCCTCCTTCTCCAACTCATGGGCGGCGTGAGCAAAACCACGCCCGAAGGCATGGCGTTACGGGGGGACATCAACATCTGCGTCGTCGGCGACCCTTCCACAAGTAAATCCCAATTCCTGAAGTACATCACGTCCTTTCTGCCACGGTCGGTGTACACGTCTGGCAAAGCGAGTTCTGCGGCGGGTCTGACGGCCGCGGTGGTTAAAGATGAGGAGACGGGGGAATACACGATTGAAGCTGGCGCCTTGATGTTGGCGGATAATGGGATCTGCGCGATCGATGAGTTTGATAAGATGGATTTGGTGGATCAGGTCGCGATTCATGAGGCGATGGAGCAGCAGACGATTAGTATTGCGAAAGCGGGCATCCAAGCGACGTTGAATGCGCGGACGAGTATTCTGGCTGCGGCGAACCCGGTGGGGGGAGGTATAATCGGAAGACGACGCTGAGGGCGAATGTTAATATGAGTGCGCCGATCATGAGTCGATTTGATTTGTTCTTTGTGGTGCTGGATGAGTGCAATGAGGCTACTGATACGCGGTTGGCTAATCATATTGTCAATTTGCATATGAATCGCGATATGGCGGTTGAGCCGGAGTTTAGCACCGAGCAGTTGCAAAGGTATATCAGGTTTGCGAGGACGTTTCGGCCGGAGTTCACACCTGAGGCGAAGGGGCTGTTGGTGGAGAAGTATAAGGAGTTGAGGGCCGATGACGCGCAGGGAGGTGTGGGGAGGAACAGTTATAGGATTACGGTGAGGCAGTTGGAGAGTATGATTCGTCTGAGTGAGGCGATTGCGAAGGCGAATTGTGTGGATGATGTTACGGAGAGTTTTGTGAGGGAGGCGGCGGGGCTGTTGAAGAGCAGTATTGTTGGTGTGGAGAGGGATGATGTGGAGGTTGATGAGGAAGAGGATGAAGATGTGGGGATCGCTGGGAGGAGAGGAGGGGGGAGGATCGAGATGGGGACTCGCCAATGGGTGATGGGGAGGGGAGTGATGGAGAAGATGAGAGCGATGAAGGTGGTGATGGTGGGCAGGGAGGTGCAAGAGCGAGGAAATCTGCTACGCCTGCACAGACGGGGCGGAAGACGAAGATCACATATGACAAGTACATGGCGATCTTGAATCTGCTTGTCAGAAGGGTGAATGAGGATGAGATGACTAGCGGTCAGGGGGTGGAGCATGAGGAGTTGGTGACTTGGTACATGGAGCAGAAAGAGGAGGAGCTTGAGACTGTGGAACAATTGGAGCAGGAGAGGGAGCTGGCCAAGAAAGTCCTTCGAAGAATGGTCAAGGTACGTTCAACTCCTTCAAGTCTTTTGGACCAGTGAGAGGGAACGAGAGCTAATGAATTCTTAGGACAATGTCTTTATGCCTGTGCGTGGTGAGGGGCTAGATGGTGATGAGGGCAGCTCGAGGGAAGCTGAAAAGGTGATTTATGTATTGCATCCTAATTGCGCTGTGGAAGAGATGTGAGGGAGGTCGCTCAGGAAGAGGAGTGTGCCACGCCGATAATGCATAGATGCGGCGCTCTTGGGAAAGGGATTCGAGTCTCAACAGGGAGGCAGAAGTGTCGGCGCGGGATACACTAGTCCTGACATGTTCGGCATACAGCCTTGAGTATCTGTATAGTAGCTCGAGTAATAGAATCGCATCCACGATCTTTGCTATTGAATTGTATAATGGCGTTGCTAAGTGTGACATGAGGCTGACCAAAGCATGCTTTGGAGACCAGCGGCACTTTGTACATAATAGTCTGCTCTATCTACAGTCAAGTCAACGAAAAATCCCAAACGAAGCTCATCACTATCATCCCACCCACAGTCATTATAAAAGCCATCGACAAATTCACCCCATTGTTATCCAACAAGCCCCATCCATTCTCCACCATCCTACTCCCCTCATCTTTCTTATCCCCAACCATGACCCTCCCTCCTCCCCTCCCCTCCACAACCTTCCCCGACGTCCGATCCACAACACTAGCCTGCAACAACCCTCCCAGCACACTATCCAATACACTCCCCAACCCACCCCAGACCGTCACCGCGACGACAAATGCCAGTTTGTCCTGCCATCCCCAGCCCCGCCCGCCTTCCAATGCCCTTCCTCCATTCTCACAAAACGGCATCAGCCCCACAGCCGTCAGGGCAATGACGCCCGCGCCCGCAAACCCCGCCAGCGTCCCCGTCAACGTAACCCCCCCATTAGTTCCCGGCGGCACCTCCCTAAGCCTCCAATTCGTAATCAACCTTGGTTTCTCCCTCGCCAGAATCCCCAGCTCGGACGAGAACGTATCAGCAGCGACAGCCGCATATTGCGCCACAATGCCCACCACGACGAGGTCTGTGCCGTACGGCCAGCAATATTCGGAAGAGGACCGGTACGATGTTGGGGAGAGGTGGAGGTAGGACGGCGGGGTGGACGGGTGGAAGTGGAGGAGGTAGGTGTGGTATGCGATCAGGAGGGTGGCGGGGAGGGAGTTGCAAAGGACTTGGACGTGGGTGCGGGGGGAGGGGGGGAGGAGCCGTGGGAGGAGAGGGTGAGGGTTGCTTTTTGGGAGTGTTTGACCTGGGCGTTGTTAGTACATGAAGATCGGAGGAGGAGGAGGAGGAGGAGGAGATAAGGGGCTGGCTGACCTTGGTGACTGCTGTGCCGGCAAGGAAGAAGACGGCGAGGAGGGCGAAGGGGAGGTTCCACGGGTGTATGGCGTGGATTATGGCTGTGAGGAAGGCGACGAGGATGCCGGCTGGTGTGAGGGACTGTCGGGACCAGGCGCGGTAGACGAGGGCGAAGATAGCCGGGACGGCGATGTATGGATGCATGATGGTGTCAGAGGATGTAGCGGAGGGGAGGAAGGAGGAGGAGTGATATGCATGCTGATGGGGTTCCGTGAGATAAGCATGACCGTTCGGCGGCTCCAGGCACCGGAGGCGCTAGAAACTTAAGCATCTGTCAGATTAGGTTCACGGACTTTAGATTCAACCTACAGATCTGTCATTTTTATGATTTTCATTACTTGTTCAGTGGATTATCTGATCTACCATGAGCTTGTCAAGTTGTAAACGCACGATAGATAGGTTTGACCCTGAAGACCAAGAGTCAGCGTATCAATCACTGAAAAGGTCACTTTGACAGAGCCTCGCGTTGATATTTGGGGCTTGAGAAGCTAGCGCGGCGCTAAGCGCTTAGCCGTGACCTTAAATGAGAGGTCGATCTGTTGTTCCCACTGACAAACAACGTCCCAAAGTCTGCTACGAATGGATACTCGCTGCATCCAGTGTTCTCATCTGAATCGGTCTCACAATCATAAAAGCTTGAGATTATCATTGCCTGTCATGGAGCATGAAGAAAGCCCAGAGGCCCTAATCCCACTCTTCAAGCTTGAACGCGTCTTAAATCAGGATCAGAATGGAAAGCGCGTCAGCATGCTAGGCAAAATTAGGGGGGACCAGCTTTATGTCTTGCCGAGCGTGCAGCCTTTCCAAGTGATGAGGAAGCCCTTACTGAGTTCCACTCCGCTCTCGTCAATGTCAAGAATCTTGGCAATAATGACATTTATCGATGGTACATGGCGTCTTCGCGAACCACAGAAACCTCACCGCCAGAATTAAAACTGAATCTTATCTACCCATGTACTGAGAAGCATATCAAGAAGTACTCCCCCCAAGAAGTTCGTATGGTGACCGAGACCCCCGATATCTACAAAAACCTTGTGAGGCCTTACATGCAGCGCATGCGGGAGGAAGGCCGTTTGAATTGGGTGTTCAATATTCTCGAAGGACGTGCTGAGCAGGACGATATTCTGCTTCGCGCAAAGGGGCAATCTGCAGATGGCCAGGACGAAGAATTTCTGCTGATGCCAGATCTGAACTGGGATCGCAAGACCCTTTCAAGCCTCCATCTTCTCGCCTTTCCGACTAGGAGGGACATCTGGAGCTTACGCGATCTGAAGAAGAGTAACATCATTTGGCTAAAGGAGATGAAGGAGAAGATCTTGGATGCCACAGCGAAGCTTTACAAGACGATTGAGAGGGACCAGATCAAGCTTTACGTTCATTGTATGTCTCATTAGGCTTCATTTCCTGACACTGACACAGCATAGATCAGCCAACTTATTACCATTTCCACATCCATGTCGTACACGTGATGTGCGAAGCGACTGCTACTCAGGCTGTCGGCAAAGCTTTTGGCCTGGAGAACATCATAAGCCAGCTGGAATGTATGGCCGGAGGACCCGACGCGAGCATGGCCGAAGCAACTCTCACCTACCACTTAGGCACTTCAACGGACTTGTGGACCGAAGTCTTCTCACCTCTCAAAGAAAGTACAAAAGACTGAACAATCAATCATCGTCTTCACTCAGTTGTGTCATCCGGCAATACAAAATTGATATTTTGTTCCACAGTAGTCGCATCCACAGCGTCATCATCCTCACTATCGTTCTGACTACTTTCTAACTCGCTTCCCAACGAAGTAGGCGAAGGAGGAGCCGGCGGAGAATCTGGACATGCTGGTGTCCCTGGTCTGGATCTCTCGCGCTTTTCAGCACGCTCTATATCATTATTATCTTGCTCCTCTTCTTCACCGCGTCCAAGTACAAGAGATCGTGGACGGCCTCTTGACAAGAAGGGTGTTTCCGGAGGGCTGTAAGCAAAGCCTGCATTCTCGTCCCCCGCCGCACTATCTACCGTGCTGGTGGTATCGACCAGCTCACGATTCTCAGGAGAGTCGGTTTGTCCAAACATGAATCGCTGCATCCATTCAGATTCACCGCCCGGCTTTGTTACCATTTCGCGTCCACCTTGAGCAACCACTTCATCCTCGCTCTCCGAAAATTCTGGCAGCACTAGTTTGGGTACCGGTGGTGCTTTCGTTTGGAAATTTTGTGGCATGTCTTCGGTTTTTTCATGCGTTTTGGTTTGTGTTGATTCTTCTTCTCCCTCTTCTTTCACTTCACAGGCCTGGTCTTTAGGCGCCTCCTCAATCTCAGTCTTGTAATCATCTATTTCTGTCCTACTGATATATTTGTCAACAGCAGGCTCTGCAGCTTCCAGTGCCTCAATCGCAGCCACATATTCCTCCTGGCCATTTAAAGCTGTACCCTGATGGAACGAGCAATATGCTACCAATGGATCATACCCGAACCCAGTGGCCATTTCCTTGGCTGTTTTGGCATGTTCAAAAGCCTGTATCCATCTCTCCATTTTTTCTGCAAACAAAGCGCGGGTCAGTAGCACATGAATGACATTCTGCTCATTCCTTGATCGTTCATCAAAAGGAAACAAATACTGCAGCTCGCCCTTTGGTCCTGGGAATTCTGGCTCCACCAATCGTCCGCGATCGTAGCTATCGTTTTCATCAGGAGTACTGGGCAATGGGAATTCCTCGGCTGATTCTGACGTTGGTTCCTCAGGATCTCCACTCAACGAGCTCTTTCGGATATCCACTGCCTGGCGTCGCTTGCTCAACTCTTCGTGCAAATCCCACCGTGCCTGGTCCGCGCTCATCATATCCTCAAACAATTCACCGTTCTGCTTCTGATAGAAATCGTTCCAGCGCCTCAAGTCCTCGTTGATACTTTGTGTCATCTCTATCCTGAGAATTTGAACCTCGTGAGACTTCTTCAACATCTCAACATGATGCTCCTCGGATTTCTTGTTGTCATCATTCGCTTTCAAGTCATTTTCGAGTGTTGAATAGTCCGCTTTCAGTCTATCGAGTCCCTCTGTAGCCTGCTTGTAATACTTCTTGAAAGCATCATTTTCTTCTTTGAGTTGATTGGTCTTCGTCGTCAAATATCGCCGAACAAGCAATCGTTCTTCAATTGGGGTCTGTTCCTTTGCTTGCTCGTTGTCCTGGGCACCTCGCAAATCTTGGGGGAGGTCACACGCAGTAAGGTGCCTACATCAACGGAAGAAGGTCGCTTGTGGCCTAGGAAATTGTGGTTCGGATCGAGCGACTTCATGATCCGACCGCGACAAATTGAGCAGTGCAAAGTACTAAATGGTTGGATCTGGGTCGATAAAGCGGATGTTTTTCAACCTGATGTCCCACAAAAATTCACTCAAGGATCCACGGGTCGCGTTGACAAAGGAACTTTTCTTGAACACATATTGACCGCAAACAGACACCCGCACTAAGTTCAGCAATCTGTTCTTTCCTCGCAAACCCGAATGCATACCACCTTTCAATAATTCAGAATCTCTTTCTAAGGCTTGTATTGGAGCGAAATCCTTTCAGAACCGACTAGGCTTCGGTAGTCAAGCGCCTCCAATGGAATAGAGCTGTGGCTAGGATAAGACAATACGCCATAAAGCAAAGAGGAGTTCAACAAAAAAAGTCATCACATAAGATAAACCCCAGCGACTCGTACTTACATGTGTAAAACATCATGCGCGTCAGCCATACGGCTTAGCCAGCGCAAAGTTCGCCCACAAATCGACGGCCGTCCATATGGGGATGATCAATATCAACCATCTCCACCAAATTAAATGAACAGTCCGACAAGGTCTCAATCCATCATGCCTCAATCTCAGAGGACAAAATGATCCGAAAATGTCACATCTACGACCCATCTACCGCACTCTAGCGAACAATGCCTTTGTCCCCCATACTCCCCTTCATAACCCCATTGCTCCAATGTTCGCACCCGATCATGAAATGACTTCTCCTCCCCTCCCCCACCTCCTCCACCTTCGCCCCCACTCCCAATTTCCTATCTACACAATCCGCAATGTCCTCCACAAGCAGCACCCCATCATCCAGCCCCTCCTCCTCACCCCCTCTCTCCCCTTCCTCCCCTTCCTCCCCTTCCTCCCCTTCCTCCCCCTACTACCCCTCCTTTCCCCACATACCCCCCAACACTAACTTCAACGCCACAATCACCGCCTCCATCCACCTCATAACGACCGAACTCCTCGCGCTACGGTCCTCACACACCACGCTCTCCCAAGAAAACCGTTTACTAACAGAAAATCTAGTCCACCGCGACGCCACGATCCGGCAGCTATCCCAAGACAACGACGTGCTTAACAGCTTGTGCGAGAAGTTGCGGGCGAGGGTTGCGCGGCTGACTTATTTTGTTGGGTTGATACCTTCGGGGTCGCTAGCAGCAGCGACGGCCGAGGGGCAGGGGGAGGGGGGATCATCGCGGACGACGCAAGTCTCGAGGTCTCATACCGGGGCGTTGAAGCCGCCGCATGTGCCGCCGAGGTCTTACCGTACATCGACGACGAGGTCGGCTGTGCGGGGTGCTAAGCTGCCGTTGAAGAAGTTGCCGAAGCTGGAGAGTGGGGGTTTTGCTGTGGAAGGATTAGGGAGGAGAGTGGTGAAGGGTGGGAGGGGTGGGAGCACGGGTACGGGGCATGGAGGTGGCGGTGGCGGTGGTGGTGCTGTAGGCACAAAGAGTATTCTGGTTAGGCTTGGATTGGCGGCTTTTTGGTAGAATGGGAAGGTGTGGGTGTTATCGGGTGGTTGTGGTGCTTTTGCGATTATATCCTATAAACCGTTAGGTGCCTTATTTCAGGGGTAAAATCAATTATCATAGTGTTTTGATTTTAATCGATCTATATAATTGTTCTAGCACTCCTTATAGTCGCAAATAGGGATTTTATATAGATTATAACTTTTAGTAGTTTTAAGAGCTTAACTTCGTTATTATTAAGCTATACTATTTAGCTATAGCTTATTTAATACTTTCCTATTTACCTGTCTTAAATATATATTATTTTTTTTAAAAAGTTTATATATAAAATATATTTTTAAATATTTAAGTTTAATTATTTAGTATTTATATAATAATATAAAATATATCTAGTTTTTAGAAAAAAGTTTTTCTAAAAAGCATTCTTTAGTCTAACTAATTAATATATTTATAAATTTAATCTAGAACTCCTTATAAAAACTATTTAATCCCTTCTTTTTATATAACTTTTTTATTACTAATATACTAATCTTATAAGTATTAATTATAATAATATTAAAAAAGAAATAAAATAATAATATTTAAGTCTGCTGCTATATTTTTTATATAAAATAATAAAATTAAAGCTAATTAGTATTATTAATATTATTTATATAATAATTATAATTGTTAATTAGTATAAGAATAAATAGAAATTTAATAGTATTATTACTAAAAAAAAGGTAAATAATTTTTATATTCGAAAATAACTTTATAGGTTATTACTATTTATAGTTTATTATTTTCTTATTATTATTAATAGTAGTTATAAATAATATAATAGCTTAATCTATTTATATAAATTAAAAAACATCCTTATTATCGCTAATTACTTTATATAGTTCTCCTTACTTAATTTGTTTATTATATTTTAATTTAATATTAGAAATTAATAATTATAAGCTATAGTTTTTTTTTTTTATAAGTTACTTTTTTTACTATACTACTATTCTACTAAAAGCCTCTTCTATTTTTTATATTATTTTTATAGTTTTAATAGTTTCTATAGCTCTAAAGCTATTATATCTAAGCTATCTAAGGAAATATAATAATATAAATAAATTGTCTAGCTATATAATATATTTATTTAGTATACTTATTAAATATTTTTATTTAAATAGTTTTAATATTATAACTTATATATTAGAATAACTTTAGTCCTAAGTCTAGATAAGAGTTATTCCTTATAGTCTATCCTTTTTTAAATACTATAGCTAATTTAAAATATAGCTATTATTAGCTAGGATCTATATTTTATAACTTTTAGGAATTAGTTTACTTAGAATATTAACTATATTTATAAATCGCCTTATAAACTTAATAATCGATTTATCGACGCTTAAATATGTTCCTATACGCTAATAATATTTAAATATAAGTTTAAGATATTTATTTAAAAACTTTAGCTTTTTAAAAACTAACTTTAAAACTTTATTTAATAATTTTAAAATATATAGAAACTAGCTAAGCTAATTAAATTATATTTAGTTTATATAATATATTATTTTTAAATAAATAGGCCTATACTTTTTTTTTAATTTTAGAAATTATTTATATTAGTCTTTAAATAAAGACCTATCTATATAATAATTCCTATATATATATATAGTTTATTAATATTAATAAGGCTCTAAGCTTATTAATATAAAATAGAATTTAATTTTTATATTTAAAATAACTTTTTAGTAATATACTTATTTATATACTTAGCTATAATTAGAAATATTTTATTAATAAAAAATAAACTAAAGATATTGTAGGGGTTTTAGGCTTTAATATTTCTTAATAAAAACCTTTTTCTAGAGGTATATAATTTTTTAATTTTTATTATATTAAACTATAGTAGCGGCTATAAATATAAGAGTTATTACTTTAAAAAAAGCGGTAATAAGGGCTTTAGGTTTAATAGTATATAATCTATGTTATTAGATACTCGATTATAAGGCATAGTAGTTGTAGGAATTAAAATAATCAAAAAAAGGTGGCTGGAAAACGCGTTAAAAATAGCGTCGGATTTAAGGCAGTTAACGGTTCATGGGATAGCATGTAAATGAGATTGTTGTTGTCACTCAATGAGTAGAGAAGTAGTTTGTAAGGGTGCCCCAAGCACCGTGAATTAGTATCGAATCAAGCATACTCAAGACATCTCCTTCTACAGATCAACATTTATGATTGCAATGTCTAATCTCCCTCTTCTGTCGGCTGGTCCGACTCCTCGTCGAAGATGTCGAATCCGATATGATTCCTTGGATCCATGAACCTCACAGCACCTTTCTTGCCGGCAATGTCATTGATTCTCCCCATATCCTCATCAGTGAGCCTGAATAAATCTCTGTTTTCTATCATTCGTTGCTCATGCACAGTCTTTGGGACGACAGATGTTCCACGTTGTACTGCCCAGGACAAGAGTACTTGCGCTGGAGATTTCTGGTATGCTTGTGCAAGTGAGCCGATCTGTGAGGCAAGTCAATACGTTTTGTTAGATCTGGGGAGCTGTATAAAAGGAGTTATGAAGAAGAGACAGGGCGGGAGTGGATAAGATGAATGTCTTGAAAGGATGTAATGCTTACGTCTGGGTCTGTAAGTGGTCCTAGATGGTCAGCGTTCGGATTGACAAGTGCGACAGGCTTTCCTCCGAGTGGCTGATGGGCAGTTATATGTATGCCTTCTTGCGCACAGAAATGGAGGAGATCTGCTTGAGGTAGGTATCTAGTGAGACACATGTCAGGATTCCATCAGAGCTGCTGCTGGAGTCCGCCACGTACGGATGTAGTTCAACCTGAATGACTGCTGGGCGAATTTTTGCCGTTTCCAAGAGTCGTTTTGTCTTAAGAACGTTAAAATTTGACACGCCTTTGTCGTAACAGATAAGTAATTTTCCCTGCGCAAAAGGATCCAGTATGCTTACCTATCAGTCTCGCCTTTCCACTGCGCACTAAGTTTTCCATCGCTGTCCATGTCTCTAAATAAGCTCTTGAAAGCTTGCGATCGATCAATGGCTAGAAACGCCAAATAAGCTTGAGACAATTGCAACAAAACGGACCGGTGACTGCTAGCCTTTCCATTGGCGTGGCGTAATGTGCTATGATCAGGGCCAGCCTCGTAAGCGTGTGGAACTGATAGCTTCAGCCCAACGGCTCTCTACAGGTGTTGGTTCTTCTGAGAGGGCCTTACAATGCATCAAGAAGAGGTCCACTATTTGGATCACGAGCCTCATTAGCATGGAATGACACATTTAGATATCCTCTGTAGTGCATTCACCATATTCAAGCTGCAGTGCATGCATGCTTCTATCGAGAGCCTCTTCTACGTCTCCGGGCTGATGCCACGTTTGGGCACTAAGTACGCAACACTCATTATACCGATCTGGTAGATCAATTGACTAAGATATCTCACAGCTTGGTTGTGATGAAAAGCTCTTCCCGTGAGACACCACTTTCTCTGATGGCTTCTCCAATCTCCTTTTCATTGCCGTAAGCTGCAGCACAATCGATATGCCTGTAGCCTTGCCGCAGAGCACTGCTAACAACGTCCTTGACGCGCTCATCGCCAGAGTCACTCTGCCATGTGCCCAGGCCTACAGCTGGAATGCTGATTCCGTTGGCTTCAAATGTAGAGACTGCCGCTAATGGCTGCATGTTAATGTCCGTATGAGGTTTGGGATCATCTGATCAAATGCTCTTCGCACATGATATAGGCCAAGAATAACCCTGTACGACCATCGTAATATTAGTTTTGTATGTTACATTGGTCTTTAGTAAGCCGCGCTTGTGGTTGCCAAATTAGGCCTATGGTTGTGCACTCCCCACAATACTCGTTCTCGTCTGGCTGCTGCCTGTGAATAAGTTCTTCCCCAAACCGTAGGAGTATCTTAGGACGTAAAGAACAGGATCCACAAAAAATGCTAGATGTTTAATTGACTGTCAACTCTGTACGAAAATATATGATAATATACAACACGTGCTGATCTGCTATCACAAACAAAAGAAAGGCTGGGTCGAAAGATAGTTTCTGCCTTCACGGAATGCAAAAGGTAAGTAAGTTTTTTGGAGAATCCTCCTCGTTGTAGAATCATCCTAGGACTATCAATCTCTGTCTCCAAGGAATGCAGCTGTATAGCTCATGGCCGATTCGAGCATTTCCGGTGTGGACCGCAATGCCACGCTCCTCAGTGATGAGCAAAGCCCGAGTGTGTTGGGGTGTATGACGATTACGCCGGGCGTTTTCAGTAAGTACTTTGATCAATGTACAAGGAATTTTCTGTTTCTTCTCACGGCATGCTTCGTGTATAGTAGCAAATCCGATTGAGCAGAAGTCACCTCGTGGGTCGAATACAGTCCGCTCATAGAGTATTCTAGCAGAAGCAGGAGCCTTGGGATCACTTTCATCGATCTTCAATCCGTGAGCCCTGATAGCATCTGCATCCTGTGGATTCGCCAAGAGAGAGCCACTGCATGAATAGCTCTCCTGATTATCAGCAGACCAGAGCACGTCAAGAGTCTCAGCCCAAAATATGATATGATACGATGGCTGTATTCGTGCCCTGGTAACTGAAGATATCTCTTCAGCCTGTATCATTTTTGCATGCGACTGGCCTGGGCTCAGAAGCGACAGAGATTGCGGGTAGTCACGTTCTTGTGAGATCTGGTGCAACTGGAAACTATCCTGTGCAGTCCCAGGAGGGCAATCAGCTCGTTTGAAGCAGCGGATCGCGGCACCGGGATAAGGATCTTCCAAAGCATTCACCACCGTTGCGCTCTTAAGAGTCAGCCATGACCAAGTGGGGATACCCTCAACTTTTCGCCTCTCTTCACCACGATCATATGTGGACCACAACAAGTTTTGTTCGAATAGAGAACATGGAAGGCCCCAAAAGAAACGGATGCCGCTTTTATCACTGATCGTTTCGAGTACGCCCTTGAAGGCGTTCATGATATCCGAATCGAGAGAAAGACGCCTGCTATTGTACTCACTTGCAAGATACGTATATTGCCTATGGAAGTTCTGGTGAATCTTTTCTTTCTCCGTTATTGACTCCTGCATCCAAGAATGGACAGATCGTATCGAAGAGGGTCCCGAATATAAGCTGTGCCTAAGACCCTCGTATGCACTCTCCTCACAGCCATGTGTAAGGTGCTCGAATGCGGTCTCCTCACAGTAAGAGGCCTGGAGGCATTCCCAGTGTATTTGATCCGAGTTGAATATGAGACAGCGTGGTGACAAAAGTTTTTCTTGAAGAGTCCATGCCCTCGTTCCCCATGGAGGCCGATTTTCTGATCTACGGAATCCCCTTATCTCGGGTTCCAAACAGGACACTACCAGGAGACCGTCAATATCTATGAAATGTTGCTTCTTCATCCCTGTAACCGTTCTCGTACCCGGTCGAACACCTGGTAGACCTCCTTGCGCCCCTAGATCACCATCTGCTATAAGGGTGAAACGTGCGAGTGAGTAAATGGCACCCATCTGCGGTATATATGTCTGCTTATCGTTTGCGTTGTCTTGAATAATGCAGAGAAAATCCACCCAAAGATAGCGCTCGCCCAGGCTGATAAGTAACATGATCGCGTCACCAACGGCTGTAGGTAGCTCTACTTGATTTAGAAAGCCTCTTGTGGAAGCTTCAGAAGAGTTGAAATCTGTCAGTCCGTCTTCAGCCTTAACCTTTCCCCAAACCCAACTCAATGAGACGTAGGGAGGTATCACATGCGAAAATTGCACCACAGACATATTCTTGACGTCTACCAGCCTTAATTTCGATATTGCTCTTACAGACTGAGCAATGCATAAATCGCCGTGCTTCTGCTCACACATGCCAAGCCAGTCATTGACCAAGTTGGGATCATAAGTATCCTTCCTAATTCGAGGCTGTAAAGACGTCGTTGATCGCTCTCCTGGTCTTTGGTTCGGCTCTCGTTTCGCCATATAAATTTGGAAAGCGTTGGCCACACTGCAATGATGTCTACTTCTCACAGGACCTGTTGGCGGACCGCTATTCACATCCATCATGATTTCAACTCTCGAATAGCCAGATTTGCCCCCCTCTCTATATCTGTGTGGATTCCAAGACAATCGACAAGTCGCGCTCTTGACCATGGTGTCATCGTCACCGCGCAGTTGCTCGTCCGTGAATATTCTTTGTGAAACTGAAATGACAGCTTCACACAAGGCACAATTTCGCCGCCGCTCTTGCAGCTCGTCCCACGATCCAAGCAGCACTGACGGAGGCGCTATGGTGCGTTCATTTATACCCTTCGCGACGGCGACCAAAAATTGAACTACGGCTGGGGACCTGCAAACTTCGCACGCCTCTGACATCCTTATATTATCGTTGATAGGGAGACGCACATAAAGACAAAGATTTGCGCGCGCTTTCAGACGTAAAATAGAAGGTCAGAGTAAGGCATTTGTCTATGACGAAGCTATATTGACATGTCTTGAAATTGCTCTTCGGACTCATACAGTGAGAACGTTTCAATCCTGAGTTTGGCTAAGCTCCAGGCAACATTTCATATGGCCAGAGGACGCGCTGGTTGGCTCAGATTAGGCGCCCATCTTGCAGAAGGTGGCTTAATACTAATTTAGGATCAGGACCCCAAATGAACACGGCACTCATTGTAACCAACCATTCCTGATTACTATGTAGCGGCTTCTCAGGTTAGGATTAGGGATTATTCAAGACATTGCTCCTAGAGGGCCACCAGAGGCAATGGTTGAAGGTCATAAGCGAGGCGAAGTCAACGTTGATGTTTTCATCATCTGTATTCCGAATGACGTCGCACAAAATTGTTTATAAAAATCCTACGAAGCAGGGAATATGAGCAAGAGGTTCCTCACGTAAGATATTCTCACACGATGCATGTATGCTTGCTGCACACTCGAAGGCATAGACCTCGTGCACCTTGCTTAGCGTGAAGAATGTCCTTTAGCAGGACAAATCGTTGAATAGACAGCATGCCAATAACGTGGTCATAACGAGCCTAATTGAGAGCTCAATCATTCATCAATTGAGTCCGTTCGCCGCATGCTGATCGAAGAAGGGACTTCTATCGACTTCGATACAGCTTTCGGGTATAGTAATTCCCCTGTCAAGAAGCAGCGTGCTGTCATTTTCCAGGGGGCTTCTGTCTGATGGAGAAGTCCAGTAGCTCTATCAGGATCTCTCCAGAATACTTTAAGCATGGCCCATTCGTCTTGGACTTTTCTTACGCCTTCAATGGTTCTGTCCTTCAAAAGCCTCATCGTATTGACCCTTGTGTAGTGTGGACCTTGATGTACACTTGCCGCCGCATTACTTTCATCACTTGACGACTTATCATCAGTCTCCTCCGCCACAGGCTGTATTCGAGTGCTTTGGTTTCCAGGCCTCTTCAAGAAGCCTATCCTGTAAAGTGCAAGACGGCAGCGTTGCAGAAACGAGTTAATTGATACCTTGTGATACTTGCTGATGAAGGCAGCCAAAACCACAAGTGCTGTGGAGGTCCACGGACTCCAAGCTCCAACATGTGTCGAGGGTTCACTTTCTGGTATGTAGGCCAAGAGGAGGGCTTCAAGTATAATGATGTTGGCAAAGAAGAGCAAGAATGACAGGAGACTGGCGAGTACCGCCCAAATATAGGCGAGTGTTGCGACGTACTTTGCAACGGCTTTCCAAAAAGGTCGCCACGTTCCACTTTCTGAGACTGAATTTCGACTTGCTCGCTTTATGCTGATTTTCTGGATCCCGCAGTAAATGAAGTCTCGTACTTGATGAGGACTTCGTCTACCGAACAATAGCGCCCAGATCCCTTGAGAGAGTAGAACGGTTATACAGACGGTGCCAACGAATATATATGCTTGCAGAAAAGATTTCGCTGCAAGGATATTGTCAAGTACGAGGTAGTCTGCTCTAGACAGTAGCTTCCAATCAGAATACGATCGAAATATTGGTGCCAGATCAATGTATCGTGACTGATGGCAAGGATTGGCGCACGAATTTTCCTCCACCCATTCTGCGTCGACTTTAAAACGTGTCCATGACGGATCTTGGCCCGCATAATAATTCATTTGAGACTGCGGCGGATTACAGACCAGGGGATCTTCGCCTGCTATGGTCGCTATGTAATAATGTGGGGACCAAATGATTGCCAAGGTCGAGATCAATCCGATGAAGACCAAGGCGGCCCAATAGATGATTATGATTCTCGCGCTGGAGGTCTGGCCTGGACGGGAGCCTAGATTCCTCAGCGTAGTAGACCAATTGATGAGAGGTACGGTGATCAGACAGGAAGTGCTCAGTATCGCTGCCAAAGGGATGACATCCAACTCGGTTCTCGCAGGGCCGCGCCAGGCAAGGAGACAGCCATGTATTGCTGCGCTACCAGAGTAGGTGAGGGCAGCGGCGAGAGCACCTGCTATAAGCCACTCAAAATGGGAGGCCAAAAGTGCAAAACTTATTATCAAGTAGAACAAGACCCGCGGCAATAGTCCGTAATTTCCCTGCTGACATCAGTAGGTTTCCTCAAGTTCAAGAAATGATGGAAAAGTACGGAAATCGGGGCCCAGCAAGCGACGGGAATGCCGGTGGTGTTGAGGATGAAAGACTGTGAGTGTGTGAAATTGGATGCATCTAAGAGCTCGACGGCATAAGATTGGGCAGGAAGAAGTAGCAAGCAGAGAGAAGCCCGTCTAAGGGCTGAGTGGCCCATACCAGATTCGGTGACTGTGAAATTCCTGATCAGATAGGCTGCCAAGACAGGCGCATGGTGGGAATTGATTAGGAACAATAGACGCCTTGAGGGACCATGAGAGCATGAGAGCCTGGGCTGACAGAACGCAAAGGAGCATTCCGACAAAGCGCGTTGTGTACGGAGTAGAGAATAATAAGATGCGACGACTAGGCTGAGCTCATACTAGTCATGTAACCCTCGCCACGTTAATTCCATCGCGCTGTCGCTAGCACTAGGGTGGGAGCCAGCTGTAAAGCTGAATCGTTCCGCTTAATACTTATGCTAAGCGCTTAATACATACGTCATAGGAAGTTATGTAAGGTTATGTAAGGCTATGTATATCTTAATATAGTATACATTTGGAAGTAGTATTAGTAGCCCGGCATGCTAAATCCTTGGTATATATATTTCATATAGAGAAACTTTTCATAACCTTTCCCTTAATGGCGAGTAAGGCCACTAGTGCTGAGATCGTGGAATTTGGGGGCCGACTCATTTCTGCTTAAGATGCCCAAATACTGGATATACTTGTCTGCACAATCCATGTGTTCGGTCTCATACTCAGTCGATGGGCACCAGGTTCTGACTCTCACAATATCCCAAACGGTGGCATTCACTCCAGAAATTTGTCATTTCGTCGTAATGCAAAGGAAGATCGCGATCTGGCGTATGCGGTGGAGATATGTCTAGACCCAGACCTCAGCCTTGCCTGGAAAAAGAAGCGTCTCACTTCGGGGTCGACATCTTTCTAGTTTGACATCCCAGTATATCTGTCATCTCATCTTGCGCCGTCCTGGGCCAGCCAAAAAGGCATATCCATGGCTACTCTCACTAACGTGTCCTTCCTCTTTGGGCTGGATAATGAGATCTTAGAGATCGAGGTGTTTGTCGTCCATTGAACATGAATCTGTATAAGGTGATTTTCACGAGGACTCAGCAGGATTTGCTCCTCCATCAGCGTCCAGTTCCTGCTCCTCTGCTTTCTCGTCTGTCACGATATCATCAGCCCACCACAGTGGTGTCATCCCGTGTGCATATTTCGACTCAACACTAGCGCCGTGTTCGACAAGTAGTTCAGCCACGTCTGGTTTTCCAAAGGTGACCGCATACGATAACGCCGTCGCGCCCTCTCGATCCTTGGAGTTCACATCTGCACCGTGTTCGAGGAAACACTTCACTATCGATATTAGTCCTGTTCGTGAAGCCCAAGAAAGCGGCGTTCGACCATGATTGTCTTTTGCTTCTATGTTGGCATTTCTTTTGAGAAGCTCTGCGATGAATGATTCATATCTTTCTGGGTAGGAGAACTTATCGCCTCCGCTTTTCGCTGCTAGTGCCAATGCTGTCTGACCACGCTTGTCTTTCGCTTCAACATCGGCGCCCTGCTCGATAAGGTAATGAAAACCCTCCCTAAGCTCGTATCTCGCAGCAATCAGTAGTAGCGTCCGACCTTTTGTATCCTTGGTCTCAATTGAATCGCTGAATTCAATATACAATTCAGCCATCTGCTGATAACCGGTTCGTACTGCAGATATCAACGCTGTGTAGCCACTGGACATCATCAGATCCGTCCTCGCGCCACGTTCAAGAAGCCTTCTTGTAAGTGTAAGGCGATCAGGCGCCACGTAACGCCACAAGGCATGATATAGCGCTGTACTGCCTGAAAAGTCTGCTGCATTGACATCAACCCCTCGTTTCAAAAGTTCCTGAATGATGGGAAGGCAGGACTTCCGAACTGCCGTTATTAGTATCGAGGTACCATCAAGATCCGTTGAGTCCGCATTTGCACCGCTCTCAAGCAAATGCCTTACGAGCCTATCGTCGTCATGTGCTACCGCTGTGTGTAATGCAGTGCGCCCTTTTAAATCTTTGTGCTCAATGTTTGCCCCGCTCTCGAGAAGTAGCTGAGCCACTTCTGTGCTGCCTCCGCACGCCGCCCATATCAAGGGCGTCCAGCCATTTTCGTCCACAGCGTGTACTTTGTTGTCTCTGCGAATGAACAGATGCACACCTGCTAGATGCCCAAGAAAGGAAGCGATCATAAGGCCACTACAACCCTTTGGACGCTTCGTAGGCTCCTTTACACGATGTGCAAGCAATATGTCGAACCATGTCTGGAAACGTGTTGAATCGGTGTCACATATTGTCAGATATTGTTCCCAAGTGCGTGCATTTACCATGTGCTGTACAGTGTGGAAGTGGCTTGCCCAATGCAAGGCCGCGTACTCAAGGAGCCCATGCCTGCGCAAATATGACTGTGCTGAGAAACCTTGTTCACATTCCGTATCATCGTGATTCCCGTGCTTGTCAGTCTTCTTTCCTCGGTACAATTTCCCGCGAAAGTATTCTCGAAAAACCCCCTTTTCTAGTGCACTGAGTGGGCTTCCTTCAAAGGTTCCGAACGCTAAATAACTAAGGCAGGCGTTAGCGAGTGATAGATGAGCACCACTCTGTGAAATTGAATGCTCCCAGCATATATGATTTTCACAGACTTCGCTGCCTTCAGGCAACTCAGCTTCATGTCCAAGGAGAAAATCTTTCGCCGTCTGATGGATCAAATACACCTTTGAGTCGATGACGCTTATAAATAGGCCACAAAGATGTCGAATCCTCTTTCTAAAGACATCAAGGGGCAGCAAATGAAGATCCTCATATGACTTGGTGGTGTCTTTCAAGTTTATGGCTATCTGTGTCTCCTCGAGGCTCAATGGTCTTTCAGCTGCGACTACAAATTGCAAGAGTTTTTTGACCACCACCCTATCTTCTGGCTTGACCTTCGCTAGGATAGATTCGAAGGCGGCGGACACAGTTTGTGGAGTGGTTTCAATAATCTTCTCCATCTCCCGCTCAGTGTAACTTGGACTATCAAATCTATCAAAGATGAGATGGAGCCATAGGTACGTTCTGTGTGGGATCGCTCGTAATTTGTTTTGGAGAGATGACTGCAAGACTTCGCTGAGATCAATTTCGGTTCCAAGATTTCGGACTCTATCCTGAATGACCAAGTCTATTTCTTGACTTAGCTTGACCGATTCCTCCTCTCCTGCTAGACGAATAGTGGGTAAGTGGCTAGTAAGCTCCATGAACTGGCGCTCGATACCAAAATATGGCCTGCTAGAGACGATAAAGTTGATGTTAGATGTCTTAGCTCCGAGGCTACCGTAAAATGCATTGAGATTTGTTATAAGCTCGTTTCGACCCAATCCTTCCAATTCGTCGAGTGCATCTAGGATACATACAATACTGCCAGCTTCTTGGTCACTCGCTGCTTCTGTAAGAACAGCCCATAGGGTGTGAGACAACTGTGAGAGCTTCAGACCTTCTCGATCAAAGTGCAGGCGTGCATGATTAAGCAATTTGCGATTCTGAGAGAACAATTGATGCAACAATGCACTGAGCGCATTTGAGAGAGTTTTTTGCTCAGTGCTATCATCTTTAAAGAAGAAGTAGCATGTAGTGCGTGACTCGCAGCTGGGGACTACCTCCTCGATAAGATACCTCGAAAGCACTGATTTACCGCAACCAGGATCTGCAGAGACCCAAAGTAGATTTGATGACTCACTTTCTACCCAGGACTTAAAGTTTGGGTGTTGTAGAAACCATTGGCAAGTTCCAGCTACTCGGTGCGGGTTTCTAGATTTATGTTCCTCGTAGTCTGATGTTCGTAGAGCTTGGAGACATTTTCTTTCATCGTCTGTCAATCGCCATTCTCGCTGTTCCTGCCTCGTCGATGTAATTTCTTTTAGTAAGAGATCATCTTTTCGTTCCGACGCCCGTATCAGTTGGGCAAGCTTGTTATCATGTTCCTCCAGCAAGAGATCCAGTCGAATCGCACATGTTCGCTGGTCATTTGAATCAATTGTCTGTCTCAGCTCCTCGCATGTCTGGTTCAATGTCTTCAATCGCTCAATAATAGTTTGCCAATCGTCAGCAATGACCATGTTTCTGATTAGCTGAGTTCCAGTGTTCTTCACCAGCTGGCAGGCAGCTCGAGCTTCATATTCTAGGACGAGGCCGTAAAGTCTCGTTATTGCAGCCTTGTACTCCTTCCACAGGACAGTCTCCTGTCTATCTAGATAGGTCTCCTCAATAGCAGCGTAACGCGGGATCAAATATGATACATAATCTAGACCTTTCAGGAACTCAAGACGCTGTGTGCTGTCACGTACGGAAAGCTAAACGTGAAGAGTCAATTCGAGTCTTGCGGCATACGACAAGACTTACTTGGAGTAGGATGCATACACCAACGAGCGGGAGACCGATGTGCACTGGATCGACATTGCCGGCTGGCTGAATAATGTCTTTGGCTATGATCAAGAACCGAACGACTTTGTCGACCTGCTTTCGACAATCGACAGACTTGGATCCTAGTCTAATTTTCCACCGCCTCTCGTCCATTTGATTAAGCCTTGCTTTGATGATGAGAGACATCTCTTTTTCTTTTTCCGACCGATCTCCATGCGTGATGACTCCTTGTGATCCAGATTCTCGAGCCAGGATCTTCTCGTATGCTTGAATAAGATGCGGCTCGCTTTCTTTTAGACTTTCATATGCTTGTTCCCAAAGGCTCATTCCAGTCGTGGCTTGACGATGATCCTGACTTGGTTAGATATTGTGACAGTGCTAGAGATGACACTTGGCGCGCCTTCGACGCAGCGTCGAGGATTACTCCATCATAACTGCCATGGGTAGACACTCCAGCGGACGAATTGTCCTGCTTTTGATCTAATAATGCCCGCTCGTCACACTTCTGCTTGCTTCTCCCCGGCAACCACGAGTATCGACCCATGGCTATGGCTTTCGTTACCTCTAATGAGAGTCACGAAATGTCAGAGCGCCGTCAGTACGCAGGCCACATGTTTGGAGACGAAATTCTTACAGACTCTTCGAAGCAGTAAACTAATCAACGTGTCATCGACAGGATCTTGAGAACGTGCGAATTCACCGCAGAACGGGAATGATTGACTGAAGCCGCCACACGTTCTGTGCCAAACTATATTTATTCCTAACTACACTCAGCAACGTTATCGTCATGAGCTCCCCGCACGGCTAGCTTACATACCGCACAGTCAGTTCACGTCGCGACGTTCTCGCCAAGTCTTCCTCCCGGCGAGTCATCTTGCCGATTCGTTGATCCAGACGCATGTTTCTCGTGCAGCAGACGCTATCCATTGTCATGTGCGGAGGGATAGTTCGCCCAGGAATTGGGGGGCGGCTCAATCATCCATCTAAAGAGAAGGGAATGCATCGAGTTACTCAGACCGGGAGCGCAAGGCTTTGGGATTTTGCCACAGAGGTATGATATCTCCAATAGGTTTAGTGACGACGGAATGAAAGACTAGAGCAAATTGAGGAACTCGATGAGTTCACGCCATGCAAGAGCCAGGCTTCAGGGTGCGTATTGAGGATATGGGGTGCCTGAGTTAGCCTTACCTGCTATGACGTACCTGCAGGTCGAGAAGGCCGATGAAGCACCAAGAGAACAGTTCCATTAATGGCTTTCCAGTTCCACAGAAACCAGGGCAGCCTCTCCTCTCTGCCTCCTACTCACGCTTCGCCTTCCCTTCCCCTCCCTCCACCCCGTCCCCTATCCCATACAATCTCCTATACTCCTCCACCATCCCCCTGAAATCCCCATTCATAGTAGGCTCCAACCAGTCATCCACCCACCCTCTCCACCACGCCCTTGTCCAGCACCCCCACCACCCTTGACACCTCCGATGGCTTCTCAACCCGACCTCCTCCACCAAACGATCCGTATAGCTCACAATCTCAAAGACAAAGCAATCCCCCTCCCTCCCACGCGTCGGATAGCGCCTCCTGCTAGCTTGATTCATATACGCCGTCCGCCTCCTTGCTTCCTCCAGTGCGGGCAGTTTCCCGTCCAGATGCCCGGACAGGTAAGCAGTGGACCAAATCGCCTGCGCCTCCGCTGCACGGAAGGAGTTCGAGGTGTGCGCTCGGCCGAGGAAGACGATCGAGCGGTCGGAGATGGTGGAGAGGGGCGCGATGGCGTTGTAGAGCCGCAACGTGGTCATTTCCTCTCCGTCGGCTTTCTTGTGCGGCGGTGGGTGAGCGAGGACGGGCATATTAGATAAGACGCGCTTGTCCGCTGCAGCTAGGAGGGAGGTCCAGAGCTTTGCATCCTCGGGGGTATCGGTGCGGGCAAAGTGGGGAAGACCAAGGGAGGCAGCGAGGGAGGGGGAGAAGAAGGGTTGGTGGGATTTCCAGCCCGTACCCAGGAGAAGTGCGCCTGCATCAACGGTGGCACCATTGGAGAGTGTGAGGCTGTGAGATTGCAGAGAGGTGATTGAAGCGCGGTGGACGTCGACATTTTGGGCGATTGTGGGCCAGAAGTCGTGGTGTTGGGCCATGCCTAGGGGGCCGGTGTGCCAGAAGGTGCTGTGTCTGATACACGTGAGGGCTGGGGTCGCAGTGAGAGGGATGGTGACTTACGAGGGGGCTGGTTCTAGGTCTTTGAAATGTGGCAGTGCTCCTTCCCTATCTTGATAGCCAGCTACATTACGACAGTGCTGGTCGATGGCTTGGATTTTCTTCCTGAGCTGTGTCATCCCGAACTGGGTCTTTTGCACGAACTTGGCCAGCCATATATTTGGCATGAATGCCGAGGAGCTGAAGAGAGCACCGAGTCTGCAAGCACCCTTCTCCATGGAATTGATGTATCGACCGCCGGCGGCAGCTGGGATGAACAGAGCTGGACCATCTCCATCTTCACGAATGATCCAGCTGACATGCTTGCCTTTCTTCAAGCATTCCCAAATCATGTCCGCGGAGGACTTGCCACCACCTATTACTGCGACGTTCTCACATTCTGAAGATTTGAGCGATGACTTCGAGAACGTCGCAAAGCCCTTGTGATGAAGGACGGGACCTTGGAAATCATGCTTTCCTGACAGGAATGAAGGAATATTAGGTATGGAAGTGAGCCCCGAGGCGACAGCCAGTCTGGATGTCTGGAATACTCGTTGCTCGTTGTGAGCATAGGTTGCATGCACTGACCACCCATCATCTGTCTTCTCCACGTTATCAACCCGATATTGGAAACGAAATCTACTCCTCAATGGCTTGTCGGCGTAAACGTGGCGATCGATGTAGTCCTCAAGATACTGGGTGTAGTACTTCGCCTCAGCACATCCATGGTAATTTGGAGCTTCCGGGGGTATCGCAATTGGTGGGTCAGAGAAACCAGCCATTCTTCGAGAGGTTTGAATCCAGAACCAATCATAATGGCGTGCTGCAAAAGCGCATTTGTATGAGTACCTATAACCACTTCCTCGCTGTATCGAGTATAGCTTACTGGCACTCCAAACACCGCCGACACATGTATCTTCCTCCAAAACGGCGAGTCGACATCCTGGATGAATCTCAAGATAGAACTTTGCGAAGGCTATGCCCGCGATTCCTATTCGTATTGAATGTCAATGGAATCAAGTCCCTTGTTCCTTGTTATCATGTAATGAACGGACCTGCTCCAACAACGATCACGTCAAATTCTTCGTCAGACATGCTGTATGGTTGTCAATTGATGTGCCAGATACAGCAGTGAGGGCCTGAAGACTTTGTCCCGGTCGTAGGCTTTCCAAGTGATTGTTGAAAATTCAACTACCAAAGTACAAGTAATCATGCTTATTGACAGCAAGACCCAAGATTGGCCGCATTCTACTCTCATCCTCATCGACCCCGCGGTCGCTTATAATTTCAGGCGGCACACGCGTCCAGCTAAGGTACTGTGATGTAATTGCGCAGCTTACGACCGGCGCAGCATCTGGAAAGCAATCGCAAGCGATAGGACTGTAGAAGCTCAATGTTTCACGCTCGAATCTGTGAATATGTCCCGTAATGACATACCAAGATATGAACAGAATTGAAGGGCATACCAACAATCACTTAATACAACTATTGATGTCACCATCTCTGTCGCTTCATAAATTCGTCCCTTCAGATGCTCAAAGAAAGCATCCCAATCGATGCATTGTCGCTGGGTTGTCATTCTCGCATTGATTTCGTGCCATCTGTTGCCCGATCAGTAAGATCTTATCATGGCGAGGTCGGGTTGGCAAACCAAAGATAAGGATATGGCAACAAGGCAACGCACCAGAGCTCATTAGTATCAGCTGAAGAAGGAGCTGTGAGAGGCAGCGTTTACAGTCATACTTGCGATGATGGGCTTGTACTTCTTCTGTCTGGCTGGGATAATAATGGTCTGCGTAGAAAATTTGGCGGATGCTCCTCTGTGGCATTCATCAGCCATGAGTCCGGGCTCGAAATGTCGGTCACCAGCCTTCAAGCAGTGATTGGGATCGAACTTGAATGGAATGGCGTGCCAAGCAATAGAGACTGTGATGGACACTGGGTCGGATGCTGTCTTCTATCTCCTATTGCGAAACCTCGTCGGTGGCTACTCGGATGACAGGATCAGTTCGTTAGGTAAGGTCGTCATTGTATCCGACATGCTTCCGTCTGGTAAGACAAATAATGGAGGAGATCATTTCGAGCCCGTTCAGATTGAGTAATGGATGGACTGACCCATATACATCTCGCTGTGGCTCGCTTCAGGCCCTGTCTCTTCGTTCTGAAAAGGGCATCTTGCCACAAGAACGCCAGATTGTTAGAGATACTGGGTAAGGCAAAGAAAGACCCGAGACATCGGTAGTTGTCACAGAAAACTCCCTGGCTTGCCCGTACTCAAAAAGTGACTGAAAACTGAATCATGACTCTCGTGCTCCAGCACTCGTAGACTTGCTTTATGGAGAGAAAATGAGCCACGGCTGTGCAAGTGGTGATTCTCCCTTCGTAGGATGGGGCGCCCACACAATGTGACTGGGCACCTGTTGACTAACTTGAAGTTTTTGGAGGCGGGTCTCGATATTCAGGCAATAGCATATGCTTCACTTCCTCCGCCTGACCATGCTCTTGCATCCATTTCTTGAGCGCGTAGACTGCCTCTGGGTGTTTACCCTTCTGGTGCAATTGGCAGTGGAGTAGAGCGTTACGATCAACCAGGTTCCTGGCTCTAGTATCAGCTCCGCGTCTTAACAGATACAAGATGACATCCGTCCTTCCGGTGGAAGCGGCTTTGATCAGAGGCGTTTCGTCATATTTGGAATCTCGAATCTCGATATCGATGTGTACTCCTAATAGATATTTTACGATTGGTAGGTGGCCTTTCCAACATGCGAGATGAATAGCTTGATCACCTTCCAACGTTCCGGCTTCGATGTTTGCTCCACTCCGATGGAGATATGCCATTGTTTCAAGATGCCCATAGGCCACTGCAAGCAGGAGAGGTGTAGCTAGCTTGAATTCTCCCCAATTCCAGATGTTGTGATCCGCAGTGCGCACGTCGACATCTAGACCTTTCTCTTCTATCAAAGTTTTCACAACTTCAGTAAGCCCTTGTAGTGCCGCTTCATGTAGGGCTGTCCAATCTTCATCATCTTTTGTCGACAAAGGTGCACCAGCAGAGATCAGGTAATGTGCGACAGCTACATTTGAACCAAAATTGGCCTCCTGTAGCACCGAACGTCCTGAAGTGGTCATCGCTGCTAAGTTCGCTCCACGGCCTACCAGGAGCATTGCGAGCTTCAAATGCCCGCACTTAGCAGCTATGTGAAGGGGAGTTCGACCTCCATTATACTTGCGCTCTTGATTGTTACCAGATGAATTCGTTGTGGCATCTACATCTGCCCCATAATCCAACAAAATGATGGCACCTGCCTCGTTACCATGCTCCGCAATTAAGTGAAGTGCAGTCTTGCCGTCTGATGCCCGAATATCTACTGGTGTCCCTTCCTCTAGCATGAGCTCTAGGACCAAGTCATCGCCACTCTTTGCTGCATTGTGAAGCCCGGCTCTCTGGTTTTCTTTCTTCTGAAGCCGCTCGAGAGGACTCAACTTTGGCTCTTGCGGATTTTCCAATTTTTCTTCATGGCCTAGAGATGGGTTGTCACTTGATGGGACTACGACGTAGTCATCTAAATGCAATTTATCCTGCATTGCGTCAAGCAGAGATGGGGACCCAGGAGCTATTGAAGCCGCGTAAACTTTCAACGCTGAACCTGCGTCATTGCCCACGTCATTCTGCTTTTGTGGTATCAGGGTATCTGCCGAGGGAACTGTGTCTACAGCTCGCCCTGCAGCGCGTAAATTGCACAGCCTAATATAACGTATGAGCACATGAACTTTGCCACTTGTAATCTGAACGATGACGCAGAAACGTATCAGAATCCGGAGAAGGGAGGTAAAGCATTTGAACTTTGCTTTTAACGCCCGCCCCTCGAATACACATCAACGGAGTTGCCGGAAATTGCTAATCAATAGAGAACAGAAGGCGAAACGTTCCATCAGGGCCACTGATCGCCAACATGGCATATTTTGCAGTATCTAGAATGAGACAGTGAGCACTCACAGGACGATGACGCTCAATTGTGTATCGAGAGTCTGCTTCGTCGAATCTAGTCTCGAAACAAGATCTTGGACACCAGTCTTAACAAAATACCACTTTACGTCCACGCTGCTCACCCGATAACCACCACCCGATGTCGGTTTGAGGTGAGCTCGAAGCTTTCCATCGACTTCTTTGAGAATGTTTTGACAATTAGCGAGCGGCTTTTCAAGCTTTTGTATTGCCTCGGTGAGATTCTCGTCTTCTGAGATTACGGACGTTACCGTTCGATCCTTGAGTGATATATCCAACGATGAGATAACGTCACGAAAGGCGTGAGTGTCCTTCGATATGGCCGTGATCTCAGCAGGAGCGTTGCGTACGCTATCAACCAATTCGAATAAAGTGTCTGAGGCTTTGATGGCAGCACCGGATATCCCAACCACTCCGGCGATGACGGAGAGAGGATCCATTTGGAAAGGTGGAACAAAAGGTTGAAGATTACAGTTACGACTGGATAGTCATCAATGACGTTGTGAGATTTACACAGGCGATGTTCAACGCCTTCATTCGCTCTCATGTCAATGCAACAAAGGCAGAGAAACTCCGATATAGCGAGAATTTAGCCCGCAAATTCAATAGTATGGCCAACGTAAATGCTTTGAGAAAGAGCTCATCGCAGGCAAGCCAGCCTTCCACGCGAGGTGTGGAGGGGCCTACGAGTCAGCTCATGCACATCCCTGGTGTCCTCGGACGCAGATGATTTACTACGGTAAGCTTAAATGCTCTCTATGCAAAAACTTTGGCATAATGTGGGACACTGGCTAATGCTAGATGTAATCACTCCCGCGCAAAATGTACAGAAGACTGCCGACTACCGATCGTGGGGTCCGCAAAGATCGACCTTGTACTCAATTCGGTGCGATCTCAGTCTCAGAATGAGCATACTCCTGGTCAGGAGCCCTTGGTCCAGGAGACACTTCGGTCCTTGTGCCTCCTCTTCCCCATGTAGAAGCATCTGCATCCCACCAGTGCCTACTCTTACGTCTCTGATGCTTGGTAAGTCGACCAGGAAATGGCTGCACCTCAGGTATCGTTTCCGAATGTGGGTGGCGATCAACTCGGGGTCCAAGTATACGAATTTGAGTGCCAGGGATTCTGATCGATTGCATCTGTCTCCACGGCTTCTCTCGAATCATAAAAATTATACAGTCTGCCGCTCCCTGGAGGTTCACGCTTGCTATGGATGCCGTGCTAAGACCAAATGGCGTGATGGTCTTTGTGTATCCGTAACAATGACTCGCAAACGGTAGCACCCAGAATATACTGTAGATGATGGGGTAGATGAACATATATCTTAATTGTCTTTTGATGATTTCATGACGTTTGCGAAGAGCTAAATTGGAGTCCGAGTTCGACCTGCTAGACCTTGAGATTCTATCGCGAGCGGCGGTTTTGGAGTCAAAGGATGCACTACTCTCGCTGATATGCGAGTCCAGATCTCTGAATTTGTATACAACGTAGACATAAAGCGTAGTACAAACGCTGAATATAAAGCATAAGATCAAGTACCGAGGTATCCAGCTCAGAGTCAGGCGGAACCAGAAGGGTCGTATAGGGAGAGTGCATGCTGTTCCTTGTTCAAGGTATGCGCTTTGGCCATTGATGAAGGCCAGGGACGATGTAATTGTGGGGAACGCAACCCATCCGATGTAAGCTGGAATCCGATAGGGATATAGGCCACCTTGATGTGCATGCGATCGACGCTTGAAGATCGTCAGAACAGTATGTAGTGCGATAAGAAACACCGCGAAATCTAGAGTTCATGTCAGCAAGTTCTCGAGTTTGAAGCCTACTGTAGAAATACCAGCTGCCTCAGTACCATATGCAATGAAGAATCCGTCAACGTGGCAAAAATGTGAAGGTGTGACTGCGTTAGCTTGATTATGAACGAATCCTTTCTGACCTTGATCGAGCTTGAAAGCAGAGTAGATCAAAAACCACATGGATTTAAATAATTGGGAGGCTATCAGGAGTAGGATAAGCCTAATTCAACGTCAGTCTCTTTGGACAGGAGGATCGATACTAGAACTGACTTATGGCGAAAAAGCCGATTGATTTTGAGGATTGAGTACAACGTTACAAGTGCGAGCACAAGGGTGATCGAGCATAATCCAACTGCAACGACCTGTTGTGCCTTTTTCTGGCTTTGTGTATATCCATTGATCTTTTTGGAGTGGCCACCCAACCCCACTAAAACGCAATGATCCTGAGTCAAAAGACAATAGCAAGTTTCGTGGTAATGTATCACATACCACCAATAGTATTGTTGAGAGATTGCGGACGGGTGCTCGCCTCCATTGATTGGAGTGACCGGGTAATGATGGGCATTTGTACTTCGATGTTCAATAGCACTGTCAATCGTTCCCTCCACACCATCATGGCATCATCAACCGAATCCTGGTCCTAGTGCAAGTATACTGAATCTTAGCTCGCCGTCCGCCGACTCCGCTTCACGTTTCAAGAATTTGCGAGGCCCAAGGTCAATAGCCGTCTCACCAAGCACGTCTTCTCCTTCAGGGAGCTTTCCCCTGTTTAATGGCCCCTTTCGACTGCCATCAAGCTCCCAAAGATTATTTTCTGATGATTTGACAAAGGCAACAAAATGTAGGTCTATAGAGGCTTCGGCTGGAGGTGCTTCCGTACTCCCTGTTGCAGCTGCAGAAGCATGAGCGGTTGCAAGGTCGGAGGAAGTCTCAATCAGCTTGACACGTTCAGCTGGAGGGCGGGGGATGGCTTCCGTGATGAGGTTCGAAAGTGGAGTCGCAGGAACTATAGCACGAGTCAGTGACCTGATCTGTCCCGGAGATTTGGTAGTGCTTGAACCTATGAGATCTCTTGTCATTCCATTGGATACCGCATGCAGTAATCCCATCAAGCCGCATGCATTGCCGATTGTTTGTTTGAACCATAAGACTTCTTCATTAGGTCCAAATCCAGTATAAGCTGGCAAGTCTTTATCCTCTTCTGCTCGAAACCTCTCATACGCTTTTGACACTGGAAAGACTAGTAATAGAGCGTGAGCCGGTCTTGGAACAAAGGCGAGAAGCTCAGGATCGTCGAGAGAAAAGACGTCGTGCCACGAAAGGTCTTTGGACAAGCCAAGCTTATGAACAAGTGTAGTCATGACTTCGGGATTGTTTTCTATATCAATTAGATAGGGTGACTGTAAAGCAAGGAGATATGACACACCAAGGGGGACAAACATGACCTTCTTGAGCTCTGACTCGGGGTTGGCCATTTTGGAGGCTTGATTTCTATCTGATTGCGATACAGGCTGGCAGAAAGATACAGAATGGTCTGCTTACTGTGATTGATGTAGACGGCAAACGATATTTGTGGTCTATCCAATCTATCCTGTCAGGCAAACTTTTGTGTCGCGTGAGAACGGGCCGAGGCAGCTGTAGATCATTCGTGTAGGACGATATAACCGTACCAAAAGGAGCAGGCACTTCGATTGTATAGCCCAACGCTGGTCATGATCAGCTGTCACCCAGATGGAGTTCATGTCAAGCTTGCAGAGTGGCTTCGACGAGCAGAAGCCATCGCTCTTCGGTATTTCGTGTGTAGCAATAGCTTGCAACAGCGCTAACTTTCACCAGAAATTCTATCTGAGAACCAGCTCGCAGCTCTCATTCCTCCATCTTTGCGATACCTGCTTACTGTAGCAACCTATCGCCGCCCTCGATATCTTCTCCGCGTCCTCAACTCCTACGATGAGCTATACGCGCTGCTCATGCTGATGGTGGAACGGCATTACCTAAGCGCATATGGAGGAGGGTTCACAGAAAACTTCTATGGCCTCAAACGCGAGAAAGTGCTTCGTATCAAGGGCGGCGAGGCGCCACGGGCAATGCTTGGTGCCCCAGAATTGATGAGAGAAACGCTCAAATTGAGCAAGGGAGACGTGTGGAAGAACCTCGCGATCATGGTGGGCATACCGTACCTGAAGCGCAAGCTCGACGAAAGCCACGATATACACGCTCCTCAGGCAACGATTCTCGGCCCAAGATACAACAGAGACACCCTTCCCCATGATGCCAGCATTCAGCAACGAATATTGTATTACTACAAATGGTTCCTCCGGAAAATATACCCGAGCATAAACGCAGCCTACTACTTCTCCCTCCTAGCCTTCAACCTCGCCTACCTTTTCGACAACACAAAATACTCCTCTCCATTTCTCTGGCTCATTGGCACACGTATCCGGCGACTCAACGAAGCCGACTACCGTGCCATCGCGCTCGCCTCCCAACCTCCCCAGAAAGAAAAGACTCCAGCACGACCTGGCCAGGGCAACAGCATACTCAATCCAACCACACTCGCCACGACAATCTACCCCCGCGCCCTCTCAAGCCTCAAGATCCTGCTCCCAACCTCCATCTTTGCGCTCAAATTCCTCGAATGGTGGCACGCCTCTGACTTTGCGCACCAGCTTTCCAAGAAAGCTACCGAGGGGCTTGACCTCCCTCCACCAATAATTTCCGGTCTTCCGCAACCTCAATCACGCCCTCAGCCTCGCACCCAACCCTCCAGCAAAATCCCACAGCAAAGGTCCCCTACGAACACAGTCTCCCTCTCCAACCGCCCATCTTCTGCCACAGTCCTGCATCCCACCTCCTCAACCTTGCCCTCTCCCCCACCTGTTCCACCTTCCCACCAACGCACCAACCCTCCCTCACAATCCCGGCAAAAACCTCCCATCTCAAGCAAAACCAACAAACAAATCTACACTCTCCCGGCCCCCACAAAATCAACATCCTCCGTCTGCCCCATCTGCCTCCACGAGATCCAGACCCCAACATCTGCGCAGACCGGGTTCGTGTACTGCTACACGTGTATTTTCAAATGGGTGGAAGGACGGCATGAGAGGCAATTGTCATTTATGGGCGGAGGAGGAGGTGGGGGAAAGGATGGGCAAAGGGGGCAAGAGGGATTAGGCGGAGAAGAAGGGGTGTGGGATGACTTGTCAGATATGGATGAGGAGGACGAGGACGGTGATGGAGGAAGAAGGGGGAATAGGGAAGGCAAATGGGAGAGCGGAGCAGGACGGTGCGCCATCACTGGACGGAGAGTATTAGGTGGGGTTGATGGGCTGAGAAGGGTGATGGTATGAGAGCATCAAAAGCTCCTGCAGCTGAAAAGTCTTCGTTTGGGTTGAAATTTTTGCGGGAGGGATACTGTGATATTAATCTATAGCGAAGATACCCACGGCGCAACATTAGCATCGACTTCAGTCATTCTACCATCTACCCGTTCGATATTGCTATCATGTCTGCTCCTCCCTTTTACACCCCCCATCCCTCTTCCTCCTTCTCCCACCCGCCGCCGCGGAAACCCCACTTCCCCGCCAAGCCGCTGGCGACTGGTTATGGGGACTCGGACTCGGCGCGGATGACGCCACCGGACTGGCAGATACCTGTTGGCCTTGCCCTTGTTCATTATACTGGCCAAACCCCTCCGGACCCTTAATCGTGCCCGTACAGACGTTATCCATCCAGAACATTTTAGGATCTTCGCCTGGCACAGGTACGAGATATCCGTTACTGTTGACGAGAATGCTGGTAGTGTTCATGCTGGCGATATCGGGAGTGGTACCATTCGCTTTCAGCTTGTTGTAGAGCGCCCATTGGTTGTATGGATTGTTGGGGTCGCTGCATTTGAAGGTTGGGTCGCAGATGAGGGCGTCGCAACCACGGCGGTCGTGGACGTAGTTGATTGTGAGCTGGCCTATACTGCTGGGATTGTTGTTGACCGCCAAAGGAATGCTAGAGCAGCTGTTGCAGCCGTGTTCGCGGAGCTTTGGCATCAGTCTTTTGACGGATGCGCCGTCAACACCGGCCACGCTTCTTCCATTAGGCCGGAAATAGAGATTCTGGCTGTATGAGCCGCCTTGCATGAAGAGGCAGAACCCGGCATTTCCAGGGATAGTAAGCCCAGTTGCGCGGAAGCAGATGATGTGGGAATTGACTTCCCAGATAGCTTTGTCGTCGATTTTGGGGAGGAGGTTGATGATCGCGTCTAATATTCCGTCGGCGCCCCAACAATGCAACCAGTCACCACGGCAATTTATGCCTAACTCAGGGCCTTCATATTGGGCGGCATCGACTGAGCTAACAGAGCCAGAAGGGCCAGAAAGACCAGAAGCTTCAGGATCGAAGCCTGTGAGATTGACAATCTGTGTGAGGCAAAGAGGAGCAGAGGCGGCAAGTAGATGCAAGAAACGCCAGAGCCTTAGTCGTAGTATCATGATGATTGATGATCGAGAGGGACAGCTGAAGAGCCTGAGATTCCCTTTCCGAGTATATGTAGATGAGACCCATGCCTGCTTACTTTCATTCAAGCTTTCTGAAGGATCAATTTTGAAGCTCCCTTGTTTCGGTGTAAGTCTCGTAGAAGTAATTGGGGTAGCTATGCTAAGGAATTGATAAGAATGCAGGGACTAATTGCGCTTCTCTCGGAGATTTGTCGCGTGTGTGGGGGAGAGGCGGCGGCGGCTTCGAGCAAAATTTGCGACCAGACGATAATGTAGTCGCTTGGAGTGGTGATGCTTTAGTTGAAACCATTTCCACTAACGCGGCTCTTTAGATGGCAGGTAGAGTGGGATTTCCTGGTTCCGGCATGAAACAGACGCATATAAGGTCAATGGCCTGAATGGGGGACATTTTGACATCCCTGGCTTGTAGCCATGCATTCAAACACAGTCTTCAGAAGCCAATATTGTCTTGACATGTAGCAAGAGTTACCCTCCAGTCAGAAAACGTGCAATTGGATGCCCAAATCTGTCAGAGCATTTCGTTATCGGTGCACCGTTTCTTGAAATGTGAGTTATTCGTTAAAGCGTCTTAGCCAGCGTGTCGCCTCGACATGTCTTGCCAAGCCACGAGTCATCCACTTATAGTCGTGACGCTGCCGTTCCCCTTTGTAGTCTGTCTTTATCCATCTCATGATTGGACGAGACTAATTGGCGACGTGATTATGCGAAGTTGCCACTGGGAAGATAGGCTGGACGTTGAGTCTCTGCCATCGATGTGAAAGGCTCACAAGATATTCTACGTTTTGGACGGCCACAGCTTGGGGAACTGGATGCCCAAAGACCAGAAGCGCAATAAGCAGATAATCTCTCCTCTTGGTTGGGAAGACAGCCTGCTAAATTAGATATCTTCATTCTCCTTACGTGTCCGGGTCATTGCTAGTTGAGCTGTAGGCCCACTCGTCGATACCAAATGGCCCATACTCGAGGCTGCTGCTCGCTGAAGCTGCGAGTCATTGCCGAGTAATGAGATTATGCCACTGAAATTGACCCCAAGGTATTTTTCTTTAGCTGTGAACGGATGTAGAAGTCTATTACCCAACGGATTAACGGTTACGAGAATGAGGGTTGGTAGAGTCAGGTAATATAGCTCAGCCTCTCCCGTTGGACTTGGTCATAACTTCTTCTTTGACCATTTGCACAACATTAAGCAGAGCAGTGCAGGCAGGGCTATCGGAGAAGGCATCGAAGAAACTCTCGCCATAGTCACACGCCATCCCGATACGTGGGTCCAGTGGTACAGCTCCTAAATATGAGATCCCAGTTTCCGCTGCTAACGCTTTAGCACCTCCAGTCGTGGCCTTGAAGACCTGATTCCGATGCTTGCAGCTCGAGCAGACAAAGCCTGACATATTTTCCACAATTCCCAGGACTTTAATGCCAGCTTTGCGACAGAAGTCGATCTCTTTCCTTACGTCCAATAAACTGACTTCCTGTGGAGTAGTGACAACCACAGCTCCATCAACGCCGGACTCTTTGAGATATGAGTTGACGCTCAGATGCTCATCGCTCGTCCCAGGCGGTGTATCCACAAGCAAGTAGTCCATCTCGCCCCACTCCACATCCTTCAAAAATTGTTTGATCAAGCCATTCTTTTTTGGTCCCCGCCAAATCACTGCATCATCTCTTGAAGGCAGCATGAATTGCACACTCATCACACCCAAATTATCTGCGACCCATACCGGACTCCAGCCTGCATTGCTGACATGTATTGTTTCCGTCTCTACTCCCATCATCTTTGGTATACTAGGCCCACAGATATCTGTATCCATAATGCCTACCACTGAGTCTTCGTCGGTTGCAAATGCATGCGCAAGCATGGTCGTGAATGTAGATTTTCCCACTCCACCTTTGCCACTAAGGACGAGTATCTTGTGCTTGATGCCAGCGAGACGGGAGGTGATGACGGGGATGTCAGGATCAGGTCCTTTCGGTGTAGATGCACAGATAGTCTGGTTTGGGCAGCCATCGCATGCCGAACCTTTCCCCGCAGCCTCTGATTCAGGCCCTGGACAATGTTCAGGCTCTGGTGCCACAAGTTTGGGGTGGTTCTTCAGCGGCGCGGAGAGCGCGTCTTGGACCGGGACGATCGCAGCTGGCGCCATGAGAAGCAGATGGCGACACCTGATGCCTGTATAGTCTGTGGGGAAATAATATGGTAAATTCAAAAGTTCTAAGTGCCCCAAAACATAACGTTCATCCGTTAATTTGTAAGTGAACGGATGCGCACCTCAAACGGCTTCTCAACGGTCTTCAACATCCGATACCGGCTCCGCAGCAACGCGTCTGCACGGTCCCAACATCCAAATACTTCAAATCAACAAGACCTCTACGCATGTTACGGAGGATTCTATCATCGACGATCTGCCAGACGGTGCTAAGAAGGCTCACTAGTTCTAGGCCCGTTTCCGCCCTAGATGTTCAAACGTCATTGCGCGCCGAGTTCATGCCAACCCACAAGCTTTGCGCCCAACTCTGCATGTTCCTTCCATTTCAACCAATGCCCTGTCTGCTCCCACGCCTGTGGCTAGAACAATAACGCAGAGGCACGCGATCAGACTCAATGAATTACACCACCAAAATAAACAGGCTTGAAGTACTGACATAGCCTTCCTCCACTGGAATTCCCTCCTCTACAACAAGGATCCTACTGCATGAGAGACATGACGGAGTATTTGCCTTGTATTCTGCAGTCAATCCGTGTGAGCATTCGTACGGAACACCATGGAGAACCAATACGATACGCAGAACGAAGCAAATGGCGGTTTGCGAGAAAGGAAGCACAGGGAAGGCCCAAAGGCCCATGAAAAGCAGGAGACTACCAAGGAAGAGCAGAAAAAGCCTCAAAAGACATATGGAAGAACTCCAGATGGCAAAAGTATTTCATAATACTACGTAAACATCTTCTGTACGTCTGCTGATGGTATATAGCCTTCATTGTTCCCCAGACGCATGATATGGTCTCTCAGCTCTTCTCACCAAGTCAACCGAAGAACGTATCGGACGTCCTAGTCGTCGCTCTGCTTGGAATACTCATCTTGACCCTGATACTTCTCCCTCCGAGTTGGCGAGTACCTACCTTCGCCGTCATTTTCCTCTTCTGGCGAGCGTGCTACAACGCCGGGATTGGCTACCTCCTACACCTTCAATCCAAGCACTGGAGGTTAGTCAATTGGGCGAAGCAATCAAGAATATTCGTAGACCCTACAAAGGAAGAAAACCCTCATCCAATACTCCACCGTTGGTTGAAGAGAGAGCTGGAGACCAAAATTGTAGAGGACTACAGGTTCGAGGACGCTCCCATCGAGTACAACACCTGGCTCGTTTTCAGACGAGTGTGCGATGTGATCCTTCTTTGCGACTTCGTATCATATTGCCTATTCGCCGTCGCTTGCGGTGGAAGACCAGAGGGTGAAAATGTGCTAATGACCGCAGCTCGATGGTCGGTGGGGCTGGGCTTGTTTTTCTTCAACCTTTGGGTCAAATTGGACGCGCATCGCGTTGTGAAAGACTTCGCCTGGTATTGGGGGGACTTTTTCTTCTTGATCGACCAAGAATTGACTTTTGATGGAGTGTTCGAAATGGCTCCACATCCAATGTATTCCATCGGCTACGCAGGGTACTACGGCTATTCGTTGATGGCTGCTAGCTACAGAGTCTTGATTATATCAATCATCGCCCACGCCGCGCAATTTGCTTTCCTGATCTGGGTAGAGAACCCACATATTGACAAAACGTATAATGCTCCTCCGCCAAAAAAGCGGAGCAGTGTTCCAAATGTGAACGCAGACATCGATGCGGATAGCGTGCAGGAATCGCCCGAAACAAGCCAGGAGCTGAGCCCTCCAGCTGTGGATGCCAATCCCCCGACTTCGGTGCACAATCTACTTGGATTAGGCAACACCGACTTACACCGTGTCACGGACTCTTCTATTATACTACTTCAGATTCTTATGTTTGCTCTAGCAACTTTGACGCCATCTACGCCACTTTTCCAAGCCCTCTTCGTCGCAAATGCTGCCATCTGGCGCCTGTGGTACTCTTTGGGCATCGGCTACATTCTCAACCGCCAATCCACAAAACGCAGATGGACACGCCACTTCCTCAAATACGGTGGGAGCAAAGAGGAAGCATGGCGGGAATGGAAAGGTATATACCACATTACGATGACCATGTGCTACGCTAGCTTCGCTGCCGCGTCGTGGAAGATGTATCAACGTCCTGCGAATTGGAAACAAGGACTTCCTATTTTCAAACACGTAATTGGCGCGAGCTTGATAGCATTGCAGTCATGGACGGTCATGAGTATCTATCAATCCTTGGGCGAATATGGCTGGTTCTTCGGAGACTTCTTCTTCCTAGACCAACGACCGAAGCTCACTTATAGCGGCATTTATCGCTACCTCAACAACCCAGAACGGGTAATCGGCCTGGCTGGCGTGTGGGGTGCTGCTCTCATCACCAGTAGCCCTGCCATATTCTGTCTCGCTCTTCTTAGTCACGTACTCACCCTCGCCTTCATACATTTTGTCGAGCGTCCGCATATGGAGAAACTCTACGGTCGGGATTTGCGCGAAGAGTCGGGAATCACGCGGAGCCTCAAGCGATCTCTACCGCCTCAGTTGAGGTCATGGCAAGGAAGCATGGACAAGATGCTGGAGGATACCTTAGAATCGGTTGAGGACTTCGTTGACGCTGCTCGGCCCAAATTTGCAAAAGGCATGAGTATCTTTGTGAAAGACACCAATGCTTTATTCCATTACCCTGCTCGCGTGAGTATCACCAGGTTATCTCCCGATCTTGCAGGCTTCGACCCAAGAGACTATTCGCTAGAACTCACTGGGGCCAAGACCAGCAGCGGCGTCGGGTCAGGGCAGCGGTACAGCTCGAAGGCGTTGAAGTTCGATTATGGCACACCTATCAGGCTGAAATTGACGGCACCGTTGAATCATAGCAAGAAAGACTGGGTTGGCTTGTACATGGTTGCCGACAATACTTCTCGAGATGTTACCCGAGTAAGCTCCCAAGGAAGGTGGGTTGCGACGAACAAGAATGAATACAATTCTAGAGTCGTCGACCAAGGCATCCTTGTCAGTGACAACCGGGTCTCAGGCACGAAACGCAAGGACGGGGAAGACAAAGATTTTCTCTCTGGTGAGCTCGAGTTTTCAGGTGACAAACTCTGGTGGGTCACTGGGGTCTTTGAATTCCGCTACCACCACAACGGCAAGCACAATGTTATGGCAATTTCATCGCCCTTTGAGATAGCAATAAACACTTTCGACGAAGACGATGTCGTAACCAATGACGCTGCATCGATCAAAGGCGCAGTTGAACAGGAGCTCCTACCACTGGTAAGGAATTGCTTTGACAGAGACCCGGACATAGCGCCTACTACCGTCGAAGAGTCTTGGGGGGGTTCGGTGGAGAGGGACGGGAAGTATGCCAAAAGAGTCGTCTATGCAATGCGCCAGATGTGAGTAGATCAGCGTAGAGGATGAGACATTTGAACTAATGACATGGCAGGTTTGGCATAGAGTTTGCCCCTGAAGTCGTTCAAGCAGATGGTAATGTTCGAAATCTAGCGTGGCGACTCTGCCATGCAAAGAAAGCTTTGGTAAGCCTGCAATTCGGTTCACTGAACGCACCTTCACCGTCAACTAACGTCGTCCTCACTAGCAACAATACTCCACCCTATCTCGAGGACGCAACTCGCCTACGGAATCAAAGTATTGATCATGGAGGCTATACTTGGGTACATATGGGCGGTACTCTCCACAGCAAGATACCCCTTTTCCTCTCAATTATGAGTTTATGACGTTGAAGGTAAGGCCTCGTGCTGCAATGCCAGGTTCTTATACAGGAGGCTCGTTTGTGAGGAGAACCTGAGGTGGGTACCATGTAATATGCTGATTCAAAAGCGATCGGTTGCAGTCATAAGCCAATCAATAAACATGGAAGAACATCAAAGTGTTAGTGCCTACCGATCCCACACTTACTCCCTTTGGTCTAGTGAGTCGACCAGATTCAGGGGCTTCGACCATGTTTTCCCCTGTGACTACCCGGCGCAGGCCTAGACATCATCTCGACGTCATCATTCATCCCTCAAGTTCAATAAATAACAATTCAATTTTGCAACCAAAATCTCACAAAATCCTTCTAATCTCCCATCCCTCTTTCTCCCCACGACCACACGTATACAGCAACCATAGCACCTCTCACACGCCTCACAACTCTCCTCCACCACCTTCCCCATCCAAACCGCCCACTGCATCTCCCCAAAATCAAAACCACAATGTCCACAACAACCCTTCCCCCAACCACCCCTCCAGCCCCCTGGTCATCCCCCCTCCAATCCCAAATTGCCACTCTAGGCAAATCCCCCGAATTCACCCTCACAACAATCGCCCCCTCCCCCACCTCCCCAATCGGCTTCGCCCCCCGCTCCCGCACAGTCATATACCGCGGCATGTGGTCCGTCCTGCCCGAAAACAAACACAACAACGCGCCACGCAACCCGTCCATCTACTCAAGCGACATGCTAACCTTCACGACCGACATCCGGATGCAAAAAGCGAAAGAACTATTCCAGACGAGCGCCGGCAAGGCGGAGGACGAGGGACAGATGCAAGGGAGTGGTGGCGGCGGGCCGGTGGAAGCCATGTTCTGGATTAGCGGGGAGAAGACGCAGTGGCGGGTCAGAGGGCGGGGGTTTGTGGTTGGGGAGGATATTGAGGAGACGCGCGGGGATGTGCCGGGGGTGGTGAGCTCGGGGGTGAGGGTTGTGAAGAGTGAGATCGGGGGCGGGATGAGGGTGAAGGAGGGGATGGAGGGGAAGGAGGGGGAGTGGTCCTGGGGGAGGGAGTTGACGGGTCATTGGGGGAATATGAGTCCGGGGTTGAGGGGGTGTTGGAAGAATCCGGATCCGGGGACGCCGACGGCTAGGGGGGAGATGAAGGGGAGCATAGATTGGGACAGAAGGTGGAGGATCTGGAGGATCCGGTGGGTAGGGCGAATTTTAGGGTTGTGGTTGTGAAGGCGGAGGAGGTGGAAAGGTTGTTTCTTGGGGAGCCGGAGGAGAGTCGAAGGTGGTTGTATACGCTTGGGCAGGGAGGGTGGACGGAGGAGGAGCTGTGGCCTTGATGGGAAGATCGAGTGAGTGGAGGTGGAATCAGTCGAGACGCAGAGGGAGTGAAGGAATGTAAATTAAAAATGAGATTCAATTGCAGCCGCCTATCTACACATCTATCCAATATATTCCAGCTCTTGGAATACATCCCTTAAGACAACAAGAATCGCGAACATCAAAAGGAAAACCTAAATCAAATGTTAGTCACTCAGTAGGTTGAGAAGCCTACCCGAAAAAAGACTCCAGTTCCTCCACCGATATTTCATCCAGCAAGTACTCTTGGACTCGAATGTAAAACTCATCACCAGTCTGCCAGCGCCAGCCAGGGAGATCAGCCCTCCCCTTTCCCTTGTCAGCACCTGTGCCGGTTGCGGCAGCAGGTGTGATGTCAGTAAGAACCTCCTCTTCTAGGGAGGGTTCGACATCTAAGGATGAAGTAGGGCTTCCGTCCGCATAGTATGGCTCATCCATACTGAGCCCATTCGTATCGGGGCAAGCCTCTACACTCTGATCCATCATTGCGGGATCAACAGGGAGATCGCCTCCCATTTGTGGCTCCGCTAAGTCTCCATCGTCGACCGCTAGCCCGTTCTGCGTATTCGAAGGCCCAGCGTCTGGCATCTCCTGGGTATTATAGCCCCATTCGTACCCATTAGCCATTGGCGGGCCTTGCACCGGGGCTTCGAAGTCCATTTGGAGTGGTAGCGCTACCCCGTATGGCTGTGGGCAGATTTGATTCTGCCCTATCTGCTGGTCCATCGGTACGAAAGACGGCTGTTGCATAGCCTCCTGGCCCATATCCATCCCCATCTCTTGCTCCATCTGTGCTGGAGGCGGCTGCAGCGTATTCATCTGGCTTATATCCTGCCCCGTTTGCCCGTCTACCTGCGTTGAAGACGGCTGTGGCATGGCCGCCTGATCTGTATACTGCCGTAGTGTTTGGGGCAGCGACTGCAAAAAGGTTTCCCAGATATACCTGTTATGGCCGTGCGACCGGGATGGCTCAAAGTCCATAAGTTGAGCAACCACTTTTGCAGTACCTGAAGTTAGGTTCAGGCCGACCCATGTATACCAAGGGAAGTATTTTGGTAGACGGTCTATAGCAAGGCCGTCATCTGCGTCAGCCCACCAGTTAAAGTTGAAAGAATTGACCAAGGCAGCGATGAAGCTGAAGGCCAGGAACCGCTCGTCAGGCGCATCCTCCCAAGGCAAGGTAAATTTAGAGCAGTTAAGGTCCTGCCAGTGACGTCCAGACTTGCCGATTTCCCAGGGACCGGTCTCTGTTCTCATGAGCACCACCTTAAAGTGGCACTCCGAGAAATCTTTTCGGGGATCCAGCCACTGTGGAACTATGACGATGCGCCCTTTGTCAAGTGCGTGGGCAATCACATTGTGGACCAGGATATGATTAATCCCGGTAACGAAGAATCGATCCTTGGTACCAAGACCAGAAGGGCCAAAGACGGCTCGAAATTGCTCTTCGCTTGTCTTGGCCGGGCACATAAATGAATGCCATACCATTTCACTCGCCGGGAAATACTGTCTCAAGATTGGGCACCTGACTGTTGCAGGAGCGGCGGGCTGAATTTGTGCCGTCAATGTAGATTTAGCGGCCATTTTGAGACTGGACGTGATCAAGGACATGTTGACTGGAGTCGCTTGTAATCGTTAGTGAGTGTAAAGCCGCCTCTTTCAGACGGTACGCTCAGTTAGCTGTGTCTTGTTAGCAGTCTTTCTCGTTTGCTGATGCCAGCTTTGAGACCTACGCAGGTGTGAGAAGGCACGAGAGTGGTAATTTATCAGTGGAAGGGGGTCAGTGAGTAGTGAGGGTGCAGGAAGGTAGACTGTGGTTAGCTCGTTCCTGTGGTATAGAGATAGAAGGAGGAAGGTAGGAGTTAGAATGTTGTAGCAGATAAATTGCTAGACACAGAGACTCACGTAATTGTCTTGATATTTGGTGGAGGAGGAAACGAGAGAGAGGGAAAATTTGAGAAAAGGACTGGGGGCAGCGCTAGTGCCTGTTTGGCGAATGCCTATGGAGTGGAGAAGTTACTCATCAATACGCCAAAGCAAAGGCTATCGTTTCTGTGAGAGCGGATGGTGCCATGGTACCGCAAAGGAGGGACGAGATGAATGATCAGTGTAGATGCGTCTCGCCCCTGTGGTCTGATGGTTTTGATTTCGGTTCCGTTGCCCTTGAGTAGATTGTAATGTTGCATAGCGACAGGCAAGAGCGCTCTCAACCGGGCTCCGCAAAGGCCTGCCTCACCTTAGCTTAGCTAAGCTGGACCATCCACGTAATGAACCTGTCGAATAGTAAAAGCAGGATGAGTCTATGTAGGCTTTGTTGCCATCCAGTTCGCCCCGACAGGCAGGTGGACTTCGTGTTCATCCTCGTTTGGGTTCCACCTTCCCCCAAGCTCAACAACCATCATCTCATACCAGGCCGACAATCACTTTACCTCCCACAATACCTCCCAGCATGGATGACTTCGGAAATGTTGGGGCATCGGGTCGTCGATGATGGATTAGCTGAACGACCTCTCCTGTTGTTGTCAGTGGGAATAAGGTACCGCACAAGGAAAATACAAAGTCTGCCCTTGGAAGAATTCCTATCGTTAGGGATGTAAGTATTTGTGCTATTTAGTGATGACTACTAGGGCAATCTTCCTTGCCACGACGACCCCAAGACATGGACTACTCCCCAACGCAAGACAAGAGAAGACAACTTCAATCATCTAAACTTCAGGGAAAGGTCATGGTGCCGCCGGCCCCCTTCGTCCACTCCACCAAGGCTTCAATACAGTTCAGAAAAAATAAAGAAAAGACGAGGACCACCGGATGAAAGAGCAGTGATGGTGAACACATGTTGGAGGTGACCTGACCAGACCCCGCAGAAAGCCATGGAGGTGCCAGTGAGATGCTACCACTAGATCCGAGGATAAGGAGGGCTTGGGATGGCTTAATAATATGAACAATGGACCTGGTCTGCTAAGGCGACAACGTTCAGAGCAGCAGAGGATGGTACAGAGTCAAGGTTTCCCACAAATACCCCTGCGACAACCACCAAGAAGTTCCGACAATCACGAGAGTATCCCATCCAGAAGGCTGCAGCAGGAGTATCCAATTCGACGACGACAGCACCCACAAAGGCATGACCAAGCTAGGTGGGAGTACCGACAGGCATCATGTTCGGGCAGGCAGCGACAGACTACAAGAGACTGCGACCTGACGGGTGGCGGACTGTTGACAGCTTAACAGGGTTGGAGAGAGATGTCGATGAGCAAGCGGAAGACATTCAAGACGTGGGCCTGCTATTGAAAGATCCAAATTGATTGAAGAGACGTCGAGGTACACTAGTGAGACAGCCGGCACTCTGCCGCTCGCTAGCCAGCGACGCAGATCAAAAGATGCTTAGTAAGATGTGCAGTCGGGCAGTATACTGATTGGCCAACGGCAGGAGACCCAAGCACTTCGGATGCCTCGACGGGAGAGAGAGCCAGCGGTCCTAAAGATGAGGAGTTTGAGTCAGCTTGAGGGGTGGTATCATTGAAATAGTGGTCGTTGAACGATGCCAAGGGGCATCTGCAAATAAAGAAGAGAAAGAAGAATAAAATTCGTCAAGGAGAAGAAGTAAAAAGTGACGAAGGATGAGGGTCACATCACGTTCTGACACGAACGGCAATAATCTGCCTAATGGCAGCCAGGAACCGATGACAATCCCGGACCTCTCCTTCAGCAGGGGTTTGCTTGTATTAAGCAAGGTATCTTCGGTCAGAAGATGCCCACCGCGCTGCAAATAGGGGGGACTCTGAGTGATGCCCCAGCTATGAATCACTCCGTTCTGAAGTAATGACTTACCAAGATGCGGACTTCAGTGGTATACAGCAAGGACACCAAGGACTTCGAGCAATATTGTTAAACATACCTAGTACCAAATCTGGCCTTCAGAGCCTCACTTCCTAAACCGAACCAACTTATTGTTATAATTTGCGGCATTGACTGGAAACAACTGCGTTGAGGCCGTCTGAAGCGCTGATTAATTGGTATTGAGACTGTCCGTGATCTGGAAGACTTATTTCTAGATCAGTCAGTCCATACCCATGATCCCTAAGTACAGATGAGACTATCTGATATCCGCTCAGCCGACGATCCGACCCTGGTGCCCAGCGGGAGCCATAGCGTGTTCATGGCGCAAATATAAGTTTGTTGATTGGTGTTGCAAGAAGCATTACCTCCGGATGCTAGTGCTACAGGTCAACGGATAGCAATATATTCCCTCTACTTCCCTGGGATCTTCAATCTTCTATCTACACAGGTTACCTGTGAGATGTCCTCCTTATATCCCACATTCTTTTCAAACATTCCACACGCACAGGATGCGTAGCTTTCTATCCTTGCTCTTCATGATCACCATCCTTCCCCATACACCTTTCGCGAATGTCTTGCCATCCTCTTCTTGGATCTTCAACCATCCAAATACTTCAATGACACTGCCCAAGTGAGCTTGTATCTCTGGTATCGAATTCTTAGATATTAACAGGGTCGCTCAGTCTACCCTCGTGGCCATCTGTTCCTTTTAGCAAGTTGCTGAAGGGAGTCGACAAAAGCTATGTCCGATGCATGACTCTAGCGCCCGAGAGACTTAATGGCTGGGCGGCCACAAAGCTATTGACACTGATTGCTGAAGTTCATCATGAATTCAGGTCGTCTGCTCCCCATCATGCTATTGAGTCGTTCATCAAAGATTACGGACAGATACGTATGGTACTTGCGGCGAATCGAAACGGTCCGGATCTGTATGCCGAGACAGCTGAGGCAGCTCTGGACGCCATACAAGATATGGACGCTCGCTGGCAAGCGAAAGAGAGGATGTATTTCGAAATATGGCAGAATAATGCGAGAAGAGCTACCCTACTGACGGCTTTGATGCCTCCAAGCGAGGACGATATCAGCATAGATAACTCAACAGCTTCAGCTTCAGCAGACCTTTCACAGTCTTCTTGAGTGGACCGTTTCCTCCAATCGTCCGGAAGTGGAGGTGCCTGAAACTATGAGCAGATTTTCTTCATACGACCTGTCATCTACCACACTGCGACAAGCGATCTTCAGCTACGACAAGAAATTCGGGAACTAATCACCTATGGTCAGATGACAATCGCATTGGGAATGACCCATAAGTTTTTGTGATAGTAAGGTCATCCAGCCACAGCGTTTCTGAAATTCTGTCTTCTATTTGACTTCGTGGGATCTCAATGAGCCCATCATCTATGCAGTCATACCAACATGACTAACTAAAGCCTCGAGAATAACGCCATGTCTATTCAATCAGAATGGGAAAGCTCATTCGCGAAGGAAGACCTCACGGACGTTAAGCGGCAGTGATAAGCCGTATTAGGATTAGCCCAAGAGCTTTAGTTCTACAAATTTCTATCCCAAAACTATCTCATGGTTGTTGAGAGCAAGTTCATATAGAGAGGGTTTTAATAGTGATATAATAGATTGACTGTCTAGCAAGCTATCTAAGACCATCCATATGATTGTGGAAGCAGAGTCTGATGCCAAGCCGGGTAGGGCTGGGCTAGGCCCAATGAGGTGATCAGACTGATCTGAGCTCCTGGAGGCCATGCTAATAGTTGTCAGAAGATGCCCATCCCTCGACTCTTGAATCTGAGGGACGCAACGATAAGCACACCATATGTGTACAGTCCTTTGGCTCTTGCCAATGCCCCATATGTTGCCATCGCAGATCCTCACGCCCGACAAGGCGCATTCCGCTCGCACATGCCCTTGTGGCTGAGCAGTCACATGGCGTCTACAAATATACGCTATGCCGATCTCTCACCTCATCCCACGACCTCCAAACGAATGCGCAATGAAGGGACGAAGTGACCTTAAAAGCTATGAAAGTGACATAAAAAAGCCATGGGACAGCCCTCGAGGTCGCAAATTTGCCGCTGACTTCCTGAAAACGCCACCCGCCTTTCCATACATACCCTTTTCCAACGACGTATCAAAGAGCCAATCATATCTGGGGTTCAAGAACAATAGAATCTTCACCCGTCGCGCCATACGTGCCCTTGTTTCAACGCCATCCCTCCACAGAGCCAATCACCTCTACAGGTCTTTAGTTATAAGCTTTGCGCCTCTCTTGCTATACTTTTTCTACTTCCTCCAACGAGTTGAAGCGCCAGTCAGCCCTGCGACCCCACAATATCACAAGTTCCACCTCGTGCTACAGCTTCTCTAGCCTAAGCCATGGCAAATCCATACATCCTCCCCGCTTACCAAGAAACCCCCATCCCCTCATCCTCCCCTAACACCACCATAACCACCACCACACTCCCCTCCTCCGACCAACGACCCTCACAACCCCTCCCCGCCTCCTTCCTCCCCGGCCCCAAACCCTCCCGCGATGGCAAACACACCTACCACAAGCGCCCCGAGCGCGAAGCCTTCGACGCCCGCTGGCGCGAAGCCGTCGCGCGCGGGGAAGATCCAAAGCAGAATCTTGTGAAGCAGGTGGAGGCGACGGGGAGCAGCAGTTTTATAGAGAAAGGGTGGAGGAAGGTGAGGGGGAAGAAGGGGACGAGGGCACAGGAGAAGGTGGCGAGGGAAGAGAGGGGCGAGAGAGAGGGAGGAAAGGGGGAGTTGGGACTTCTGGCGGGGGGTGGGGATGAAGAGAGGGGATGGGAGGGGGAAGGGGAAGAAGAGCGGGATGGTATAGGGGGTGGGATTGGTGGTGGTGGTAGTGGTGGTGGAGAAAAGGGGAGCCATGGGGAGGTGAAGGGGAAAGGGAAGGGGAAGTGGCATGATAGGTTGAGGTGGGGGCTTTGAAGAGGAGGTGCGGTAGTGTATTTGTGGGAGATGGCATCATCGCCGCTTGACGGGAGATCTGATTTGCTTAAATGGGGAGCTTGGCAGAACGTGAAGGGTACTGGCAGCGTTGTATGAGATGTTCGTTTTAAAGGCATGTGATTATTTTGTCATTAGTAGAAGTGCTCTTCCTGACTCTTGAAGAGGTCTATCGAATATTATACCCGACACCTTTCAATCACGCAAGCAAATCTTTTTCATGTCCAGCAAAATCAAAGCACCCAGCTATCTATTCGTCAAGATTCCAGCAAAATAGCAGAAGTTGATACTTAGGGTTTGTCTTTCATGGAACGCAGATACGATAATATCCATTGTATGATTGCATCGATGGCTGCTTCTCGTATTTGCTCATTGACACCGTCAGGCATATTCGTTGCTGAGGCTCCATTCTCCGGAGGGCTCCCTACGATCACAGGCGCTAATGAGGTGGCTGCCATTTCCGGTACTCCAGCAGACGTCAGACGGTCAGCTACTGATTCAGAGATAGCTGCAGAGCCTGTTGAAGATGCAAGGACTGCAGGTGTGGTGGTTTGTGCTGGTGTGGATACCGGCTGACCAATATGGACGGTGGAAAGCTGTGCTGGAAGTTCCGTCGGTATCGTTAAGGAAAAGACCATCACGGATTGGAATGGACTCGGGGACGTAGTTGAAGCGAGATTAGCCAGACTGAACGAGCTGACAGAGCTCGTTAGACCTTCCGAGGTGACTCGCGATGTCTCCGAGAGCATTGAAGGTTGTGAGGCGCTTGAAATTGTCGCGATCAAGCTAGTCAGCGAAGTCGGAGTGACCATTGTCTGGGAAGGACTAGAAGAATTTGTGAAGCTTAAGATGCTAGCCGATGGTGTTACAGAGGATACGGCTGAGCTGCTGGCTAGACTATGGGTTGATGAAATTGTTGTATGAGGGTTTACCGCAGCCAAGTTATCAGCTTTGATGATGTCGGCAGCCTGTGAAAGGGTCAGGATGCACATTTCATCGGGGCCTTAACTTACTTTCTCCGCCACACCATATACCACGGCCTGCAGATGGGCCGCTGGGATAAGTGGGAAGATGGAAGCATCGACCACCCGAAGGTTTTGAGTGCCATAGACCAGCAAATGCGAATTCACGACACCACCTTGTTCTTGTGGTAGCATAGCCAGAGTACCGCTTGGGTGAAACTCAGTCCGCAGTCCATTGTTGATGACTTGGTTCAGCGCGGCCTCATCAGCGTCTATTGGAGGTACAAATTGAGCTGGACGAAGCTCCTGCATTGACGGCTGAGCAAGAATCTCACGATTGAATCGTAGAGCCTCCACAAGCACTTGACGGTCCACAGGATTAGTCAACCATCGTGGGTCGATTGCTGGAGGCTCGAATGGGTCAGGTGAGGTGATACGACATGTGCCTCGAGATAAAGGATGCATGACTGCCACGGTCAAGCTGCCAGCATTGTTGTTGATAATTTCGTACGCCGCAACGTCGTTTCTCCCAATTCTCGAGGCCAAGGAGTTCTTCTGGGCCGCATAGCCAGCAATCACCGTTGAGTCGAGGTTTGCAACTAGGAAGTCCGCTGCTCCTTGTCTTGTAGCATTTGCGATGATTATACCTGCATTAGTGCTGATCAAGGACAAGGGATTGAAGGCTAGTGCATTTGGTGATCCTGATGTCCATGGGCCTAGCATTTACATTAGCGATCGTCGAGAAGCGTGTAGGCCTTGCAATTACCGGTCTTATGCTGTCGGTATTCAGCTTCAGCTTCTTGATTATATGTGTCGTTTGTTGTGAGCTCTGAGGGTGAGGGATAGCTTGCGTTGTTGTCTATTGGCAGTCAACTGATGCTAACTCAATCATTTTGTGGGCTAACAGACATGGGTAGAAGGTGCCGACAAGGCAGTGATCCTGGAGATTGTTCCCAACACCAGGTGAGTCAATTGCCACGGGAATATTATATTGCTGTAATAAAAATGAAGGCCCAATGCCAGATAATTGGAGAAGCTGAGCAGAGTGTAGTGAGCCAGCAGCGACAATGACCTCTCTCGTCGCATATACGGTGTGACGTTCATCAGATGCACTTGAAGCAAACTGTCGATTGTCAGCAAATATCGACCAGTCAAGGCACTTCGGCCTGACCTCAACACCTTGGATCCTTAGATTTGATGAAGCATGGTTTTGTCTTCGTAACTTGCTTTGGGGCGGCTCAGCGATTGGTGGTGTACTTCCTTCGGGGCCAAATCCAAAGCCTTCATTATTTCCTGTTGTTCCACCTTCTCCATTTTCATTGCCACCTGCAGCAGGACGGCTTACTTGAGAATTATTCGCAACCCCTTCGATCAGGACTCTTGTGACGTGCTGGCCGGTAATGACATGAAAGTTATCCCGATAGACGTAAGGGTCAAAGTATGTTCGTCGAGCGTCCGAACGTGTTTGATTATTAGGATCAAGGTCTGTAGGGACGAGTGCAGGCCCCGCGGAAGTTCCATCATTCGGATCAAATTGTGTTGGAATGCCTAGATTATTCATGGCCTCAAACAAATTTGCTGTCGTAACTTGTTAGGCGTCTTCTCTTGACTAGGGACATGAGGAGTACCCACCTGACTGCGGATAGAAATAATGAGGATAGCTGACCTGCACGGGCCCATCGGAGCCGTGTACCGCAGGATTGTAATTGATCGAGTACTCTGTAGCTACCTCTTGGGAGTAGACAGGTGTATAGGTCTCGCTCTTGATGAAACGTCAGCAAAGCACGAAATCGGATTCATTTCTCTAAACCTTTCGGAAATATGGCAGCATTCCTTCCCATCCCCAGCCAGGATTTCCAAGTTGCTCCCAGGCATCATAGTCGTCGGCTCCTCCCCGGTTCCAGCACATTGCGTTGAGAATACTACCGCCACCAAGAGCTTTGCCTTGAGGCATAGGTCTCGCTGCTCCATCAAGTTGTGTCTGCGGTGTAGTCGCCAACCGCCAGTCGTAAATGCCTCCAATGTCGGATCCTACATATACAGGGTTCTGAATTATGTCTTCGTAATGATCACTATGGTAGTCAGTACTGCTCCAATCATAGGTAGGTAGAACGTACGCATCGCCTGCCTCGATGCACAACACCGTCCTTGAAGAGTCCTCCGAAAGGCGATTTGTAACGACCAGGCCACTGATGCCGCATCCTACGACGATGTAATCATATGAGTCTTGCAATGGGTGATTGATGTCCCGTCCATGGAGGAGGGCTGTCTTGCTGATGGCTATAGAGAATGCTGAAATGGTCAAGGACAATTGAATGAGCGACAACATTGTGAATTACAGGAGTAGTATTAAATTGCTAAAGGCTGGCAATGACAACTGACTATAGTGCAAGCAGAAACACAAAGCTGACGAGAATGAGGTGAAAATGAAAGGAAGAGATGGAGTGAAGTGAATGGTGACGGTGATGTCACGGAGTTGTCAATGTTTACGAATGCGGAACGGCGCAACCCCTTTCGGATATATCAAGAGTCGCCAGCGAGTCTTGGTGGAACACCAGTTGACTGCAGAATCTGATTATCTGGGGTTGACAGCGACAAGGAACTGCATTTTGCGATCTCTCCTTTTGGCTCTAGCTCATGTGTAGGCCCTTAGTGTCGTGCTGATTCGTCACTTTATAAAGTAGGCTCGGCATCACCGCTTGATGACAGAAGTGAGGGGCTTCAGGATACTATTGTTTTCTTCGCGTCTCTACCTATTGAACACGTCTGCCTCATGCAATAGCCGATGCAATGCACGAAGTTGAAAGCGCTGGTGCAACATCTTTCATTCAAGAATAATTGCTATCGCAGTGACCCTTTCTTGACGCGTCAACACATCTGCAGTCGTTGCTATGTCGATTGCCAACCGAGCAGATGGACCAAAGCTTCAGCAACTTGTATTGCAATATCAATATGTTGAAGATTTGCATCCACTGGTAGCAGAATTGAGTGCGACTTACTCTGACTTCGAAGACGCGCTGAACGACACGCTTTTTCACGAGAACTTCTTGGTCACTCGGCGATCTCAGAACCTCGCAGACCATGAGATTACACTTGCGCAACTGGCCTTTACCAGGCTGTACGAAAACGAGAGGACACACTCCGGGGCGCTAGCTCTGTGGATTGAAGAGATCCTTGGTGTAAATATTGTGCCAGTTGAACGGAAGCCGATGGTGTTACGTACTGCTGTGGCCGCAAAGAAATTCACCCTAGACCGTAAGAAGGCATCCATGAATAGTCCTTGGTCAGAGGATTGATGGCGCTGACAAACAAATCTCTGGCAGGTCTCGATCAGCATCAGAAGCTTCAACCATCCGGCGGGCCTTCTGTCCAAGATCCTCATCTTAAGAGCACGACGAAACTAGGTGATTCGGCAAATAATCAGGCTACTGCAAGCGAGTCCTCCACCTTGTGTGATGGGTCATCTCAGGACCAAGGTAGACACATCGAGATTTGGAACGCTGAGTCAAGTGGTATTGAGCTCAAGATGGATCAGAAGCTTCGGCGACTCTGCGATTTGTACAGTCAAGCACGAGCGGAGTTTGACTCAGCACCAAGAAAGAGCTTACTTCTTACTGAGAATGCCAAATTCCTTCGTGACACCATTGAGAATTGTATGACCTACGTCAAAAGAAAGACGCTCGGTACATCTGATCAGAACGACCTGCATCAGCCGGTTGATATGGCCGAAATGAGAAAGGTGCTGAAATTGGCAACAGCAATTGCTGAAAGGGGATGTGGGGGTAAAAAGCGACCTTTTGACGACGAGGAGGCTTACTTACCTCAAGAGCCAGCCAAGAGAGTCAAGCCGATCGGGAGGAGGAATTTCCATAGTGAATGGAAGCCTGTGGCTATCCATCAAAGATCTGAAGCACCCCAAGCGGGAACAGGTGAGCCAGAGATTGCGAGCCAAGCTGCTTTCAGGCATCTACACCGTCCTTATGCTAGAAGAAATTGCGAGAACCGCGGCAAACGTTATCCAACGAAGGACAAAAGCTCAGAAAGCCATCAAGCATTGCCACTAGATCCAATGAATGAGCAACGAACTCAACGCAAACCGCTTACCCAAACAAATGCAAACTTGAGGCTTCCTGCGAGCTCGCCAGCTTCAGGTTGGTTACATTGTTGGGAAGACAATCATTATCGTCCATCTTACAACTGAAGCCACGCCCAGCACCAGCGGTGGATGTAGCAGGGGAGGAAAATGGAAGATCTTGAGTCGCCGACCTCGGAACTTGATATTCAAAGGGATTTACAACGATAGGGGAGCTTGATACCGCGGATGTGTTGGTCAGCGCTTGCGTGAGAGTTGATACCTCTTCACAGAGGCTGCTTTATCCATCAGTCAGGATCTCCACTTCTCAATCACTGCAATTGGGGGTGACCGCTATGATGTTCAGAATTTTCGTCAACACGGGAGGAATTTGTATGGAAACATGAGCCTTCGATGGCGTATACAAGAGCTAGGCCTCAGATACTTTTATACGTAATTTGAAATTGCTTTAGAGCTTGGATGTGTGCACTGAATAGGAAGAATCCAGCCTTCAAAAAGATTTCAATCTACGCTCTGGACGCTGATTGGTCGACGCGGCAACGCGTGCAGGCCAGACCTCCAAATATTTAGAAACAGTGATTAGCATAGAACCACTGATGAGCTCGAGCATGCACAGTCACAATGCTGCACGAGCTTCTGCTCTCGCTGTCTGGGCATCCTTCCCCTCTACTTTCGACTCATCCCAGCGATAGCAACGAGGCTCTTAAAGACCTACTCTCTCCCGCCGAACATGCGCTCCTTAGAACCCTGTCTCAAGAGTTGGGCGAAAGACACAAAAGCATACGAGATGCTGCAAAGGAAGTCTCGTCTTCTCATCCTTCTGTCGTTTGCAGAGCAGTCAGCACTGCGATAACGTCCATCCACTTAGCCGCGTTCCAACGAAAGATTCTTGAAGTAGAGAAGGACATATTGCAAGGGGATTCGAGATTTGTTGGGGCATACAATGCTGTGCCATTGTCTGCTTTGGTCTCAGCATTCGATGGCTGGGGAAGAAGGCTGCAGTGGCTAGAGGAAGTGATCCACTTCATTCAACGACCGACTGGCCAAGCTGTCGACAGTAAAAGCTCATTGGACTGCACAGCAGCAGAGATCATAAAGAGACTACGAGATGCTACCTTGACAGGCTACCCAGACATCGAGAGTATGGCTCTGAGTCTGGTCAGGGTAGCCGAGATGGCATGGCTGAAGCAACTGTCGGCTTGGGCACTTTATGGAAGGCATCCCGGCTGTTCCGATTTTCTTGTTGGAAAAAGAGCAGACGACGGCGGTACACTATCTACTTACAATATATACGTCCTCAAGAATGATCTAGTACCTTATTTTGTCACACCTTCAACTGCAAAATCAATCCTTTTCATCGGCAAATCTTTGTGCCACATAAAGGAACAGCAGCCTGCTTCAAAGTCATCCTATAAGACGGTGTCTCCGGATTCACTATTACCGAAACATCTCGCAGAGCTAGCTGCGTTGAAATCACCGATCAGCGCTCCAAGTCTTTCTTCAGCCATCGCGGCGATTCGACTTTCTTTATCTCAAAATGCCTTGCAAAAGCTGCTACCCGTTGCTAAGGTCGCTGAAATCCTACACGTTCTCAAGGACTTCTTTCTGCTGAAACGGGGCGAGTTTGCCATTGCCCTCATAACAGCAGCTGATGACCGTCTTTCTTCACGACATAGCCACGTCCCAGAGAAAAGGAAGGGGCATTCAGGTGCTGTCAGTGACCTGGCAAGCCTGACGATACGAGATGGCGAGGTCCACAACGTCTTGTCCCGCACGTGGACTGCCCTCGTATCACTGCAATCCTTAGATGATGAAGATGTCGATGAGGAATTGGACCGAGCTCGCGAGCTCATCTCGTTATCTATCAGAAGTCTCGACTCACAGACCACTGATGTCCTTGCCAAAGATCGCGGTTCGACGACTGCATCATTCGACGATTTGCTGCTACCTTCACCCACTTTATTGAATCTCAAAATCTTATCACCATTAGATCTGTTCCTTACACCTGACGATATCGAAGCCTATTCTAAAGTCCACGCCTACCTGCTCGCCATCAGACGCGCCCATCTTCACCTTTGCAAACTTTTCCAGCTCTCCGTTCTACGAAGGCATCCCCCGTCTCCGGCTTCTTCTCGCAAGACAATTCTTAATCACAGCAAAGTTGTCCAACGTAACAAAGCCGTACGCCCTTTCTGGGCCGTTGTTGGCTCCGCTATATTCTTCTTCGCTGAACTAGGCGAGTATCTGCAAGGTGAAGTCGTTCAGAGCTCTTGGTCAGCCTTTGAGTCATGGCTTTCACCCCCCTCCAGACCCTCGAGTTCAAGCCAAGCCATGAATAATGCCTCACTATTGGTCTCGCTCAATCCAGGTCACTCAAATCACCTTACAAACTCTCGACCTTTGTCATCTCGCGGTAACGACGCCTTCTCTAGTAGTGACGCACCCCACGACCCAGAAACTCTCTCTCAATGTCATCGCACTTACCTCTCCTCACTTAATCATCATCTCCTTCTTGACGATGCAGATTTCACTGGTCTGCTCAGGCGGCATATGACTGCTATCGACCACTTATGCGGCTTGATGAATCGTCTCGCGTCTTCACAGGCAAACTTAAATACAGGCGTTGAAGATACACAAACTCAACTCGAGACCGAAGAGCAGAAAGTCTTGGCTGAGTTGAAAATTTTGAGAATTAGAGTAGAAGAAGGAGGTAAAGGGCTAGTAAGGAGACTAAGGGAGATTGATGGTGCGAGGGCTGGTGGACGTGGTCAGGCAACAGCTCTAGGAAACGAAGCCATAGAGGGAGGGTTTGTACCATGGTCTACGAATGGATTGGAGAGGTTATTACTGAAATTCGATTTTGCAGAAGGGGAGGAGCGTATGTTGAGATGATGTGAATGATACTGATGAATGGAACGACGGAATGCCGCAATTCTTCTTGCATTGACTGGCGAACATAACCAAGCCGTTTCAGACAGTCTAGCAGGTGCTACGACGACTGGTGCACATACTCGCCTCGGGAATAGCACTTCATGCAGGCAACGCATATCACAGTATATGAATGTCAAATGAAGGGGACAAGCCTTCAAGCTGTCGAAAGACAATGAAACTATGAGGACCCGTTTTGGGCACGCAAATGGCTTTCCCTGCCGAGCAACAAATTCGAAGGCGTTCTATTTATTTGCCATTTTTGCCTTCCATGAACACCGCCACAAAAAAAATCGATACACCTGCTCTTTGCCTTAATTACTAGCCTGAAAGCCTTCACAATCTGAAGACATTAAAAACCGGCATGGCAGCTCCCAGATCCTCTTGCCTCTGTTCCTGCCAGATCTACGCAAACATGCCTGCTCAGCGAGAACCCCAGCAGAGGTCCGCCTCCACAGCAGTCCCACAAGTGATGTCCATGCCCTTCACAGCCTTCCTCGAAAACGAAGCAACGCGTATCTGCGAAGAAGTCGCCTCAGGCTCCGTCTCCATACCCGCAGCACATCTCTCAAGCTTTCACGAACTAGAGCTCTTCGACCAAATCAAGCAGCACCCTTCCATACGTGGCCGCTATCACATCATCTGGTCCTCCATCACAATGGTCACCAAGCACGACCTGCGCATTCTGGAGCCCACAACCGGTGAAATACGGGCAGCATTGCGTGATGGTGAAGAGCCCGCATTCGAATTATTCGTCGGACAACACCATCGCACTCGCTCGCAGAGCCATACTTCACCACCAAACCATACTCACGTCGCATCACAGACGTCCACCCGCGCAGTGAACGGTAGTGTCGAAAGCATCGGCTCTGATGCCGAGCCTTCCCGATCCTTGTACGAAGAACTCATCGCCGAGCAAGTAGATTGGCCTTCGCGCGCACAGTCGCAGGACCCTGGCCCTGGCCCTTTGCTCCGACCCCCGTTGGCATCTCGTCGCAACACGTCACGCCGCCCTCCGACCCCACACGCAGCCGCTAATCGCGTGTGGGCAATGCCCATTTCTCACCCAAGGACGCCGATACCAGCGCCGGTACAAAGCGATTGGGACACGGTGGAACACTCATCCGTATCCTGGACGCTCCAATTCACTCCGAACGGGTTCGTGGAAACATGGGGTGTGAATCCGCCAAGGATAATACGTACGCCGCGAGTTGCGGAATCAAGTACTATTGTGTATCATGCTTATCCAAGTAGTCGAGGGAGGGATTTGGATCCGAGGAGTACGGTGGTGATGCAAGGGCCGGGGGGGTCTTGGTACTGGTCGGGGGATGAGGACGAGTATAGTGGATGGGATTAAGAGTTGTGGTAGTTACATACCTTGGAGAAGATGTTTGGATGTTGCGAGATTGTGTTATCGTGGATTTTGGAGGTGAAAAGTCCACCTCATTAAAAGCTGGAGATGGCGTGGTGACTGAGGATAGTGACGATAGCACGCAAAGAACCTGCCATGTCATGACTGATCAGGCACTCGTTGCCCAGTCCTGTGCCACTCTTGAACTACGGCACTCACCTTTGCAGCACCGTTTTCGGTTTTGCTCTGTCCTTGGCTTACTGCCCTCCAGCTACATCATCATAAACGATACGCGGAAGGCTTTGGATTTATATGCAAATAACTCATGAGTGATTTGTGCTGCTTCCGTCATCTGAAGTGTTTACAATTTCCACGGCCAACCTGTTGCTGAGCCTCGTCAATGACGACTAAGTTGAATTCGAGGCAGCACTCTTGCCTGTGGAGGGTAGATTTTACCGGTCCTGGGGTCAGGGAGCTGACATCCTAGCACGCTCGAGGTCACTGGATGCGTACAAGATGCCGTTGGTCGGATGGCTCTGCGGACGAAAAAGTTCAGATGTATGGAGGCTGACGTAGCTTTTCCAGTCCTTTGAAGATGGAGTTCTTCTTCTGTATGTCGCTTTCTAAGTGTTTTTTTGGTATTGATTCCCATTTGTTTGCTAGCTTGATGCCTCATTGCCTGCTCGGGTATCTGCCTCATATAACTTTGTGTGATTACCAGTCCGCTGAAACCCGCAACACTGTTGTCCAACGCTATTCAGAGATAATATTATGTCTATTAGAAAAGTAGCTACTACCTATGCGCTCTTCATGTCAACGCTCATACACTATACCATCTTCAAATTCGTCCAAGTAGCCAACAACTCATTGGCCTTCATACTACCATTCGAGAGGCCACCATCTATGGACGAAAGATTCTTTGCACTGGCTTGTTTTCCTAGCTTACGTCGCTTTCCCCCTTCCCCATCCGAAGGCGTCTTCTCTTGTCTTGCACCCTGCTTGGAAGAAACCGTTGATACAGGTTCTTGCGAGCGATCATCGGGCATCGTTGCTTGTGGACATAGAGAAAACGGAAATTCTTGTCGATGTGCGTCCCATCTTGAGTGGGGTCTGCATTTGGCACGAACATGTGTACTCTTCCTTCTCTGAACTCTACGCATTGCTATAGATGTTGTATCTACGGTCACTTTGCCAGCTCCATTTGGAGGCAAAGATGTATCTTTAAGAGTGTGCGGGCCTGAAGTAGCTGGATGACTAGTATCGAAGGACGAAGGCTCTTCTCGCCCGTGCTCTAACTGCGCCCTATGTCTTGCCTTGCACTCATCGTGGGCCATATGCCCATCACGAGCCTTCTTGCTGGTGAATTCGGCACCGCATCTTGGACAAACCGATTTAGAGGAAGAACCCGACTTCTCACGTTGGTGTCTAAGAAGGTTACTAAAGGTCGAAAAGGTGCGCCCGTTGCAAACGTGGTCCCAACACTGAGGTTTCTTTGGCTGCTCAAGAATGACTGGTTCTTGATCGAGTGGGCTGCGGACTTCATTCTGAAAGCTTTGTCCCGCATGGGTGGCACTATGTCTATGATTAGCCAATATCGTGTTTCCCAAATTGGAGATACACTGACGGGTAAGCTGCAGCTGCAGCTCCAGAACCGGGATTGCAATAGCTGTTTCAATAAAGTCAACGACCAAACGTATGGGCCCGGCGATGTATCTCTTACCTGCTTAGCGAATTGGTATTGTCCTTCACACTTGCGGCATTGGGTTGATCTGGCGAATCAGGTGTAGTCTTGAAATTGGAAGCGAAAGAGCCACTTTACAATCATCAACAACCGTGTGCTTGAGCGTGTCAAGATGTCTCATACCTCATCCGGGATCGATAAGGTGAGCGACTGCCGGAGTGACTACCATAATCGCTCATCAAATAGTCTTGATCAACCGTCTTTTGAATATCAGACTTATAAGGCGAGGCATCGCTAGATATATTCTGCGTCTGGCTCTCCAAAAAGCTGACTGCGGCCTTTCCGGTCGCGTCCTCTCCCTTTTCCACTAGATATGATTGTAGAAAAGGGCCGGTAAATTGCCCGGCTGCTTGCGAGTGCTGAGTACTCTGTAAACCCGAAGAGAGATCAAATTTCGCGGGTTTCAAATCGGGAGAGAATGTCCCTATTGCTGTCAGAAATAAAACTGAAAAGCTCAAGAAGCGCATTACAACCTTGTTCCGCAGGAGAAACCGGGGTATCTGAGCTCAGTCTTCTTCTAGAAATAAGAGGCCAAGAATCATTCAGCACGAGACTGAGCTCGCTCTCGTGAGCGATGTCGATATGTCTTTTAAGCCGGATTTTTGAATCGTCCTCGATAGAATAGCGTGACGAACGAATCTCGGCAAGCAAATTTTTACGAAGCCTAGTATATTGTTCTACTACGCCTCGTATTCCGTTGTCCCAAAGATTTCCTGGCTTAATGCTGTCGTTGTCAAGATTTAGAGTCTCTAAAAAGCCTCTTCTCTCAGCTTCTAGAGGCCCAGGTTTATAAAACTTCAGCGGAAGGCTAAAATTTCTCTGGGTGGCCATCGACCCTTCTTCATCAATCGTTGTGTGGTCAGCACATTCCATGAGTTTCATTTGATCATGTTTGATGCTTCTATCCTGATTTACGGCAACCAAATCTTCAATGAGCTGGCGTTGTTCTGCAATCGTATGTGGCGCTTCAGTCCTTGACTCTAGTCAGAAAGTAATTCTGCTGAATTGTTGGGGCCCTACTTCTCAGAAATTTGTCGGGCATATACTATCACATTGAGCATTAGAGTGAGCGTACTCTTTAGGCGATCTAAATTACTGTTAAGCAATTGAATCTTTCCTTTGATTGTAGGCCATCGCAAACGTTCCAAGAGGTTCTTGGCTCGAAACTTCCTGTCTGTAGAGATTGATTGGAGGCCGGGAACTTTCGCTAGTAGCATTGTATCCATCTCTTCGAAGACTTTTGCACATTCCCGTACAATCGTTTCTGCTGTCTCGACTGCATTCTGTGAACGCACGTTTTCTTTATCTCCTTCAAAGGTATTGCCTAGCTCTTTCAGCACGGATGAGGTCAGCGAAACGTCCTTGGAGATTGCTAGGATCGCTTGATCGGCACTCGCGACTGTCTCGCCAAAAGCATATAACCGTAGACTGAGGCGGATGCCAATGTCAGCAACTTGGATGATCGAGGCAACGAAAGCTACTTCAGCCATGGAAATAGGAAGCGAAAATGACAGCTGTGACAGAGGCAGAAGGGTATGTAGATGTGATTGCAGCGACGATGAGTCGGAGGCGGATGAGGAGGGCAGTGCTTCAGCCTGCTTCGCAACAATGCAAGGCGCATAGTCTCATAGTCGCATTGCTGTATCAGCCTTAATCACTTCACAACGGCAACTGATGCGATGTCCGAATCTCTCATTCCCAGTGAACGGATCTGATTCAAATGGCGTCTAGAAGGTATCAAGACTCTTGCGGCACTGATGGAGTCATTAATCCGCCACAGCTAGCCAATGGCTTTGTGTAGGGGAAAAAATCTTGAGAATTATCAGCAACATCTCATCACTAGCATCATGTCGAACGGTACATGCGCGTCGAGGTGGTTTGCCTCTTTTAATAAATCAACACATCCCCCCCCCGCACACGATCCCCGCACTTGCCCCCATGAAATGTACTTCTTTCCAATAAACAAGCTCATCGCCAATTCACCCACCACCCCAACTCTCCAACCCCACAACCCCCCACCATGTCCACCCCAGAAGCAAAAGGCGAAGAAGGTGTAATAAACCGGAAACTCGTCTTCTGCCCCTTCCTCCAAGAATTCCCCACCAAAGACCTCATCACCACCTGCCCGCACTGCAAAAACTTCTTCATCTTTTGCTGCAGTTGCCGCCCCACCTACGCCAACACCGACGACATATGCCACCATTTCCGCCTCATATTCACCTCCGGCGCCTGTCTCCAGAACGGACAGATAGGCGCCACAGCAGGCGTTGGCGCCGCGTACGGCACTGAAGCAACGAGTCAGAAGTCTGTGCCTGTGTCTAAATTTCTGGATCTGGATCATCCAAGGACAAGCCAGCGCGCAGAGTTGTTGGCCGTGTTTGCGGGGTTGCAGTGTTTGCTGGATATGGATTGGCGGGGCGAATGCGAAGACTCCACACTTAAGCGTGAGGGAGCTCGTGGACCGAGGATGTCGGATAAGACGTGGATTATTGCGACGGATTCGGAATATGTGGTGAAGGGTATCACTGAATGGCTTCCGACCTGGAAAGTGGGTGCTTCCCCAGTCTCACACCCGTTTATTTTGTCTCCCTTGTGAATCTGCACCACATCCGCGCTTTTCTTTGACCACGTACTAAACACCTCAAGTCAGAATGATAAGCTTCGCAGCAAGCAAAACGAAAAGCCGGCAAACTTGGACTTGCTCCTTCGTCTAGACGCAGCTATAACAGCTGAGGAAACCCGACAGGACCTGAAGATCGGCTTCTGGCATGTGCCGCGTGAGTACAACACGATGGCAGACAAGCTTGCAAAGGAAGCCGCTCAGCATGGGGATCTGTGAGTATTTCGCGCATTGCGGACAAGCTGGAGCGAACCAGTCCATTGACCACCTTGCAGCTATGGGATTTGATGCGTTACCAAGGGAATTCTTCTCAGCTATTTCAAAGTTGTGACAGAAATTGGCTAGCAGAGAAAGGGTACCATAATTTTGCGGATGGAAAGAGATAGCACCATTACTCACTACAAACCGTCTCCTCCATAATACTATGAAAACGATGTGTCATTAAGAAATGAAAATACCAAGCTCACTTTGCGCTCATCAATAAGAATTCTTCTCACCTAAATACGGACACTGCACCAACATACGTGACCCTCTCCCCACGCCACCTTGCTCACTCATGTGGCGGCAACCCATCAAGCGCAGCCATCCGCCGCCACCAGCCTTGCATCCACCAATCCCAAAAAGGCAACCCACGACCTCCGCCAAGGAATCCCGGGTTCAAAGGTAGACATTAAATCTGTATTCGGTAAAGCGCCGAGTTGTGTCACCGTCAAGTGTTGACAGTGACGGTGGCGAGGGCGGAATTTCCTCTTTGGGACGCCGGGGATAGGAGGGTTGATATTGGAGTTAAGAAGGCCTCGAGAGTGGCAAATACACTTGCGCCAGGAAGTTGAGTTGGAGTAGATTTTGTAAGTTGTGATTTTCGATCAACCGAGGGGGTTGTTTTCCAATTCTCATTTGTAACGTGTCTTGAGGTGAATAGCTGCTCGTTTGCCTGAATAAGGCATTTTGGTACATGGTGCTTGCGTTACGAATACCGAAAAAGTGAGAACGACGCAGAACCGTTAATCGATGGAAGATGCTTGTCATGAATAGAGTGAGAGGTTTCGGTCAGTTGGCGCACTTGGTGGAAGGGGTGTGACAATTTCAACCACTGACTTGCCAGCTCAGACCAGTATATCCAATGATCTGTGTGAACAGCTCGTTTCTTCCTTTCAGTGCGTCAACACTGTACTGCTCTTCATCTTTAGTATCGAAGCTCAATCCCTCACTTGTCCTGGATTTAGAAATTACAAATACGTCTTTGAAGTTGAGCTCCCACAGCAGATGTGAACGGATGGCAGTCTCGAATCTGACACTTTTCGATGTTACGTATATGTTGCCGTGGTGAAGGTTGCCCTTTTCATCTTTGGTCGTGCAATGATACTTGCCAATGTTGATGTCAGCTTCCTTCGTCTCTGCGACACTGTTCTCTTTGCGGCTGTTATCGCTGTTTTCACCTTGATGGATTTCTTTAATGACCCAATGGGCTTCTGCTTGAATACGGGCAATTGCCCATTCGGCTATTTGATACCATCGTCAGCCTCTCAACAGAGGTATGAGATCGTTCAAGTCAAGATATGCAGAGCGCTTACAGTCCGTACTTATCTTCCAAAAAGCCCACCTGAATGGGGATACAAGATGTCTGAATTGGTGATGACGACTGGAGATGGGGAATATTCCAAAGAACATCACACCCATGCCGAATTGTGCCCCTCGTACCAGCAACCATAAGGGGCAAGCAGCTACTAAAAGGCTACATGCAGCAAATGCTACGAGAGCTCTTGCTGTGCGAGGTGGGTCGCGCCATTCGTAAAAGCTACCAGAAGAAAAAGTCAGCGCTATGTATAGCTGTCACTATATTGAACATGGGACGTTTACTTCCTTAAGATCTCAAGGGCATCAGCCATATCCTCAAGTTGTAACATGGATGCAGGACCCAATTTTTCGATGGCAGCATCAAGCCAGCCGCGCGACCCATGCTGCTCGATCAATTGAGTCATGTTTTGCGCAGTTTGTTCGATATCCTCGGAACGTTTGATGTCTTCCCGAAGATCTTGAGGTGTGGGTGGATGGTACCATCGTGCGATGACCAGATAAAGCACACAGACCATCTGTGTAATGGTTAGATTTTGGTACAATACTTTGACAGATCCGTCGTCTTGTGACGGATACTGCATACGTACAATACCAACTCCAAGATGTCCGAAGATTAATAGGAGAAAATACGAGCTGCAGTATACAGCTGTCTTGTATGGATCATCCCAACGATAGATATATCGAACTTTCATCAAGACTGTTTGAACAGCCATTGATGTCATGACCAGTCGTTCGACGCTTGTGGTGATTGCCTCTTCATTTGCAGCCGGGAGTTCAGATGATTCATTGATATGCTGATCGCAGTATTGCTCTGCATAGTATCGAGTCATCTACGTTGAGCAGTCAGCGAAGACCGTAACTCGTCAGACCGCAGGTCAACATCCTGATTTGGCTCAGACCTGCACCCAATTACTGACATTGAGAGCTCAAGGGTTTCGATGTCGAATCAGCCATCATTGAGTAGGCGTAGGGAGGTGGAAAGGCGACTAACGAGCAAAGCACAAAAGGCTGACGCACCTGTCTTCCGTAGTCACCCCACCGCATCGCCGTCCCTCCATTCTCATTCTTCTGCTTGTAGTCTTCTTTCCTTGGCAATTCGAGGATACGTGGAGGATCTTGTCGAACTTTCATGACATGTCTATCCATCGTCCATCGAACATAGGTATCCTGTCTCTCCTTTACCAGAGTCTTGATCTTTTCATTCGACGATCTTTGCTCATCTTCATTCCCAGCGGCGTCCAGGTCGTCAAAAGCACGTACCAACCCTACATTCGCTTCATGTGCTATCGCTTGGTTGTCCATGACCTGTGCGAATTTGGCCCCACCTTTGCCATGCATGGCAGACTGGAACGTGCTGACTGGGCTTTGGACGACTTCCTTTACTTTGAATCCTTCGTGCTTGGGCAATGGATTATAAAGACGGTCATCCTCAACCAAACTTGCAGGGGGAGGTGCTAATAAGGGCGCAGGGGAATGATGGGGAACATTATTACTGTCACGTCTTGAAGGAAAGATTTGCTCGGTTTTCGATTTTGCTTTCGCGCCGACCTTCCTGGATATTTTGGCAAAACGACTGGACGAACGGGAATCATGTTGGTCCTCAACCTGCACACTGCTAGATTTTGTTTGTCCATCGGAGCTTTTGCCTTGCAAAGGCTCAGTCTGTTCGTAGACATCGAATGCCGCCCGATCTAAATCTGTAGTTGCATCCCGACCATTATTTTTTAGGTCGTCGGTATGCGCCATAACATCGCGACTTGATCAGAGAAATTCAAGGACCCTCAGCGCAGCCAGTAACGTGCTCTTTTCCGAGGCTGCCATTATATGGTCAAAGACATTAGACGGTCAAGGCGAGAGTAGATGAGACGTCATATATCAAATGACGTAGAGGAGACCACATGACGCTATCAACCGCTAGATCACGCTAGTAAAAGGCTTATCTGAGACATTTATTGCTGTCGACTTCGCCAGGATCTAGACGATCTTGGATGATGATGAAAGCTAGTCACATCCTGTGAACTCGAACATTGCGAGTAAATTCGTAGAGGCTATGCACCTATCTCGCACCACTCCAAAGGGTTTCAGCCACTCAGCATTAGGAAGGCGATCCCGTGACTTCGCGTTGTGCCCGTGCCTTGGACGGCCATTTGGAAGCGACGATGGACGAGCATTTCAGCCATGGTTTATTCCCTCCACTTTCTTCGGCGAAGTATCATGACTCACTTCAATTTTGAACACTTTTAAATCCAACAGCTGTTATTGTCCACCTATCAAATTCATGCATTGGTAGCCGCTCGTGTCCTTCAGCATTCGTACATCAGACAAATTTTTCGTATGAAAGAAGCGAGAGGACACTCAAACCTTCTCCTCTATTAAATCTCAGATACAATGAATCCCACACACGGAATGCCAGTCTGGCACGAGATCCCCGCCCGTTCCGTTCCCCGCGCTCAGGCCTTCTACAGCTCTCTTCTGAACTTCCAATTCCGGACCGACGAGCAAGCAGATGCTGAGAGAGAATCGAGAGCGATGTTCTGGTTTCCCAATGCAATCATAACATCGCAATTGCAGATTGGGGGTTGCATAAGGAGAGTTCCGGAACACGAGAAAATCTACGATTCGCCCGACAGCAGAGACGGCGGCCACACCATGCCTACGATGTTTTTCTTCGTCTTCAACCTGGAAATAGCATTACAAAGTGTGGAGAACCTTGGTGGGAAGTTTTTGATGTTCAGAAGGGCCGGGGGAGAGATGCAAGATATTGCGCTTGTAAGAGATACTGAGGGGAATGCTCTGGGGCTTTGTGGGATAAGGCCGCAGTAATTGGGCAGCAAGTTTATGTCGTGGATGAATGGCTGTGTAGCGCGATGGTAGAAGGATGGGGGCGTTGTATGATAGTCACAAGTGCGCGTATTGAGGTCGAATTACCACGCGTTTGCTAGCGTTATCCAATTCTTTCGTCAAATCTGCATCTAATCTTCCCAATATATGTGGAGCCGCCCTCATCGGGTACGGCTTTACTTCAAAGCTCCTACGCTTTAATCAAGAATGTCTGTGAAATCTCCGCCTTCCGATCTCCCGATCCACGCCTTTCCCTCCGCTGAGGCCCTGAAAGAGTTCCTCGACCGTGAACACACGATAATCCCTGGGTTCTACCTCAAATTTGCTAAGAAGTCATCAGGCATACCTTCTGTCTCAGGATCTGAAGCTGTGGAGACGGCTTTATGCTATGGCTGGATTGACGGCCGCGCAAATGGTCTCGATGATCAGTGGTGGCTGGTCCGCTACACGCCCCGCCGCGCGAAGAGCATCTGGTCTAAGAAGAACGTGGCTACAATAGCAAGATTGGCAGAAGAGGGCAGGATAAGGCCGGCAGGCATTGCAGCAGTGGAGGCGGCAAAAGCAGATGGGAGATGGGACCGCGCTTATGCTGGTCCAGCTACGATCGAAGTGCCTGTGGACCTTGCTACTGCACTCGCTGGGGAGCTTGCTGCCAAAAGATTCTTCGAGGGAATGAACAAGACGAATCGGTACTCCGTCCTGTGGAGGGTGGAGACGGCAAGCCCAAAGGCTCGGGCAGGGAGGATTGAGGCGATGTTGAAAATGTTGGTGGAGGGAAAATCTCCTCGAGCAATGGAAAAGCCTAAGCGAAAAGCTATTTACAAAGGCTCTAAGATCACAGAGACGCAATCAACGCAGGACTTGACTCGCAAACAAAACGAGACTGCGCGACCAAGGCGTAATGATGCGATGAAACAATCTCGACGTGCTGGATTACGACAGCGAAATCAGACTCAAGAACAAGGATGAAACCCTTTTGAACTTATTCTCGGGAGTATTATCAATAGCCTTGGGTCTGAAAAGTCCTTCGAGAGATGACAGCTCGCATCATTGTCTTCAGGAGGAGAAAGCAGTTGGCGACCAAGATACGCATGATACGACATTGAGCGTTCCACAAAATGAATGTACCATCATGCGACGTTGCCACTGGGCGGACAATCAGGAAGGCAGAGTCTTTAAAAGTCACCTGGAACAAGGGATAGACTGGTCTTGAATACGAAGACGCAAAGCACAATCAAAGCAGTATGTATAACGACTGGGTTAAACGACTTTGGCGGCGTAGAGAACGAACCTTCGAAATTTTATTATGGATGAATACGACACCGACTTACGGCACCATCATTAATCTCGTCGAGCTATTGCATACGTCATCACTCGTCGACTGTTTCGACAGCCATCATCTACTATCACGATCCTAGTTGTGTGTAGAGCGCCAAGAGCAAAAGGAGCGTAAGCAGGGTAAAAGGACAAGTCACTTGCAGCACCGGCATTGAGGCGTTCGGTATACACAATTGCAGGGCCGCAGCAGCAGCAGTAAGGGGCATGATCAGCCTCAATAGGCTTTCCCCAAGACTGAGAATTCTCTGAAACCGCTTCAGGATGTGTTGATGCCGAGTCGGTATAGACGGCTCCGATGCTATGCGGTGGCAGTGTCAGGTGGACTGCTGACGAATCACAGATCATAAGGGTCACCAAGAACTTCCCCAAGAATGTCTTGGTCTCCCTGAATGGGTGCGAAAACGAGGGCTAACCGGGGTGGGCCAAGGCCTATGCGGCTATACCTCCACCGAGCGGCCAATGACGTCGAGCCAGCGTTTTGTCATCTGATAATCGACGACAGAGTCATCCTTTAGCTGAAGGAAATATTTAAGCAGCTTCTACCCAATACGATTCCTCTTCTGATATCGTTATGCCACGGAAGCCTTCATAACCAGAAACAACCTCACACATCACGCAAACCCAAGCATCATCACCACTTGAACTCAACATGGCAGCTCAAGCCTACTACAAGGGCTCCTCAAACTTCCCTCCGCCCCCTCCTTCAGCAACAGGGACTGCACCACCTCCATACTCTCCCATGTCTCAGGTTCCACCACCTCGTCATCAACAATATCACTCACCAGCCCCTCAACAACAATATCAACAGCCTTCACCACAACAGCAACAGCAGCAGCAACGACCTCCCCAACCCTACTATCCAAATCCAAACCAGCGCGCCTACTCCCAACCCCCTCCCCAACAACGACCACCGCCACCACAACAACAACCCTACAAGCAACCCTACAACGGCCCCTACCGTCCAAGCCAGCACTACTACCAACCCGCCTCCCCCTCACACTACCCCCAATCCCAACAGTCCCTCTATCCCCCACCCTCACAGCCCATCTCGTCTCGCCGCTCCCTCTCCCGCTCTCCCCACCGCCACCACCACCATCACCATCACTCCGGGCCCTCGTCGCGACGAGCATCTAAGTCCCATGAAGCGCGAGATTCCTTCCTCGGCGCGGGCGCGGGCGGACTTATCGGCGACGTGCTCTTGGGACCCGGTGTCGGGACACTAGGAGGAGCAATACTAGGCGGACTGGGGGGGAATAGGCATGCGAAGCAGAAGGAGCGGAGGAAGAGCGAGGATTATTATCGAAGGAGGAGTCGGAGTGGGAGCTATGATTCGCGGTGATAGATGCGAGGGACGATGATGAGCTGTATGAGATGAGTGGATGGGATGGGAAAGACTTGTTTGATGATGGCTTGGTGTTTGGACCGATGGACGTATGGATGGATTTATACCCTTGGGAGTTTTCTGTGATACTCTTCTATGATCAGGTAGTTATACATACATGCAGAACATGCCATGCATGCTGAGCATGCAAATATCAGATGATTCTTTGGCTCAAAATACCGTATGTCAATGTGAAACGCAGACCATATCCTCATGCCTCTAAACTTCCAATTTATCAGGTTTGAAACATCCTCATTACACTCATCCAACCCATCCCTGCCCCGCGTCCTCGCATCTTCGCATCGACCATCACCGATTATGATCTTCAGTTCGAGTCCGCCTCACGTAAGCGGCTATCTCTCACCCCGCAATCCTTCCCACACAGCTTCTGCCCCTTGCCACTGCGAGATATATACCCAACTCATCATCCTTGCTATTACGCATACTTAACAGAGAACGAATCGGCGTTCTACACGAACACTTTAAAGGTCAAGAAGATGGGGATCACAATGATTGCGTGATAATGATATATTACACCCTCTGCCCCAGTGCCACATTCATGCATATGCTTCCTGTTGCAAAGAAACTATTAATACAACCCCCTCCCGTTTTCTCGTCCCCTTCCCACCGTCTTTCTCGTCGCAAATAACCAGCAGATCTCACGACACAACCGCCCTCTCCTCACCTCCTAGCCCCGCCTTTCCCACCCCCATCCCCTTTCCTTTCCCTTTCCCCTCTTTTCCCTCCTTGTCCTTATTCTTACTATGCAACCGCCTATACTCCTCCAACCGCCTCGTCTCCAGATCCTGGATACTCACATACGAAGGTGGGGGCGCGAGCGGTTCCTAACCACTATGCGCCAGCACCCTCGTATTGCCACTACAGTGGTGCACCGCGAGCATAGTGCCGCATTTGCCGCACTTGTGCTCGGCGTCCTTGAGCTGTCGGATGAAATAAGGTATGCAGCAGAGGAAGGAGAAGCAGCAGAATAGGACGGCCATTGCACTGTACACCACCGTCTTGTTAGCGGTAGGTTCTTTGTGTGTGCGTTTTGTGTGTGGAAGGGGATCCGGGGGGGGGGATGGAGGGAGGACTCACTGGGTGGTATTCCCAGAATGGAACTCCACGGCCGTCATGGCGATCTGATGGCAAGCCGGACACTGCACCCAAGCCGGGGCGTTCTGCAAACTTGCCAAAGGCGTCACGGGCGCCATCGCTGGTTGCGCTACCATAGGAATTCCGCCTACGCCTGGCGATACGACGCCCGGCTGCTGCGTGTACGCCGGCGCCACTCCTTGTGGTGGCTGCTGACCTTGTGTGTAGTATTCATGCTTCTCATTCATAGGGCTAGTGACGCCCGCTTGCTGCTGGCCGGGGTATTGGCCCGTCGGTGCAGGCTGGATGGGCTGTTGTTGGGCTTGGTGTTGGTCGATAGGATTGCCATAGGGTTGTTGAGCTGGTGGGGAGTGCGCAGGCGAATGATATGGGTCTGGGTTGGGAGAGGGGGCCCCATAAGGAGCGGGTGGTTGGCCGTATGGATGGGCCTGGTCCATGGGTGAAGCCTGTTGATGACCGGTCGCCATTGGAGAGGGAGCGGAACCTGGATGTTGTTCGTAAGGTGGAACTGCGCCTAAGGGGGAAGAAAGGGTGTCAGTAGTTGGAGAGCAGCAGGTGGATGGTCGAAGAGGAGGTGAGGGGCGAGAAGTGGTGGTGACTGACTGTAGTTGGATTGCTTGTCCATTGTTCTGGCCGGTTCAGGGGGTAGCTCTGAAGAGCTGTTTCGGGAGTAATATGGAGACAATGAATGAAGCTGCTTTCGAATGATAGTCTCTGTCGGTGTGTCAAAGGATGTAGGAACGAATGATGAATTGTGGGTGCGACGTAAAGAAGGATGGATAGTGAATGAGGGAAACCAAATTGGCCTCAGCCTTCCCCCCGTGCTCGTTCTTTCCCATTTTGCCCACCAAGTCTCAGGCCGTAACAGCAGCAGCAGAAGCAACGCGTTCTAGGCAGTCGGCACAGCCATTCTTGGCGTCAAATTACGGGCTGGTGCGTCTCTAGCGGCCCCTATCTTCCATAGGGCAAGGCTGACCCTAGAGCTGGACGAATAGGACGCCTACGAGTCATGCGCTTGGCGACTTTAGGCGGCTGTAGTGCCCGTACATTGGCCGGCTTATCCGGGGGCTAAATCTTGGACTCCCCGTGCCTTCTTGGGTCGAGTTCGGTAGATGGTGTCGAATCAAATCCCCAACCGATCATTATTCCAAGGCCCCACAATATAGGTATTGAAGATCTAATTTTAGTATCTTGGACGTCGAGGGCGAAGATGTCCATGGTACCAACTTTGTTTATGTTCCTAGAGCGTAGATATCACTATCCTTCGGTGTCTCGCACAATCTATATTCCTTCGTAACTCTGATATCATACGTTTTCACTATGCCTCTACATCCAACCGCCGAGGACCTCAAGGCACGTACTCCGCCAAATTCAAACAGTCCCACTGCCTCTCCCCCTCCACTTCCTCCCACCACTCCTCACTCGCCCCACCCCCCTGAATATGCCCCCTCACTTTCTTCTCCTCAAACTCCTCCCGGCTCTTCGTCGCGAAATGATGCAATGCCCACCTCTCCCTCGTACTCGGCGTCCTCGAACACGGCGGCTTGATCTCATCCCCGTGCTCCCCGACCTCCATCGCCCCGTCTCTCATCTCACCGACGCAATGCACATTATGGAATGATTCGAACTTGTCAAGGCGGACGAACGTCTTGATGGCCTCGTTGTCGTTGTATGGAGGGGCAGCGTGGTCGGGGATGCATTTCGTGTATACTTTTCTGCTGTCCGTTGGTGGAGAGGGGGTGGAGAGGAGCCCAGAGGAGGTGTGGAGCAACCAGTTCACGCCCACGGCTCCTACTGTGCTGTTCTGTTCCCAGGATTGGAGGAAGGTGAGGAGGGTCTCGTTGCCGGTCATTTCGAGCAATTCGTCCACGTCCAGGAAGCCCATCCAAAAGTGTTGATCGCGAAAGCGTGTGGCGCAGTCGGTGTAGTATTCTTCCTGGATGCCTGCGCGGTCTTCGAAGTCGGGGTTGTGTTCGACTGTGGGGTGGGAGATGAACGTCAGAGACGTGGAGGGGACGCTGTAGTTGGTGTCGGAGAGGGATGGCATGGTGCCGTCGTCGTGGATATAGAAGCGACGGATGCCATGGTGGTGGTAGTGGTGACGGAGGAACTCTTCGAGGTCGCGGGTTTGGTTCTTTACTATGAGAGGGATGAGGTTTCGGTGGTGGATGGTATGCGGGGCGATGAAGAGCTTACCTGTGAGGCAAAGCGCAATGTGTTCATCCTCATCGGGTGGTGGCAAGGGTGGGTTAGGTAATGGCGAGGGACCCTTCTTGTGTTGGCTGATATTCGAGGCCAGTGAGGCGTCTGGAGATCCTTCAGGCAGGGGAAGTGTGCTAGTAGGGTCATCATAGACGTGCTCTAGACCTTTCCATAAATTTCTGTGTTCTTGGACAAACCTATGCACCATTTGCCAGTCAGTGACGTTGTGCTTGTAATCGAATGTTTGTCGAAGCTTGTCTACGAGATTCGGCGCAAAAGCTGAGAGAGGCTTCGTCCTGAATGGTATAGCGGGATGCCATATCGCAAAGATGAGGCAGCATGCGAGGACGATGCGCAATAGGAAGCGCCTCCTCGCAACCGGACGGTATCGGCTTCTGCGATAGTCCTCGAAGCTCATAATCAGATGGACGTATGTCATGTGAAGAAACAGAAATATGTTTCTGGAGAATCGAAGTGAAGCTCCGTACCCTTGAGGGGAGCATACTTTTGGTCAACGGTCAACCTAATAGGCAAACTTACATCTATGAAAATCATACCGCTTGGAAATTAGACTTGATTTCTGAACATGTCTTTTATGCGTTCGGATCCATTTACATCTTCTCCTCAAGAGATCTTTCTTGAAACGTTCAATAAGCAGGATAACAATGAGTACGGAATTCAAGATTGCTAATCTCTCGAGAGAACATCGCCATTTCTTTTCGCTTGAAGGTAAGTAAAGACAGTGTTGTGTCTTCGAATATTGATTGAGCAGCCCGAAATGCAAAAGAACGACGTCTCAATCGCAAATTACGATAATCAGAAGTATAGAAACCGCGAATAGTAGTCATTCTTGATAGCGAATGTTGAGTGGACATGCGTTACGACTTGGATATGGTCCATCGAACAGTAGAACAGTAGTCTACTCTCGACAACACCGCCCCTTTTGGCTCAGAATTCAGACCTTGCGGGAGTCGAAATCATCGAAGCGAACACGACCGACGAGACCTATGATTTTCCACCAGTGAAGGTTCAGAGAACGGTAGATGATATACTTGACATCGGACAAGGGTTTAAAAGTCATCCCTTTCAACTTCCAGACATAATTGAGGTGCATATTCATGCCCATGTGGTCGTGCATTGAGAGGCCTATATGACTCCACATGGATTCGATGTGTATACAATGCCCCGACTGCATCCACTATCGGGTCTTGTCAAATTTTCGCAAGCTTTCCTATTATTTCAAAGGTTGCAAGCTGCGTTGCACTGTATTCGGGACATGACTCGGCTTTTGGTGAAAGATGAGTGTGCGATCCTAAGAAAGTGGAGCCTGCACGAGTCATGAGCCAGGAAATGTCCTGTCGCTCATGCTCGGTCCACAGCCCACCACTGCGACCCATTCACTGTCTATCTCTTTGCCAGCCTTTAGACACTATGACTTCAGATCGCTCGGCCTATGTCTAGGACCTCCATGTTTGAGTCTCCCGTGTCCTTTGCTTTACCGCGTCGTTGCCTTCCCACCCATCGGTTTGTCTATGGGCCCTCGCAATGCTCGCCACGGCCACTGTTGGATCGTTGATGCTGAGGGACTGGTTCCGCATATCCATTACTGTGTGCGTCCGGCCTGAGCACCATCGCCGATGCTGTGATTTGAATCCTTCATGTCAAAGGATTCGACCCTACTTGTCCGCTCCTGCGTGTATGCGGCCTTGTCGAAGTCACCAAAGTTATGATTAGATCATTCTCGTCCAAGAACCCGACCCTGCACGCTTACGGTCATCACATTCGATTGAAAGCTCGTGATCTTCTAATATTTGCCCTCTGCTATGCGGTCAGCGAGCGATGTTTGGTTCTGGGCCAAGCATCACCTGCGCGGATCTGGCACAGGCACCGATTGAGTATCATCCCCGATTTTGATTCCGCCAGGGTCATCATCTCCCATCCATAGGGGGCAGGTTCCACGAAATGGCTCTTGCATACGTTGCTCAATGATACATACATCGGCGATTCAAGGCGAAGAAGAGACAACTAATGGTCGCAACTTGAGTCGGCATGCTCTTCTCTTCAACACTGCCTGCATGTGTGGGCCACTTCCTCGGAAAAGATCAGCCAAAAGGAACTCCTGCATTGTGCAAAATTTGATGTCCGTCCTGATATCACCGACAACGTGAAGGATCGACTTAAGTAGGATTTGAGATGGCGCCCTCTTGAGCGATTAATCAAAGGAAACGACGTAATCACCAAATGTCGAGGTTCAGGATCCTCCAGCTCTCATACATAAACCCTCCAGTGGTCCCCCTCAATCACAAACTTCGATTATCAGCACTCCAACTTTCAATCCTCTCACACTCACACTCTGTTTTCAGCAGTCTTCGTTGGCAATAGTTCGGTTACTAAATCCCCACAGCTTATCATGCATCTTCTCAAAAGCGTCTCGATCACAGCTACTCTCTCTACCTTTATCACCGTCGGCGCCGCTACACCAATTGAGCATACCAAAGCACCGCTTTCCGCAGGTGTTCTCAAGCCCAGAGCCGACGAGGTAGATAGAACAGCAATTGTCAATACCTACACCAGCACATCATGCGGTGGTGGCGGTAGTAGCAACCAATTTCTCAATGCCAATAACCAGTGCTTGCATCAGGGTGGGAACTCCATCGAGGTCAACGCAAGGTGGGCGCTTTTCAGCCCAAGTTAAGCGTATAGGCTGACCCGAATAGTGGCTGCAGTACGACGACCTTCAGTGGTACCAATTGTGAAGGGTCTTCTATGGGCATTCCCAATTCAAGCTGCTACACTGTTCCCTACGCTTCGGTATTGGTGAATTGCGGCTGAGTTGCAATTTGGTGAATATTGTAGCTGGCGTAGAAGATGTCGCCGCTACTTGGAGGAGAGAAATGTGATTGAGAGGGGCCGTGGCAAGGGAGTAAAAGCATAATTTCAGTTTCGTAGTTGGGGGAGCCAAATTCCAATTTTGAAACGTCCACAATGATCATCGTCCCAGACAGCTCGCAATGTGTGCGTTAGTCGTAGCAGGAGACCATCTCACCCTTGAACTATTGGTCTTCTTTGATTTTCGTCGTTAGCTTACCCAAGAGACTCTTCGATTAGCGGATTTAGACCGATGTACGACAAAACTCGCAAGTCTCGGGTGCAAGGTACTGGTCGTACATCATACCAGTACAGCACTCAACCCCGTTCTTGCGACTTTCACAGCTGCAGGAAATATGTGTCACAGACGCAAGCCAGTGGAAGCCGGAGTGAGTCCAGTCATGTCCGGCTTCGGTCGAAAGAGAGGTATATTATGCAGAAGCTGATTCAGCCTCGTCAATTCTGTGTTTCCCCGCACACATGCAGTCAGAGTCTCCACCGACATATAACATTGGGATACCTTACACTTTTGACCAACCTCGGACCGTAGCGGTCGGGAAGCTCCGAAGAAGAGTGCCAAGCAACTCCACTGTAAACCTTAAATAGGTAGGGAGCACGATACCTTATAGAACTATGCTGATTCGAAAAGATAATATTCTTATTAAGGGATCTTTGAAGTAGCGAACGCTTGAGGCTTTCGGATACATTGGAATGAGAGCCTGATGCGCCGTTGTAAAGGTCTAGATTTCACGCTTTCCTAGTGTCTGGCGACCCAACGCCGCAATGCGCCTCTCCCATCTCAAGACGTACGTCTGCGTCCAAAGTCAATGTCGCACCATGCTTTGTACTACGTGCATGATGGACGCCATCTAGCAGAGGGCCGCTCTAGTGGAGCTTAAAGTTCCACTGAGGCAACAGAGCTCCACAGATAATGGTCTATTCTGGTCCAAGCGACGAAGATTCTGTGGCTAATATTTATCAAGACATTCCATTCACCCCCTCGATTTGGGTCGATCACGACCTCTCAGCGCTTCAAGAAATCAAAAAGCTTGGTCCATAAGATGGCTTCTCGAGTGACCTTTCATCACCCTCGGTTCATGCTGACGGTCATCGTCCTCATTTTCATCACCTATGCACTTTACGTGCTCGATCCTGCACATGATCGATCATCTCCAAGTCCGTCTCTACCTCTCAATCCTAGCAACAAACAAAAGGTCTTTAGCGATTATGAAAATGCGAGGAGAATCAAGCATGCGGCGAGCAAAGATCAGACGGGCCAGAACGCGACACCTCTCGCGGAGCCTCTAAGCCCAAGACCAACAGGCAAAACCAGCAAGGAGCCGTCCATGAGCAATGAAGAGAAGGAAGGCAAGATGAAAGTCGGACTCGGCAATGCTGTGGGGTCATCCCAATCGCAAGGCAGCTTGAGCGACGGCAGAACGAAAGGGGCTATCAAGCAGACCAGCTCGATCGAGAAAGGAGGGCCGGACAGCCAGGAGCTATCTGGCCAGAAGGCTGATTTTAGCAAAGATCTTCCCGTTGACGGTAGGCTAGAAGAATTAGAGAACGAAGTGAAACTGGCTCTCTCTGGAAATAAAAACAAGGCTTTCCCAGTTTCGGATTTACCTGGAGATGAGATTGACTATCCTAGGAAGGGTGGGAAGAAATCAAGCGGAAAGTACGAAGCTACGAAGGTTCCAAAGACTGGAAAAGTGGGATCTGAGAAGCTTTCAGGCGTTGCTCTTAGGGATGAAGCCTTCGCATCTCCTCACAAAGACCAGACCACCACGGGAGGCATGGATGTTTTCAAGATTAAAAATGCAGAGAGTGGTGATGACGAAGATGAAGTGCATGGTACGCTGTTATCATCTTCAAAGGTCAACACCCCTACAACGGAAGTGACTGGCACAAATATGACTAGCTCACCGAATAGAGATCCAGAGGACTCATCCAAATCTCGCAAGAAGATCACTCCAACTGAGACTAATCCAAATCCTGACATAAAGGTGGAGGATATCGATGGTTCATGGGCTTTCAATGTGAGACGGGACGGTAACAATTTTGGTCTGTCCAAGGATCAGTGTCTTTCAGCATTCCCGAAATTATACAAACATCTTGAGGACATGGTGGAGAGGTTCAACAAGAACCCCATCACCAAAGTCCAACTTGACGCCATACAGTCGGATGTTAATCGAGTCAAAGCTATGATCTATGATGGAGAGCTATATGTTCTGTCTGATGAGGGCCTTGAGGAACCTAATACCAGGGGTATGGCTACTATCAACGCCATAAACCGTGCATTGGTTGCACACCCTGATCGCGCGAATTTGCCCAATTGTGAGTTTGTTTTCTATACACAAGATGGCCAGGCAACGGATGAAGGCGTCCCTATATGGGCTTACACGAAATCAAAGGGCATAGACTTTGAGCACGTTTGGCTAATGCCAGACTTTGGATTTTTCAGCTGGCCTGAGCCAAAGATCGGTTCTTATAGTGAGGTACGCCGGAAGATCTCAGAGATTGATGACCAGATTCCGTTCGGTAAAAAGGAAGACAAACTCGTTTGGAGAGGAGCTAATCTGACCGAGCAACGGCATTCCTTCATTCAGGCTACACAGGACAAGTCTTGGGCAGACATCGGAGTCCTCGACTGGTCCGACGAGAGCAATATCAAGAATAAATTGCTGCCTATTGCAGAGCATTGTAAATACATGTTTGTAATGCACGTCTCCGGATATGCTTGGAGCGCGCAAGGAAAGTACATGCACAACTGCAACTCTGTCTTCGTAACGCACCAGCTGGATTTCGCAGAAATCTATGACCAAGTTCTTGAGGCTTCGGGTCCAGAGCAAAACTATGTCAAGGTCAAGGATGATTGGTCAGATCTCGAGCAGCAGATTGAAGCCCTTCGCAAGAATGTTAAGCAGGCACAGCAAATCGCCCACCAAAGCACGAAAGTCCTACGCGATCGATATCTTACTCCGGCTGCAGAAGCGTGCTACTGGCGGGCGTTGATCGCAGCGTACGGCTCAGTCAGCTTTGAGCCTGACTTCTATGAGCCCAATGAACACACATGGCGAGGGGTTCCTTTTGACTCCATCACGCTCACACGACGAGTCAAGTGGGTTGCTCATTGACGTCATGAAGACTTTGAAAGTCGATCTAAAGAAGCATGAACCATGCCCGACAGTACTCTCGAGCCCGACTATACTATTGCAACGAGCCAATGGACGTCTCACCACAATCAGCAACCTCATGTTCGCTAGGAAAATCAAGTCTGAAGCGATTGACTCTCAGCTTTTACTTTCGCAGGCTACATGCAAGGCTGACCTGAAGGTCTCACATGACTGAATCTTTTAAATAACTGAGGGGACTACACAGCGTCTCAAGAAGCGGACAATTGCTCATGTAAGTGGACTTGGGGTTAGTGTCGCATGCTTTTCACTTACTATACCAGTCTCACTGCGTCTCGAGGTGCGTTAGCGACTGATTGTGAGATTTCAGCCTCTTCCTACCTCAACTTTGTCGATGGCTGGGTAGTCGTCGTAGCGAGAAAGATAAAGATCATGCAAAGAATTCGAATTCCTTGGAAGCACGCGCCACAAGTGTGGACCCACCTCCAGGGCACAACCAGTGATATGACCCTGAAGTGACCGACATGCCATGATTTCGGTGGCTCCTGGCGGTCTTGAAGAGCTTCTTTCGCTCTGCCAGGTAGTACCGGTGTTTAGCATTTGGTGCGGTGAGAGCCGTTTCAAATGTTGGGGCAGATCGTTTCATTCTGGAGGATGTCGTAAACGTCCATCATCTTCACACCCCTTGCTCTAGGGACTCCCCGTACGAGTCATCCAGTCTTTGCCTTGTCATGATCATGCTTTGTTTCCATTTCGATGAAGGACGCAACTTACAACCAGCTACAATTTGCTGGAATTACAATTGCCTTGTCCCCTTTGTTTCAACGCTGGAAGTATTGTCCAATGATACTTTATAATTGGTGAGGGCCGAATGTGGCCCGTCCATGTATATTGCCCATCGCAACAACTTGATTATCGCTGTAAAGAAGAGAGGAGGCGGTCGCACTACTTGCCTGCAAGGTCCTCCTACCAGACGAGCTCTCTACTATCTGTGCTACCTTGGATACTACGTCTCACAACCTCGCGATTCGAGACTGCACAATCACTTAACGTCGACTGCCTCAGCATTGTCGACCGAATTTCAGGCGTGCTTCATGTCGAATCTAGCTGTCTGCTGTGTCGTCGTTGTCCAACCCTCTCGCTACGACTGCGGCATTCCATTCATTTCTATCGATGATCTTCCCATTTTTTTGCTCCTCACATGAATCCCTTTCCTCCTAGCAGATAAATAAGAGACCGATCTCTTGTTAATGTTGCGACATTCTAGAATAAAAGAACTTTTGATGGTCATATGTTTCGCTTGATTCGAAGGTTTCTTGTAAGGTTAAAGCCTGTGGCGTCACGACAAGAGCGGTAATCAACGGTCACAAACGCAAACTCACAGTCCGTGACAAGTTTTCTGCCAAGAGCAGAAGACGTGGATCCATCTTCATCGACCCCAGATCAAGCAAAGGCCATCTCCAGGCAATTTTTATTCCCTGTCACGGGCAGGAGTCGTTCGCCATCGCTTCATCGTCTGACGCAAGGGAGTGTTATCATGGTCGGTAGGATATTATCATCAACAATGTCCTCCCAGGTATATGGCGTCTTTGTGTTGTTGTTGTTGTTGATATTTGCGTTGATCACCTTACGAACGGCGCCATGGCCAAATCCAGACCATTCACGGTCCTTCCCGACAGCATCATCCATCTCCACAGCCAATACAGCCGTCGACGGTCCCAATGCTATATCTACCAACGATAACCCACAATTCGAGCTCGTCATCTCTCACTACCAAGCGGACTTCAAATTGATTCAAGCCTGGACTGAGCAAATCCGCTCGACACCATACGTCAGTCAGCTGGGCATGAAGTTGGTCATTTACACCAAAAATGCTAACGTAAAGTATGGTTCTTCGTCTATAATTCGCAAAGTATTCTTTGCCTTCCCTGTTCTCCTATTCTGCTGTCCCTTCCACAAGAATACGGCAATTGACCAAGCCTAATCGCACTTCTTCCTAGTCTTGACATACTCAAATCAGCGACTGGCGCAGATGTCGTCCAGCATCTCCCTAACCTCGGCCGTGAAGGCGCAACTATCCTTCATCACCTCATTACTACATATGCCTCTCCATCTCCCTTCAGTATGTTCTCCCAAGACGAGCCGGAATGGTCCATAGATACCGACACGGGCCTCCTCGAGCCCTTCCTCATCGATCACCTCACCCACTCTTTCCGTCCTAATACTGGCTTTCTAGCCCTCAACAAATGGAACGAACCCTGCTACTGCGGCAACTGCGGGGGCCGCGGGCAATTCCCATTACAAGTCGCCATCTACAACATGTTCGAGAGAGGTGTTTGTCACGAAATGAGTTGGGTGACCCTCTGGTCGCAATTCATCGTGTCCGCGCAGCGAGTAAGGGAAAGGGACCTAAGAGCGTACAAGTGGCTTTTCAAAATGATGACCGCCCCAAAAGATCATTGGATTCATGAGGAGACGCAGCCGGATTTTATCAAGGAGGAGTATATGGAGGGGGAGAGCACGCCAGATAATCCGCTCTTTGGACACACGCTGGAGAGGAGCTGGAATATGATTTTCAATTGTGCGTTTCCGAATGATATCGAGGAGAGCATGAGGATGTTGGATGAGCACCGGGTGCATTGCGTGGATTGGAAGATGGAAGGGCAGGAGAAGTGGATGACTGTAGACGGAAAAAGTGATAAGGAGGCGCAGGATAATACGCAACTAGAAGAAAGGACAGACGGTGATGGCACCACAACAAGGCAGCATAAGCAGGTGCAAGCCATCGGCGCACCTGCCGCGGAAGGTCTTCATCGTCACGCCATCCCTCAACATAGTCTTGAGGCAGAACCATCCAAGACCGCCGCTCAAAAGAAATCCAACAAGCCATCGCCAGAGACAACACAAGACGACCACGACATCCCCCTCCCCCATAACTTCCAGCTCGAAGAAAAGCAATCAACTAGGAAACCACCAGCCCACGCAACAAAATCCCTAATCGAATGACACGGCCACTGCCCTCATGTCCGAACGCTACAATGCCGCTACCAGCAACAAGGAAACCTCAACACCTCCGTCTGCTGGCAGCACAGAAGACGACAAGATGACTACAGAGCAAGGGAAGGACGTTCAATTGCCGAAAGATCTGAGGAATATGCAGAGGCAGACGTACACTTGACCTTCATGCATCACTATCACCAAGACATTCATCTCACCTGTGTGCGGCCAAGGAACGAGAGCATACAGGTAGATCTTGGGCCTTACCAAACAAGGTCGCAGCAGGAAGGTGGTCCGCCCGGGGCTGGGAGGAAAGACCTCAAGAGGAGGAAATCTGTCCGTCTTGAAGGAAGAGAGGCTCCCGAAGCGTGACGGTCGGGATATGGGGATCTGCGGCTTCAAGGTCGTGAGGCTAGAGGTCTTCTCAGGCACGTTTCATTGACTGCGACTGGCCAGGTTGGATACTAGATCTCAAAGAGCTGGCAAGTACTCACGTGCAGTTGCCGTGTCCGTGAGCAAGAGGACAGGTAGAGATGTACGTGAGACAAAGAGTGCGAATCCAGTGGAAAGAGTGTAGTGCTGTGAATGTGAGGGTGATTCATTGGGAAATACTGAGATTTTAGATGTATGCAGAAGTAGAAGAATGTTCATCGGCGAGAGATTTACCATTTGGTGGCTTACGCTCTCGCTTCGCTGTATATGCCAACTTCCCCATTTTTTAACTATATTCCATCAAATTCACTACTGAGTCATGGCCCCGCGGCTCTATATAAAATGTCCTTTTACTCACGCTCACTCTTACTCACTCTTACTCACTCCCACTTGCTCCCATCCTTTGCTGTTCGCGCTGATACTAAATATCCTATATAATTTCCCAAAAGTTTCAAGATTAATGCGTGGAGGTTCATTACAAAGTCCGACGCTTTCATTCGTCTCCGTCCTGCGCAGCTTTCTTAGCCAGCGCGTCTGCAACCGTGTTGTACTCGCGAGGTACATGCCAGAACCCGATGTTAACATTCTCCAGCTTTTTCCTGGCGGTGATGGCTGCATCTAATTCGAGGAACAGGTCGAGATTTGCCGGTTTCTTGTTCTGCACAGTACGGAAGTTTTTCCTCTGGCGCAATAGGTAATCAGTGTCGTACGTATAAAAGCAAGGTTGGATATTCATCGAAGTGGAAGACATCGATCGCGCTTCATCTCCTTACCTTCCACGTGGGAAACCATTCCGTTATGCCCTTCACCACATATACCGAGTCTGTGGCAATGATCCACGTGCGTCGAGCCATGTGTGCTTTCAAAGACTTCTCTGCAAAGTCAACGTTGGATTCGTCTTTATCAGCTACGTAGTCCAGTCCCTGCAGTGCAGCCAGCAGCTCTGCACGTTGATTAGTTCTTGGATGATGCCCGTCTATCGTCATCGTAATGGGAATGGCTTTCTGGCTATCAGGGCTATCGCCAATAGCTATTCCTATGCCGGATACTGCTCCTGACTGGCCGTTTCGGCTACAGGCACCGTCTGTGAAAATTAGCCGAAAATGGTGGCATATGCGATCGTTGTCGTTAGCGTCGTCGTCGTCGTCGTTGTTGTCGTTGTCGTCGTCGTCGTCGTCGCCGTCGCCGCCGTCGCCGTTAGAGTCGGAAGAGTCATGATGTTGTGAGTGATGGCAACAGAAGAGAAAGTAATCGCGGCAGTCTCCGCAGGTCAAGACGAGCTCATCCGTATCGAATTCTTGAAGCCTGTCGCAAAAGACCAATTTCCTGCCGAATACACCCTCTGAGCTGTTGCCTTCCATTTGCGTCATGCCGGCTGATTTCCGTATAGTCAATTTTCCTGACGCTAAGCAGCCAGGAACCTCTTATTCCTCAACTGCTTGACAAAAATTAGTCAACATACGACAGACATTTTCAGACACCTCCTGCCCCATTGTTCTGAAAAGCTAATGAAACAGGCTTCGGAAAAGCGGCTACTAGCAAATCACAGAATGTATATGGTAATCTGACAATGTCTAGAAGAGATTGCCATTCAATGGATGATGTCGCCGTGGAGATGACGTTGACTGTACCGATAATCTCAATGACAGATGTCGACCCACGTCTCTTCCCCGAGCTTCGAGTCGTTTCAAGGGTAAACTGAGTAATTAAGTCACGGTACTTGGTATGATGATCTCTCTTAGACTGTTTCTAAATGGCAATTCATCGTAAGAAATTGATATTATGGTGGCTGAGTGGCTGCACGGAGAGTGGCGGAAGTTATCTTTCTTCCATATTTTTGAAGCTCATATATTATAATTGTAAAAATAGATGCTGCGCTAGCTCAAAAATAGCAAAGACCGAGAGCAAGCCAGGCTGGGACCGTATGCCTCAAAATTTAGTATTTCCGGGTCTTGAGGAGAAGAACGAGTTCTTCGCCTCGAGCCCGGTTCGACCCAAGACTACCCTTGATGATTCTGTGGGAAATAAATGATCCTTCGATATTAGGCCTAGATGTCGGATTTAAAAGGGAGAAGAACGAGTTCTTTTCTTATGGCCTGCAGCTTTTTTTGGCCTTTAGAAGACATCCCGGTCACCCCCTGGGTCGGATTTCTTGGCGTATTACAAGTGTCGGCGGCGAATTTTAGTTAAGAACCTGGAAGTGACTGGGTATCTTCATACCAGTAATTCCCTTACGAGAGTTTTCAGGCTCCGGATTTACAGTATCTTTACTATGATATGCAAGCAGAAATATATCTACGGGCATTTGGTCATACAGCGGGAACAAATTTGATTTCTGGAGATCAGCTACAAAGGTAGCCTAGGATGACAAGTCGCTACTATGCAAAAGAGAGGAACAAGTTCTTTGCTTTTGTGTTTTTTGATCTCAGAAGTGCTTGGTTCGATTCGCCTCGAATATCACGCTTCCACTTTGCGCTCTACAATCCGTCCATGAAGTAATTTTGATGACAATATTGTCTTTTCGCAGCCGTACACAGGCCCTCGAGGGCAATGCTCCATGAATTGGTACTGGAGGTTCTGTGCGTCGCTGACTTTAGAGTTCAGCCACGGACAATTGATGGCAAATGCTGATATTTTGAAATCGATGCATTGACTGCCCAAAAAAGAGGAAAGACATTAAAGCACCATCCCTCTCAACACCCAAAATCACCCCTGACGCTAGCAAATCAACTGCCGTCATCACTACCGGCATAAAAGTCCCTCCCTCCTCCCATCGCCATGTCTACCTTCTCTCTCCACCGCAGCCATGCCTCTCACCCTCTCGGACATCTCAGCCTTCTATACCTACCTGACGCACCACATAGTACCCGGCCCCCAATCCATCAGCTACTTCGTCCCCCTCCTCCTCCTGCCCACCGCTCTCCTCATCCCGCCCACAACCCTCTCCCACCAAAAGCTATACACCCTCTTCCTACCCCTGATCTACGCGTGTGTCCTACATGCTTGTATCGCGATCGGTGGGCCAGATGTGCTGTGTGTGACGTTTGGACTGTGGGGGACTACGGTGCTAGGGTGTTATGATGTGCGGGCGAGATTTAGACGGGTTAGGCTGGCAGCAGGGGCGGAGGGAAAGGGGAAGAGTAGGGAGAAGAAGGGGATAAGTGAGGTGGGAGAACATAAGGTGGGGCTAGAGGGTGTAATGGAAGAGAGCTATCCGCAGACTTTTGGGTGGGAGCGGATACAATGGGTTCTTACGCTGTTGATATCGCTGCGGTTTAATGGGTGGAAGATCGGGGATGAGAAACATGATAGGGGACAGCCGGCGCGTGGGATGAGTAGGAGAGGGTTCTTGAGACATGCGTTCAAGTTTATATTGTTTGATGCGCTGATATTGGATGTTACGTCGGTGTATGTGAGGTGGGATCGTTATTTCTCCGATCCGGGGGTGGGGATTGATGACGCTTTTATCAATACCCATGAGATTGCCCCCGTGTTCGCAAGTGTTCTGCTAGCCACACCTCCTCGACTTGTCCGATCCAGCGTACTTGCTGCCCATGCGTTCGCAAGCGTATCGGGGATGTTCTATGTCGGGACTCCTTTACTGATTTGGCTGAATTGGATTCGATTGCTACCTGATGAATGGAGCCCACAAGCCTGGCCAACGTTCTTCGGAAGCTTCACAGCAGTTTTGAAGAAAGGGTTAAGGGGTTTGTGGGGCTCTTGGTGGCATCAGCTGAACCGAGAGAGCTGCGGTGCTCCTGGAAAAGCAATCGCCGACAGAATGGGGCTGCCGGTGGAGTCAGTTGGGAGGTATATTTGCCTGGTCGCGACAGCTTTCTTCTTCTCCGGTGTCATGCACATGGGCTTGATACCTCCCCAGCCGTTAATCGAGGCGCTGTCAGCCAACCACATGAGACTTCATGTTGCTGGATTTTTCTGGCTCCAGGTACCAGGTTTTGTGATTGAGGTGGCGATTTCGATGCTTGTTGATCGCGTTGCGCCATCAATTAGAGACTGGAAGATTTCGAAGCCCGTGACCATGGCATGGACTTTCTTGTGGTTGAGTCTGACGTTGCCACTCTTGACTGTGCCATTCCGGGAGCTCGGCTATTGGAGTGTCTTCAATTGGCACCCAAGTATCTTATATAGAACATCTAGATATCTTCAATATCAAGAACCAGTCTTCTGAGAGATCTTTCGCACTTGAGTAGATTGTGGGCAACCCGAAGTTCTCCAAACGCTGCTTTGTTGGGATATATTCTCTCGCACACTTCATCGGATGGTGACACGTCAAGAACTGGGACTCATACAGTCTTTTCACCCTTTTTGTTCCCTCCCGGTGATTTTGACGACCTTTTTCTGTCCTGGTGGCCGTGGGCCTGCATCTTTTGTTTCCGTTTCCGTGAATCCAAGCAGCTCTCCGACCAACCCTTTGGGCTTCGGTACAGGGCATTCATGTGCTCTCTTTCTTAGTGTCTGGGCCTCATCTTCAGATGAGGTAGTAGGCACGTAATTGTCCGATTCATTATCCGATCCAGGTTGAGGTACTTTTCGTCTGTCAGGTTGCGTTCGTGAATGGCTATCCTTGGAATGCGGCGTCTCTGCGTCTGCGAAATGGACTCGTGGAGCCGGGCAAGGTAATATGTGAGGCATGCCGACGACAAGGAAGGAAATGAGTAATGTGGTGCCGAATAGGGAGCTCGTGAATCGAGAGCGCGGATGTAGAGGCGGCGTCATTACGGAGCCCAATTCCGTTGAGCCGGTCTTCAATCACAGAAATTTGTAGGTCTTCATGATTTCTTGCGGTGTGTGAACAGCTAAAGGAGATCGTCGAATTACTTGTAGGCAGATGCTGTGGGACGTCCTAGATCTCCGCAAAAACTGAAGGCAATGAACCGGCGCTAGCCCTTTTCAGGTCTGGAGCGCGGTTTTCACGAATCCATCTCAGTCAACAACACGCTTTGAAGCATGTAGAGTCTCTGTTGCCTGCCATTGCGGGCCATAATGTGTTTATAGAAGTTCTATTCGAATCCCTCAAATTTTCCACGAAGCTCTGATCCACTTCTGTTTTTCAACTCTCAAAGATCCTCATCGAAATGGCTTCCACGAACAGTTCAGATTCTGGCAGGGAGTCTGCTATTGACAATCCTGTCTTACCCCCATACATGCTTGATTCATGGCGCTTTTGGTACCGTGAAGAAGATCGTACACAAATTAATGGTTTTTCGGTGTCCTCTCTTTCCAAAGCTTTCCTTGAACATCAAATGAATCTATACGATTCGGCGAAGGCAAAGCAACAAAGCAAGACTGGCGTCCCATCTTTGACATCTTCTGTCATTACCGGCACTCTCGATGCCCTCGAGGCTTCTCCTAATCCCGATCAAGATGCTAAGACGCTTGCGGAAAACCTCAGCTCAGTGGCCTTCAAAAGGCTTTTGACTGACCCCAAAATACCGTATCAGGCTTTCAGATCTCTGCTCCAGGAGTATCAGTCCAATTCATCTGCGGGAGCTCCGCGTAACGATGTAGATGTCAATATTGACGGATTTATCCTGCAAAATGAGCGATATGTAAGATCTAGGGGCTTTGCCAACCAAGATGGGAAGTACCTCCTTGAACTAGAGCAGCTCCCCGTACTTCTCAATCAATCAGAATCACTCGATACAGAGACATCCATGGGGCAGGATACTTTGAGTTTCAAAAGGGGAGACTTGCCCAAGGGCGGGCTAGAAGTCTTGGATTACCACCGCAACATGCACAGAGAAATGCGGATCCATGCCACTCTTGGTTCATTCACGAAGACTTTTGAGAGAGTGACTGAGAACGTACTACGCGGTCTGGACTGGTCGAATGTTTTCGTGGCTGGAGGCATGGTTCTAGCAACTTTACTGCACACTGACCCGAAGGACGACAAAAAGGATGAGATCATCAAGCCTGATGTTGATTTATATATCTACGACCTCACTCCAGCCGAGGCTAATGCAAAAGTTGAGCACATATACGACGTCTGGTCGCGAAACCTACCATCCACCTACTCCGAACGACTTGTTGTAAAGAACGCTAAGACAATCAATTTTTTGACGACTTTCCCCGGAAGGCGCCTCCAGATCGTTTTGAAGTTGCTGCCATCCCCAACAGATATACTTCTGAACTTTGACCTAGATGCTTGCGCAATCGGCTTCGATGGCTCTCGCATTCTCATGCTTCCAAGATTTGTTCGCGCGTTAGAAACCGGCTATTCGGTCTTCAGAATGGACTTGATCTGGGGTCATCACCTAGGCGATCGGCGAGCGACCCAGGACCCCCGAGTATTTAAGTATGCTGACAGAGGCTTCGGAATCCGCTTCTTGCCGTCGTATGCGAAATCTTTAGAAAGAAATTTCGAGACAAATCAGGAAAGAGACCGGCTAGTTGACGGTGAGGGCGAAGACGAGTCCTCATATGACTTCATCCAACGAGCTCGCTGGCCTTATGGGCCTGAACCTGGCCTAAAGACTTTAAAGAGGGTCGCTTACCTCGGTCGTGACTTTGTCCACAGGTTTTGCTTCGGCGTCAGTCCCTTGGCAATTTCGGCCGAGGAATATTTTAATGTTCTCTACCAAAATCACGGTAATTTACACCAAGACGATGTCAGTGAATGGCAAGAGAGATTTGCCGTTGCTGAAAAGAACATGCTTGAGGCCGCTGAGCAAAGGGGTTCGCGTCCGCCTTCTATGGGCTCAAGCCCGCAGATCAGATTCTCTGATCTAGCAGGAAGGAATGTATATCGGCACCTACCTGATGGAAGGAGGGGGCTCGGTAATCTCGAGGTCTTCATGCGAAATTGCGAAGCATGGAGACTGAATGCTATTGAGCATATTACGGTAACCAAAAATTCTTTTGCAAGCACCGAATACGACTCGGACGTGTATGAAGATGTTCCAAAATATGAATGGGACGCTTCGTTCGAGCCACGATCATACGCTGAAGCTATAGATGATGCGAACAATCGGGTTTTGTGGAGCAACACTAAGGCCGCAATCTGTAACAAATTGATGATAGACCTCACTTGGTCTGGCTTCGCTGATTATGCGACCCGTCGTCTGCGCCGACAAGTCCATGGCCCAGATCTTCAATCTGTGATGGATCGGCAGATCACAATACCTGTCAATATTCCTGCTGCTCTCGAGGCCTTTATCTCGCAGACTCTCCCTGCGCGATACCCAGACGTTCCTTCTTTCTTTACGGAAGATTTCTGTCTTATTCCCTTGCATGATGCTGGCGCCTACAGGCCTGAGGGCACTCCAAAGCCTTCTCTTCGAGAAACGGGTAGCGAACATGGAAACCTACGCTTCTGGGTCATCACAAACGACAGCATGTGGGCTGGCCAGCATCGAGTGATAGATGAAACATTCGAGCTCCTATGGGTACTTTTCCACTTGCTCATGGACGACGCGGAATCGGTCTTCACTGACGCAGCTGATATTGAATGCGTTTACAAAATCGCACGTGCCTTCCGGCGAAGGATCGTTATGCCAGAGATGACCGAGGACGAGGATCTAGGGATTGGGCTGCCAACTAAGCGAGAAGCACTGCTCTTCAGAGCATGGGCGTTAGTCTCTCCCAGACTTCACCATAACCGCTACAGCGAGCCCGAAGAAGAGGGTGCTCACGAGCTGTTTGGGGGAGATGGGGCCCACAAGTACCCATTTGACGACAGTCTTTTCTGGAAAGGTGACGAGGAAGAACTGGGAATCAAGCCGGTCAGGAAGCGAGGTCGAAATGATAGCGACGAGGCATTGGAGACACAAGTGCCCACCAGATCGCGATCTAAGGTGTCATCGGCGGAAGATGGATAGAGACTCACACCTGCGGAATATAGGCATTGTTGATGTAGCTGCCTTTGAAAACTCATGAGAAGGGCCGTAGTCGGCGTCTCTATCAGGAAGACAATCCCGTACGTATCATATAGGCCATCTCCGTCTACCTCGGTAGACGCGATTATATTTGACACGCCTTATATTCTGTTTTTCCCGGCGACTCTGTAGATGCCTGAACCTAGTGCGTGGCAAACATACAGCGCCTCTTCGACATAGCTATCGCATCAGCCACAACATACATCACACAGGCAGCTGAGGATAACCGGATCAAACGGGCGGCAAACCAAGCAATTCTGCAGCTAAGGGCCTATTCTAGACCTGGAGGCTGCCCTGCAGATGCCCTGCAGAAGCACGGGCAACAAGGAGTGCCTTCCGGTTGGCCAAGTCAGCACCTAAAAAGCTTAGATTTCATTTTCTGATCGCGTCTGTCGTAGTAACAGTGTGGCGCAGGCGTCGAGAAGGGCCGAAAAGTGCAGGCACGTCCCAGGTCGCATACATGATAGATGCGACATTGGACATTGATTGCGTTCATCGTGCATAGACTTCGTCCGAGTTCAGAGGTGGGGTAAGGCGCAAGTGCTGAGGGAATGAGTACAAGACAACATTAAATATTGAAGTGGTGAACAGCACTCTACCACCTGGCAGTTTCCATATCCAGCGCAACCATTCGTGCCATTGGGCATCGGTGACTCTGATTGGAGGCTCTCCCCGGCAATTACATCAGTCGTTGCCCATTTCCGTCAGCCAAGCAAGCCAAGCTTTTGCTGCATCGTCGCGCGACGGCCCCCACGTCAAATTTCCCAGATTCGCATTTCTGCCACATCAACAATCACCCATTCACTCTACACCCCAATTGCTTCCATCTACATTCACTACTATCTGCTGCACAGCTAGCTTGAGCATTGCTATCTGGGCATTTCAATCATCATTTGGGTGCTGTTCAGCTCTCCCGCTCGAGAGTCTGAAGGGCCCACGGCCGTCGAGATGGCCAACAATCTGTTTGCACGACAGGTACGCCAGCCACGACTGAAAAAAACAAAGTCTGCTCTGCAATACAGCCCCACTGACTATGTCTCTAGTCAGGCTCGTCTTCGAACAGTAAAAACAACACTCCGTCCGTATCGAACTTGTACTGGACTGCCGGCCCTGCTTTGCTAGTTGCACTCGCCTATGTCGTGATCTGGCTCCTTTTACGACCTAAGCTGAAGCGTAATTATGCTCCTAGATCATACGTTGGATCACTCCGCGAGCAGTCAGTTTTCTCACTTCTTGTCCAATGGTGATCAATAGAACTGACCCTTTCCATCGCAGAGAACGATCCCCAGATCTCCCTACTGGTCTCTTCAATTGGGTTGGCGTGTTCAACAAGCTTCCCGATACTTACGTCTTGAATCATCATTCCCTCGATGGCTACCTGCTACTTCGCTACCTGAAGATTTCCGTTTTGATAACCTTTGTTGGCTGCTGTATCACCTTCCCCGTCCTCTTCCCAATCAATGCCACTGGAGGAAACGGCCAAACGGAGCTGAATATGCTATCCTTCGGAAATGTCAAGAATCCCAACCGGTACTATGCCCACACCTTTGTTGGCTGGATTTTCTTCAGTGAGTCCCCAATGAAGGATCGATGAAGAAGAAAACTAATTCTCCGCAGCCTTTGTCTTCTACATGGTCATGAGGGAAAGTATCTACTACATCAACCTACGCCAAGCATACCTGATCTCTCCTCTGTATGCTAATCGTTTGTCTTCCCGGACCGTGCTATTCACGTCTGTGCCGGAGGAGATGCAAAATGAGGCCAAGTTGCGGAAAGTCTTCGGTCCCCAAGTCAAGAATCTTTGGATTGCGAATGACTGCAAAGAGATTGAAGAGCTGGTCACCGAGCGAGACAAGGTCGCGATGAAGTTGGAAGCCGCCGAAACCAAATTGGTTAAGTCAGCAAACACAAACCGCCTCAAAGCCGCAAAGAAAGGAGGTGCGGCCGAAGCCGCAATCGGAGCTGATGGCGACGACGTTGACGGTGAATCTGGCTCTGTCGCTGCTCGCTTCGTGCAGCCAAAGCAGCGTCCTACCCATCGCTTGAAACCGCTCATCGGCAAGAAGGTCGATACCATCAATTGGTGCCGCTCGGAACTTGCTAGTCTGATACCAAAAATTGACGCCCTACAAACAAAGCTTCGTGCTGGAGAGGGCAAATTCATCTGCTCTGTCTTCATTGAATTCTACAACCAGACCGAAGCGCAAGCCGCATATCAAAGCCTGGCCCATCATCAACCCCTGCACATGTCCCCAAGGTTCATTGGTGTTAGTCCTGAGGAAATCATCTGGAAGAATCTGACCATCAATTGGGCATCAAGAATCGTCCGCAACATCCTAACGACCTGCTTTGTATCAGCTCTTATCATCTTCTGGGCTATTCCCGTCGCTTTCGTTGGTGCGATCTCCAATATCAAGGCTTTATCTCAAGGTGACAACACTGTGACTCCGCCAAAGCCTCCCCTCCTCCCATGGCTCAGCTTTATCAACAAGATTCCCCCTTCGATCCTTGGTGTCATCCAGGGTCTTCTACCCTCGGTCCTGCTTGCTGTTCTAATGGCATTACTACCAATCATCCTCCGATTGATGGCCAAATTGTCTGGAAAGCCTTCACTTTCAAGCATCGAGCTCCGGGTCCAGAATTCTTATTTCCTCTTCCAGGTCATCCAGGTCTTCCTCGTCACAACAATCACATCGTCGGCTTCTGCAGCTGTTGTTTCGATCATCAGCAAGCCAGCCGACGCGTTAACTTTACTGTCCGGCGACTTACCGAAAGCCTCCAACTTTTACATCTCGTATTTTATTCTTCAAGGTCTCGCTATCAGCTCGGGGGCCTTGCTGCAGCTTGTAGGTGTCATCCTCTTCAAGATCTTAGGGAAATTCCTAGATACGACGCCCCGTAAGATGTACAAGCGTTTCGTGACACTCTCCGGTCTTGGCTGGGGAACCGTCTTTCCGGTGTACACGTTGTTGACAGTGATCTGTAAGTTACTGCATCTTTCTTGCTATTGATATGCTGCTAACAACTTGGTAGCTCTCACTTATTCGGTCATTGCTCCCTTGGTGATGGCTTTCTCTACAATTGGCCTCTACCTGATCTACCTCGCCTATAGGTACAATCTTCTGTTTGTATTCAACTCCAACATCGACTGCCATGGATTGGTTTATCCTCGGGCCCTCCAGCAAACCACCACCGGCATTTACTTAGCTATTGTATGCTTGATCGCTCTGTTTGCAGTTTCAAAGGCATGGGGCCCGTTGATTCTGATGATCGTTTACCTCGTCTTTGCGGCCCTCTTCCACCTCTCACTCAACTCAGCTATCGATCCGATGCTACAGTATCTGCCCAAGACATTGCAGGTAGAGGAAGACTCACTTCTTGCTCTAGAGAATGGTCATCCTGACCCACAAGAAAAGGAGACCAAGATCGGCACCCAGGCAGTGGAAGAAGTTGAAAATGGGCTAGGGCCTGCACCGCATAAAAAGCCAAACATGCTTACCAAGTTCCTCAAGCCGCATGTCTACACAGACTATCATACAATGAGGCGCCTTGTTCCTCGTGGTTTTGCCGATATTACTTATGATCCAGAGGTTGAACGAACAGCATACTACCATCCCGCCATCTCTTCGCCTACTCCAATCTTATGGATCCCACGCGATCAAATGGGCGTCTCCAGGCAGGAGTGCATTCACAGCAGCAAGGTGATTCCAATGACAGACGAGAGTGCCGGCTTCGATGAGACGGGCAACATGACATGGGATCATGAAAGCGCAAGACCGCCGATTTATGAGGAGAAGGTCTATTACTGATTGGGAGAAGATTGGAGGGAACCCGCGGAGGAATTGAAAAATGATACCCAAATACCCAATTGTGCTGAACTTTCACTATTACTAATCTTTGGCAACGATCGTGCTTCTAGGGGGCGTGAATCTTTAGAGCGAGTATACGATGAGCGCTATGCATTTGGTCCTGCCATTAGAGTGTCTTAATGAGATTGTATTTAGGCATAATTGAGTCGATTTAGACTACGAACAGGGTCCTTGTAAGCCTGCCAATTTGGGATTGGATTTCCATTCTCACTTTCGGGCAGATAGGTCCAAAGAGGCACGTCGTAGATGCTTCAACTGTTGAAAAGTCTGAACGTGTGGTCACGTGCAGATTCTCAGAAGACGTCACGGTAGCTTCTGCGCTAGTCTGTTTTCGGGACCCCTGCAATAATCCATGGATGGCAAAACTTTTCTGCTTTCTCCCTAAAGGATTGCCAACCGGTGACTTTGCCTTGCGCTTCAACCTTTGGCGGGAGGACAATTTTCACAGTCCTTTGTAAATCTGATAATGCTGGTACGAGCATCTCGCAGAAGACTGCAGCTTGCGATACAACAGGCTCGATTGGACGCAGAATCTATACAGCTGCCGTTTCTCTGTCCTGCCCTTCTCAATCCACCACTCCAAACACGAACATCTTCTTCATACAACAATCCATCTTCAAAGTCCGGTCTAAAGTCACCGCGCCCAGCCTCGCGTCCAGACTACAATGTTCTGCACTCAACAAGCAGGGGTTTGGCGTCCGCTGCAGCCATCGAGTATCAATCGCCGCAAGACTTCATACCCTTCTCTCCCTGGCCCGAAGCTGCAAGCTTGCCAGCTTTTGGACCAGAAACAATTCCTGCTCTTCACGGCTTTGAAACGCGGCCAACGCCGCTGATACTCGATGACCGCCCTCTATCAACTCTCGGCAAGTTTCGATCTGCTGATGGGATCAGTGGCGATGTCAATGAAATCCATCAAACTTTACACGCTTCCCTCCGCATTGGCCGGTTTGAAAGAGCGGCTACCCTTGTGCGACGACTTCACCAAATCTACCAGCCAGAGGCTGCTGGGCTACTTGCCGCACACAAGGATTATATCAGAGAAATGACGGCCATGATCATCAAGACTAAGAATATGCTTCAATTGCAAGCTTTATTGAAGTGGTACGAGATCGAAATCAAAGCTCAAGGCGTTTCTCAAGACGCGGAACTCTTCGCGCTCATAATCCAGGCCTGTCTTCAAGATCCCAACTACAAAAAGCGGATGCGAACAGTGAGAAGGTACTATAACATAGCTCGCGATCATGGCATAGAAGAAGAGACAAAAGAAAGGGTTCCAGAACTAGAAGACGCTTTCAAGGTTTGAGGAAATCTAGAATAGAGCGGAACATTTGCTTACACCATCCATAGAACTTCGGCTGGTACATAAATCGGATGCCTATGCCAGCCGAACAAAGACCCAACGTGCCTGGTTTCGAACCCGATTTTGACCCTTTGTCAAGGAGGTTGCGAGAGGTCGAGACCAAAGGTCAAGGGCTTTTGACCCTGAGGAAGTCGTTATCGTCGCTGCAGAAATCAAGCGAGCTGCAAGGAATTGCTTCTAAAGACGAACTTCTAGCACGGGCAGAAGATCAAACAATTCCTAACGTGGATCGACAGCTGTACATGGAAGAGAATACAGTCAAGGCTGCCCTAGAGCGTTGGCAAATTGAGAATGCCCAGCTCAGAAAGATTGGAATCAGTAGCGCGCTCCAAGACAGAGCTCCCATTGGAGGCTTGATGTGGACTTGGCACGAGCAGCTTGAGCCGGCCATCAAGGAAGAAATGAAGATGTTCGAGAAAGCGGAGAGGAATGCGGATAAGAAAGGAAAGAAGACAGCACCTGACATCGATCGGCTTCAGTGGGGACCATTTCTGGCAAGCCTACCTGCTGAAAAAATATCCGCTTTGACTATCATGGCCGTAATGCAGACTGCATCTACTGCTGGGAACGTGAAGGGTACGAAGCTTGTTACTTTGGTGTATCAGATTGGGAAACTGCTTCGAGAAGAAGCCTATGCTTGCATTAATCGTGAAAATCGTGGCTTTCAGGACTGGCGCAGAAAGAGTCACACTCGAGATGGATACATCAAAGCCTCACGATTGAGAAGTGTTGCAGATAAGCTTGCAGCTGGCACAGAGCCTGAGCTGTACGACACAGCGCATTGGCCATCGACAGTTTCTTTCAAAATTGGAGCTTTGCTATTGTCCAAGCTGATAAGCATTGCAAAGGTGGACGTCTCGCGAAAGAATCCAGAGACGGGGTTAGATGTTCACGAGTCCCGGCCTGTCTTTTTCCATACATATCAACACTCCAAAGGAAAGCGAGTAGGTATTGTGCAGCTGAATGCGGCCATCATGGACAAGATGGCAAAGGCGCCCGTCGGCTCCGCCCTCGCAAAATTGTTACCGATGGTCTGCGAGCCGAAACCTTGGACTGCTTTCAATAGCGGTGGTTTCCTAGACCAAAATCTCCGAGTCGTGCGAGCTCATTCCGCGGATTCATACTCCAAAAGCTACTTGATGACGGCAGCTGAAACTGGCGATCTGGCACAGCTCTATCAAGGGCTCAATGTACTTGGTAAGACGCCCTGGAAAATCAATCAGCGAATCTTTGGGGTCATGGCAAACGTTTGGGACACAGGAGAACCAATTGCTGGCATTCCGCCTGAGAACCCTACAATGGAATATCCTCCGGAGCCTGACTCGTCAAGCGGCCGAGAGGAGCGCCGGCGCTGGCTTACTAAGGTTCAGAGACTCGAGAACGAAAAGACAGGCCTCAGGAGTCAGAGATGCTTCATGAATTTTCAATTGGAAGTGGCTCGTGCCTTTAGCAAGGAGACGTTTTATTTTCCTCACAATGTGGATTTTCGAGGCCGCGCTTACCCGATGGTGCCATTCATGAATCATATGGGCGCTGACAATATGCGCGGGCTCCTTCTTTTCGCAGATGGCAAGAAGCTTGGCGAGTCAGGTTTATGGTGGCTCAAGGTACATCTTGCAAATGTTTACGGATTCGACAAAGCTAGCTTCAAGGAGCGAGAAATGTTCGCTGAAGAGAGTATTGCTGAGATTACAGACTCGGCGTTGAATCCATTACACGGACGACGTTGGTGGTTGAAGGCGGAAGACCCTTGGCAATGTCTCGCTACTTGCATCGAATTGCATGGAGCTCTTCAACTTGATGATCCAACTCAATTCATTTCGCACCTTCCCGTTCATCAAGATGGCACCTGCAATGGCTTACAGCATTATGCAGCTTTGGGCGGTGACGTGGTAGGAGCCAAACAGGTGAATCTGGAACCTGGACAACGGCCGTCAGACATCTATACCGCAGTCGCAGAAACCATAAAAAACGAAGTAAAGCAAGAAGCCTCAGACGGCCATCTCATTGCCAAATACTTGGACGGTCATGTCACAAGAAAGGTCGTCAAACCGACAGTCATGACCAACGTCTATGGTGTCACGCTTGTCGGGGCGAGAGCGCAAGTTCAAAAGCAGCTGGCAGATAGTCTCAAATTTCCGGAAACGGGTCCGGTTACCCTACAGTACGCATCACACTACATCGCGAAGAAGATCTTCAACACGTTGGGCAACATGTTCAACGGGGCTCATGAAATTCAGTACTGGCTCGGAGACTGTGGCAATCGAATCTGTGAATCAGTCTCATCAGGACAGATTTCTCGGCTGGAACAACAATCCAACGGTGGGTCACCGCGTACCGCTTTTCGGATGAAGGAATATAAAACCAAAGCTGACTGTGGCTCGGCTGCCTTCCTGACGCCTGTGACTTGGACAACGCCGCTTAAAATTCCCGTCGTTCAACCATATCGCAAAAATCAAAACGCGGCATTAAAGACAGAGTTGCAGACTATTTGGCTGCGAAAGCAAATTTCACAGTTCCCAGTGGATAAAACGAAGCAACTTCAGGGCTTTCCTCCAAACTTTATCCATTCCCTTGACGGCACCCATATGTTTTTGACCGCTTTGAGGTGCAATGAGCTTGGCCTGACATTTGCCTCGGTGCACGACTCATTCTGGACCCATGCTGCCGATATCGACGTCATGAACAAGGTCACTCGCGATGCCTTCGTTCGGATGCACTCCGAAAACATCGTTGCTCGACTTCACGCAGAATTTGAGACGAGGTACAAGGGATACATGCGCTTAGCCTCCATCTACCTTGCAACACCAGTGGGCAGGAGTATCGCACGATGGAAGAAAAACAATCCTGGAATGGGGACCAGCGGGTCCAAGACTACCCAGGGCCGCATTGACCCGGGTAAGGTTGCAGAGTTGATGTTGGAGGTAAAGCGCTTGCGTTTGCTTGCCTCCAAAAACGCCATGGAAAGAGCGGAGGGTGAGGCCATGGAAACACCGGCTAGCATATTCGAAAAGCTTTCGAGCGAAGATGCTCTTGCGGCTCCTGATCGACGACCGACGACAATCGGTCAGAGGCGCAGGGTCGGGCAGGTCAAGCTCGAGAGCAAGAGGCAGGCCGAGGCAGTAAAGACAGAGACTTCGAAGCTGCAAGAATTGTCGTTGGGTGCAGTTGACTTGGGCGATGAAGAAATTGATGCTGTTGAACATCAAGCAGGCGAAAGGGAGGTCATTCACGGAGAAACAAGAGAGGAGGCTGTTTCTGAAGGGGGGATCACAAGCAGCCCAAGGTGTTGAAGCCGGGAATACGGTATCTCAACAAAGTGTACTTCTGGGTGCCATTGACCTTCCCGCCGGTGCCGGAGAAGGGGACCTTCGATGTGAGGAGGCTGAAGGACAGCTTGTACTTCTTTTCCTAACGCTAGGATATAAGTCCCCACTCACGGTTGAGGTCTAAGGTGGTGTAGAGAAAGAGGAGGGAGGTCTTCATGTAGTTTACTCTGTACGAGTGTATATATTTAAATCCTTATAAACTCCACATCTGATTCGTCTCCATCTTCTTCTCTTGCATTTAGTACCTGTGTCTATCTAGCACTAGGAAATGGATGAGTAATGCCGATTGCGGCTCTGGACGAAGCGGCGGGATTGCGTGCTTCCCACCAATGACGATCTTCCATCAATATTGTGGCGAAGAAATTATTGAGAACAAGTCCCGTGCATGCAGCCACGAAGGTATTGCTTTTTGAAAAGTGGTTGATAAAGTGATGAATTAACAAACAACCAGCTACTGTTCTGCTTTTTCTGAATTGAAGATCCAATCGATCAGTCTCAATGGCAGCCATCAGCACCGCTGGGGAAGCAGGTGAGAGAACCCCCCACTGCGAAAGCCACCACGACTCGATGCCGAAGTCTTGCTGACGGCCAGTTGTGGTGCAGTCGCTCGAATAGCGTACTCAGCCAGCGATGTGATTCTGTCTGTTCAGCCATCACTGGGTCGAGACTCCGAGTTCTCAAGCACCTTGCACAAATTATCAAGCAAACAAACGAAGGGAATAGCAGCAAAGGAGCCCAAAGTATGCCCTCAAACAACGATTTGACGGACCTTACAGATGCTGATCCTCACCAGGTACAGTCGGTACGGTTCAACACTGATCCACTCCTCTCCGCTTTCGAACCTCTCCGCTCCGGCAAACTCGTCTCCGTCACCACAACCTCCGCCATCCTCCTACCTTCCGTACCACACCTGTACAAGCTTGGCCAGTACCCCATCGTCATTCATGCTGCCTTGAATCCTTACAGTAGCCCTGACTACTCAGAAATCACTTCAATACGACAATGCGGCTTTACATTTCTACACTCAGAGACGCTACAAGAGGCGCAAGATATTGCGCTATCGGCACACGCTCTGGCAACACGGAGCGGAAAAGGGGTTATTCATTTCTTCGATCCCGCCAATTCGGAAAAAGACCATTCAATAGAGGATGAAAGTCCTTTTCTAGTAAAACATCTGTTGGAACTCGACCTGGGAAGAGGGGAACAGCCAGCCGACGGTGAGACTTCGCTCTACGTCGATGAGGGACGGCAGGCTACACTCACAGAGGACTCGATCAGCGCTACTAGCGGCCCAACCCCACAACAGAGTCACGGTATCAGCGACGCCTCCGCACCACTTCCACCTCGAGCACTCAATGGAGATTCTTCTGCAAGCTCATCTGGCAGAGAAAGTAGTATAGATAGCCGGCCTACAGTATCTTCAGCCACCTCAGTCACGTCCACTACCACCAGACCCGTCACATCTGAGGACATTCACACAATAATTTCTCACATATGGGAGAGAATCGCCAAGGCCACGGGAAGGATATACCATGCATTCGAATACACAGGCTCGGAGGATGCGATCTCGGCTTTATTCGTGTTCGGTTCTACAGGTATTTTCGTTGATGAACTGATAGCATCCAAGGAAACTGAAGAATTTGCAAAGTCTGGGCTCATAACAGCTCGACTGTACAGGCCATGGCTTGCCGCGAATCTCATTCAAGCAATACCGAAGTCCGTTAGCAAAATAGCAGTGCTAGAACAGATTAGAAGAAAGACTACGAAATGGGGTCCAGTGTTGCTCGATATACTTACATCTCTGAGGACAGGACCGTCTACGTCAGGCACCCCTACAATAGTAGGATATCAACTGGGATACATCGAGCCCGCAACAGCCCGACAAGCACTACGAGGCATCTTCCAGAATCTCAATTCGCCCTCACCTATACAGAACCTCGAGGTTGGCTCCCGAAAAAAGCCCACGAGTAATACTAATGAATATAGCTTGGAACAACCCAAGGTTGAAACAGCATACATGAAAATCCTTGAGCAAGTATTCGGCGAGCGACTACATCTTGCTAACCGGCTCGGCGCTGCCCATGCCGGTATCTCATCGACCTTGGCTTCCAATCCTGAATTTGGCTTTGGTTCTCTGCTTGCTAGAATAGACCGTCGGACACGCTTTGTCGGTGACGTGCAGGAGGCTGCTACAAGCGCTGAATTTATCACCGAAGCGCCAAAAAGCTGGCTATCAAAATGGGCGCTTGCGGCCCGCGAACCAGCCAGGGCAAATGATCTAGCGAAAGAGGTCATTGCTCGATTAAGTACTGATGGGTCGAGTCTAGCAAATCGTTTGCTGTCAACAAAAGCCCTGTTTTTCAACGAATCACAGTGGTTGATTGGATCAGACGCATGGGCATATGATCTCGGCAATTCTGGAGTCCATCATGTGCTCGCATCAGGCGCGAATGTAAACATGCTTATTATCGATTCTCAGCCATATTCTGATCGAGCTGCTACTGACACGGCGAGGCGAAAAAAGGACATCGGTCTTTATGCTATGAACTTCGGCAATGCTTACGTAGCTTCTGTGGCGGTCTATAGCTCGTATACTCAGGTGCTAGAGGCAATGATTGAGGCAGACCAATTCGACGGTCCCTCAGTAGTGCTTGCCTATCTGCCATACAACAAGGAAGACGACTCCCCACTGACCGTCTTGCAGGAGACTAAGAAAGCTGTTGATTTAGGATATTGGCCGCTTTATCGATGGGACCCAAACAATGACGAAAACGGGCAACCAAATTTCTCACTGGACTCTGAGCGTATCAAACAAGAACTCGAAGAGTTCCTGCGGCGGGACAATCACTTGACCCAGCTGATGAATCGACATCCAGAATTTTCAGCCAACCTGTCGGAGTCCTATGGAACCGAAGTTCGCACCTTACAAAAAAGGAGAGCGAAAGATGCGTACGACAGGATGTTAGAGAGCCTATTCGGAGCACCGTTGACCGTAATTTTCGCATCGGACAATGGCAATGCTGAGTCTTTAGCGAAGAGGCTCGGAAATAGAGGCAAGGCTCGAGGTCTGAAATCAAAGGTCTTCGCCATGGATGACTATCCGTTAGAAGATCTCCCCGGAGAGGAAAATGTTGTCTTAATTACTAGCACCGCAGGTCAGGGTGAGTTCCCACAGAATGGACGAGCGTTCTGGGACACCATCAAGGATGCTGGCGACCTTGACTTGTCTAGCATTAATTATTCAGTTTTTGCGCTTGGAGACAGCCATTACTGGCCACGGAAGGAAGACAGAATATACTACAACAAGCCTGGCAAAGATTTAGACGCCAGATTAACTTTTCTTGGGGGCAAGTCGCTTGCAGAGATCGGACTTGGAGATGACCAGGATCCAGATTCATATCAGACTGGATACAACGAATGGGAACCGAAGTTGTGGCAGGCTCTCAACGTCGATAAAGTAGAGGGTCTACCTGATGAGCCACCACCGATCACCAATGAAGATATCAAAATACAGTCCAACTTTCTCCGCGGTACGATTGAAGAAGGGCTCGAAGATAATTCGACTGGGGCAATAGCAGCTTCTGACCAGCAATTGACCAAATTTCATGGCACCTACATGGAAGATGACCGTGATCTACGGGACGAACGAAAGGCGCAAGGCCTTGAGCCTGCATACGCCTTTATGATCAGATGCAGACTAGCGGCCGGTATAGCTTCGCCTTCACAATGGCTTCAGATGGACGAAATCAGTAGTACGCTGGGCAATGAGACCATGAAGTTGACAACTCGTCAAACTTTCCAATTCCACGGCGTCGTGAAGAGCAAGCTGAAGCCAGCCATGCGATCCATCAACAAGGCGCTCATGACTACGATTGCAGCCTGCGGTGATGTGAATCGTAATGTAATGTGCAGTATCCTCCCCACTGAATCAGCCTACCATCGTGACGTGTACGAAGCGTCAAGAAAAATCAACGATCATTTGCTCCCATCAACATCCGCCTACCATGAAATCTGGATCAAAGACAAAAATTCGAATGAGAAGCAAACCCAAATAGCTGGCGACGCTCTTCAGGATAAAGAGCCTCTCTACGGCCCGACTTACCTCCCTCGGAAATTCAAAATTACAATCGCAGTCCCTCCATCAAACGACACAGACGTCTATGCCCACGATATAGGGTTAATAGCAATCAAAGGCTCTGACGACCGTCTCGAGGGTTTCAATGTCCTCGTAGGCGGTGGAATGGGCGTGACCCATAACAACAAGAAAACCTATCCTCGCACAGGCAGCATGTTTGGCTACATCCCCACCTCCCAGATCCATCTCGTATGCGAGAAAATAATGCTCGTGCAACGCGACAATGGCGACCGTAACAATCGAAAGCACGCCCGCCTAAAATACACAATTGACGACATGGGCGTCGAAGCTTTCAAATCGAAAGTCGAAGACCTCCTAGACGGCTTAAAATTCGACGAGCCACGCCCCTTCAAATTCCTATCCAACATCGACACCTTCGGCTGGCAGCGCGACGAGAACGGCATGAACCACTTCACCTTCTTCATCGAGAACGGCCGCGTGGAAGATACGCCCGACTTCCCCATGAAAACTGGCCTCCGCGAGATCGCAAAAGTGCATCGAGGTGAATTCCGCCTCACGCCGAACCAGCACCTCTGCCTCTCCCTCGTCCCGGACTCTGAGCTCCCTACCATAAAAAATCTCATGAAACAGTACAAACTCGACGTCAAGCACGAAGGCACTTCTGCCCTCCGCCTCTCTTCCTCCGCCTGCGTCGCCTTCCCAACATGTGGCCTCGCCATGGCGGAAAGTGAGCGCTACCTCCCTATTCTCATCACAAAACTTGAGTCAACCCTTGTAGACTTGGGGCTTAGTAATGACTCTATTGTTATGAGGATGACGGGCTGTCCGAACGGCTGCGCGCGCCCTTGGCTCGCGGAGGTGGCGTTCGTGGGGAAAGCGTATGGGGCTTACAATATGTATCTTGGAGGGGGGTATCATGGACAGAGGCTGAATAAGCTTTATAGGAGTAGTATCCAGGAGGAGGAGATATTGGAGATTATGAGGGGGATGTTGAAGGAGTGGAGGGATACGAGGGATAACGGGGAGTATTTTGGAGATTGGACGATACGGAGGGGGTATGTGAAGGAGACGACGGAGGGGAAGGCATTTCATGAGGGGGTGATGGAGGAGGAGAGTGATGATGAGTGATGAGTGGGGGGGTTGGGGGTGGGGGAGAGTGGTGTAGTGCATATAGATGGACCTTCTGATGATTTGGTGTGTATATATTGCGAGAAACTTAGAAAATGCATACTTAGATAATGATTAAAAGCAGACATTTTCACCTTATCGGTTCTCACATACTTGAATTTACCAAATCACTTCAAATGTCGAGTTAGAAGCAAGCCGTCTATATTGTCAAAGCAAGGAATAGCATACTTTCGTCTCCCAGGCTGACCGTGTGAACAAATATTCATTTGACAGTGCTCCTTTACCGGAATGAGACTGATAGTACTACCTTACTACGTAACGCCGACCAAGTGTGAGTTGCGTGATAAAGTGATAATATCAGCCGTCATTCATCCCCCCCATCCTCATGACCCCCATGTTCGGAATATAGTCGAGTGGCATCGAATCAAAGAACTCACATCTAGGTGACAGTATGATAGTGGTACAAGGCCGGACACGAGAAGCCACGTGAGCTGCCCACATGATGCGGCTCAACTTCACTTCTGAGCATTCGATTCTGGTGGCTGGATTACGGTATTCACCACTGCTCAGCCACTTTCTCTGTGGCAATCGAAACAGGAGATAGCTTGATGTTGGATGGTAGACTTATTTTTACCGTGGGCTTGTTGGGGAAAGATTTGAGTACCGCTTTGGGGGAAGTGCGGCCGTTCACTTGTTGTGCAAACCGCTAGACCGGGGTGTACTGCTCGGAAATGCGTTCATGGACGATGGGTAGGATCATCGCCCCGTTGCTGGTATGGGTATGCAAGCGAATCACGTTGAATTGTTGTTGTGATTGTGAATGCGTGGGAGCACTCAGGTGATACGAGAAGAAGGGAGACTCGGGTCTGGATAGGCCATAGCTTTTGTCGTCCTTCCTGTGACGGGATTCTTTCAGCAACAAGTATTGTACTACAGCGTAAGATTTTTGGGGAAAGAATTCGTGGTTGTCATCTTAAACCCATCTTCGGATTTGAGAAGCGAACACAATATTTTCCCAGAAGACAATTTTTTTTTTTGGCTGAAATGTTTTCCATAACGGAACAGGAGACTCATAATCGGAAACTTAGTATTGGAGTGACAACAGGGTTACTAGTTCCTTGCCATGTTCTCTATTTACTCCGAATTTTGTCCCGGAAACTGCTGCGGACACCACTTTGGATTGACGACTGGTTTATGCTTCTTACCTTGGTGCGTAGCATTACACAGTTATACAGATTCATAAGCTAAATTGTGATCAGATCCTGTGTACTGGACTGAGTATTGTCGAGTATCTCAGTAAGTCCGCTAGAAAAGTGTCATTGACGTTCATATCTCAAGCAAACGAACAGGCATTGCAAATGGTGCGGGGTACCACCAAATACATCTGACAAGCGCGGAATTCAGGAAGTATCTGATCGTTCGTTATTCCTACTTTTTGACCCTTTTGCTAAGTTAAAGAGATCAGCGATCTGACAGATGTAGACTCGCTATATCTACCAGCCACTCTGGGCACTTGATGTTGCCGGCGTCAAGATCGGGATTCTCCTTTTCTACTATCGTGTCTTTCCAGTCCGCGAGTTCCGTCGCTTGGTGATTATAGTCGGAGCAATCGTTCTCGTTACCATCACCGCGACCTTCATTCCCTTTATATTCCAGTGTCATCCCATTCGATACTTCTGGCACGATACCAAAACCGGCACTTGCATCAACCGGGTGACATTCTGGGTGTGGGGAGGAATTATCAACCTCGCAACTGATATCCTCGTTCTGAGCCTACCTATTCGCATGGTTTGGAACCTCAAGATCTCAATATCTCACAGGCTGGCTCTACTGTTCTTGTTCTGTCTAGGTGGTTTGTAAGTGCGAATAAATGCTTCTCAGTATGCCTTTACCAGAACTGACTTTGATTAAGTGCTTGCATCGCAAGTATTATCCGCATCATCGCTCTACATAGGATGAATCTAAAAGATTACCCTTGTTAGTCAAACCCCTACTTTCAGAAGATGTCACTTACAACCTTCAGTTGGTGGATTGAACGGCGGACTCTGGAGTTTAGTCGAAGTAGATCTCGGCTTCATCTGCGCCAATCTTCCTCACACGCGACCCTTAGCGATTCGACTCTATCAAGGCTGCAAAAAGTTGAGCTCCAATGCTCGCTCTAACAATCCCGACTCTGGCCCACGTACAAATTCTGCGTCTCGACTTTCTCAACTTCAACCAGGCCTGCGCCAGAAAGAGGGTTTTCAAAATCTCGAACGTGGACGTTCATTGATGGACAAAGAATTGCCGAAGATACCAGACGTCTCGAGAAGGGAGCCCGAGAAACAGACTGGGGATGCGCTACCATTGCGAGATCTTGCACCTTCGGGCAAGCCGTCCAAGGCAGGCTCGGGTAAGGTCAGGGTAGATACAGAGATCTGGCAGGATGCTCGATCCACGAGGATGTCCCGAGCACCCACACCTGGGCTCGCTTGGAGGGACAACAACGTATCGACGAGGATTAGTGCTCAGAGCCGTGGTGCTTGATCTAGATGTCGGCCCCAAGATATTCTAGTCCTAGCAGCTCTGATCGTCTTACCAGACGTCAACCTACTTATTTCTTTGGTTTACGACCTATGATTACCTCGCAGCTGGCCAGAGAAGAATTCAATTGGGAATTTTGTACAATCAATGAGGTTGATGTATGGATAGCGAAATGTATGTGACTGCTAGATTGATGGATCTGCCACTCGTCCAAATTCAGACTGCCTTAGAGCAAAGTCTCGGGTATGCCTCCCTGTAGAATGGTGAGAGACTTGGACAAATGAGAGAAACATAGAGAGAACTGCGGCGAGCAGAGAGCCTTACCCCACATACTTATAGCCAATGACAGGTCCACCAGAAGTCATGATGAAGAATTTCTGTAATCCTGATTTTGTCCTAGTTGCGCTGTAGGATGCCGTATAGCGCATCGTGTAGATCAAGTAGGACAAAACCAAGATAGAGGTAAAATATAGTTAGTTTGCTAGCAATCGGCTAACTCCTGACCATATCCCAACGCCCATCTGTGATGCCTACTTCAAAGCAATACGTTCTGGTCCGTTCCATCAGTCTTCCCCAAGAGTACAAACACTTGTATCTTGCGGATGATCGTTGCCTGCTTTCGCGGTTCTTCTGTCAGACCTTCGAATCAATGATACTTGCCTTTACCTACAGGTTCTGAAGGATTCGAGACGATTTGAGGTAGATGTAAGTCCCATGGATTTCTGGTCCAAGAGTTCGAAGGAATTTGGTCAAGCGATTCGTGAGAGTTGGCGTGGTCATTCATATCTCAGATGTGACACAGCAAAAATTGAAGGGCAGCAGTGTGCTCGAAGAGCACAACAAGAATTACGTAAGCGTATCGTGCGCCTATCAAATCCAGTAGACTCAGTTACTTTGTGTGAGAGATTGTCATATGCGTGAGTTCACCTCTTCCGTCATTTGGATTAAATTCTAGAGCGTTTTCCTATTCTTTTCGTCACCATTCTATCAAGATACTCCTCTTTTGTCAGTATGATATATAGAAGCGATGACTAGCTTGGGTTCCGGCTTCACCATCTTGGCGGCGGACATGATCTTGGTGCAATTGAAGGCCAATCAGGAAAAGCCCTTTCCAATTTGGGACAGAGAGCGATGTCCAGCATAATTCCTACTGATACTTGTTGTCTCCGATCACGAGGGCTCGACAAAGGTCCGATACTCATGGTCTGATTAGTTGTTGTGCCGGCTTGATTTGAGGAACGATCAGCCGTTGGTCAAGTCGCGTATCGGATTTCCGAAGTTGGTTGCACTCAAGATGTCTAGGAAACCAACAGCCGAGTTTGGTTAGCCTGTGAGTTGTGGTGAGTCTTAAGAACGCCATTCTCGACGTCGATAGTAGAAAGATCTCCTATCTCGTTTGTTACTCCTTTCGTTGTCGATTTATGCCAGGAAGTGAGCTCGCAGGCCATCATGCTACGTACCACGGCGTTCAGCTTCTTGATACTCTTTCTATTTCAAAGGGTATTTTCAACACCCACGCCACCGAATACCACTACCCTTTATCATCAAACCCAGGAACCAGCAGATTATGAATGTCCGTCTGCACCAGATGATGCCTTCAAGTTCGAAATATATCCATTCGAAATATTCAGAGTGCGCGACCATCCCTTCCCCCTTTCTCTCCCCCTAGTCTTTTCCCTCCCTCTACTACCAGGAGTGGACCTGCTAGCCCTCCTTACGCTCCCCTATCGCTAATCTAGCCCTGCTTTCTCAGCTCAGAGGCTGGTACGTCGACACTCGCTTCTGCGCATCAGCCAACACGGCCAGACTCCCGCCAATCCCTGGCGAAAGTCCCATTCTGGTCCATCTGGGCGACTGCGACGGATATCTCGCTAATGAAGAGGGGTCGAAGCAGAGAATTAGAATCGATTCGGAGGATGCTGGGCACGGGTTGCTCCAATTCTATTTCCCTACGAGGACACAGGATGGGATTGCGATGCATGTTGATGGAATATTCGGGGGGCTTCATCGGACGGAGACGGAGTGGATCAGGCTGCCCAGCGAAGGGGAGGGTGCGGATGATGGTGGGTGGAGAAAGGGAATGGTAGCTGAGTAAGGACCTGGATGGAGGCCCTGAAATTCCGAGAACGGGCTGTCAGGCAAGAAGAGAAGGCAGATCAAAGGCCGCTTAGGCTGTTTATGTTGCGCGTTTTCAGGACCAGTAGGGAAGATCCATCGGTCCTAGATCCTGCTGCTCCTTGACTCCATGCAAGTCCAACCAATCTTGTAATTTTTTCGGATAATGCTTCACACCTGCGCGCAACATAGCACCTAACCAACTCGTCAGTGGTAATGTCCATTTCTGAAGCGAGAGACAAAGTCCTTGTTGCCGCGCTTCCTTTTTCCATCGTGTTGCTTGTGAAGATTCTCAGCGGTCGCGTAGCAAGAACTAGACTTCCAATATAGGCTCTCATTCTTTAGAACGCCGCATTTGCAATCGCTAGTGAAAGCGTAGGCGTATGCACGTGCTGCACCACAGCTGTAGCCAGTCAAAGCACGCGTAGTAGACGCAATTACTGTTCCAGGCACATTCAAAGAGGGTGGGAAGGTCTCCTGGATTTAGCGAATGTTTGCGGCCGTATCGCTAAACAAATCGCCTGGTAAAGATTTGCAGGCCCGGGGAAAGAAAGATTTGCTGCATAAATGAGGTTTGTGTGATGTGGCGGGAAAAGATCCGCAGCATCACCTTGCCATCCACCGGGTGCTATCTTGAAGGTTGTATTAAACGTCCATGATGCAGATCACCAATAGTTGTTTCCAGAGTATCTGATGGGAGCAATGGCTGTTCTGATTGCGCTAATGCTGTGGTTTGAATCAGTGATATTGCAACAATCAGTCGAGTAGCAGGCGAAACTCCATCGATAGAGCCGCAGAACCAACACAATCTGGTCTTTCTTGACATGTCTAGAATATCGGTCGTCAAAATCTAATTCATATCTGCTCTAGCGATTTTGTTATACCACAGTAAGATGTTTGTATGTGAGATAAATCAGACCATTTGTTGGTCCGCCCACACGGCTCGACCTGAAAATTTGATCTCAAAGTCAAACGCGGCCGCATACCAACAGATATGTTTTGGCCTTCGTGATACTCGCCAGCTGAGATGAGTCAGTGTATGAAGTCTGTCAAAGCAAGGAATTGTTATGTCCTTCCAACATGAGTCCGAATCAGAAGCATATTCTTCTTAAAAAGTCGTATTTCGGCCAAAATAGTGAGAGGCTCACGCCTTTGCAAAAAGGTATGATAGCATGTCTGTTTTGTCTCTCAAACTTCTTACTTGCTTACGATCACGACTTCCCCTGTTCTAGGACAGTAGGTTTTGAGCAAATCCAATTCCATCTTTGTTGCTCATGATCTCTAGATTCGTGAGTGAAGTATAAAGGTTTAAGGACAACCCAGATTCCGTCTTCAAATGCCAGGCCCACTATAATCTCTACGCTCCCACTCTAAATCTGCAGGGTTATTTGAGTCCGTCACACTTTCGTCGAGCCCCCACGGGTCTTTATAGAATTTAGATACGAGTTAGACCCTGACGTAAGCATATCGAGCTATCCCAGCTCTACCAATCTGCTTGCTTCGAGTTGAGACGGGAAAACTAGAAAATTGTTGCAAAGACCCATTCTATGGTAATTTCGGCTTCTCTCAGCCAAATGAACATGTCTTCAGAACATTGCGGTTGTTGTCGAAATTTGCTTCAGGGATTCTAGGCTCAGTGATCATCTGCACATGGAGATATGCTCCATCAAGTGTGCTTCCAGACATGCAGACTACCGAGATCTCCAGTACTCAAAGCTTGAACGCTGCAAGTAGATCATTTACGTCTAATTCACAATGCGGCAGTGGCGAAGTATGTATTGTGAGATTGGTCGATACGCTAGGTTGTCTCCTAAAATAGTCCGGCCAATTCAGTGCAGGCTGCATTCTGCAGAGACAATTAAGTCCACACTCTGGCTCTGATCCGAATAAGAACGGTAGTCAGCGCTCATCACCTTATGAAAAGCTCGGTACGCTCTAAGTCTCACTAACTCATAAAGAGTAATTGTGCTACCCGTATATTCTTATAAGCGCCCGCCATCTTTCAAAGCCCGCGGGGAACCTCGAGGGAGTCTTGTACAGCATCTTTCAACTTTGAATCGAAGATGAGAAAGAGGAGTCACAACTATTGAGAACGTCTTGATTCGAAAGCCGAAACGCTAGAAGCATAGAAACGTGATATCAGGTATTGAGGACGTGTACTTGATCTCCAGATATCTCTGTTTTGATAACTCCCTAAAGTTGCAAGGCCGTTCCTAACCCAGGGTCACAAGTTTCTAAAGACTCTCCGAATCATCCTCACCACGTCGGATTTCACTGAGAACCTGCAGCTTGCTGTTCCAGGCATAAAGTCTCAGAAAGGTCGAAGAACCTTGCTAGGTCCTCAGTCATTATGCTTCAAGTTGGCGTGAGCAAGACTTGTTGGCTATCTCATGATGAACTTTCACCATGTGCAGACGACACAGCTTTGTACAGTTGAATGTAACGTATATCTGTGGTACCCCAGAAGACTTTGCAGGATGATTGAACAAATTGCTGTCGAGGAAGATCTAACTTCCTCGAGATGCCGGGCCAGGTTGGGGGTGGGGGTGCTGGGGACTGCCCCCTAAAAGGCCCCTTTAAGATGACCGAGGGTTGGTTTGACGGAACATGGCCACGCCAATTCCAATGCTGGCGCTAACTTTATGGGGGTGGCCCCCTGAAGAACCCCCTATAAGCAAATACTTTAGGGCGTTGCCTCCCCCCATTTCCAGCCTAATAGTTGGCGTGGCCATGTTCCGTCAAACCAACCCTCGGAGGTCACATCGCCGATCTACCTATATGCACGAAGTACTATGCACAACTCTTAACGCCTCACAACCTCAGGTATCGGAGGCTCTTCAAAGCCTCTAAAGACCATGACTACGGAGACGATCACGACAATTTCTCCGTCTACCAACTGGCCTGTTACTTCTCGCCAGGGCATCTCGGACGCAGATATCGCTCTTATTCCGGCTACCGCAACGCGGGCCTTCAACTCGTACAGAACAACTTCCCTGGAGGAACGACACACCACTGTTGGCAAAGCGCTCGATATCATTGAGCAGAGAAAAGATGTTCTCGCTAAGGAGCTCACAGAGCAGATGGGACGCCCAATAGCGTATACAGGAAAGGAGATATCAACAGCAGTTGCAAGGGGTCAATATCTCCTCAAAATCAGTGGAGAATGCTTGCAGGACGCACCAGGAGAGGCCGAGACAGGATTCAAGCGCTACATCAGGAAATATCCCATCGGTCCGGTCCTCATAGTGTTCGCTTGGAATGTTCGCCATTCCCTACACATGTCCTGCAAGAGAATATACTAAATACATCGCAGTACCCATACTTGATTCTTGTGAATGCATTGATCCCAGCTTTATTGGCAGGCAACAGCGTCATCATCAAGCCATCGCCCCAAACACCTACGATCGCCGAACAGATTCAAAACATCTTCCTCGAAGCTGGATTGTCAAAGGATGTGATACAGTACTTCCATTGTGGATCGATGTCAAGGCTCGAGGCTGTCGTAAAAGTTCCTCAGATAAGACTCATATGCTTCACCGGCTCCGTTGCAGGAGGATTGGCGGTGCAAAAAGCTGCTGCCAACCGGGTAGTCCCTGTGGCATTGGAGTTGGGAGGCAAAGATCCTGCTTACGTGCGGGAAGATGTAGATGTCAAGTGGGCGGCCGAGGAGATCGTAGATGGGGCAGTCTTCAATTCTGGGCAGAGTTGCTGTTCGCTTGAACGAGTCTATGTCGACGAAAAGATTCATGACCAATTTGTTTCAGCCGTCCAAGGCGTGCTTAATGGGTACAAGCTGGGCGACCCTATGGATCAATCCACTAATGTAGGACCGGTGGTCTCGAAGAAGTCCCTGGATACCATATCGCAGCACGTCCAAGATGCAATCAAGAAAGGCGCTGTAGACGCTACCCCAAAGAACGAGTCCTTCGAGAATCCGCCAGCAGATGGCAATTACGTTAAGCCTACGCTGCTAATCAACGTCACGCACGATATGGAAGTGATGAACGAAGAAACATTTGGCCCTGTAATTCCGGTCATGAAAGTCGGAAATGACGAAGAGGCTCTCCGCATGATGAATGACAGCGAATTTGGCCTTACGGCAAGCATCTGGACGAAAGATGTAGAAAGAGGGGAAGCACTGGCAGAACTGGTGGATGCCGGCACTTGCTTTGTGAATCGCTGTGACTACCCTAGTCCCGTGAGTCTTGTCATTGACGGGGAATTTGTATTGCTGATAATGTCTGTAGGATCTTGCTTGGACTGGATGGAAAGACTCTGGCAAAGGAGTCACGCTAAGCAAATTTGGATTCGAGCAATTTGTCAAGCTGAAGAGCTTCCACTTGAAGGACCACCCGAAATGAGGCGGCTTGAAGGGGCTGAAAGGGGCTTGCTCACATTCTCACCGCATGCGGTGGCGATAAACGAGGGCCATGCGAGGTGATCATCTTGGTGTGAGGAATGTTTCGTGTAGACACGTGGGCCTGCAGTGATGCAGATTTCAATTCCTGAGTTTCATGCGAGAGGAAGGTGATGCAGCGTCTTCTCCTACCATCACAACACGAACTCGACTTGAAATGACTACTCTATGATGATTATCAATGATTCGAGTACGTATTAATACTTCGTCCTGGCAGAGAAGGAAAGCTGACCGTATTTTGCCATATCTTCACCGGTACTCGCACTTACCAATATACCTTGCCACATTCCAGTGGAAAACCATGTGGCCACGAATGTCTCAACGAATGGCTTCTGGTAGGTCAGAGTAAACCGACAGAAAGGTCTTTGTCACAGCAACTTCAGTCATTCCGCATGTTCGGGTCAGCTTAATTAAAAGAGGCGGTCGCTGTTCCAATTCCGGAATCTGCTCATGATTTAAAAGCTCCGGGTCTCCCATTACTCCCTCTCTCTTCGCAGCACCCACTTTCGTTTACCACCTTTTTTATCAGATACGGCTGTCATGGCATGAGGCTTTCGATTCATACCTTTTCCTGTTCTTGATCAGTGTCTGCGTTGTTGAGACATCTTCCAACGCAATTGCTGGTGCACTGCTCTGCTCAGCCTCTGGCCGATCCTCAATCAGCAACAGACTCTAAGCCATGCGTACCTTCCGAGGCTTGCCAACATTGAAACGGAGCATTGAAAAACGCTGCAACCGGTGGATGCGCAAAGGCCGTCAAGATGACCTCCGTTTGAAGATTGTACGTGGACGACGACACAGAGTGTCGATATCCCTTGACTGACACTGCGATGCAGGGGCAGCCATTTGACTTCCAGTGCCTCACTGATCAAGAGGCCAAGGTCCGTATGTTGCAGCGTGCTCATGAGTAAGTAGCTTGTTCTCGGCCGACTCGAGTACGAAGGTCACTATGCTCACTTCAGCAGGATTGACACCCCGAGCGCGCAATCTGTCAATGCTGGAAATCCATTCGACCAGCAAACCCCCAGCATCTTCCTGCAACGGCCGTCCACCGCGGACTCCTCACGTAAATGTGCAACAGACGGCAGCTCGGCAGAGTTTCGTACGGGTTCAAAGATTTCAAAGCCAGCGCATGGCACGACCTCATCCAGGGTACTAGTCGAGCCTCACGCCATGTATTTCTAGACGCTAGGTTGCACCGCAAAATTCAACTCAAATGCTCCTGGTTGGGCATGACAGCGTTTGCCATTCGGGGAGGAAGAGCAACATATTAAAGAAGGAGCATATTTTCAAAGCTAGCTGCTTAGGAGCTATTGATTGTGGGCATACACTGTAACACTAGATAGAAAAATATATATTTCGCTCCTTCGATCCCTTCATCAAGGGCTTCTGCAACATCGCATTCCATGGAGATAATGCGGCTATACTGACATTCTCGGCAAGGAAGTCGGCATTCCCGGCAATGCAGGATAACGTCATCGACAATTGAATGACAAGCCGCTTGTGCGAGACCTTTTCACGACAATTGAGGAAGAAGCGAATAAGCGAATAGGGGAATAAGGGAAGCTCAATTGATTGCAACGAGAGCCATCACGTCATCATGATCCACGCTCCAATTTGCAATCAATCTGTCCCAATGGCACGTCTACCTCCCACAACCCAGCCTACCACATTACACCCTCTTTGCACTGCGCCAGTCACCTCTTCCATATCCAAATTCCTCGACACGATCACCCTATCACCATGTCCACCCCAAGTACCACAAAGCAATGGACCGTTAACGGCAAAGATGGGTTCTCCTCCTTCCAATTCCACGAGAAAGCCCCCCTTCCCCCTCTCGGCGACAACGACGTTCTCGTGAATTTCCACTACGCATCTCTCAACTACCGCGACCTCATCATCCCTAAGGTATCTCCTCCTCCTCCTCCTCCCCCTCCTCCACATTCCTCCCCTTCACCTCTTGCAACACCCTTCCATCCACTAACTCCCTCCCTCCAATCAGGGCAAATACCCCTTTCCAACCTCCCTCCCCGTAATCCCCGCCTCCGACGGCGCCGGCACCGTCCTCGCAACCGGCCCACGCGTGACCTCCTTCCACCCAGGCGACGCCGTCCTAACGCAATTCAACCAAACCCACCAAGCCGGTCTCATCACTTCCGCAGACCAAGGCTCCAGCACCGGCGGCGCCGTAAACGGCACCTTAACACGCCATGGCATCTTCCCCTCCACAGCGCTCGTCCATAAACCCAACAACCTCTCGTTCAAAGAGGCGAGCACACTCCCCTGTGCCGCACTCACAGCGTGGAACGCCCTGTACGGCTTACAGGGCCGGAGGCTGATGAGTGGCGACTGGGTTTTGACGCAGGGAACAGGGGGCGTGTCGATATTCGCGTTGCAGTTTGCGAAAGCGGCGGGGGCGAGAGTCATCGCGACCACATCCTCCGAGAACAAAGCGGAGGTATTGAAGAAACTAGGGGCGGACCATGTGTTGAATTATAAGAGTACGGCGAAGTGGGGGGAAGAGGCGAAGAAGATCACGGGGACGAATGGGGGCGTAGATCATGTTCTTGAAGTGGGCGGGCCGACGAGTATGGCGCAGAGTTTGGCGGCCATCAAGCCTGAGGGGGTGGTGTCGATTATTGGGTTTTTAGGGGGCGTGAAGGGGAGGCGCAGCCGGGGTTCTTGGAGTGTTTGAATCGGGTGTGTACGGTGAGGGGGGTGCTGGTCGGGAGCAAGGCGCAGTTTGAGGAGATGGTGAAGGCGTACGAGGGTGGGGGCATCAGCAATCCTGTGACTGACGAGAAGATTTGGGGGTTGGAGGAGTTAAAGGAGGCGTACGGGCATATGTGGGAACAGAGGCATTTTGGGAAGGTGGTCGTTAAGGTGGATGATTGTGGGGGGAGTAAGCTGTGAGGGAGGGTTGAGAAGGCAAGCGTTGGAATTGGGGGCAAGTAGCAAGGGCTTTAGAGGAGGAAGTAATGATAGCAACGTACGTATAGACAGTGAAGTGGACGGAACATTCAGAAACCCATTATGTTATGGTGTTGGCCTCTGCAAATTACAATAAATCCCATGTAGTGAAAATGACTGCGATCAAATCTCACATTGAAGTCCCATGGACCGCTGAATGACCACTCCCATCTCCTTCGCTTCCGCTTCGGCAAGGGCAAAGAAGAAAGCAGCGGGATGAGTGATAGTTGGTTTATGTGGTGGGTGAAAGGTGACGAAAGCATAGCAAGATCTATACCTCGCTTCATTCCGCATGGCTGTAAGCGTTCCAAGGAACGCTATGCAGGCAGAAGCATCTCAAAACGAATAGGCGAAGCTTTGCGAGAGTATTCAGAATCTCAAATCCAGAGCGCGCATTCTCTTGGTGCCCCTTCTTAGGCAAGCACGAGAAAAGGAGGCAAATCTTTGACCCTCGTTTTCGACTGGTTGTCGAGTTTAGGTGGCTATAACATACTCCCATGCCGCAGGCTGCGGTGGCTGGGAGGGATAATTTGGTCCACGAGGATGCGGACGAGCATTATTCCGAAAGTTGTTGCGAGACTGTCCTGCGCCCGTGTCTTTGTGCCCTCCGTTCTGGTTGACTGCTTTCGCATTGTGGCTGTGAGTGCCAGACGATTCGCGAGGCTTGAACCCTCTCCCTTGGGGCTTTGGCTTGCCAGAAAGGCTCTGTTGACTACTGGACCTTTGATGTGGTTGAGGTTCTTTCGCATTCACGAACCCATTTTGAGCGTGCATTGGCTTAGACCTGGTCGAGGCCATACCTTTGATATTGATAAAAACTAGCAGAAGGTTTTGCTGGTTGAAGAGTCTCGGGAAATTCAAGGTGTCTCTAGTGATGGCTTCGACCTCGCTACTCGGTGGTTGGGGTTTGAGCGGGTTGCGCCTCAAAGGCTTCTCAAGCCATGCTACACGGCCTAGGACTGCTGGGAATAAAACCGAAGGTGTAGATCCTGATTCGGGTTCAAAAAGTGCCTCCTCACCCTGATGATCCTGAGATGCTACCTTAAGGCCAACTGGACTGCTAGGTTCACCATGTGGTGGTAACGCTACCGCTGCTTGGATTCTTGGTGTTGGCAGATCAAGAGGTTCTCTGGTAGCCGAAAAGTCTGACAATTGAGCATTGCTTCTCTCAGGTGACTTGTCAAGTGAGGCCCTCTTTACGCCGAGCAGGCCATTGAATCTATCCTGCCAAGTCGGATTGTTCACCAATGGCTGAGATGCCGTACGCAACAATGAAGGTTGCGCCGGAGTTGGTTGTGGAGATTGACCAGGTGTCGCGGTCGATGGAGGCAGTCGCACCTTTGGTCGTGCATTGTCATCGTCAATGCCAGTAATTGGCAGTCGGACTGTGATACGTCTAGGTTCCGCAGCAGCCACTGGGTGATCGTCCGTGTCAGGAGGTGGTGGTGAGTCGCTGCGACGAAAGAATGGGCTGAAAGGTAATGCCTCTTGATAATGTGCCTGCAATCGACCTGCTGTTGGAAAGTATCTCGAACCTCTTCCTAGACCCCCAGGGAAAGCATTGGCTAAGTCCATAGAGTTTACGAACGATGGGCCACGGATTTCGGTGGGACCATGGGCAGCTGCTGACATCCCAGGAATGACATGAGATTTCTGGACTCCAATAACTTGACGGCCAGGCCCATGATCATCGGTCTTTACCTGTCTCCACGTCTCGTTGAATGTGGCAGCTGGAGGCTCGTATTTGACGCCCGTCCGAAGTTCTTCTGCATTCCTTGCGTCAAGCTGCTGTTGCAGTATGCGACGCTTTTCAGCCTCTTCTTGGGCCGACGTAACCTGGAAATTGTTCCAAGCTGAAAGCACACTGCCTCGATCGCCCCTATTTTGATTCTGAATAGGGGCGCGCATCTGGTTGCCAGGAGGAAATTGGGGCGATGGCAGTCTCTGCTCAGGGTCTACCAAGCGACCATAAGAATCGGGACGGCTGCCATCAGCTCGTTCTTGAGAGGGAAAGCTTTGAACTGATTCAGAATGCTCCAGTACAGGTCCCGGACTTCTGTTGTTAGTCCTCAAAGTGTCACGACCATCCTTCACGGGCTGTAGATGCTTCGGGGGTCCAATGGGAGCGAGAGCGGGGGAGGCAAATTGCTCTTGCTGCCTAGACTGGGGTCTTTGAACTGTGCGATCAAAGGGCCCATTTCCCAAGTTTCTTGGCTGCGGAGACACTCCCCAGGGACTATTTGGCTCTCTAAGGAGATTTTGTGAGTTCCATTGAGCATACATTTTCGAATCCCGAGGTAGATCATTCCAGGGTTGCTGCCTTAATTCTCCTCCTTGTCGCTGGCTCTGCGCTTCTGGGGATCTTGGGAAGAAGCGATCGGATTTGCTTGGTGGTGGCATCCCGTTTACCACTGGCGGTGTGCGATCCTTTTCTAGACCAGTTTTTGGCTCAAGGCCCGGCGGCAGTCTTTGTCCAAGAGCTTGGTTACTCGCTCCCCTCTCAGCTTGTTTGGCCGAATCCACACCATGTGGGGATGGCCTTTGGCTGTACGACTGCATCTCTGCCACCTTTTCTGGCTCAAGCTGTGCGTCAAAATCGACTGGAGTCGTCTTTTGGGGCGGGGGCTGAGCTTTGGCCTTCTCAGCAAGTAGAGTGTCTTGAACTTGTTGCAAAGGTTCTCTACGAGCAGGCGCATGCACCTTCATCATTCCATACTGCTGAGGTTCGCCGGAAGCACTTGGAGCAGGTGGTTTTGGTGGAGATTTCATAGAGACTGACGAGCCCTCTGCAGGGTTCTTACTAACTTTAGCATCCTGCAATTTCGGCTTGTTCTCTTCGGTTCTCTCGTTCTCTAGACTCTCACCATCAGCAGGTCGCTTTTCAATTGTCATGGCTGGTGCTTCCTTCTTGACTTCTGTTGTCTTCTCTTGGGGAGGTAAGCTCTCCATCAGCTTCTTGATGCGCTCCTTCTTCTCGGCCTCTTCGGCCTCTTGGAGATCCTTTTTACGCTTGATAGCTTGCTCTCGCTTTTCTTTCATTAGTTGTTTCTGCAAAGCAACCTCGTCCTGTTCAACAGAGGTGCCAGCACTCCCTGATCCAGGTCTCGCCTGGTAAGCGGAGCCAGTTGAGGGCTGTGAATAATGCATGGCTGGAGACTGCGTAGCGGATTGAGGGAATGCTGACAAAGATGGAGAAGCGACTGCTTGAGAGTGGGGTGAGTCGTAACGTTCTGGTGCAGCGTCAGCACCGCGGGCGAATGATGGCCGTCGTCCTTGGAATGCGCTATCTCCGCTCACAGTTGAAGACTTTCGCCGGCCTGATGTTGTTTGATCGTCTTGGCTGGGTCTTCTAGCATCTCCAGAGACACATATATCTTGAGAATTCCCCACGCGTTGCAGGACAGAGGGGGCCCGGATATTATCTTTTCGGACAGAACCACGTCGTGGAGCGTTTGCAGGCTCATATCTACCTGTTTGTGAATTGAACAGCTGGCCTACGTTGTCTCTTTGAGAGTCGCTACCGCCTCGTCTGAAAGAGCCTGCTTCAAGGGTTAAGGTAGGTTGCTCCTTCTGTGGCTGAGGGCTGATAGACTGTTGAATTCCATTCGGTAAAGAACGTGGAGCTGAATCTTGGATTTGAGGGTTGATATCTATAGGCGGGACTTTGTCTACGGGTGGAAGCGTGGCCCATGGTGACTTTGCGGGGGCATTCGTGGTTGGTTTTGATACGAGCGTAGGCTTCTCAGAGGGCGTCTTCAGAACCAAAGGAGCACCAGGTTTGGATTGAAGGGTAGATCGAGGCTTCAGTACGGTGGCATTGGGACCGACGCTCGTAGCGGGTTTCTTCTCTGCCGCGGTCTTTGCAGCTTTTGCTTTTTCCAATTCCTCTTCTCGTCTCTTGGCAGCTTCTTCCGCAGCTTGGTGTTCAGCCAGAAGAGCCGCAGAGTCGTTCTGAGAAAGTGTTATCTTTGTTCCGTCGTTCCACTCGATCGACTCCGGTGCCCAGTCGTCCTCGTCGTCATCGATATCCGCCCACTTCGCCTCCTTACCATCCCCGTCTGCCTGGATTCTCGTAGCGAGATGTATGCCATATTGCTGTTTGAGTTCCTCGTCCGTGAGGTGTTTGGGGGCATGCTGTGTCGGAGTGGCTGATTTGTCGTTAGCATAGCTTTGCGGAATCTCACTCCTACCTTACATCTATTTCTGTTCCAGACTTGCATGGGATCTGGTCCAGCGCCATTACGACTTCCAAAGGCTGTCTTCGCCTGTTTTGCCCCGCTAGACTTTGCGACGAGCCGTGGTCGAGAGGCGAGGAGAAGTGAGCCGGTTCCATTTGTCGTCGTTGCGTCTACTTTGGTTAGTCACCATGTGTTGCACTCACGAGCAAACCTACTGGTCTCGCCATTGACTTTGGGGTTTGGTGCGGTAGGGGTGCCGGCCTTGGCAAGGAAGTTCTTCGTGACAGATACTGCCTTGAATGCTGCGGGCTTCTTGACAGAGTTGGAACGTGTATGGTGAGGAGCATCTGGTCCATCTTTGTTCGCCGAGTTTGCTTTAGGGTTCACTCCAGTGTCTGTGTCAGAGCCAGCGCTGCCATCTTGTGTTATCTGCTCGGCCGGTAATACGGCTGTTTCATTCTCGTGGCCATGGTCGACAGATGACATACGTAGTGAGGGGACTTGTGCTGGAAGCGTTGACTATTTCGCTGGTAAATGCTCGTGAGGTAAAGAGGTAACTTCTCGCCTATATGGCTCGTGATGTGAAGTGATGTATGACTCGGGGGTAGAGGATCTTGGATGTGATGAGGTTGCGGCCGGGGGGTGGAGTCTTAGACACTTTGAGCCTAGTTTTCTTGGCAAGCATCTAGTACTACACTGAAAACAACTTACACGTCGTACAGAATCTGGACTGATACCGCAATGTCTTCGCCTTTGATAACGCAGCCAGATGTTCGCATGGTACTATGTAGGCTTTTGACTGAAGTTTATACAGAAAATGGAACTTGAAAGTCCTTATGAGTCCACTTCTCGGTCAACTTCCTTTGCTTTTTCCTTGGTTGTGAGATGGGCTTCCTCGCCTCCAGCTTCCTGACCAACAACGCATTGCGATATCGATCCTTGAGCAGGTTGCCTTCTGGCTTCAACGTACGGAGAGAGTCCCGCAAGTCCTCCGGCAGGGTCAACTCTAACGGCTGCTCGGGTACCTTGTTCTTTCTTGGGGCTCTCCTCCTCAGAACTTCCTCTTTCAATTCTTCGTTATCGCCTGTGGAAGCAGTGCGATGAATGAGTCTCCTCTCTTTCTCTTTTGCCTCGTTATCTACCTGAACTTTCAACTCCGCGATTTGCTTCTCTCTCTTGGCCTTTTCTTTTTCCTTCCTCTCCCATTTGTCTTGTCTTTCTCTCTCTTTTCTCTTCTCAACCTTCTTCCTTTCTTGCGGCGTCTTCCTCTCCGCTCGTTTCTTCTTCAGCCACTCAGGATTATCAAAATCGCTTTCAAAGCCCGACCATGCAGACTCATCCTCTGTCATTAGAGCGGATTCGCGCTGGGCTTCCCTCTCAACGTCCGCTATTCGCTCTTCAAATTCTTTCTCGGCTTGTGCTTGTCGCAAGCGTTTTTGCTCTGCCTCTAGCTCCTTAGCCCCTTGAGACTGGAGGAGTGCGTCCCATTCCTGAAAGACGGGGTTATAGCTGGTTCCAGCCTGTGGCTTCGGAATAGCCGAGATACTGCTTGTCCCTTCCACGAGAGACATGGGTGCTTCTCGAAGAGTTGATGGAGCCTTAACAGGGTTTTGCTTCTCGAGATAATTGAACTTGGGGTCGACCTCGTCTTTCTTTGAATCGAGTGTCCATATGTCTTGAGTAGGAGCATGTCCGTCTGTCTTGATGATATCTTGTACACTTCGGTTGCCGTAGGCAACTTGGAGCAATCTTTCATATTCTTTCCGAGTGACTCCCTCGGATTTTCTACGCTTGACACTCTGGTCAATGATTCCGTCTGTAGTGCCACGAGGCCGTTTGCGAGCAGTCAAGGAGGGAATAGCTGAACGTTGAGCAAGAATCTCATCCGCTTTCAGCGGTTTGTAAATCTTCCTCACAGAAGCCTGTATAGTCTTATCGCCTTCTGTGTCAAGGGTGAATAGGTCGTCGGAAGCCTTTTCAGCGACAATGCCCCTGAAGTAGCATTCTCAGCACATAGCGCATCAGCATTTACAGAGGCTAAACTGCTGACCCTTTAATGACCTCCTCCCTTGCATCCTCTAGTCCTGCTTGAACTTGGGATACGTCGACGTGCTTCCTCCATGCTTTCTTTCCCTTTCGTGACGGCTGCTTGTACTGCTGCGGCGCTTCTGCTATCTTCGATGGAGCCATAGCTTCCAATCATTCAGAAGCGGGAAACATACACCTTGCTGTCGAAATGACCATTGCGCATTTGTTCGAATGACGCCGATGATTGACCAAAGATTCGTCCAGTGTGTATCCGATTCAGGCAAGTTTACCCGACTCGTCCAAAAGCCGCCTAGTCTTGAACGAATCAAATACTATGTCCGAGGCTCCTGAAAGGGAATGCATCAAAAATGTTTCGGACGGTTGCCTCACGCTTGAGGTGAATATATCTTTCTAATTGTAATTCTCCTTCATTTCTGGCCCGCTATGGCCGCCCAATCTACCGTGGGGTCTTATTCGAACCCTATGAAGAAGTTCAAGTCCGTTGCTTCTAATCTATTCCAACCATTCTCTCTTTGCTAAGTTGCACTTACAGACTTGTCTTTCTCGGCGAACAAAGTGGTGAAGACCCCCTAAAGCCACAATCTCGGCATATTGTTGCGCGACCATAGCTCACATAAATTCATACTCATAGTCGGCAAAACCTCCCTCATAACCCGCTTCATGTACGACTCGTTCGACAACATGTACCAAGCCACCATCGGCATTGACTTCCTTTCCAAAACCATGTACCTCGAAGACCGCACCGTACGTCTCCAACTCTGGGATACAGCGGGACAAGAGCGCTTCCGCTCCCTCATTCCCTCTTATATCCGCGACAGCTCCGTCGCTGTAGTCGTCTACGATATCTCCAGTCTCAAATCCTTTCAGAATACGCGGAAATGGGTGGATGATGTAAGGGGGGAGAGGGGCCAAGACGTCATCATTGTGTTGGTGGGCAACAAGACGGATTTGAATGACAAGAGGGAGGTCACGAGTCAGATGGGAGAAGAGGAGGCGAAGAGGTGCGGTGCTTTGTTTGTGGAGACGAGCGCGAAGCTAGGCGCCAATGTCAAGGGATTGTTTAGAAGGATAGCGCAGGCTTTGCCGGGGATGGAAGCAGAGGGGCAGGGCGGGCAAGGCGAAAGCCAGAGTGAGTTGGACTTTTAGGCGGAGCTGACATTCTCTTGGTTTTGCTTGCTGACACACGTGTAGTGATCGATGTCAACATCAATCCTTCGAAGCCAGAGTCCAATGAGGGTTGTGCCTGCTGATGCATGGGCACGGTCAGAGTACGTCTGATATGAACGGAGATTTCTTGTAAGACTAAGGTGAGGACGATACCGTACAGCAGTTTATCAGCACGACGAATGCTTTACCTGGGGTCAAGATAGCATAATGGAGTTGCAGGTTGAGGGATGGCGAACATGATTGTTGCATAGTATTAGAACACCAGGCGCATATATAAAGTTGTTTTCTGCGGATTGGCACACCTCAAACTCTCACTCCGAATTACAGGATATAAGTTACTAATGAAAGCTCTTCTGTTCACCATTTAGGGGCAAAAACGTCAATATGGTACAGAGCGAATCTTGGAAGAAAATATTGACTGTCGGTTCCTCAATTAGATCATACATTATCATTATGGCGAACGCCAACGTCATGGACTACTCTAGATGTATCGCCAGCTACCAATAGCTGACCAAGCTCTTCTCTTACGCTCACTTTCCAGTCCGCCCCTCCACCCGCAGATACTGGGAATTTTCTCCCTGTAATTGGGGGATAGGCGGTGGCGGTGGTGGACCCTGAGTAATCCAATCAGCATCAAACTCTCCAGTTGCGAACATCTTAAGACTCACAGTCCCGCTTCGTCTCCTCCTCTCCCTTTCGACAACACCAGGTGCCTCGTCATTTCTCCTTAATCTTCCCATGCCAATCTCCTCGGCTCCCCAGCTCTCGTCTCCCTCCTCAACTCCCAACCAATACCCCTCACTTATTCCGATCATCAGTCTCCCCAATCTTCCCCTCCACCCTTTCCCCTCAGGCAAATGTCTTGCGAATGGATCTTCCAACATCGCCGTTCCCTTACTACTTGGCAGATACTCCGGCCTGCTCCGACTCACGGCCGCGACATGCCTCCTGATGACTGACCTCGCGTAGCTCATCACAATCAGAACTAGATAGACTCTCACGATCCAAAGCGCCACGATCATGAACATAGAGCTCATGCTCTCGGGCTGCAAGAACCCATGTCCCACACTAGGATTTCCACCACCTGAGTTCCCCGCCGTGATAGCCTCATGACTTGACCCTGGAACGCCTTGGTCCGGCCCAACCACCACATCAACGCTGGAAACATTCTTATGCTCAGGCTTCGTGAATCCGGCCGTCTGATCCATAGTCCCCTCCGCCCCGGTCGCTTTATTCACATGATGCTCGCTTACGACCATGAACCACGTAACCCCGAAGATAGCAGTGTATACAGCATTGATGAACGTATCGAAAATGAAAAAGACGGCCAGAGCGAGATTCTCGAAGGCGGCCTGGGTGCGGATGTGCCGGGCTAGGACGGCGACGAGAACAAGCGCTAGGAGACTGTAGAGGTACATGGAAAGCTGGACTGGGGAGAGGTAGAAGCCTGTGAGTAGGGCGAGGAGGCCGTAGAAGCCGGAGACTTTGTTTAGGAGGAGGGCAAGGGTTGAGAGTTCGGTGCCGGTGCGGAGGGTCATGAGGTAGAGGAATGTCTGGGATTGAAATCAGAGAATGGACTCCAAGTAAGATGAGGCTTGCTTGGGAAAGAGTGCATATTTGAGTAATGAAAGTGCCTGCTTACTCGAGGCCGCGGGATACGGAAGATGCGGTTTCTGGAAATCATGCTGTTTAGATTTCAGTCGAATGCTGATTATGGTAGGATCTTGCAGAGACTATGATGTTGAAAAGTGTGTGCAATGCATTGGATGTAGTAGCTAGTGCATGTACCTGGTATTATTGAGGAAAGATGACCGAGAGAACGAAATGAAATATAGACGGACATGTTCCGCACACTGAACCACGGAGTAGAATTTGACTGGCCGACCGCCTTAGCATCCAGCAAATGTAAATGAATGTTTTAGCTAGGCTTTGACGCGCGATGTACAATCAGGATTGACATGGAAAAGTGGTAATGAGTAATTTCGACGCTTAGATAACAACTTTATCCTATAAAGCATACAAGAAAAAGAACACCCCCCAAGCTCCAACGCAGAACGTGACTATGAATGCATTCCCAAGGCCAGTCATCCTTTGACCAATAGCGTAGGAAGACGCAGCGACAGTCTCGTTTTCTTGATTGCTTCCTCTAACTCCACCAGCACCTTCAACGTCTCCAACACCACCGGTTGGGAGTATCTGTTCCGGCACGTTTCCTGCCGTACTCGTCTGCCACGAGCTCAATCCTTGCGACCCACTTCCAGATCCCAGTACTGATGCAGTATACTGCTGTGATGATGAAGATGGCTGTAGTAGCAGCGGAATAGGACCAGAAGCAACAGCTTGAGCGAGTTGATCCAGCCTATCTGCTAATTCCCGAATGGCGTCTTCTGATACTGTTCCCTTCCTTGCCGCACTGGCTGCCTCATTGAGGGCATCAATTAGATCTTGCAACCCAGGCAAGGTCGAAATCCGCTTTGTAGTCTGATCGAGAAGCTGCGCTAGTTGCTGATACAGATCAAGGAGCCGCTCGAGCTTGTGATATAGATCAGACGACTTGCCTTCAAAATTTGAGGCGATGGCGTCTGCAAGTCCTCGAAGGGTATTGACCACTTTGGACAAGGCAGAACCTAGGCCCAGAACGTCCTGTTGATTAGCTTGCGAAGTTTCAAGAGCCTTCAGAGCGTCTTTTATCGATCGAGACAGTTTGGCCTGAATTGATTGGTCGGTAGGCTTCTTTTGATCGGCACCTGCATCGCCCGAGCTGTCTTCACCAGTGGCCTTACCCTGACTACCTTTCCTGTCACTGCCTTTTCCTTTACCGTCTTTTTCGTCACCCTCATTTCCTGAAGCGCCATCCCTGCCGCCGGAGCCTTCTGCTTTGTTTGTTTCGCTGCCTCCATTCTTCTTTGACCCTCCATCATTATCATTGCCCTCGCTATCTTTTCTATAACCTCCAGCTCCCGAAGATCCATCGTGGGCGGAACCCTTTACGCCATTTGCATTAAGACCCCCTTCAGTCTTTCCTGGCCCTTTTTTATCGTTATCGCCTTTTTCATAGCTCCCAGCCCCTGAAGACCCAGCCTTGCCGCCAGAGCCTTTTGCCCCATTCAGATTGCCGCCTCCCTCATTTCCCCCTGAACCTTCGTTATCGTCATCTCCAGTACCGTCTCCGCCAGATTTAGCACCTGACTCTTTGCCTGCAGCACCATCTGCGTCCTGACCATTGCCAGGTTTGCTATCAGCCAAGGGCCCATTTGCACCTTCTCCGCTTTTGCCACTGCCAGTTTTACCTCCTTGAGGTTTGCCAGATGATCCGTCTGTGCCTCCACTATCTTTGCCGCCGCTAGAACCAGCGCCCGTTCTGCCATCTCCGGGTCCATTGAAGTCTCCAGGTGTGCCATTGGATGAGTTTTCATTCCCACCATTGGATTCGCCATTCTGCGTGTTTTGACCGGGTAGACTTCCTCCAAAGCGCCCGTATGAGTCTCCTGGTTGCCCAGGTGCCCCAGGCTGTCCAGGGCCGTTGCTATTAGAGTCGGGCCTGCCGGGTTGAACACCAGGCTGGTTCTGATCACCTGGACCTTCAGGGCTTCCTGGCTGGCCAGTCGATTTTCCAGTCGAATACGTATCCCCAGGCTCACCAGGTGGATATCCTCCGGAATCTTCATCGGGCTCTCCTGAGCGGTAAGGATAGCGTTGACCTTCAGGATAGCCTGGCTGACCTGGTGGATTTCCTCCAACCCCCTCATAAGGATAGCGTTGACCTTCGGGGTAGCCTGGATCTTCAGGGTAGCCTGGGCCCTCAGGGTAGCCTGGACCTTCAGGAAAGCCTGGCTGACCTGGTGGATATCCTCCAAAATCTTCATTAGGCTGTCCTGGACCATCAGGGAAGCCTGGACTATCAGGGTGGCCTGGGCCCTCAGGGTGGCCTGGACCTTCAGGAAAGCCTGGCTGACCTGGTGTATATCCTCCCAAATCTTCATCGGGCTGTCCTGGACGATCAGGGAAGCCTGGCTGTCCGGGCACATGCTCACCCTCGGACGGAATCGGTGGCTGGCCTGGCGTACCTCCAGGAGGTGAATAAGGAGAGCCAGGTGGGATTTCCACAGTTTTTGGCGGATTCCCATCGCCAGGAAACCCTGGACCACCACCACCAGTAGAATCGCTCCCAGGAGGATTATTCTGAGGGTATCCATTTTCAGAATGATTATCATTGGGCCCAGGAGGTGCAGGTACGTATTGAGTAACAATCACAACTCTGATTACCGGGTCCCCAGGTTCTGATTCTATTGTATCTGGACCGGGAGTCGTCTTAGGTTTGAGCGGAGTGATATACTCGGTGCTTGTTATTATTACCCTAATATGCTTAGTGGAAGATGCCGAGGTCTCAGGCTCGGTCGTCTTCTTGGAAGTGTGGCTGTGAGAGGAGTGTGTAGAATGAGAAGAGGCCTCCGTCACACTTGATGAGAAACGTGGTCGGTGGGTGGAGCTTTCAGCTTCCGACGTTCGTTCGGTAGTCCTAGGTGTACTGGTGTGGATTTTGGTCTCAACAGATGATAGTGAAGTAGAAATTCGATGTGAGGATTTGTGTGAGGTTGACAACTTGACAGAGCTTAGCGAGCTCGAAAAAAGATTTTCAGGCGTGGTACTGACTGTAAACGATTGCCGAGCATCTGTAAAATAGGACTTAGCACTATTCGAAGTTGACGAAGAATTATGGACTGGAGTCCACGACGGCCCAGGTATCGAAGATGACGAAAACTCGGGTATTGAAAACTTCGACGACTTCAATATAGAATACGATGGCGACGGCTCAGGCACTTCAGACGAAGACATTGACTCAAACATCGACGATGAAAACGAAGATGAGAGCATTGAAGATAAAGACAACAGCCCAACTGTCGAGGATAGAACAGACTCAAATACTGAGGATGAAGACAATAATGGAAACATCGAAGACGATGAAGCCGATTGAGGTACTGAGGACGAAGACGTCAAAGCTGACAAAGGGGAAGACCCAGGCGTTGAAGACGAAGGCAGTATTTCAGATACCGACGACGTCATCGGCTCGTATATCGGAGAAGAAAATGACGACGTCAAAAACCTAGGTATCGAAGACGAAGACAATACCTCGGGCATTGAAGACGTCATCAGCTCAGATACTGAAGATGAAGACGACGACAAAAGCCCAAATATTGAAGACGAGGACAATGACTCAAATTTTGAGGAGGACGACGACTCCTCGAGTATCGAGGACGAAAATGACAAGGGCCCAGCGATCGAAGACGAAAAGAAAATCTCTGGTGTGGAAGACGTCAACGCCTCGGGCACTAAAGGAGAAGACAAAGATGGCAACGATGGTTCGGGTGTTGAAGGCAATGTCGTCTCAAAGGTTGAAGAGGACGAAAACACATCAGTGGAAGACGAAAACCGCTTACCTGTTGAAGTAGATGATGAATCGATTGTTGACGACGTCCTCTCTGTGGTAGAAGATGTTTCGATTGCAGTAGTGATTGCCTTAGCTGAGCTCATTGTCGTCGTTTGCATATCGCTAGTAGCCGTTGGGGTGACAGGGGAGCTCGCCTCAATCGTCGAAGAAGTCGGCTGCACAACAGTGGAAGATCTGATCTCGGTTGTGGAAGAAAACTCTGTTGTAGATGGTTCATCGTCCGTACTTGTGCTGGGACTTGTCTCACTAGACCTCACAGTTGAAGTTTCTATCTCGCTCGTACTTGGCGTAGTCGCAGGATCTGTAGAGGCTATAGATGGAGTAGTCGCAGGATCTGTAGGGCTTGTAGATAGAATAGTCGTAGGATCTATAGGGCTCGTAGATGGAGTAGTCGTAGGATCTATAGGGCTCGTAGATGGAGTAGTCGCAGGATCTGTAGGGCTCGTAGATGGAGTAGTCGCAGGATCTGTAGGGCTCGTAGAAGGAGTAGTCGCAGGATCTGTAGGGCTCGTGGATGGAGTAGTCGCAGGATCTGTAGGGCTCGTGGATGGAGTAGTCGCAGGATCTGTAGGGCTCGTAGAAGGAGTAGTCGCAGGATCTATAGGGCTCGTAGATGGCGTAGTCGTAGGATCTATAGAGCTTGTTCGAGTCACGGAAGTTGATGAAGATTCTCCTTCTGATTCTGGGTGAGTGGATGATGCTTCTGTTGTAGAAGGCGTCGTTGTGGGGCTGGGGGATGTACTGGAATGAGGAGTGTTTGAGTGAGGGAGTGGTGTCGTCGTTAGATAAGGCGTAATCGTGATAGGGCTTGGTGTAGTAGATGATACGACGGTTTCAGTGCTGCCGCCACCTCCACCTCCACCTCCACCACCACCACCTCCTCCTCCCCCTCCACCACCACCACCACCGCTGCCGCCGCCGCCGTCGCCTATACCTGTCCCTCCACCTGTTCCTCTGCCCTTTCCTGAGCCACTGCGTTTGCCAGATCCGCTCCGACACTTTTTCCCACACCGAGACCTTGTTGTTCTCGCTCTTGTCGATTTCGGCTTCTTTGTCTTGCATTTGAATCCAGTGCCTGTAGGCCTGTACATCGTCGAATTGAATCTACGCGTTGACATCGCCCTTGTACTGTCTTGCGGATCCGTTATTGTGGCGACAAGTCTTATGGTAGTTTCTTGCAGTTCATTTTCCTCTGGATTTGATTCATTCGGGCCTCCCTCTTGCGCTATCCGTCGATAATCCTCCCGTAACACCGGATTTCCATATCCGTCGTACGCCGGGGCCGGCTCTGTGATCCTTTCACTCTGCTCCGAAGAAGGATACACAAATTCATCTTCTATGAGGGGTGCAGAGTCAGGTGCTTTTGGGCTTGAAGTATAGGTGTCTTTGTGCCCACGTGCTATGGTGTCTGGCAAATCATCAGGTCCAACAAACCCATCTGCCTCAGGCCCTCGGGTGACAACTTGTTCGGAATCATAAGGAAGGGGCCTCGATGTTGTAGAAAAATCACCTTCAGTCTGTCCGTTTACTACACTTAAGTCTGATGTGAAGCGTATGGCGGAAGAGCTAGACGTTCTTGGTGAGGTTGTAGTCCATGGTGCTGGTGGTGAAGCTTCCAGAGTAGAATCGTCAATACTTCTCGGTTGTATGTGCGGTTTATCTGAGGAGTGACGAATCCTGAAGGCATACCAAGAAGCAACAATAACAACAGTGATTAGCACAGTGGCTTGTCTTTGAACAGCTCTCATCGTCGACTGGCCGGGGACAATCAATGACAAGCATTGCGGTAGGTGAAAATAAAGAGGACAGCGATCAAGATCAGGTGGGAAGAGAAAGCGATAACAAAATCTGGGTCATGGCTGAGCAGCCCTACACACCGTTTGTTGACCTTAGCTAAGTTAAAATTATGCGCTTGATAGTGCAAGCCCAGACGATGATATGACGAACGGCAGACCCATTCAGGCTTTGATCCAAACGTAATTGAAGATTGTCGACTCCAGAGCAGGATGTGGATACCCACAGAAGAGTCTCGTAGAGCACAGTGGAGCTCAAGTCATTCAGCTTTTGGAAGCTCTGTTTTCTCGTCGGCAAGGTGAAAAGTTCCAGTGTCCAGCCTCATTACGCACCGTATGGAGAATGCAGATGATTGTGTGAGTCGTAATGATGAAGGACCCACTTTAGAAAGAGTCCGTGTTAGCTGGTCGAGGGCGTTACAAAAGCTTAGTAGCTCGGTCTAGCGTCTTTCCTTACAAAACAGGTAACTCGACGACATACCCAAACTATCGTCCATCGGTGCCGTAAGCATTCGTGGAGTTCCATGTAAACTTCAGCAGGCTCAACGAGAAGCTTTGAGGTGGGACAAGCGGAGAGAGATGTTGCCATACCCAAAGTCAATGCTTCCATTCTCGCGACTGGCTTCTAATGGCCAAAAAGCTTTTCTATGGTGGTCACAAGATCTTTGGGCTCGTGGCCATCCGAGCAATTCTTCCACTGCGCCCCATCTCTTATGCACCAAATCTCATCCGCCACCCGAACCGTGCAACTCTTCGTAACGCCTGCTTTTTGTGTACTCTTTACGCTTGCTGCCAACAGATCCAGGCCCTTGCCTTCCTCACTTATGCAAGCATTGAGGTCGTCAAACGAGATACCATGTTCTAAAGTACAATGCTGAGCCAGGTCTCGGGATGGGATGTCGCTATAATCCATAATCATACAAGTCATGAATCCGAGCCACCTTTTGACATCGTTTGGAAACAACTGGGTGGCACAGAGACCCATCATATTGCCTAAGCACTCGGTCGGACCATGCTTGCAGATGACTGCGTCGTCTTCACCAACTTCCCCAATGTAGGATAGTTTGAAATCCACTTTATCCACGATTTGCTCCATAGCTGGAACAACGAGATCGACGAGGCAGTCTCGAGCGTCAGGGCATTTGCTCATGATGTGGGCTTCGAGTGAAACGAGCTTAGTGGCGTTGGAGACGCCCTCAAACGCCCCCGCAACGAATGGTGGAGGTGGTGGAGATGGTGAGCTCAACAGTTGTAGGCATCGGGGGATCAAATATATGACGGTAACAAATAGCGAGACGACTAAGAAGATGTATTGTCGCAGAGCCCGTCGTCCTGGTCGGCGGTGGGTATCTCTTCTTGAATGGACATAGCCCAACGCATCCTCGCGCCCTTCACGCGCAGCCATCGCTAACTTTTCATCCATATCACTGGCTTACACTTTCGATACAAGGCTGAAAATGCGGTGGCGTAATAGAGGTGCTTGTCGTCAGAGAGTGGTATGGTTTGGGAATTGGGAAAGCAAGAAAAGGAAACGACGAGTCAGAATAAGCTAGACCAAAATAGGCACGTTCAAGCGCCTATTCACTTTTTGGACTCTTTCGGCACACTTCGGCAAAACCAAGCACTTGAAATCTCTTGAGGTATGGCTGAATTCTAAACGCTACAATAGTTGCTCGGCTTTTACCAGCACCGGAAGCACACTCCCCGTAGGCAGCCTGAACTCTCTGTGGCCTAACACCCTCAAAATCGAGCGAATTGCCCCAGAATGGCTTGTCAAGCTTATCACTTCACATCCCGCATGACTTGAGAATATCTCGTTCAAAGTTTGCCTGATCCGAATATCAGCCTCTGCATCTGTTTCACGGTGTCCTTTACTCCACAGCTTGTCGTCCGCGGCAAACCCCTCTTCAATCATCACTTCTGGATACTTTGCTTTGATGAAAGTGGCTCTACTGCGTTTGTCGCAAGTGTGGACCCCCATAATCTCTCGCAGACCTTCTTTCACGATTGGTTGATATTTCCGGGCTTCCGGTAGTGATAGCTCAGCAAATGTGATTTGCGCAGTAGCAAGACAGCGATCTAATGGGCTTACAAAGTAAGCCTCCGGTAATGGTGCACCGGCGGAAATGAGAGACGCCCAAAATGCCGAAGCTTTCTCCGCTTGTGTTCTTCCAAGTGGTGTCAAAAGTGCATCAACCCATTGTCCATGATCGTCACCATCCAATTTCGAGTATTCCGCATCCCACGCCAGCCTGCCGTATCGGGATTCGGCGACATTATGTACGCCTTGGCCATGTCGACCAATGTAGAGAAGCTTGTAGTGGACCATTGAATGACTGATGGTATTGAGTCGGGACAAGTTGAGTTCAAAGCTTCGCCATTGACGACTCGAGTCAAGCTCAGAAGAAGGCTGACTTTCGTGGTAAATGCGAGGAATCAGGCCAAAATTGTCTTTAGTCTAAGAAAGTCAGTGCCAGAGCATCTGTGGGAAAGGAAAGCTTGTCTAGGCAACAATGGCACACATAATCGTACGCAGACGCAACAGTGATTGGATCATCCTGCGAGAAGTAGCCGGCAAGGACTTCGTACTTGTAGTGGTTATTCGCGAAAGAAGAATCATTTGCCTTCTGGACCGACATCTACTACAAGCTATGGTTGCAGCTCCAGAGAGAAGCTCGAAACAGACGTTGGAAAATGCGTACTAAAGCCGTGAAGACACAACAGTGTTTTCTCTTCAACTTGCAAGGTAAAGGCTGAGCCCAGGGGGCTAACAGACAGCAGCCTGCAGAATGCAATGCAAAGTCGTACAAGCATAGGGTAAGGAGCCTAGCGAGCCCCTACCAGCAGACCCTGTCTCCACTTACTCTTTCACAAAGGTCACGACTTGAAACTTGTGTAATTCAGAAAGGAATGAGGTTAAATTCACCCCTTTTTGCCTCAATTTCATCCCCAAGCCCTTCAGGGAGTACACCAGCAATTTTACGCACTCGTGATGTAAGGAGCGCACTTCTGCCGGCGCCACGGAACAGGGATACGACGCCCCAGCCGCCGTGGCCAAGCGCATTTAGCCGCTCCTGACGAAAATTACTTCACTTCCTGAACGAGCACCGTGATAAATGTGTATTTGACCGAAGCTTTCTTGGCTGACGGCCAGGCTCCAGGTCGTACTGCCAGTCTTTGAACCTCAACAGCTGATGTCATGGGCTTGCATGAGATACGCTAACCTCAAGGTCTGGCACCGCAGTGGAGACATGAGCTCCTTCGCCTAATCCATCCATTCTCCATACGTTTCTCCACACTTCTTTGATCATGCTGCCACGTTCAAAGCTACTACAAAATTTCTCCTTCTGGATATACTTTTTCTCCCCGACATTCTCCTTCTTTCATAAACTCGTCACTTGCTCGTTTCTTTTACTTCTATCCGCCCATTTGTATTGCAGTCCTTGAACCCCGACCACACTTATACCTAATCCTACACGATGTATTCAAAGCTCGCCGTCATCACTGGAGCACTTGCTCTCCTCTCGGCTCAAGTCAGCGCTGACTGTCCAGATGACAACTGCTGCGCTCCTCAAATCGTCGCCCCGGAAACTTTCTACGGTCTCTATAGCTTCAATGATACGAAGTCCAAGAACTTCACTGGCTCGGAGAACAAGCGGAACTACTTTGAGACCTTCGTCAGGGCCAATAGCTCCAGTTGTTTCCAGCGAATCGACACAATCGCCTCCTTCCAAAATGTGGAGTGCGCCGGTAGGACTCACTGGTATCCATCTCTGGACTTCAGCTACCAGCCCAACATCGAGCCTGACAGCAATCTGACCTTTTACTCTGCGCCAGCCACCATTCAGGTGGAGCAGATCACACAAAGTCTTCCAGACAACGTCACATATGCATCGACCCGCAATCTGGATACCAAGATGATTGGCAACTTCAGACTTCCAGGCAACTCTAGTGATGATTACTTGAAAGCACAACTCATTCATATCGGCCAGATACCTTGCCAAAAGACTCTCAACTTTAGGTTTTCAGCAGAGGTTTATAGGGAGAACCAGGCTACTTACAACTACTATCCTTCGTGCCCAATTTCCGGTGTCGGTCTTCGATATGGATGCTGTCAGTATAGCCAAGACTGCTTGTAAACATCACGAATACTCAAAGGGGCAGGAGAATTTGGCGTTGGACTGGCCGTAAAGGGTGTTTAGGATGGTCTGGCCTTGACTTGTTATTGAACATGCCTGATATTGGGAGAAGGGAATCTCAGTGAAGCAGAGGATGAGAGAAGCAGCAGGCCATCATGTGGCGGTATCAATAATTTCACTGCGCTGGCCAATTCTCTTTGAGTGAGATTGAGCAACGGTCTGTTACTATATGATAAGCAGGGTACCCTAATAGATTGATTTGGTGTGCTTCAGAAAAGTCATCCTCTCCACAACGTTGTCTCCGCGCACCGATCATCCAGCATTACTGATAATCGCCATCAGTGGGCCTAACACCAGGTCTCTGCCTCACCAAATTCACCAGCGGCAAGAACAGCTTCCTCCCCTCACCTTCGCTGCCCTCCCCATGCTTACCTACCCAACCCAACAGCTCCCCCCAACTTACCCACTTCCAACCTTCACACTTCTCTGGCTCCTTCACCTCTGGCTCCCTCTCCTGTGCCCCATTCGCAGCCTCTCTCTCGCAAACCATGAATATCGTTACATAATGCTTTGCCTCCACCGGCATGATATCATTCGTCGCTGTCAAAAACCTCACATTCTTCACGCTCAATCCGGTTTCTTCCATGATCTCGCGTGTGATACATTCTTCGAAAGTCTCACCATGCTCAATGTGCCCGCCTGGGAGGGCCCATGTGCCAGATCCGTGGGATCCAAGACGTTTGCCCATCAAAATGAATGAGCTCAATAGGGAGTCGTTTGGAGCGCGGAGGACGAATGCTGCAACGCCTACGCGAACGTGGGGGACGGCTGGCATAATGGAATAGGACATTATTCAACTTTTGAGAGCAACCTTTCAACAGAGATATCATTGCTTCTAGATCCTGAGATCTGACCTACCGTGAGTGAGTGTTTTTTGGAGGGAAGAAGGATAAATGATTACGGAGGGTGGCGTCAAAAGTTCTGACCCTGCCTATCAGGCTACTTAGGGCTTTCTTTAATTAGGAATATTCTAACCTGTTCAGGTAAAGCTCGTTAAAGCGACTTTGTATTTCGACCACTTAACAAGGTCTAATTAATTTGAAAGTTTATAGGCTTCATATTCTTAATATAAAAAGCTAGTTATAAGTTTTTAAAGTTAAATAAGCGACTATTAGCTATTTAATAATAAAGTTTTTATAACAAGCTTTCCCTAAATAGGTTAAAGTATTCTTAATTAAAAAAAGCCCTAAGTATAGTATTTAGCGTAAAATCTTAGCCTTACTAATATTTTAGGGGATAGGTCGCCTAGAAGGGTCCCCTAGAGCGATCTCATAAGTAAAGCTTATAAGGGCTTATCGGGGGTCCTTATAGGGACAAGTTTTCACAGGTCAGAACTTTTGACGGCACCTTCCGTAGAGAGATAAGACTCTGCAGTCCGAGAGATAATCAATTGACTGGATTTTTCGCGCGAAATGTTGCATAGAATGTAACTTGCGTAAAGTTTTTGATTTTACAGATTCTCTCTATTGGTCAGGCAAGTACGAATAAGCCGGAACAATTGGCTAATTCGATATTCACATTAATTTGCTGGAGGGGCAGTAAAATCACCCACAAAGGCCCCCGGGAATTAAAACTCAGCCTTGTAAGGCGTATGATATAGGGAGAGGACATACGGCCATTTCATGACTAGTCAGCAAAACGAAGAGACTGTTGAATGTGAACGTTACATTAGACTTATTGTATACGATTTCCTTCCATGACGATAAATCGGACGACTTGTACCACCTATTGTTGACAATGGCACCGAAGGCTTGGCATTCAGCCCTAAAAGTCTCTCACGTTTTGCTCCCGCCGTGAGCTCTTCCCATCCATCACTTCACATGAATTTGACTTGGCAACTATGTTTTATTCGCACAAGTTTCTACATTCATAAGGGGGAACCTTGGTGGTCTTTGAAAGGCTAAGAGGCCTTTCTCCTCAGCCCTTTCCAGCTTCCCTCATTATTACCGACCACGCACAATGTCATCCACTACCACGTCCACTGCCACTCCCCCAAAGCAACATTTCGATTCTCTACTTGAAGATGTCAGAGTTTCCAAAGCGTATGTCTCCACTGTCAGGTTACATTTGCGAGACTTCTAGCTTCCTCAAAGTCACAACATGATGATTGAACATTCAAGTTGGGAATCTCTCCTATGAACATTGCGGAAACACAAGTTAACTTGGCATCTGATTTTTCGAGTTCTGGGGTCACAAGATGCGAAACTGAAGAATTCTCAAGTAGCCCTCAAGCTGACTTGGATTCTGTCTCATAGTGACTTCAACCATATCGTGATGGACTACCTAGTCCGCAATGGCTATCCCTCTTCGGCTGAAAAATTCGCAGCGGAGGCGAATATACAACCACAGCTTGACCTAGATTCGATCGCACAGAGGGTCAAAATAAGAGAGGCTATCCATTCAGGCGATATTCAAACAGCGATTGAAGAGATCAACGAAGCGGATCCACAGGTGGGTGTGCTTTTTGTCCTTACACTATGTCGTTGCCATGATGCGATCCAGAGTTCATGCACCACTCATAGCCGTCTTCGGTCTTGATGATTACCAAACCAAACTTCAGTCTTCAGTCTGAGCAACTTCATACCTAATAAAATCATACCTGTCTTCAATGTTTGACGACGCTAACAACCACACAAGCTCCTAGACAAAAACGCATCCCTACACTTTGCCCTCCTCCGCCTTCAACTCATTGAGCTGATTCGTCACGCTACCGCTAAGCCTGACGGCGACATTACTCCAGCCCTTGATTTCGCCACTACCTACCTTGCACCTCGCGCCTCAATAAAGACCGAGTTTCTTGGGGACCTCGAGCTGGCCATGGCTCTTTTGATCTTCCCCCCAGAAAATCTCACGCCTGTCCTGGCGGAATTACTGCAGCCTTCTCTGAGGCAGAAGGTCGCTACAGACGTCAACGAAGCTTTGCTTCGAGGGGGCGGAGAGAGAGAAAAGGCTACAATCTATAGCCTTATCAGCCATAGAGCTTGGGCGGAGCAGAGAGCGTCCAAGGAGAGGAGCGACAGCATGCCGGAGGGTCTTGCGCTAGGTCTGGAGCCTGCAAATGCTGCTCGTGATGCACAACGCGAGAATGGCAGTGGAACCAAAAATGAACGGGACAGGGAAGGGGATTCAATGGCAACAGGATGGGACGGTGCGTCCTAGATGTGATTCAATGCAAGTCTCGTGCGTTTTAGCGCGGTGTTCAGGGATAAGGAACAGATGCATGGCGGCGACCACGGGAAAACGGGACCGGGATGGTGTTCTTCTGGTGGGTAACGGGTAACGCAGTTCGAATGCAATCACGAATATGCATAGAGAGAGGGTACAAGCTTTAATTGGCTAACTGTCAATGTAAGCACCAGTGTCACATCATTTGGCCCCAGCACTTGCAACGGTTGTCACCTTTATTTCTTATTAAACTACTGTTTCGTTTGGGCGCACAGTTAAACATGGAAGGGCGGCAAAGGAGGATCACATTGCGCGATTTCGATCAAGCTGTTTCGAAACAGGCTTGATCATGTTGGATGTGACATTCCTTGTGCCAGACAGATCAGTGGAAGCAAAGTTGAGCCGCGTCTCGGACAATTGCGTGGGCGAGATTACTCCCGCCCATATCACTGCTCAATTCCATCAACGTGCGGACATTTGAGAGGATCCAAATGACATGTGGCAAGCCAAAAATCAGGCCTAATCCCCACATCATGGGGGATGAATGCTCCAAAATTGGACCGCTTCGATGCACTTACTGCTTGCGACTTGCGAAATCTAGTCGTCAAAGCTTCCAAGACGAGAGATTGGAGGATAAATTCGCCGCAAGGAAAATGGAGGGTCAGTATTACTGAACTCCACATGCGGGAGAGTAAGACCTATTTTGATGACAACTGCATTGCATACTGTGCAGAAAGACACCTGGGGCCAGATCTACAGCGGTCTGGACTTCGATGGTGGAATGTAGCCTTGTCTAAGAGGGCTAAGACTGGTGGTGCTTGAATAAAGTTGCTGGTGTTGGTGCGTGTGTCAGCCAGATATAGAAGCGGGAGGCGCGATAAAGCGAGCGAACACAGCACATCATTATTGACCATTTTAGAAGCAGTCCAGGCAGCAGCTAACCGATAATGGCCATCATGCTAGCATTGAGCGGGCAAAATCAAGCCTCTTGATCCTTCTCCCTCCGGGTCCAGAAGCCCACGAGGAACTTGGAGGAAGGCGGGGTCCTCTTTAGCGCAGGCTCGTGAAGAACACCATGCCTAAAGAATGGTCTGACTAACCGACAAGCTAATCAAAAACGAGCGAACGAATGCTGACCGCATATACGACTGCATACCTCCCGTCACACCACATCTGACGGTCCTCCAGTAGTTTTGGAGCCTGCCACCCTCAGAAGTCAGCAGACTGCGACCTTCCTGCAAGTTGACATGTGGTACGCTGCCTCCTTGCTTTCCGTATACGCTGTGGCCCTCGCTTCCCCGTGCGCCGATGCTGACCCTGACCACCTACGCGGCCGTGTCGTTTGGGGAGGGCTGCTGCTAGTCGACGCAGTCGAAGAGCATCCAACAATAGCTGAACGCGCCACAACCCAATCATGCCACCTCCCGAAATCTCCTCTGGGCTACATCGTGTCGGGCAATATGCAAGAAGGCTTGTTAGCTAAAAACGCCTGCTCTCTTTTCTTTCTTCCTAGTGTCCAGTAGAGCTGCCCTATACACTCTGCTACTCCAGCTGTCGAACCTGACTAAACCTCAGCTACGGTCACGCCAGCCTGCTTTATGTTTCCTTTATTGTCATGAGTGATCACTGTCCATAAATACAATCGTCCAGGATCTGCCTTCTGATGTGGCTCTAATTCGGAAAGATCTTCCCTGTCTCTGGTTGACAAATTTTTGGATTGTTTGAGATTTAGAAGATGGCACCATTGACGAATGGACAGCGCAATGCTTTGGAGACCATTGAACGAGTGGCGTCATGCTTCTCGCTGGTTGGCACCGTGTTTATCTTCTTCACTTTCATCTACTCCCATGACTTCCGACGACCGGTCAATCGTCTCATCTTCTACGCTTCATGGGGCAATACCCTCTGCAATATTGGGACCTTGATATCCGAATCAGGTATCAAGGCAGGCCAGGACTCACACCTGTGCCAGTTTCAGGCTTTCTTGATACAAATGTAATGTCATCCTCGAAGCTCGACGGCGATCCGCTAATTCAGTCGCAGGTTTGTCCCAGCTGATGCTTTCTGGAACCTGGCCATGGCATTCAATGTCTATTTGACCTTGTTCAAGAAGTACAATGCTCAGCAATTGAAGGCATTGGAGTGGAGATACCACGCTCTCTGTTATGGGATCCCGTGCATCTGCGCCATCATCTTGCTCTTTGTGGAAACTCACGCCAAGGGCAAGATATACGGACCGGCAGTCGTAAGAAACCTCCTACCGTGGGAAAGCTCAAATCCACTAACGCGCGATAGCTGTGGTGCTGGATCTCAGCAGAATGGGATTACTTACGAATCGCGCTTCTTTACGGTCCTGCTTGGTAAGTCGGCCGACCTTCTTGTAAGACTCAGCGTTGAACGTTATGTGTAGGATTGCCATTCTCGCGGCCTTCACAATCTATGTATCTTCAGGGGCCGAAATATTCAGGAAACGTCGCGAACTGCGCGAGTTTAGCATCAATCCCAATACGACTTACGACTCGTGGATCAAGACTACGCAGATTGCAGTGACGAGTGAAGTCAACAACTCGCTTCCGCTTAGAGGCATCCAGGAGTCTTTTGCCCCTCTCCCTAGTGATATGGAGAAGGCAAGCTTGAAGAAAACCAAAGGCTTCGAGCAGTACTCGGTTTCAGTCGCCTCGCCACCGCACTCGACTAGACCGTCTATGCCGGCGAGCATGCTTTCGGCTCAAGCTCGCAAGAATCGCGCTGCAATGGAGGCCAACAGAGCCGCTTGGGGTTACACGAAAGTCGCGATCTTATTTTTTGTCTCTATGCTTGTTACATGGGTATGTACATGGCAATCTAACTCTCGCAGGAAGCTCGAAATTGACAATCTCTCTCAGGTCCCTTCCTCCGCCAACCGTCTCTACGCGCTCGCGAATCCTGGACAAACCAACATCGCTCTTGCCTACATTGCAGGCATCGTCCTTTCTCTTATGGGGTTTTGGAACTCAATCATCTACATCGTCACATCTCGCGTTGCTTGCAAAGCCCTCATCATCGATATCTTCTCTTGCGGGGGCAATCAGCAGCGCGCGAACACCGTCCAGGAAACACGATCATCCTGCATCAGCCGGAGGTCTCAGCGCGACAGCTGGGGTGACGACATCGAGCGACTGACCGAGCGGCCCAAGAGTGCGAGTGACTCGCACTCGAGCACGGCAACATGATTCACGGAATGCTCATCAAAGGCAGCTATTTTTGCGACGCGCAATGGATGGATGATTTGGACGTTCACAAGCTGCGACATGCCTACGACACGCAGCCACAGGCCCACCCGTCCTGCAGCCTGACGCACATTCTGACAGGAAAGTTCAAACCCAATTCATCCCGGATGACGCAAACGTGAATGTGGAGTCGCAGATGTGAAATGTGGGCCTGTTCGAGCGGGCTGGAGAACGACGCCGATTCGGGCGCCTACAGAGATCTTCCAACGCTTCCTGCAGGGGCAATCTCAAAACAGATACTGATGCATGAATTATGCATTAGACTGCTACGGGTCACGATTTCCCCATGTACTATCTTCAGTATACGCCACCTAGACATTGCACCCGCTCGATCAGGGCGGTGGTAGGATCAAGAAAACACCATTTTTCTTCTACCCGAACGATCCCAGCACGCTGGCAGATATGCACCGCACCGGGTGAATGCAGCGTTCGCCCACCGCCTCCCATCGTTGATCAGCAGCTGGATCCCTTCCGCGACGCGGGTGTCAACGTCTCCGAAATCCCAGATTGGGAATCGGAAGTTGTCACTGCTGCCCTTTGCAGCACACGCTTACTCACGGACGTTCCGATACCGCCGGCATATCGGCACTGTCGCTTTTTGTTCCTTCGGCAGCTACCACCATACGGCTGTCACATGCAGGTTCGAGCGTTAAGCACCCGAGCAACCTAGATGGGTTTATCCCGGGTCGAGAGCAAAGGGTTTCATTACCGCGCCATCGGATTGTCACGAGGAAGGGGGATGTTCAGTCTGCGAGCCCATCTCATTCTCTTGATTTCGGATCCTTGAAAGTTGGCCGCCGCGTCGTGCACCGTGACCGAGGCTCACTTCCGATTTGGTTGATTGTCTATTTTCACGAGCTGTACAAAAGAGACTCGGCCAAAGCTCACGAATTACTCATTGAGAAAACTTGGTTCTGTTGATATCCCCGAGTGGGGTTGACATACTCGGAAGTAATGGAACGAGGATATACATACTTACTGAGTCGAAATAATAATGTTTAATATGAATCAACTGCTAGCTAAGTATCATGCTGGGTACGTTTTGCTTCGTCTGACTCCCACCATCACCAGAGATGCTCACACGTGCCATGACGGTGTTTTATGCTGTAGCCCTTCTCGTTTGATCTCTATAGCACATACCCCATGCACGATCGCCATTGCTGTTTCAATTGAAACTGACGACTTCCAAGTAGGAATACAGCATGAAAAACTCCTTTCTCACGAAGGCCTGGGGGTTTAATTGAAAGTTGTCTCCACACAGGATACGGAGGAGAGGTTTGGTGGTTGCTATCGTACTTGTCAAGGAGGATGCAATGCTGGGATTTGACGAGCGTCTTGGATGACCTGGAGAAAGTTCCGTGAAGCGATGATACGTATGAATAGACAGAATTCTCGCTGAGAGGAGAAGGTGCGCGTGCGGTAGTAGGTGTGGAAGGCATCATGTCCAAGCCATCCGGTAGATGTCTAGATCATCACCTTCGTGGATCATAACACAGGCTTCTTCTTCATCACTTCCAAAAAATGCTATATCAGTCGTTTCATTCCAACCAGGAAAATGTTGCTATCCGCTACTTCCCAGACGAGTGACCCTTGACCCTTTTCACCAACCTTTCAATCTCGCCCTCACCGACCCCGTTCTCACCCCTATCTCCTTTCCCACCTCTGTTCCTCTTATCCCCCTTTGCCCCCCCTTCGCCCCTCTCCCTATCTCTTCCCGTACCGTCATCCCTACCAACATCCTCTCTCCCCTTCCTCACCTTCTCCAAAACCTTTCCCATCCCCTCCGTCCCCATAAACCTCGAATGGCTCGGATCAACGGCAAACTCCGGCCTCTCAAAGATTCCCCTAAATCTTTCATCTTCAACATTGATCTCGAATGTATCCTTCTGCTGGGCGGCGAGGGCGGCGCGGTCGCGGTCACTGAGATGGTGTTTCAGTTTGCGTTTTTTGGACTTGGAGTTAGGGTTGGAGGTCAGTTTCTGAGCACGGTTTAGGAGGGGGAGGGAGAAGTGATTTTCGTTGTCGTCATCGTTATTATTGGGGGTGTCGAAATTATCAAGTGGGGTTTGAGGAGGTGGTGAGAGGGACCGTGAGTCGTTGTTTCTCTTTTTCTTTGACTTTTTTGTATCAATCTTTGCGGGAGGGCGGGTTTCATTTGTGAAGAAAGGGTCGTCGAATCCCAAGTCCTCGTTTGCTTCATTGCTTGCATCATTCTGGCGACGAGCTTTTCCTGTGTCTACAGCGTCTGAGTCTTGATCGTCATCAGAGACAGCTACGTCGGGGTCAGTCCGCTTTGATTTCATTTTGTCCTTCCGCCGTGCCTTCCGCTCCTTTTCTCTCCGGATATATTTTTCGACTGTGGTCTCCTGCGCTTCTTCGGGCGTGTTCTCGAAAACGGAACCCTTCTTGTCCGAACTCAATCCGGATGTGAAAGTGACTTGCATGTCACTAACCTCGCTGTTGTCATGGGCTTTTGCAGATGCTGGCTCTGAAGGTAGCCCTAAAAGTGCTCTCATCTTACGACGCTCTGTTTCTTTCTTTGATAACTTTGGCTGAGCAGTTTTCTCAGCTTCAAGCTCGTTAGATCTTTCTACAGAAAAAGAATTCTTAGTCTCGAATTCTACCAGAGCCGGCTCCTCGTCCTCGGAAGTGTCACTCCCAAGATACGCTTTCAGATCATTATCGTCGACGTTCTTCTTACCACCAGTGAAAGCTCGCTTTTGCGCTTCTTTCCTCTCTGTATCATCCGCATCCCAGGTCAGTCTTACTTTGCTATGTTGTAGAGCATCCGTGACAAATTCTGTTGGCTTATAGCCGTCTGGCACGCGTTTACACTCATCACGGGGTCTGTCCTCGGAGAAATCAGTCTCGTCGGAAATATAGCGCAGGTCGAAGAAGTTTGCTGTACTGAGATACTCTGTTCCATCTACAGCCTCGTAAATCGTTTGCGCAACATCAGCGGATGAGCACTTTATGACAGCATAATAGTAACGAAGGCGCTCAAGCTGATAGCGACGGAGATGCGCTGAATTGAAATCTTTTCCTGAATCCTCTTGAAGCAAAGACTCTTTAATCTCCTCGTCTCCTTCTCCTTCGTCCTCTACAGAACCTTCCTCTAGATCTTCGTCCTTGTCATCTGAAACTTCCAGTTCGCTAGAAGCCTCTTCGAGTTGCTTGTCGGCCTGCTTTTGATTGCTAAAGATTTCCTTTGGTGGACCTTCCGTTTCCTCCCTCTCCATCCTCTCTTTACCAAATTCGCTGGGATAGATTGAAACCCGCTCAATTCTGCCGCGACCGCTAGGAATGAAGCTGTTCAAGACAGCCATGAGGTCCGCGGCGCGCACATTGTCCCAGTCCAGATTCACGACCGCCAGACGCCTTGATATCTCGCCATCAGGTATCTGATCATTCCCTTGTGCATCTTGTTGTTGTAAGATACCGAAGATTTCTTCCTCTTCATTATCTAGGCTTCCTTCATCTTCAGAAGATGACGTAACATCATCGTCACTTGAAGACGACTTCTCTTCTTCTGAAGTTACGCTCTCTATTTCTAATCGTTGTTGTGATGGCTTCAGCTTTCCTTGAGCCCTGTAGAAACGCTCTAGATCTCTATTCCTGCCAACCTTCTCTTTAGGAAGCCGCCGACCATATCTATCAACTTTGGCTCTGGTAGAGAAGCGGTCATCTCGCAGCATGTGCGCAAACCGATCGTCGAGGGAGACATGAGTACTTTTCTTGGAAGGGAGGCGAAAGCGTGGGTCGTTGTTGAGATTTGCAAAGCGAGGATCAGCTACGAGAAGAATAATCAGTATGGGTACATCAAACGTCGTTTAATGAACGAAGAGTACAAAGGGCGCAGCTATACCCACTTATGCGATTGGAGGGTTTCTGGGAGGCTTTTGGCCCCCCTTATGTCGTTCCTGTTTGGACATCTTGGGGACTTAAAGGTCAATACTCAAAGGAGATGAGACCATGGTCGAGCGGTGCTCGCTGGGGCAGTATTAAGCCTCCCAAAATTCAAAGTACTGGCATATGCAAATATATCGATAAGGGTATCACGATCTCAGCCCTAGATGTAGCCGCTTTGAGTCGCATCGCTTAGTGCAGCTCCTAATTGACCAATCAGATTGAACACGACGTTTTCCAATCGGGCATTGTCTTACGCCGTGTGTAATCTTTACGGTTGTTATCTCATCTACGTTAGCTGTCTAGATGTGGCATCTCAATGCGGTCGTCATTGATTGATTGGTACATGCAGCTGAAGACCTGGCCTCGAGGCCAAATAAATAGCGACGCACAGCCATGGAGAAGGTAGAAAGGGCGCATTATTCTCCGCCGTGGGCGGATACCAGCATCATTGGCGTCGCCGGCTCATCCGGTAGCGGAAAGACGTCTCTAGCCGTCGAGATTGTTTCCGCTCTAAATTTGCCTTGGGTCGTCATTCTCTCAATGGACTCATTCTACAAAGCGCTCACTCCGGAAGAAAACGCAAAAGCACATCAGAACGAATTTGATTTCGATGCTCCTCAGGCTATCGATTTTGATCTCCTAACTGAGAAGCTTCGAGACATCAAAGCTGGGTGAACAAGAGCACCTGCCATGAAAAGCTACTGGATTGATGTGACATAGGCGCCGCGCAGATATTCCACGCTACTCGTTTGAGAAACACCAGCGCGAGCCAGAGACGACGTCGATATACTCACCACACGTACTGATACTGGAAGGGATTTTTGCATTATATGACCAACGTGTCTTAGATCTGCTGGACATCAGGATCTTCGCAGACGCAGACGCAGACGTCTGTCTTAGCCGTCGAAGTGAGTCTCGTCGCAAGCAAACCTGGAGCTGGGTGAAGCGCTGATCGATTTACTAAGTTGAAGTAAGTTATTCGTGACGTCCGAGAGCGAGGTCGTGATATAGAAGGTTGCATCAAACAATGGATGGCGTGGGTCAAGCCCAATTTTGAGAAATTTGTAGAGCCGCAGCGAAACGTAGCAGGTCAGTGCGTTTGCAGGCCCCCACGCCCCCCTCCCCTTTTTCTCCTCAAATTTGCAAGTCGAGGAGTCGCCTAATGAATGGAGAACCAGACATCATTGTCCCTCGTGGCATTCAGAACCGCGTCGCCATCGACATGGTTGTTGGTAGAATCCGGCAGACGCTAGAGGAGAAGTCCCGGCGACACCAAGCCGACCTCGAACATCTTGGAAAGCAAGCCGAAGATGAGCCACTCTCCGGAAATGTGGCCATCGTAAATCACACCATTCAGGTCAAAGGAATGAGCACCATCCTTCAGGACCCTCTGACCGACGACGTGGATTTTATCTTCTATCTCGACCGTCTCACCACCATTCTTATCGAGCAAGCACTCGAGCACACGCATTTCGCTTCTTTTGAGGTTGAAACACCCCAAGGGAAGCACTACCATGGCGTAAGATCTACGGGCGAAGTGTCCGCTGTTGTCATATTGAGGGGTGGATCCTGCATGGAAACTGGCTTGAGGCGTGTAATACCTGAGTGCAAAGCAGGTCGAATGCTGATTCAATCCTCGTACCGGACTGGTGAACCTGAACTGCATTTTCTGAAACTCCCCGCAGACATTGCGAGGCATGATGTCGTGATGCTGTTGGATCCACAAATGAGTAGTGGAGGCGCGGCGTTGATGGCTGTGAAGGTTCTGGTGGATCATGGAGTTGAGGAAGAGAATGTTGTTTTTGTGACAATGTTCGCTGGCAGGATGGGAGTGATGAGGTTGTTGAGGGTGTTTCCTGGGGTGAGAACTGTGGTTGTCGAGCTGGGAGAGGATGGAGTCGAGAGATGGGTTGAGAAAAGATATTTTGGATGTTGAAGGCGAGCAGCGTTTCCTTTGGGATATATTCTAGGAAATACTTACGATATTCTTCTTCCTGTGAGGTTTCGAAAGTTCTCGAACCAAATTTCCTTGAACTGGTATTTCGTGGAGTCTAAAGCCTATTGGCAAATGAGTCTTTGCATCTGGAATCTTTTGGTCGGATCATCTTTGGTCATATTATCTCTAGGTTCAGTAGCTTACATATTCCCCAGCAACTTAGCAGTGAAAAGCCGACCGATCAATGTCTATGTAAGTCTTGAGACATGGCAAACGTTAGCTTCGCTCGCAACAGATTCTTCCATCTGCTTCTCTGCCGATGCTCCTCGCCGTCTTAAGAAGCACCAAAGCAGTATGCACCGATTATATTGCGAGCTCAGCTATTCAGTCTCCAGCAGCCGTCGAAGAGCTCTCACCATCCCACTCCCTAGCCATCATCTCCCCTCCGGAGAGCCATAGTCCATTACTTCGCCTCCAGCAAACCAGTCTATGCTGCCCTCGTAGCTTGATCCCGCATTCCAATCCACGAGCTCATTGTATTCGTCTCCCAATCCCTCGCTGATTCCTTCGACCACACCCTGCCCACCTGTCACTGGCATCGGAGCGGCTTGGTGTACCTGCCGCGTAGCCATTGACGACGGCATACTACCGATGGACATTGAGCGAGGGTGACCTTGCTGACATGAGGGACACTCGAATTCAGACGTCAAGTCATGTATTACGCACCAGTGATAACCAAAATCTACATCTGCGGAGCCTTGAGATGAGAATGCATTGGTATTGTATCCGATGTTTGTAGCTTCGAGACCGTAGGTAGGGAAGGGAAAGGGGCTGGCTGATGTGAGGCAGCGGAAACAGGAGGGACGGTTGTGGCGGAGGCAGTAGCCGTCATAATTTGTTTGGTCGAAACTACCTGTGAATCCATTGAATTCAAGATCAGTTGTAGATGACATATCCGCGGAGGCACTTTTGAGTTCAGACGCCTGGTGAGTGGAGCTTGAGGCAGGAGGGTACATGTACTGCTCAGCAGCATCACTCGATTCAAGGGGGCTCTTGCAGCCAGGACTTCGACGGTACTTTGGTAAAAGCATTTTTCGCCGAACCAGGGAGAGTCCTTTGTCACAGGGAGCCTTACCTGTCCAGGCACGTGCCTTGCCTTCATAGAGCGCAGGCAGTCTTTGACGATCACGTACTCCCCCAGATCGGCGACGCCTAGTCTCAAATCAATGACTCTGTCCAATTGCATCTACGGTGGAAGTCAACTTACAGTGTCAAAACATTTTGGCGCTCTCGCACCACCTCATGTAGCGCTTCGGTCAGTGTACGCTTTACATTGTCGACCTGGGCGTCAAGTGAGGCATCCAGATCCTCGTAAATGACATTTCTAAAAGTTCTCCCGCAGCGTTGAGCTTCCTCAAACTCGACATTCTGGGCAACAGATCCATGAAACAGCAATTGTTGAGGTTCTTTGACCGCGTAGCTCAGCCACGAGCGGCGGTAACCATCAGCAAAGCGAACGTTGATCTCAAGTTTCTCAAGGGAAGTGCAGGAGAGTACATATCGGAAACCCTTGAAGGCTCGAACGACAGCCTGTCGCTGATTTTTTTGGCTGGCGTATGAACTAAAATGGATTCGTAGTCGCTTGATGACTTGCCGGTATTCGGCACCAATTGACTGCATGAAATCGAGAAAGACTGTCACTTGGAAGATTTCGAATCCGTTTTTCGCATAGAATGTGTGAAGCAGCTCATTGTTAATCTGGCGACAGATCAATTGGTAATTTGAGCGGCGATAACGCTGGACCTCCGCTTTGAACTTATCGGAATGGGTTGGTTTCCCGGTTTCACTGGCGCCGATGTATCTGCCGCCTCGTTTAACGATGCCTAGATAGCTGTAGATCTCGAGTCTGATTTCGGCAGGCAGCGATAAAAAGGGAAACACCATTGATGACTGTGTTGTCACCGACACCAGGGCTACGATCGGCTTTTAGACTTCATTACATGTACTTTGACAATCCCACAGGAAAGAAATGGACGTTCGTCGCTGCAGCTTTTTGTGTATTCTTGATGGGTTCTTTTGGGTTGAAGGGGATGTTGCTGTAAAGTATATATGAAGTCAAAGCATGAACACGCGACCAAACTCACGTTGAGGCCGAAAAAGGCTGTTCAACACAGGTGGTGAATGCACAAGCCGTCGTCCAATTAAGGTTCCAGTCAGCAAAGAAAGTGGATTAACCTCAGATCAAGACATACAAGAGTTACAACACCTATGTTAGCATCGTTTCTTAAATGACACCGCATAGAGGAGAGCAGAACTTTGTACCCCAAAATCTTATTTGACTGGGCTTTGACGCCTTCAATTGATTACACACATTCTACCGTCGCCTGTCATTACTTTGTTGGGATCTGAGTGCAAGCGATGTTAGCGTTGCGCCTCTCAAACCATGGAATGCTTTCTGATTTTCACCTACTTTTTTCAACCTCTTCGGGCTATGCAGGAAGTTGTTGGCATACGCCTTAGGGACCAACTTTCTTTCATTCGGCTCTTGAACAAAATACTCGTAGCCTTGTTTTTGAGCAAACCGTATGGCATCTTCTTTATGGTTGAAAGTCAGATGTGTTCCTTGCAGGTAATCGGCCGAGGATTGCCATCCCATAAGTGGATTTTCCCATCGGTGGCCCTTTTGCAGAAGGTCCCAATCCATTCGCCAGTGATGGCCATGCCAGTCACCTGATTGTGTCGCGGTTTTTGCCGGCTTGTATATTCTGTCCTCGAATAAGCGGCTCTGTACCACCTCAATTCTATTCTTAGTTGACACCATACCGTACTGTGCGTGCTTGAAGATCGACGGGGGCGCCGGACAACACTGCAGCGGGTGTAATATCTCCTTCTTCACTTCCATCCATAACTCTTCTAGGTATCGGGGAAAACTGCCTTATTAGGTGTAAGGATCAGTCTCAGTGGCAGAAGGAGAAACAAACGAAGTCCCATGATCAATTGGGGTGTGATAATCTGGCTGATGGTCAACCAATGCGGCTCCTGCATCTTCCCGTCTGATCATGTCCGAGTCTCCAGCTCGTGTAGCTGGAGGATCTGCTGGATCTGCGTCTCTAGGAGCCTCCTTCGACGAAACTTGTTGTTGGCTTTGCCATCGTAATTTGCCCGGGTTGGCTTGCCGATAAAGTGAAGTAGAGATAGGCAGAAGTCGCGCCCGCAATTGGGGCCGTATGAGTGACATTTGGAAAGGAAAAAGCAGAAAACATGCGCTTTCAATGCGTCACCTACGACTTGATATGAATTCAGCGACTTCCATCGGTCAGCTGAAGCAAGCTGCGCTAGTTCTAGTTGATAGGCTCTAACCAGCTTAGGCTTGGCGCAATCATCGCATTGTACAACTCCCGACTTGACCTCTTCATCCGCTGAAGACAGTATCACCATCAAACCAGAGAGCGAATTGACACGACACCCGAAGTTTCTGGTCATCTTGAGCTCTTCAGCTCGTGGGATTGTGAAACAGGCACCATGAGTCTCATTGCGCGAAGAGCTCTTTCTACCCTCGTCCCTCCCCGAGTAAGTCCTTCAGTCATCACAACCATTTCTCCTACTGACTTTGACGGCGCTTTAGATTGCATCCACTGTTGTGAGTACCATTTGCAAGACCTTTACCACCTTGGGTTTCATGGACTGAATCACAATATCAAGGCCGCCACCCCAACACGCAAAACCGTGAACCAGATTAATGAATTGACGGAATTGTATGAGGGATTGCCAAAGGGTCCATTGCCACAAGCACAGCCAAAGGGATTGTTTCAAAGATACCAGCACCGATATTTCGGAGAGAATGAGTCGCCTGCGCGTATGTGGTGGATGATACAATAGCACCATAGAAGGGTATATGTGCTAACGGATGACAGCTATATTTCATGTGATTGGGGTCTTACTAGTTTTTGGCTATGCGCAGGACTATTACTTCCATCTACGTAAGCGTCTCTGGCTAGTAGCTGTTAGCTATTTACTGACTAGGATTTCGCAGGCCACGAGAAATCGAATGCTCATTAGCAAGGATTAGAAAGTGTATCGAAGGCGATTTACATAGCTTGCAAATACAACTTATGATTCACTAGACTGATTTGAGGCAACCGTTTTCTTTCGTTGGTTCTCCTCGTCTGTGCATTTGTGCAATGAGGCAATTTCCGAATTTGCGGGCTCCACCAACTTCGATCTTGGTCCGAGACAATATCAACCAATACTGAAGCCATACTGGTGATTTCAATAAGGTTGATTGTGCTCTCCGGCTGTTAAACTGTGAAAGTTTGGACGAGCTCACCGTTTTTACTCATCTCATCCTCGGGCGAATTGGGTCTCACCATCATTCACAGTTCATTCTCAACGGCAAGGAGTAGTCTACTCTTGTGGCATTCAATTACAACCTGATTGACTGAAAGTTGTATCAGTACGCTTTTCTGACTGAGTTGCTGGTGCCAGTATTTCTACCATCAACGAGTTAGATTCTCACCGAAAGTATCTCGCTGACCAAATGGTCAACAATGAGACTCGAAGGATCTTCACCCCAAAAGTGCCCGCTCAATCCAATGCACTTCTAGGCTACTCATCGACAGGCAAGTACTCAGGGTCGTCCTTCAATCACGGTCATTCGTTTGCAGCTGCCAGGACAAATCACTCTCAAAAATAACTTTTTCATCATTTTTCCAACGTGAAATGAGCAACCCTATGGCGCAAACATGCAACGTAGTATGAAATTTCAATTGGGTGAAGAGGATGTTCGATTTGGCTTTCGGAGAATGAAGACACCGTGATCATCACGTGAAGGTTCAATAACTTGTTAGCATTGGGTGTGACTGACCGATGAGCTACCCATAAAGTAGGGATTTGAATGCCAGAGACACTTTCAAGCTACAATCGAAAGGGAAAGGGTATGTGCGATCTGGAACCGAGAGAAAGAAGGCGTGGCGATGATCACAAGAAGATCCACTATCGTGCCGGCAATCGGTTTGGTTGATTCGAGAGCGATACACTCGAAAGGCACAACACCTTTGGGGACATCAGGCTGCAATGAAAGGAACCAATCCTATCATGAGCGGTACGTCCAATATCGACCTTTTGAAACGCGCAATCTTCCCGTAGCTTGACATCTCGCACGTTCCATGTTCCACAGACCGTATACCAGGGAGGAAGGAGGTTTATGTTTTAGTTCACTCCCATCTCTAATGCATTCAAAGCCATCATTCTCTTCCCAAAAAAGGAGCAAGAGCCTCTGCGCGCTCCCACTAGCGTCTTGGCGCTTGTTTACCCCAGACCATAAACCCCCTCGCCCAGTCTGACCCATTTCGCTTCTTCATACTTTTCATGACCCGTCCATCGACTTCATATGTCTAGTCCAGTATTATCACCTATCTAACTCAATACCATCCTTTTGTACTGTGACATCGACGGGATGGTTCGCTTGTTCCCCTCCTGGGGAACGAAGCCATCATCTTCAGCATCGGCGAGACCTACCTCATCGGCGACTAGACCCGTAATTCCATCCTCAGCTTCTCCAAGAGCACCAACATCATCTGCCCATGTATCTTCAAGTGCTAGATCGAAGCCATTAAGTCAAGTACCGCGCCATACCATCGGCGGTAAAGGCGTGATCGGCGCCGGCAAGGTGGGCGCAGGAGGTAAAGGTATGGGATTGGGGAAGGGTATTGGGTTCAAACGTCATCGGTGAGTCGTTGTTATGTTGAAAGCCTGATCTTGTGCTTTGCCTGTCTCTTACGTGTAATATTTGGTGAACGTAAATTGACGGGTGTCCTTCTCTAGAAAGATAATGAGGGATACCGTCAACGGCATAAGTGAGTTAATCCGGCAACGTACTACATACTTCTATCTCTAAAATATCTCTTTCGATAGCCAAAGGAGATATCAGGTCAATTGCACGTCCTCCACAGTAGCCCCAGAGACTCATTACTTTAGACGACTAGCTAGGAGGGGCGGTGTCAAGAGGATGTCCGGAAACATATACGACGAGATTAGAGAATGTGTGAAAAGCAGACTAAAACTAGTAAGTCAAGTTTTTCACTACTCTGATCTCGACGCTAACACATAAGATAGATCTTGGACGATTACTGTATTTTCGTCGAACATCGAGGTGCGAAGACTGTGACTGTTTCAGACGTACGTAAAATCTTGATGCGAGTGATGTGATAGGAGCTAACTCGCGTTGCAGGTGATATTTGCGCTACAGAGAGTAAGTTGTCCCAGATTTTAGAGCGGTCAAGACCCCTTTATTTTGGCTTTCTCTTCTCTGCCGCAACATTGGTCTGTTCCTTCAGGATGTAGAAAGCTGACATGAGACTCTGCTCGATAGCTTGGGCGTCCGATCTACGGTAAGTACTTACATCTTCCCAGGACGTAGTCACAGCAAAGCTCACAAGCCCAGGGTTCGGAGAAAGGCGGAACACACCCCGCTGACAGAGTCCGCTCAATGTTCTGGACTTCTCACACCCGTCATATTCAGAAGCCTACATCCGTTAGGGTAGTACCGATAAATCAATTCCACTGAGCGAGGGATGCCAAATATAACAAAGACGAACGGAATGTAGTGAACAGCATGATGGAGAGATGTCCGCTGAGTATATATGGCGATACCCGACTTCGACTATATTCATAACAGACAGAGCTCGATATTCTCTCGGAGCCTAAGTCGACGCCCAGACACATCATTATTTGGACATCCCTCGGTAGTATGAAGGCACGAACATGACTTACATGAGTGGCAATGACTTTCAACGGCAAGGAGTTTGAGCGTATGAGATACCCGTAATGCAGGATGGGTCAGTACATGGAATAACCCTGATTTACTCTCACATACCCAATTGAGCCGGTTGTCTTTTAAAGTTGGGGGTCCGTAAAGGTCTGTGCTATGGGCACGACATAGATCTCAATAAATGGAACTTTCTCACTCCAAGCAGGACATGTTGTAATCTCCCCATCAATTGAGATTCACATATGTAATCATCACACTCAATTATCCTTACAAAGATCGTAGGGTATATTGCCAACAACAATAGTATCAACAAAAAGCATCATCATTCATTACCCCCATCTCTCCCGGGCTATCTCGAGCTCCTCTCCCTCCTCACCTCCTCCACGACCGCCCTCAGCATTTCCCGCCCCTTCTCCTCCTCCCTCTCAAAACCCCCATCAAACCACTCCGGTAACACCCTCCCACTATTCGCATGTTCCTCCTCAAACGCCATCCCCCGTCCGCCCTTCCCCCACACAATCTTCGCCCCTTCCTCCAACAACCCCCTCCCCACACCTTTACGCCTATATTTCTGCTTCACCGTCCACGCCCTCACATACCCCTTCCTCTCACGCTTGATAACGCGGAGGACGAGCGCCCCGATAGTTTCATCGCCCCATTTCGCCACAAGGACAATCGGGTCGCGATTATTCCCACCCCCGCCCCCGTTCCCATTAACATTGGCATTGGCATTCTTGCTCGTTGCGCCAGAAACAGAATTAGTAGGACTGTGCCCATTACTGTTTGACCGCACCCTTGTCGTGTCTTCCAGCCATTTGAACCCGATCGCCTCGGCCATGGGGATATAAGCTGCCGTGTACCAGCGGACGGCGAGAAGGGCGATCATGACCATCCCGGCGGAGGTGGTGATGAAGGTGTAGAAGTCGAGGAGGCGGTACAGCACGGCGAGGATCGCAACGGAGAAGGCGAGGGAGGTGGGGTGCAGGATCATGGCTTGGGAGGCGAGTTGGCGCTGCTGGGCGATCGAGTCGGCGATCAATTTAAGGGCTTCGATGCGCTCGTCTGGGGGCGTGGAGGGCGCGATATTGTAGTTGAGTTCTGGGAGGGGGGAGGGTTGGTCTCGGGGGTCGGGGTCGGTGGTGGACATTGCGGCGGGGATGGCGAAGGCGAGGGTGCTGAAGGCTAGGGGGAGGGGTTCGGGGTGTAGAGGTTTTTGGAGAAGGTGGATGCGGTGGGGGTGGAGATTGCGGAGGGTGGGAAGGTGGGCGAGAGGGTGCTTGTTGCGCTGAGCTGGAGATTGGAGCGGAGGGTTGTGAGGAAAGCTGGGAAATGATCAGTTTTGGCAAGGGGTGGGGGGAGACTGCTGGTGGGGTTTCCATACTGCTTGTGCCACGAAAGCCAGGGACTTTGGCACTGAATGTCTTGCCCACGCCGTCGAAATCCCAATCGCTCAAGACCTCGAAATCACCGACTCGAATCTGAGGGATGTGGATGTTTGAAAGTTGCGGCGCCATAATTATTATTATTGAGGAATTAAGCGTCTCCGCTGCCAAGACATCAAATGACGGGGAACCATGCCATGGATCAGGACAGGGGGGCGGGGAGTATGAATGACTACTGGCACATGGGTAATGGAAGAGCGAAGAGGACGGCGGAACAATCAGGTTATTATAAAAAAGCACGAGGATGCAGGAATGGTGGATGGGCGCCAGATGGGGATGGGCTTAGGATTTATGGTGAGACAAGTTTGTGCGGCGATAACAGCGAGGAGGGAAAAAAGATAAGGTAGATATGCGGGAGCTTGAAGGATTGGTGGATCATACTCTCGAGATTGACGAATCCCGAGCATGAAGTATAATCCAGGGCCAAACTGTGGGGAATAGGCTCTTCCCACTGGTGGGGTTGGGGTCTGCCAAAGAGAAAGAGCGTGGAGTGATCTGAGCGCATCATCATGTCTGATGTCGATATGTGGTTCTGGAGCAGAATTGAGAAGATTTGAAGTTATTTCGGGATTCTGCATGGACACAGTCAGTTGTGCATAACAAGCTGTAGGGCAATGAATTCTTTCAGGCATCGTGGCGCTCACAGTGGGCAATTATTCCACTTGCCGTGAGGGTGCCGCCAGGCCCTGAACACTTGGACCTTTGATAGCGAAGAATTGTTGGCGATACAGGCGATATGAGACATTGACAGTGCTATATGTAGCAACGTGATGCAAGGCGGCGGTTTTGCTTGCTGAATTGCAACGTTTGGGGGTCGTTTCAACATCGTTTGAGCTGGCGACTGCCAAAGCGAGCCTGTAGCAGAGCCTTGCGCTAGGGCTAGTCCATTTGGGGAATTAGCTGTGATGGAACCAGAGAATGCGGCAAAGCCTCAATAGGTAGCAGCTATCAACGAGCAAACACCAACCAATCCCAACCATAACCTCAGCCGCTCGGTCATATCGGTGCACTGCTCGTCATTGAGAGGCTCTCGACCTTAGCGAGACAAGAGAGGTATCAGGCTCGAACACAGCAGCTTTGACAACCCCTACCGCTCCGCCATCACCATGGCCTCATCCTCATCCTCCACTCCGCTTCTCTAGTACGCTTACCCAAACCGACCAAACCCTATACCAATCCACTAACAACCCTCGTTCCAGTTCGTGCATAGCCTATCATACCACAATCCTCACCGAACACACCACCTCCGCCTCTTCACAAACCTCCTCCCTCGCCTCCCTCATCCTCCCAAAGATCGATCACAAATCCCCCCAGAAACTAACCTACACCCACAACCAAAACTTCATCCACTACATCGCCTCCGCGCCCTCCGAACACTCCTCCTCCCCCTCCGCCGGCGGCCTCACCTACCTCGTCATCGCCCCCTCTTCCTTCGGCCGCCGCATCCCTTTCGGCTACCTCGTCGAAATACGAAACCAGTTCTTCTCTCGCTATGCCCCGGAAGACACCGATTTCTCTTCCCTGCCGCCATACGGCGCCGCGGATTTCAATGGCACGTTGAAGAAACTTATGGTGGAGCAGGGGACGACGCAAGGGGGAAAGCAGGATGCGATACAAAATACGCAGCACGAGATTGATAATGTGAGGGGGATTATGACGGAGAATATTGAACGGGTGCTAGAGAGAGGGAGAGAATTGATTTGTTGGTTGACAAGACAGATAGGCTGGGGGTCGGGGCGCATGATTTTAGGGTTAGGAGTCGCGGGTTGAAGAGGAGGATGTGGTGGAAGAATGTGAAACTGATGGTGCTGTTGGGGTTTGTTATTGTGTTTTTGATTTATCTATTCGTGGGATTTGGGTGTGGGTTACCTGGTGAGTCGCTCTCTAACGACCTCTGTTGGGCGTTCGCTGACGTGTGGACAGGATGGTCTAAGTGCGTGGGATCGAATAAGAAGGCAAAGGATGGATGAGTGGAGACTCGCGGTACATACCGAAGGTTTATGGTTCTGATTGTATCCTACGTTCTGGGACAGGCACTCTGGCTGCTGGGCGGTTATGGTATGCACGACTTTAGCGATTTGCAATCGAAACAAATATATGATATATCAACAAGAAAGCCATCAATCAGAAGAGTGGAGAATCTTCTCAGTCGCCTCGCCAATTATCTCTTGTCTGATATGCAACGCTTCCCAATATGCAGATAAAAGCCTTAGTTTTCCCTCCTAGCTGGCATGATTCCATATTGTACAGCTTCCCCTCCTGCAATCCCCTTCAGCTTCTACTCATTGATCTTCGCAAGCAGCCTAGCAACAAGTCAACAGCCCGCCCAGAAATTTCCTTTGGCATTTAGCACTTACTCATGATCCCTGAAAAGCGAATACTCCTCCTCCCCAACCTTAAGGGGACTTCCTCCATACTGCGGTATCAACACCTTATCGCCCACGCCCACACTCATGGGCACGCGCTTACCCTCCTTATCCACCGCCCCAGGGCCAACAGCTAACACCTTCGCCTCATTGAGATCTTTGACGCTGCTTTCGGGGAGGAAGATGCCAGAAGCGGTTTTTGCCTCGGCTTTTATCCGCTGGACTAGGATGCGGTCGAGGAGGGGGGCGAGGGAGGCTATTGACTTGAGGGCGGTCGTCTGGAGGTATTGGAGGTTAGTTTGGAGGATTTAAGGTGGGAAGGTGGAAAGGATCGGAGGAGGGGAAGGGGAGACTGGAAGGAAAGCATACCATTTTTATTGAAATGAAAGATTGACAGGAAAAGATTTGCGATTGGGCTATGAGTGAGGAAGATGTAGGAGGTGAGCGGTGAGACTAAAGCTTGATGAGCTTGAAATTTCTCGGGATTAAATGCCAAGAGATTTGCATCGTCGAATCTGGCTAGTGCTATCTATAAGAGCCGGAGCTAGAGCAGAATCAACCGCAACTGAGCAACTTCCCTACCGTACATTGCGCATTCGAAATCGCGTCGAATGACCTAGTTTTGAAGTGATGAACTTGAACAGATCTGAATGGCCTCTCGTTAGATTCTAAGTAGTACTTGCTATCCAAAAAGTCGCGATAGAATGGGAATTCTTTAACGTGGCCACCTTCCCACAAACCAACCCTGGAATGCGTTGTATCTGAGGCAGCGTAGAGGAGTCGCTTTGAATTGAATAGACTCCAGTCATATATGAGACTAGAGTGGCACAAGGAAGGACATCACTCTTGCGTTGATACTGGAATGATTGGCGCTCAAGACAGACAGATGCATTCAAAGTCTTTGCCACAGCATCACCTCAGCCCCACTTCATCATGACCTTCCAGAATCTTGTTCTTGCCAGACTTATGGGGACACAGCCTCGGTGACTGGTTGAGGATTTCTCCATTCAATGTTATCTTTTGCTTCCTTGTTGCGTGAACGCCGCTTGCTGAGGAAGGCAATGTAGGCCAGAGCGCCGATTAACAGAACTCCCAGAGGAACACCAACTCCAACACCAATTTTGATATCAGTGTTCGATGAGGGGGAAGGTGGACCTGTGGTAGGACTAGAAGGAGGGCTGGACGAGGTGGCTGTCGCAGATGAACTTGATGCACTTGGTGCGCTCGTTGCACTTGTTGCACTCGACGAGTCGGATGTTGTGGGAGTGGTGGTAGGAATCGATGTCGAGATCGACGAGGTTGTCGATGTGGATGTGGATGTGGATGTCGCTGTAGAGGACGACGAGGATGACGAAAATGTGAAAGCGCTCGAAGGACCCAAGTCTAGTAGAGCATCGGGGGTTGCACAACACCCTTCGTATTCATTATTGCGATCACAGCACCATTGGTCCGTAGTGCATTGGTAGAGCAGTGCTCCTCCGATGACTGGTCACCTTGAGCCTATTGAACATTGTAGTAGAGCCGGAGAAACTTTACCTGACTTGCAGAATTGAGGACAGGAGTTCGAATTCCAAGTGGAATCCGTGCATGATCCCCTGTTGTATGTCACGCCCCCAGAGCTGTTGTTGATGGCGCATACATTGTTGGTGAGGCATGTGTACCCACGACCGCAGCAGGTACTTTCGGGGGCGGCTGGATTGCAAGGAACGTCGGTTTCAGGGAGGCTTCCGTCAGGGAATCTACATACTGCATGAGCAGGAGACCATTGTGAGTAGAGAAGTAGTTGAAAGTCGAGGCGGGTAAAATGAGAAAGTGAGAACCGGATCATCATGTATTTCTAGAAGGAAAAGCCAGTGTTGGAATAAGAAGAGTAGGAGAGTAAGAAGGAGGGGTTCATGAGATGTCCATGCACAAGGCTGACAATCGTTCGTGGCCCCCATGGCTTTTGCAAGCTACCTCGCGTTCTAAAGCACTGGAAAAATGACATTGATAAAATCGCTACCCAGTGGCCATTTCCCACGCTTTCAAGAAACATACTACCGATCTTGACACTGTCTTTGTATCAAACCACAGTCACAAAGACCAGAGCCTTTGCGCTGGAAAATATAGCTTCAGCCGTGTTGATTGTGGAGGAGCTTGAGGAGATATAATTCGGCAGTCCAAATTAGGGTTAAGCCCAATGTTGACTAGTCTGGGGGCCGACCCTCGAGACTTACATCCGTTACTTGCATCATGCCAGCTGGGAGACTTGCAGCACAATCGTATAGTCTGTGGATTTCTTCGGTGAAGCTGCTTTGGTCCGTAAGAAAGTCCTGTATAATGCGCTTGACTTAGCATATGGCCGATGAACAGGGACCGCACTCTGATATTCTCCTTGAGAATCGTAACAAATCCATTGTTCTGATTGACATCCCAAGGTCTATAGCTCTAGCTCAATATGACTGTGAAGAGACTTTGAGTGAATGCCATGCGCTAAGAAGAGAGCTACTCTCCATAACACCTCCGACAGCACCTTATCCAAACACGGATCCCAGATCTGGGCAGAAGGTCCGCCCCCCAGCACCCCATCCATTATCTTTTCCGACATCAATCCTGGAAGATGCTCTGGAACTCATCGATGCCGAGCTGGGCGAGAGACCCTGGTGTTGTCCACGATTGGTGCCGGCCGCTGACGTTGCAAGAACGAAGCCGCGAAAAGACCAGCCGCAGACAAGGCATGCCGATCATGTACATAGCTGGTCAACATCAAGTCCTGTAGTGTTGACAAATACGACAGCTTCTTTAGGAGCTAACCAAATCCATAACAGGCTCATTTGTAATCTCGGGGCATCTGAATGCTTATTAAGTATTCAACCTGAGGCTGAACAATATTACATTCCTCCGGGCTGTAAGTTCTTGAATTCAAGGATCGATTCCGAAACTATCATGTCCTTTAGCATGGCAGCTCTGCAAGCGTATCCTGATATTTCAAAGTCGACCGGTGCCGGCCCAGGTCAATTCGATCTGATAGTCCTCGATCCACCATGGCCAAATCGCTCGGTGAGACGTTCGGGCAAGTATCGAGAAACGAACCCCTTCGATGGTCCATTTAATTCACTCACCACTTCCTTGGGTCGGCATATTGCACCTGGCGGGCTCGTTGCCTGCTGGAATACAAATAAGGAATCAGTTGGTAATGAAACATTGAATCTCTTCGCAGCTTGGGGCTTGGAGCTCATCGAGGAGTGGGCTTGGCTGAAAGTGACGATCAATGGCCAACCTGTCATCGATCTCAGTGGCTTTTGGCGAAAGCCGTACGAGCTTTTGTTGATTGGGCGGCGACCACTCGAGGCGGGTCATGAAACAAGACAAGGTCTGAGGGAGAACAATAATGTTGTGAAGAGGGTCGTAGCCGCAGTGCCGGATCTTCACTCTCGTAAGCCAAATCTGAAGGGAGTCCTGAGGCAAACACTGCTGGAAAACGTGTCCGAATACAGAGCGCTGGAGATTTTTGCGCGAAACCTCACAGCAGACTGGTGGGCGTGGGGAGACGAAACCTTGAAATATAATAACAGCCATGCATGGAGCCAGACCTCTCAAGACGGATCATTCAATCGCTTTAAGACCACTGACGATGACATACATTAGACTGAAGTCTGGAAGCCTTCAGCCCCATCCATTATCATGGCTCGTTCACACCTCCTCCATAAGTCTACCCACTCGCCAAACGCTTCTGGACGAGCGGTAATCCTTCTTATATTTGGCTCAGCAACAATTAGGCAGACCTGGATAGCCTCCGCTAACTCAGAATCCATAGCGACAAGGGGCTCCTCGAGTTCCATTTCGGGGACGCACTCTCTCAAGCATTGCATGGCTTTTGCTTGGTGGTTTCTCTGAGCTAACAAAAGAAACATGGCCATATACATTGGTTTCGTTCTCGGACGCATCGCTGACGGAAAATTGCGCCAGACAATCCAGAACTCGTCCCAACGTCCTTTGCCAGCGCAAAGATACATCATCATGACCTCGTCTTCCACGCTTGGCTCGCCAAAAATCTCCGTCACAAGATGCCTAAATTGGAAAAAAGCATCTTCTCTCAAGCATATGGATTGAGCCCCAGCGGAGACTTCTAGAATCGCATTTTGGAATGTACACAACAATGAGGCTAATCCATCAACGCCTTTTCGTGCACTCATACTCTCGACAATATCGATCACATCATTCAAATCCGCTTCCGCTACTGGCGAGGCAAGAAGTCTTTGAAGCACCCGCACATACAGCGAACCTGGGATGTCGATAAATGTGGCTTGCAATTCACGGAAGGTCTGACTGAGAGTAATCTTGTTGCGATGGGCCCCAGTCTCGTATGCTTGACATAGCAGTTGTGTTCGAATCTTGTATTCTTCTGCGCTTGGAAACAGCGGCCAACTGTCTTCAACAAATGACCAGAATGAGGAGGATTCACTTTGAAGCGCCTCCTTAACCTCTGATACTGACATAGACTTTAAGCTGTCCGCATGAGCTTGCAAGTTGTGAGTCCGTTGCAATTCTGCGGCAGAGAGATCGACAATTGCATTTGCTGGAAGGCTCACGCAATTTGAGATAGCATCTTCTGGAGGACTAGTGGGACCTGGCGCCATAGAGTCATGTCTGCGGGAAGTATCTGCGTCAAGTGAAGCTAAAGGGGCGTCTTCGGAAGCATCTGTTGGATGAGTACCGGAAACTGATGTCGAAGATGTTTGCCCTTTGGCGGTATCCGGGTCAAGTAAAGCTAGAAAGGCATCTTCGGCGGAATCACCTGATGGGGAGGTCTCTCTGAAAGGCGGCTAGCCAGGGAACTCGTTAACGTCACTCAATTGTCAATCCAAAGGGTTTGTACGAACAAGTGCAGATGTTCGATCAGTATTGCTAGGCTTAGGTTTCGGCACAGCCGCAGCGTGGTATGCCCTCGATTGAGTGTAAGATCCCAGGGAACCTATAGAAGTTCGACTACCCTCGAGCGATGCATAAGACGTCGACTGTGTACCGCTTGTTCGGTCCAGGCCAGGCACCTTGGTGTGGTCGTGCTCCTCAGAGTTTGAGGAAAGCCGGGCTTCTTTCCTCTCGTGTCTCGCAGCTGCCTTCTTCCAAAGCTCTTCAAGGTCTAGTTCCTCCCGCTTCTCTTGGGTAAGTATTTGAATGACGAGATTGACACCTTCTGATTCCTCTTTAAAGCCCACAAAGTCTTCGTGCAAATCTTTGTATAGATTCGAACCTTCGCCGTCAGGCACGTTGCGAGTATGAACGCATATCCATCCAGTTCGTATCCCATCGTCTACGTCTGTAGTTTCAACTGCCCCAACTCTGCTCATCATCTTTGCTTTCCGTGCTTTGCGTCGTAATTTGAGCTTCAATTCACCACGACCAATCAGCCCATCAGCGTGTGGAGAGAGTCGATATTCTTTTTTCAGCCATCTACAGCATTGCTCGGCGGAAACATGCAAATGCTTCTCACTTCGGACAGTCCCAAGCAACATGATCAAATTTGAACCAAGCGCAGGAGGTGGGTCGAGTCGTCGTAAATCGAGCAACGTGAGATCATCTAGGCCGAGATCAATGGAAGCGTAATTTAGCAGGGGCGAAAGTAGCGGTGGAGGGTTTTCAGGTAGTTCCGGTAATTTCTGACGATCCAACAAGGGGCTTGAAGCTCTTGATGGCGTTTCAACCTGCAGATACCATGGTTGCGACTTGTTCTGCTTCGTATCCGTCGGACCAACTTCGTCTATCTGGTCAGGATCATGGCTTGTTTCAAGACGCCGCGCGTCTTGTGGACGATATTGAGTAGTTGTAAATCTTTTCACTACCGTCTTAGATCTGGTAGCTCTGGGCAATTTTACAACTGTGAGTGACCGGGCAGGAAGACCGGACGTAAATATGAACGCGTCAACCAGAGCGCGCCGGCAACCATAGCACCGGGCGACTGGGACCATCATTCAGCTTCAATATTAGATTTGGAGAGGCTTGCAGCTACTTCCTACAAAAGGGGAGAACATTCTGGTCGACTCACGGATTTGTCAAGGCAATTAACGGACGTATTCCGCCACTTCGTCATTTGTTAATGAAATCGGTCTCCTGTGGATTCCCACATACACTCGAACTTCATATTGCAACTAGGTAACCATGGCTATGGAAGTAGATGTCCCAGTCACCCTACCCTCAAGATCACTTGCTCCACAAACCGCCGCAACGCAAGTTCCACCCAAATATGATCGTACGCCCAAGCCAAGACTGACCTGTTCTAGAATTCTCTGTTGTAATTGCGGAGCCGCAATAGACGGATCCGCAGCTGCCGGTGCGCTTTGCAATGATTGTCTGAAACTCTCAGTCGACATCTCTCAAGGCATACCGAGAGAAGCTATCCTACTTACATGCAGAGACTGCGAAAGATGGCTTCAACCTCCAGCGCATTGGGTGACAGCAGCGCCGGAATCAAGAGAACTTTTGGCTCTATGCTTGAGAAAATTGACTGGACTCCAGAGGATCAGAATCATTGACGCAAGTTTCATCTGGACAGAGCCACACTCAAGGCGGATCAAAGTAAAAATTGTTATACAGCAGGAGGCTTTCCAAGGCACCATAATACAACAGTCCTTTGAAGTTGAATACGTCGTGAACTACAAGCAGTGTCCAGACTGTGCAAAGTCATTCACAGCCAATACCTGGCGTGCTGTCGTTCAACTTCGACAAAAGGTTCCTCACAAGCGTACATTTCTCTTCCTCGAACAATTGATCCTCAAGCATTCTGCCCATAAGGAGACTATAAATATCCGAGAAGCCAAAGATGGCTTAGACTTTTTCTTTGCTCAGAGGAATCATGCAGAGAAGTTTGTTGACTTTCTTGCATCTGTCGCTCCAGTACGGAAAAAGACTTCTCAAGAACTCATCTCAATGGACATCCACACTTCCTCGAAATCATACAAATTTTCCTTCTCGGTGGAGCTCGTTCCTATATGTAAAGACGATCTCGTTGCCCTACCTGTCAAGCTTGCCAAACAGATCGGCAATATTTCTCCCTTGACTCTTTGCCACCGTATAGGTACAACTGTCAATTTGCTCGACCCTCAGACTTTGCAGACGGCAGATATACCAGCACCTATTTATTGGAGATCACCATTTGGCTCCTTGGCTGACGTTCAAGAGCTTGTTGAATTCGTGGTCATGGACATTGAGCCTACCACAATTCAGAAAGGCCGGTTTCAGCTGGCGGAGGCGACGGTAGCACGAGCGTCGGACTTGGGGGTAAATGACACAACATACTTTACTCGCACGCATCTTGGTGGAATATTACATGCCGGCGATTCGGTCATGGGATACAATCTCAGCGGCACAAATTTCAACAATCCAAATTACGAAGTATTAGAACAGAGCAATGCCTACAACTCGAATCTGCCGGACGTCGTTCTGGTGAAGAAGTTCTACACCCGCAAGAAGAAGAACAAGTCTCGCAATTGGCGAGTGAAGCGCTTGAATGGACGGCAAGAAGAGCCCCAGGGCAAGAAGCAGGATCAGGACAAGATAGAACGCGACTTTGAGATGTTCTTGAGAGACGTGGAGGAAGATGAAGAGCTTCGAGGTGCGGTGGATTTGTACAAATCACAGCAAGCGAAAAAGAAGACAGACAAGATGGATGTAGTTGAGGAGGCTAGTGTTGCGGAGACGGAAGAGACAGCAGAGGATGACATCCCAAGGATAGAGATGGAAGAGCTGCTGGACGACTTTGACGAACTGAATGTTGAAGACTAGGAATGAGAGAGGGCCTTCATTTCATGCATTCGTTGCAACATAGCTACTGCTACACCATCAAAGCGGTCAAAATATCTGACTCAAGACCCTAGTAACTTCATCTGGTTGCTTACTCCCCTTCCCCTTTGGTTTCCACACTTCATTCTGCCTGAACGCCTTCCTCCCATCCTCCGCCATCGTCGCCTCCTCTTTTCTTTCGTCCTCGCCATCCACTACCCCCAACGCCTCACCCATGCCCATCTTTTTCACCCTCTTCCTCCTTCTCGTCTCTTCAACCTTCGCCCCCTGCACCCCCCTTTCAAAAGCCCTCCGTTCTCTTTTCTCCCGCATTACCCCCACCCTAACTCTCTCCTCTCTTTCCCTCTCCTCCGCCTGCGCAGCCTGCATCAGATCCCCCCACTTGAACCCCCTCAAATACCTCAAACTCCACACATCGTCCCGATACCACCTCCCCTTCCCACCCTTCCGCCCCCCAATCCCACCGATGCCGAGCCCCTGCGCCGTTGTCTGCCCGTTCAGCGCATCCACGCAGGCGTGCGCGTGCCGTTTGTGCTTGAATTCCACCCAGCCGTCGATGTATTGCCTCTTTTTGTTGCCATGATGCGTGTGTACGCGGGTGTGGTAGACGGAAGGGGCTTCTGGGGTGAGAAAGAGGTTTGTGATTGTGCCGTGGATGGAGAAGAGGTGGCGGAGGGTTTGGGGCTTGAGATAGGGGGAATGCGGGAGATGTAGATAATGCCAGGTTTAGATTTCTTGTTGGGGGGTCTTTGGAGGGTTTGGAGGATCTGAGAGGGGTCGTGCGGGGTTTGGCACGATCTGGTTGTACTTGTTGAATTTCATCTTCGGAGATGGGGGCAGGGTCAGGGGTAAAGTTATTGATAGCTGGCTCGCTCTCCGAATCGCTCTCAGTCACTGAGGAATTCTCTGAGAGCTTTCGCTTCCTGAATGTTCTGTGGGAGGGGCGGGCTGTCCTGCTTTCTTCAGGAATGTCAGACGGCGTATCGCTCACGTGATCACTTTCACTGTCGACGACGTCCAGGTACTCATTTCGCTTTTGGCTAGCCATAACACAAGTGAGAAGTCCGTTTCTTAGGCCTTGGCTCGCAAGGAAAGAAATTGCATGACGTCTTGGCAAGCCTCACCTTCCGCTCCAATCGACAGCCTTATTTCTTGCCTTGTTTTTGACGACGACTGCTTGAGATTGAAGATTCAGAAGTCTCCTATACAAGGAATACATTGGACAATCAACTAAGCTGGAACCTATTGTAGTATGATAGGACAATGCTAGACTGTAAGTCTCATGAGGCTTTCTTAATTCAAAGGATACATTGGAATTATCTTTAATCGTTACACATGAGCCTAATCATCCCCGTGCGCCGGAAATTAGACAGCTTTGATGCAGGAACGTGCAGAACGGAGGTAGACCGCTAACCTGCCCTGAGGATTGGCCCAGATATCGCAGGCTCATGAAGCTGTTTCTCCTTCCTTCTGGAATCGACGTGACTCACTCAATTGAGATTTCTGGGTATCAGGCTATCAGCTATTCTACCTCATCCCTCACAAATTTATCTCACGGCCCCTTGGCGCTCGTGCTTTTTCACTGTTACAGATTCACGGTCGCTCTAAAGCTCAAGAACACCATTTGCTACCTGTAATAAGTGGTCTCGGTTGTCACATAGGGCATGTTTTAGCCATTTGAAGCTGAGCATAAGGATTACGATCCTTTGGAGTTGTTTCTAGCGGGGCGCTCTCAGTGCATGCACCGAGCCATTTCATGCTCCATGGGCATTTCAAATGGTCTTTGTGAGGTGGAGATTGTCTCATGCTGGGAGCAAAGATGTCTTCAACGCTCATGGGTGATACCGGAGTTTCCCAGGCGAGATATTGGAACCCCTAATCACGAGCTTAGGCTGGAGCAAATGGTGAGAGTAATTGTTCACTGGTAATTAGTTGATAGATGAGAAAGAAGTAGACGAGACTTGATCCTCCACCATTCTGACAGAGTGACAGGCAGGACCGCCACGTGGGAAAGCCCGCTCGGAGTCTAGGCCCAAATGACCCCACCTTAAGCTTTCGGGCGGGCCAGCTTAGGGTTACAGGGACCCGCGATCTGGGGAAAGTTCCTACTCTCTACTCTACTCTAGACTTGACTGATTTTATGCTCATACCCTGAAGATCGTTCTCTCGGCGTGAAAGAGTCTCATGGGTCGCGTTCTTCCATGGCTCACGGGCAATGATACAGCTTCTGCCAAAACATCTGCACCCCCATCAAAACGTCAAAGGCAGCTCGAGCTTGATTCTGACTCTGAGCGAACAGGTCGGAGACGAAAGGTCCAGCCTACGCGAACAAGTAAGTGACTGATCATATATTCCAATCGATCGCTACTTCATCTAACCAAAGAAGAAGACCGCGCGCCCTCAACTTCACCCCCTCCACCTACACTTCCTTCTCAGTCGCCTCTGCGCGCCGGCCTTGACTCTGATGACATCTATATCATGGTCGAGGATGAATTCCTCGCCACTGCGCAGCTTTTCACCCGCCATCTCCATCATGCCGAATACCAACGCCTGCAGACTCTGGCGAAAGATCGTGATGTTTCAACGATAACAAATATGTGTCGACCTACAGATAGCAAGACCATCATGCGTAGCGAGCTAAAGATGAAGAAGGATGCTGTTGCAAGATACACAAAGACTAGGACGGGGGTGGAGGACGTATTAGGTGGTTCTGGTATTTGCGAACAAGAAGCAAGCAATAGCGATTTCGAGATTCACAGCGATAACGAACCGTGGCAGGGCACGCACTTGCAGTCATTCATGACAGTGAGCCCTAGGGCGGATCTGAAAAGTCTGACAGGGTTGAATGGAGCTAGGAGCCACACACGAGCTGCTGCAGGTTTCGCGAAATCCGAGCGGAAGACCCCTACAAAGTCCCGACATAGCGACTTTGAAACAGAAATCAAAGCGAATGACAGGCCAATCCACACTGAAGATGACGATACCGATGATCTCGACGCCCCAGTGGCTGTAAGCGGGAAGACAATCTCTTCGTCATGGATGAAAGACAAACAGCAGCCGGACTTCTCAAAAGCAGTGCCTCAACCAGCGAGGCGTTCCCAACAAACGGGGACATCTCATCAGAGGCAGCTTGAGAAACCCTTCAGGCGTTCGCCCCTAGATGTGAGCCTCGAAATGTCTACGGAAACCCATTCACGGATATCAAAATCAAGACGACCCATTTCAAGACCAGCCCGGAGTCCAGCTAAAGCAGAGGAGAGCGCTAGCAATGCTGCAATCAGAGCTAAACTGAGAGCTATGAGAGAACAGGATTTGAAGGATCATGATAAGGCCACATCGGCAAAGGCTAATGAAATTCCGATTTTTTTAGTGTGACCAAGCATTAAGATTTATGGCTTACCATTCACGCCTTTGTCTTCCACCTTGTATTCAGCCTGTTTGCTAATTTAACTCTTCACCAGCGCTGTCTCACTTCACAATGTGATCGACATTGATTCTCAGACACCAATTCACCGTTGAGTGAGGCAAGTGCTTCACCTGCATTTTCTCATCACAATGCAGTCCAATCCATGCATTTGAGACATGTCACTCGTGCCAGTCATGCGTAGGAGAAGAGAAGGCAAGGAATTCGGCATGCAAGGTTGTGATTGGGTGGTGAATTTGTGCTGTAAGACACAGTATCAGTTTCTTCACACTTGATTTACGAAGCAAAGTCCAAGACAAACACTATCAATAATCTCTCACGTGCCACGTCCTTCACACTGTCCATCACTTAGTATTCTACACATTCCACCCTAGCTGAGACAATACACGCATCCACCGCTCTCTTGCCACCACCGCCTACCCTTCACTGGCAGAGCCTTCACCTTCGGCGACAACACGAACATCCAAGTTTCACTCGCCCCTTGCCCCTAACTCGCAGAGTCTTCACCGCTTGAGACAACACACACCACCAAATCTCTCTCGCCTTCACCCGCTACCCTTCGCTGATGGACCTTCACGTGTATTGTCTCACTGCAGCATGTGACCTGCGTCTCAGACATCATGATTCAAGCACCGAAAGTATACGTGTAAGTGAGAAGCGAGGGGTATATAAACCCCCTCCTCCCCCGGTCAGTTTCTGTTTCTTCAACCTCCCTTGCTCTCCAGCAAAGGACTGGGAGGGTCAAAGCCTCTTCGCATTTCATGGTCTACCTATCATAGCTACCTACTTCTCTATATATTCGCAGCACTGTCTGCATGACGAACCTTTCTGAGCATGAGACAAGGTTATCATTGTCACTTGCTTCTTCTTTTATAAATATATATACACACACTGCGGTGTGTCCGTTCCTTGCATCAACCATACGATGCCAGGGATGGCTTCTTTGTAAGTACACTCTGCCAGCCCATAGTCTAAAACTTTCATACTGATCTCTGCCTAGTGGGTCGGAACGAATCTTGTGGCGCGTCTTGTGTATGGAGGTGTGAACGTCCCTCTCCAGGTCGTCTCGCTCGTGGATACATGTGACATCCTAGTCGGTACGCCGGGACGATTAGCACATGTTCTCCAGTACGAGCACAAAATCGACATGACTTACTTAAGTCACTTCATCATCGACGAAGCAGACGCCATGATGTTGCCCGAATGGAAGGAAGAGATGAACAAAGTCACATCGATGCTCAAGACCGAAGCTCATACCACTTAGTTTTTCGCACCGGAAAGTAAGTCTCGCGATCGATGAGTTGAAGAAAGTCTAGCTGACATAGACAGTTACCCAGCCGCTCAGAGATGGATTCCGAAAACTTTGCAAGTCCGCGACCGACAAATTCGTAGAGATTGACTACAACGAGGAGGTGATCGAGGAAATCAAGTCTATTCGTGACATGTGTGTCAAGCAGCGACTACTACGACGCACGGATGACGACCAGGCCGCCTTCCAAAACATGCTCAGTCAACTACCCAGTAAGAAGACCAAGATACTGATTCTGACCCAAAGCCGCCATACAGCCACCAAAGTTCACCAACTTCTCCAGGTATTCCTCCGCTCCATCAATGTATCAGAGAAGCTGGCAACAATCGCATATGGAAAGATGGACCAGGCAGATCGTGAAATCGCAACCTTCCAGTACAGATTGGATCAAAGCTCGATCATGGTCGGGACGATAGGCTTGCTGGCTCGGGGTCTGAACTTCAATGCTACAGGAGTCGTCGTCATGTGGGATGTCCCCAAGACCCTTTCCGAATACAAGGCAGCCGCTGGAAGACTAGGGCGTCTCGGTAATGTAGGCCTGTGCATCGTTTTCTACACTGAAAAGAGCCAGCTTTGCAAAGACCAAAAGTTCATTGATTTTTTGAAGCAAAGCAAGACGGATATACCATCAGAGCTATAGGCGAAAGTGAGCATCGAACGAGCATCTTGCCAGTCAAAGACGGGATTCTTAGCCCTGATATGATCAGATGGATGAAATGACCTGTCTAACAGCAAACTGAAACAAGAGGGCAGGTGCCGGTTTCGAGGTATCCCTAGGCCGTTAGCCTACCCATTTTGATATGATACAGCACCTAAACCGTCTCACTACCAGGTGTACTGGTATGCATGGACGACACCGGCGGAACAGAAGCTATCAGACGGTCGTCTAGCTTCGTTCAGATGTTAGGATTTCAAAGGCGAGACGTATCGATCGAATCCCAGATTACGGCGTCTTCGACGGCTTTCTTCGTGAAGACTTGTGAAAGAGGCCTGCGCCTAGGAAGATCAATCAGCCCTTCGCCGTCTTACCTTAACCCTTCTAGCGAGTATGAAGACGACACGCGTCTCTAGACGAAGGTCGATATGATGGACAAGCCTGTTATTTATTAAAGCAGCGTGGTTTAGCTAGTATTCCTAAGAGCTATTATGAGGGCTTGATTGACTGCATGGACTGTGTCAGCCGCCATATGAGACTAGAAAGCAGCTAGAGAACAATGCAAAATGTCCTCGCTAATGTAGCTTACTGACCTCTGCGTTCTCGTGATGCTCGCGATGTTGCATTGTCCCTCTTTGGTATTATGATTATCGCAAATGGCATTGATCTTATGATTAATAGAAAAGCCATGCCTGAAGCAAATAAACCGGTCGTATGCCAAAGACTCTCAAATAGTAATGAACTAGTTGCACGCATTTGCCCTTAGCCTTCCGACCACCTATACCTCAATGCATCAGTTTAGCCGGTAGTGAAATACTTCTACCCCGCTGCCACAGACGCAAAACGAAACGAGATCTCGAAGAGAAACCCGTTAAAGCTTTCAAAGAGTATGCAATCGGTCGTTGCAGCAGATCGTTAGACTGGCATCGCTCTGTCGGCAGAGATTCTTTATTAAAAGGGACAACCGGGGGATAGTTATTTACTAAGTAAGGCGTTCTGCCGTTAAACAATAGATAGAATGTACCCCGTTGTAGGGTTTTCAGGCGGTCTAAAGGCCGGGAAACATACAACAGCAAATGAAAGCAACTAATTTAAGGACGTTGAATGGCATTAATCCCTTGAAAGAAATATGTAACACCTGGCTGTGCCTCCTATTGTCAGAAAATTGTTTCATTGTGGCCATTCGCTGCAGGTGCAAGCGGCTCAGAAGTCGAGAAATCAGCAAAAGGGATCGATAGCACCATCCCTCTACGGTATCAAGTATCATGTGAGTTCAAAAATGCTTTTGCTTAGATTCAAAAATCCACCTATGCATGTGATAAGTCATAGAATGCATTCGTGCTTTCGGCAATCCCGCGGGCAAAAACATTTCTCACATCCTTAATCGTAGAATGCAGGCTCGCTGCAATATTATATCATGGTACGGTCAGTATCATCGTCTACACTTTTGGAGGAGGGGTTCACCAATCCCCATAACAGTCCGTAGTCACTGTATGTTGCATAATGAAGATATGCCGCAAGCCCCGAAATCACGATGGCAACTGCTTTATCACTTTTGCTTCCTTTTTCGACTCACGACATCGGTCCAGGCTTCGTCCGTGTTGGTTAAGCTTTTCAGGCTGGTCGTGACTTTGAGAAACTTCCCTTGCGTAGCTGGAGAGGAGCTCTTTGGTTTCACAAAGCGCTTGGCCTGCTTAGGCTTCTCAAGTAATGTCCCTGTCACATTGAGGATTTTCAACTTCTTGACTGCGATTTTGACCTCATCTTTCGCTGCTTCCTCTTTGCGACCAAGCGAAGGCCAGTGTTCAGGGTGCTTTTGCTTTTCCGAGTCGTCAGGACAGCAGCTATTTGGTCCATCGACTTCGTCGCGTGGGGCTGGAACTTCCCTTTTAAGAGGACTAAACGCATTCTCTGGCGTTTCAGCTGGCATCGGCGATGTTTGACAAAATTCACGGGCTATCGTCTTGTCTCTGTGATAAGCTTTGGTAGGTGTGGGATCAGGAATTTTGACCGGTGGTGAGGCAGCCCGTATTTTCGTTTCCATTACTCGATCATCCCTTTCAATGCCACAGGAATGACTTCCTAGCAAAGCCTCTCTCGCTGTGCTGCTTCTTGGATGACCACTACCAGTATCTCGCTCCGAGTCATTAGTTGCCATCGTAAGGTTAGATGAGAAAAGATCGTCGCTTACTTTCGTTGTAGCTCGAACAGTCGTTCCCAAGCCATCGTCACCGTCGTCAACGCTGTCACCAAGCTCACTTTCATCGATCTCTGATAGCTTCTCACCACTAGCCCAGTCCCATATTTCATTACGGCGTACCATCTCATTGTATGACCGCTTGTTCACGTAGCGCCAATATCCCGCTCTCCTCGCCATTGTCTCTGCTTGTTCATTCTCGAACGCGGTCAGATCGGCCGCTACGGCTATATTGAGCTTGTCGATGAGCCTTTTGCGCTGTTTCGTATTTTTCGAAGGGGTAGGCGTGACACCAAAGCCGGCTATAATATCCCCTAGACTGCTACGCTTCTTATCCTGCTGATTTGCAATGCCTGAGGCTATCTTTGCGTCACCTCTGAGTTCTATCCCTTGCCATCGTTTGGGCTCAATCGTCGGATGCAAAATATCAGCCACTAGCTGGACATCCGCCGTTGTGACGATTTCCAGTCGCCTTTGGGCTTGGAATTCCTTCGAGCCGTCCTTCCAGCTTTGTATATCTAGCGGTTCTTTTTCTGTTTTGGGTATGAAGCTTTCACTTTGCCTTCCCGGTGTCTTCCTCTCTTTCTGAATTGTACCATTATTTTCCAGGGTGTCTAATTCCTTCAGCTGTTGTGTCAGTTTGAAAATGTCTTTATGACGGTTCTGGTGGACTTTCTCGGTTATCCTGCAGGACTCGCAGGCATGGGATTGCCTCCTGAAAAATAGAGTCTTATGGAAACGGCTGCACGGTTCTTCGTGAACTGACAAGCACGTCCGCTTGGCTCGAGGGCTAGAAAGAACCGTGGCGCAGGTGCCGCACTTATGGTCCAAACCACGGTTATTGACGATCCACGCATTGGCAGACATTCTTACTTCCGTGTGCGGAGGGTGACTCGCCGTAGAGTTAGATTATAAAACGGTGGTAGGAGGTCACTTATCAGGCTTTAAATTGAAAAGAGAACAATGTGCTCCCAGAACAATGCAAAGACAAAGACTCCGACACAGTGAACGCACTCACACCAAGAATAAGTGATCTTCCAGTCGCGAACGAGACAGAATTGACAACCCAAAAGTACAACACAGTTTCACGGATACCTGCAGCTCGTTCGAGGTTGGCACACGAGATGCAAACACGGTAATTCTGCATTCCTGGTGCGGGGAAGTGGAAACAACACATTTGAGTGCGTAACACATTGAAAGTCTTATCCGAAATGACAATGGGGCTGGCTTGCCCTAGGGCTCGATGAGCAAGCATGCGTTCTTGAGAAAGTCTTCTATTGTACGAAACGAGCTTACATTGAGCACCAAACTTTCAAAGGAGTGTAGCCTTCCCATGTACTTACGTTGAAGCGCCATGAAAAAAGAAGATGCAATGGATACGTGCTGTATCCAATCAGTCTCGGAGACAGCGGCGCTACTTTGTTGAAAAGCGGCGAAGATGCTAGAAGACCTTAGAAGGCTCCCTACTTGATATCTCGGACCACCCGAGCTCCAACCTATGAGAGGTTAGCGAAAAGTTGGCATGTCAGGTTCTGGTCCTTACGAAGGCGTAGGGATATGCCCGCTGGTACCAATTAACGCTTCAAGAAACGTCAGAATTCTTCCTAAGAACCTCGTGAGAAGATTTAGACTCACAAAGTCTTGCGACCAGCCAAACGTGGAATTGTTGCCCACGAACCCCCAAGCACAACATTGTGTTTGTCATCAAAGAAATCCTCTGTCATATCATCAGCTATTGTGTCCGTGCGATGAAAGTATATCGGAGAACCTGTGTATGCAGGGTACAGTGCGCCGGCCACAAAACCCTCATGTCTTTCCAAGACAGTGGACGTCCATTCCCTAGTTCCAGATTAGCACATAGTATGGCAACCGAGAGGCATTCAACTTGGCGGCTCTCTTCACGGTGGAAAAAGGCAACAGAAAGCATTTTTAAAAGCGTCATGGGGATCCATGTACATAAATAGAGTGTGGGACATCGTCCAAAGAGGAGAAAGAAACTCGACTACATACCACAATCCCCCAAACTCACATCTGCCTGAAACTCGATTCCCAATCACAGGCGTAGGATGGAAACTCTTGAAGCCTACGTTGCAGCCTTCCAAATTTGCGAAGAGAGTCCCCATGGACGCCCCGCCATTGGTGAAAGAAGGTGTAGATGGCGGTGATATCTGGACGCCGTCATTAGATAGATGGCTGAGTCATATATCAGCACGAACCGAATGCTATCATGAACCAGTTTCTCAATTACCCATTGACCGCAGCTATCTTTCTTTCAAGAATGCTTGCGGATGCTTTGTCCTGGTTTATCTCGGCGTAGTGGTGAATACTTCGCACTTCCTCCGCGGTCGGCACACTACGAGGCGTCAGCAACGCCCGCTTGGATCAGTATTATTCGTTACCGCCCGCCTAGCCAGCGCGCACATCGAACCAGCTCGTCGTAGGAAGCCGATACAGGCCAAGAGCGTGCAAATTGTAAAGGCACACGCCCATACACAGTCCGGACAAATAGCCCGCTAGGAGTTTTCGGTAGCCCGTTCGGTCGCTTGCCATCCCATTCATCTCCGTCTGATCTTTGAAATTTCGATGAAACGGACCAAGATGCGGGAAACTCCTTGATATCATTTTGCTCAAGGTAAGTAGCGTAATCGCCATTTGTTATTGGTCTCCCCATAGCCTCAAAGCCAGCTACATGTCTCTTGCGTCGAGGCTTCTCATTATCCCACCCGAAAAAGCGATCGGGTCCTTCATCATTCTCAGGATCATCTAAGCCTACATCAAGGGTAGTTCCTGGTATCTTAGTCCATTCGTTCGGCAACTCATCCATTGCTGTGCGCGTTGCAATGGCCTCGAAATCGGGAATACTATTTGTTGGGGGGCGTATCCAATCGCTTTGCAACAACATGTACATGTAAGTCTCCAGGTGCATGGCTAGACTGCAATTAGTTGAGACTGTATCATAGCATTTCGACACCTGCCTTCGTGCTAAAACAATTGATGATTTCAGCTTCAATTTTCCACACAGCAACTTCCCTTGCGTTACTCACCTCGAAAGCAAGCCATAGGGCTCTACCGACTTTACGGTCTTTGCTAAAGTCGGTTCTTCCGTACATATCACGCGTCCTTTGGCGTACACGCTCTTGGTAGGCAAAAACCTCGTCGAGAGCGGGCCATTCGTTTGGGATTTCACTGTGGGAATGGCTTGAAGTTGTGAGCAAAAGTAGTCAGTTTCGAGGGCTGCAAAAATGATATGATGCCGCTTTACCATTTCTGTGGATCTTCCACATCAGGATCAACTCCCCTTTCGAAGATGGTCTGGAATGAAGCCGGTTCTATTGGAGAACTTGAAGTTGCCCGCGTCAAATGAATGTCGAGAAAAGCTGGTATATGACCGAAGTAAAAAAGACACGGGTTGCGGAGACTAATTGGCCGGGATAGAACTTTGTTGCTTGGGGTCATCTTTCTTGAAGCAAGATCCCATGCCTTCCATAGCTCGTGCCATTCATTCAAGGTTGGGACAGGATGGGGCGCGTACTCCTGCGGCTTTCTTGCAAATGTGATTGGTCGCTGGCAGATGGTGTGGATATCTTGATATCTCAGCTCGTGGCCTGGTACCCTTTGACGGGGTAAAGGAATTCCCCCGGGGGCGGGGGGGCCTTACGATAATCATCCGCCGGATTGCCATATGTCGACAATGAAATTACTCCTGCGCTCTCCCACAACGATACAATATCTTCATAAGAATATTTGTGGCTCTCTTCGATGCAAATTCTCTCGCCAGCCCTAAAGCCAATCTTTCCAGCAACAAAGACATCCCTGGAGGAGGTCAGAGACGCACGATGACATTTTTGGAGACTGTCAAATTCCCCAATGACGCTCCAATCTTGAAGATTGAAGATTTGCTCCCCGATCAAGTCGTTGGCATGCTTTAGCCCATTCAGAATGAATTCGTGCGTTTTCCCATTGGTATCATTGTAGGCTTTAAGCACTCGGTCCTTGTCCAGACAGGCGTCGACGGCGATCAGCATTTTACTGCGTGGAACACTCGAGAAATCTTTAACGAAGGAAGCAGCGTTAGCCTTACTGAAATTACCAATCGATGATCCCATCCAAAGAATTGCTTTGTGCTTATGCTTCAAGTCGGGATGTTTGAGCCATTTCAGACCATCTTCGTACGATCCAAGTAAACCTTGACACGTTACGCAGTCATAGCGGCCTTCAATGGCATTGAGTGAGCGACGTAACTCTGCCTCATTGACGTCAAGTGCATAATAGCTGATAGGCTTTCCAGCCAATTCACAAGCATCTAGTAAAATCCGTATCTTGCGCAGATTTCTATTGAATCTCCGTTAGTACTGCCTAGAGAACGCGGCCTCACCATTCATTCACACCCCGAACCTAGTTCCAGTATCAATGCATCTGATTCGAGTTGTTCAACAATCTTGACGACCCATCGCTCGAGCGCGTCAATTTCGGCCTGGGTCAAATAATATTCTTGGAGGTAGGTGATCTCTTCAAACAGTTTAAGTCCTTGCTCGTCGTAGAGCAGGAGAGTAGGCAGGACCTTCTCTTGCCTGTTTTCGGATCTCATGGACGACCATATCTCATCCTTCAGTGACGTGCTCTGCTTTCCTTGTCGAATGTCAATTATTGGAGCATGTGCAGCTCCAGTATGATAAACCATGCTTTCGATGGCTTGAGAGACAAAGCCGCGAAGAAATGAGAGAGGCGTCTGCCTTACAAAATAGTCAATGAAATAATCACTTGATTGAGAGCAGATCTCATGCATGTGGAGCAAGAGCAATCGAGCGTAGGCAAAGGCTTTGCTTGTAGAAAGACTACGTCAAATAGTAAGCTTTCGTAACAGAGTTCCGCACAAGTGGATCACACGGTGACAGAAAAGCTTGTCATTGGCAGTCGAGGCAGTCTCACAACCTAGTGTGACCAAAGATTTGTCAACTCATACAATAGCTGTACTTTTAGGATTCGCCTTATTGGCTAGGGCTGCATTGTATAAGCAATGTATGACGTACGTGCCCTAGCGCCCGAATTAACGCCGCCTCCATTTTCCGTGGAACTTGCCTTGTGACGCCAGAAGGAAGGCCTGAAGAAGGCATACAAAGTCATTACTTTAGTTGGATGTTCGCTGAAAAGCGGACAGTGATGTTGCCTTCGCATTGGGTCCCGTGGCATTGAGGCCAGATCTCCCTTGATAGTGCAATGTCAGCATCCGGCAGCACCGCTGCCGCTCTGAGATATTGCTCGTTTGGGAAAATGGTTAAACACCATGCTAGGGCGTGTTGCCTTCGTGTGGGTAGGGCAAGATCCCTTCTTTCCTTGCTTGGCGCTACTCAAGGCGCGAGTTGACAGGCAGATCCTAGACTCTGTATAAGCGCTGTGAATCGTACGCCGAACTTGTCATCTGGCGCCCCTGAAAAAGGAAGCTATACCTGAGGTGTAAGAGAGGAGGTAGAGCTGCACCGAGGGTCTCGGTACGAATGATGGCCAGCTTACAGTCCGTGCAAACGGGCTAGAGAAGGCATCACAATGCAGCAGCTGGCTCAAATGTTGAAGCCTTGATGACGCGGCGGCTCTACAAATCTCCAAATTCCAGCAGATTCGGCTGCTCTCCGCACACTGTAGACCTCATCGTGGTCAACTGGACGATTGATTGAACCATACCTTACCGGCTCTGTCTCCGAGCCGGCGTTGTTGGCGGTCTTGCTAATTTTTCGCGACTTGCCAACATGTGCGTCTGGTCGATATTGCTCCATCACGTTTAGACAGATATCGGTCGAGACATGCTTCGCCAACCAGGCCATGATTTGACGCCCTTCTTCTGCCTTCCCAGGCATCACTAGATGTCTGAGCAGCACCCCTTGTTTCGCAAGCCCATCACAAGTGAATTTCAAGTCGCCCACTTGCCTCTGCATGATTTGAATGCTTTTCCTGGCAGTGTCTGGGTAGTCTTCCGCCTTCAAAAGTCGCTTGCTGCTTTCTGGTTCCCAGAGCTTCCAAAATTAGCACGTTGGTCATTTGACAGCAGCGTCAATCTACACAGAATTGGTCACCTTGAAATCAGCTAAGTAGATGTCCACAAGCCCGTCCAATAGCTGCAAAGATTCTTCAGAGTCATAAGCACTCGTATTGTAAATGATGGGAATGCTCAAGCCCATTTCCTTTGCATACAAGATGGCTAGGGCAACTTGAGGCGCCACATGTTCGGGCTGGAAGGGATTGAGATTCTTTCATCGATGGCACAGCAACATGGACTCACGGTGACAAGATTGATGTTGTGGACCCCATACTCTTGCAGTCTCATAAACGATTCTGCTAGCTCCTCAGGAGTCAAATCCTGACCAGTCCGTTGATGAGAGATGTCATGGTTTTGGCATGGAAGATCAGGAATTAGCACAGCTGTCGTCCAAAGCTCAAGAGCAAAGCCACGTACAGAAGACACATCGCAAGTTACAGCCAGAAAAGAAGATTGAACCACTTCCTCTGTGGCCTTGAATGGCAGGTTCCTCGCCAAAATGAGGCCCAACAGTTGCAACCTTCACGGTGTGAGCGCCGATGAGGCAAAAGCCTGTCCTTTCATAGCGATTGATGCCGCAGAGACGCGGGCAGAGATTACACTTTTGAAGATGTTTTGCAGCCAGGGATCGCCGCTCTTGAAGCTGAGCATTGGTGAGGTAGGTAAACCGCGGATGATAAGGCTCATCTGGTAGTTCTTCAGATTGGAGAATTGAGATACCTATGCCCTCGCTCAAAAGTACTTGCCTAGCAGGAATGGCGGTGCCAGATGGAGGTTCCTCCTGCTTGTGCCTCTAAGAGCTCTATCGCTCACTCTCCGAAAGAGCAACATGAATCGAAAGTGCTCCCAAATACTGCCAGATTATGGTAGAGTAGAGGTCAACTACCTTACGTTGTGACGAGCGCCGTTGGCGGGCCGCCGCTGTCAATTGTCTTCTCGGGCCGCTTTGCTCAAACGCACTTTATATCATCAATGCGCAATCTCGAGTTTGGCTCTTGGGAGGCTTTGTTCCACACAATCAACACTTTCAGCATGTTGGCAATACACATCTATAGCCATCGGAATGGCATGTTGGTCCCCTTTACATTATTATTGTGCATTTCATAAGAATGTACTTGGCTGATGGAGTAGCCTTTCCTAGTGCATCCTTTCGCAAGCCAGCATGCGGGATTTCGTATTCACAGCGCCCGAGGCGGCCCTCTTCATGGGGGCCGATCCTTTCCCTTTGAGCTGAGAGGCTGAGTAAGCACCATCTCTCTCCATTGCTTTTCCCACTTACAAACATTATCATTGTTGATTGAGTGCCATGTGTGATCGGGGGGTCCTTCCCTGTTGCCATAGATCCTCTTTTGATGTTCTCGTCATGTCCTATGGCCTCTTTGAGTACTGTTACAACTGAAACATGTTCCCATACGCTTACCATTGAGCACCTTTCCTCGTCCTATGTTTGAAGGGACCCCAATTGCTCTCCAAGACTCATGCTTTAATCAGGCGACCTTGTTTTTGGAGAGCTCCATATCATTTCTCTTATTAACTGTTGGCTTATTCACGACCGATGGCTACACAGATGGATGCTCTGCAGTCCTTTTCCTTTCTTGCAGATAGCGTTCCTCAATGGCTCACCAAACTCGATGAACTAGTCTCAAAATGCGACATACAGTACGAGCGATTTACGCGCATAAGCCAACATGGCGAGGTCAAATTGACGAGGAAAAAGCATGATTCGACTGAGTCTCTGCGGCCAGGCAAGGACATTGAAACGACCGCCCTCTCAGCTATGAATGTAGATGGCCCCTCAATGCCCACCAAAGCAGTCGCAGCACTACCTAGCGAGCCCGAGAAATCCAGCAATTTAGAACCATTCGCATCTCGGGACCTCCACCGCAAACGACGAGCTGGCTCGGATTTATCTGGAGCACCCTCAAATCACTGTCGCTATCGAACAAAGAGCATGGTTGTTGTCTATTATGACTCCGAAATTCAAAGTCTGTTTGAAGCTCTTGTGAAGAATATCGCAACGGCGCGCAACAATTTACGAAAGGGCAAGAATGCTGCTACAATCAAAACAAGAATGGTCGCCATGGGAATGGCTTCGTCAGCTTCGCAAGATAGATCGAGTGACAGAATGGAGGGGCTCTTGTTAGATCCCAAGTTGATGATGGCAAAGGCGAGATTGGGCCGACAGCCCAGAGGCAACGCAACAAAGTATTTTGAAGACGCGGACAAAGACTTAGAAGACGCTCAAAACCTTTGCGAAGGAGGAGCACATCAATTCTTGCGAGACGGCGATTGCCAGGCAGAGATAGAGGGCACAAGGAAACGCTTCGCCAGTTGTCGAACTATCGCTACCCAGGAAGTCGAAAAGCTAAAGAAAGAGGAAGAAGCGCGAAGAGCACATGAAATGGATGTGGAGGATGTGGAGGATGAGAAGACCCTCGTTGGGGGCACCACACCACCAAGTGATACCATGGAAGAGAAGTCCATAGAGGTGTCAATTGACCACAAGTTTGGGCCTCCGCCTCTAAAGCAAGTCACTTTTGCAGGTGCTGGTGCAATTGAGATCGATGACGGATCTGATGAGGAGAGTATTCAAATTGACATGAGTGCTATCAGAAGGACAGTAAGGAGTGCAAGGGTATGACGTCTCCGAAAGTGACGTCTGTGCACCTCGAAGATATTTGGTAGGCAAAGTAAAGAGTACGTATGGTGGCCATTTGGCCTCGATGTAACGCATTGACGAAAGCGATTTTCTGGATGCTAAAGTGTTTAGATAACGACGCCATGAAAGCGTTGGCGTTTTGGGAATTGGATATTGATGTGGTAGTACAATTGCATTCGAATTGGCCTGTGTCAGAATGTCGACCAGCTCACAAGATAAGAGATGCAATTTTGCTCAGTGCTGGGGAGTTTTCTATGCCATTTCCAGAGCGGCGCTAAAGGCTCGTCACTTCCACATCACTTTCATCTCACTTTTATGTTTTACCCCTTACTCGTGCCACCTACCATTTCCAGAATCTTTTCAAAACCTAGCAGGCCATATGAATTCTACCCATCCATAACATTGTGTAACTGCCATTGCGATCCGTCTTCGCTAGCAATAAGAAGGTAATTTCAACGAATTTCTCGACTCTAAGTACGAAAAAGGAATTGTGACTGAACTCGAACTCGAACAACTGTTCATTGGCGTGATATTTTCTGTACTGGGCAAAAGGAGAGGCTCGCAGTTCCATGGCGGGCAGCAGTGTGACCCCTCCAGCGAGCGGTTCTCGTAGGTCAGCTCGTACACAGCATGTTGATGTCTTGAAATATGACCAGTCTTATCATCCGCTCGACGCGATTATGCGACCAAAAAGGGTTGCTAGGAAACTAGAAAAGCAGGCAGAACCTGAAGGAGCTATCAAGGTATTTGATTGTGGCGCTTCCAAGCCTGATAATTCTAACACCTGTCAAGCAGGAGACCAAAGTTTTCGCGTCAGGCAACAACAACATCACCCAAGCCAAAATAACTACAGAATATTTTGCAGATGCAGAAAAGGATGCTCATCCGGCTCACTTTGAGCTAGCTGCTGCTTCGAGAGAGAACCTAGAGCCAAACTATGGCTTTCGTCGGTCGTCTCGAGTCAGACCGCACGGCTACCATCCTAACTATAATACGCGATTTCACCCTGCTGACGCCGTCTTGAAACCCGCTCACGCGGCCAAATTTCTCAACTTAGTTTCTGAGGCTCCGCCTACGGTAGCTCGAGATATACCAGTATCAAAACAGCAGATCTTCCAACTTCAGGAGTCCGGTCCAGAACAGACTCCTCCCAATACCGACATGGACTTCTCGGACTCTCAAATTCATTTTGGAGCAGACGTGACACTTGCTGGTTTCAAACATCCTCATTGTGAGCTGGTAGCTGATTACAATAATTTGACGGATTACGATAGGTGCCTGTACACGCTCCAGATGGGAGCACCTTTAGAGAGTGAGTACTTGCCACTTGGTTGGCCGCAAGTACTGCAAACGATGTGGGATTTCGGCTTTATTACGTATGATGAATTCCAAGACCCTGAATTGATTGAGCAGACAATTGCTCGGTACCAAGGCTTGCAAACTAGCATGCGAACGTTCTTTCAGTCTCGGCCCGAAGGCTCTAGTCGAAAAAACTGGATCATGTTCAAGCCAGAGGGTCTTGACGTGTATAAATGCGCTAGGGGTGACAAGTACTGGCCAAAATTCATCAACAGTGTTGCCCAACCCACACGAGCATCTCTTGGGAATGAACAGAGTGCAGTCAGTACACATCCAGCCAAGAAACCCAGAATCGCCATAAACCCAGAAATTACGTCGCATAATTTAGGTGACTTAGCTCTTTTCGAAGCGAACCAGAGGCCTTGCGTCACTGCCCTTACTGCTGTACCGTCCCCGGTGGATGGAGATATAGAAGAGTGTCAAAGTCCGCAGATGGACCTCGAGTTCCTCAACAGTCTCTTCAGTAGCCAAGAAGCAGTAGAAGACACATCAACAGACTCCACTCGGTTACGTGAACACCAACCTTCTCCGACTGGTACTGATACTACGGTGGCCTCGATACAGACTACTTTCCTAACAGATACCGCAATCCCTTCACGCTGGTTCGCAAGCCTGACACACTGCCAGCCTCAAAGAACCAGGCCATTGATGAAGGGTGCGAATGAACAGTCGACCGAGTCAGCATTTCACATACATGAAGACACGGAACCTCGTACACTTCTAGGATATGACCGCAAAATGTCCTTTCAAGCGTCAAGTTGCGTGGACCACCCGAAAGAGAACATACCATCGTCACAAGAGAACGTTGAGGACCAAAGTCCGCCTCCCGCAAGTCCATTGCCAGCGATGGGGTATAGCAGTGTCTTTGGTTTAGATCAATCGATCTTCTGAGCTGTCAGATACAGTGAGGAACAACGCAGTAGAACTAAGTTGGAGAACAATTCGATGAATTCCAGGGAGTGAGCAGGGCCTACAATGAAGGCGAGCATCAATTTGGAAGCAATGTGCTCCAAGGATTACGACTGGGGGAAATAGCATATGGTAAGCGGCGACTGAATTGCTGGATATGTTGGCAGCTTGGAGAAGCACGGCTATCGGCGCTTTATATCTAGGTGTTGGGGAAGATATTGAGAGACGAGAGAGCTGCTGTAACTCCTATAAGAGCGGTGGCAATAAAAGGAACTTGTCTCATGCTTTGGCTAGCTAAGACTGGAGGCTCTTTAAGCTCATCAGGCTGATTGGGCTGCGGGTGTTGACTGCATTTCTCAAATTCACACGTGTGAAACCTGACACAAACCGTGGAGCTTGGCGCTGACTGTTCCATTTCGAACCTCAAAAAAGCTTAACTTTTATCTGAATTGAGTCAGAAAAGGAAGCAAACGGTATCCCTTCATATATCAGCAAAGTGGCCTTTCGTCTTGGTCAGTACTATCTGCATCCAGCCAAGGTATTGCTGTCGACGCCACTGCCTAGAGTCCTCCATGTTAGAGCCATGGCAACAGTGTCAGGCTTGATTGACTTTCTGCGTGCCTCATTTCCTTCCCAGGTGCCACCGACTAGCACAGAGCTGGATCTCAACGACTTGTCCCAGAAGCTTTACCCGAAACACTCATATACCGAAAATGAGAAAGTTGAAGTCTCGCAGTGGCTCATCACGTCCTCCCATCTAGCATCGCCCGGTGAAGATGAAGCAAAGCATCTTGAGCGACTAGGCTCTCTCAACATACATCTCTCTACACGAACCACGTTATTAGGCAGCAAACCTTCGATAGCAGATCTCGCATTGTACTACAGACTTCGTCCTACCGTCAGAGACTGGTCACCAGAGCAACGAACCGGAGAAAGAGGCCACCATCACATTGTTCGACACATTGACGCCGTGCAAAACGCACCCCTATTCGGACTCTCCTTAGAACAAGATGAGAAAGTCAACATCGATCCTAGTGATGTCAAATTTGTACATAAGCCACTAGATGCGAAGGAAGAGAAGGAGCGCAAGAAGAAAGAGAAAGCCTCCGCAGCTACTGCTATTGCAGCGGCGAAATCAACCCACGGCCCAACCAGTCTTCCAGCAGAGAGAAGTAAAGATGAAAGCACCAAGTCAGCAGCTCCTTCTTTACAAGGGGTTGCAAGCGAACCCGCGAAAAACATTCAACCTTCAACGAAGAAGGAGAAGAAAGTAAAGGAGCCGAAGCAAGCGAAAGCCGCACCAGCACCAGCACCAGCACCTCTTTCGCCGCGTCTGATAGATTTGAGAGTAGGCCATATTGTGAAAGCCATACACCATCCCGACGCAGACTCGCTGTACGTTTCAACTATAGCGTGCGGTGATTCTCCCAACACCGAAAACACATTTGAATATGAAGGGCAGACAGTAAGAACGGTGTGTTCTGGTCTGAACGGACTCGTGCCGCTTGAAGAGATGCAAGGGCGGAAAATTGTTGCAGTATGCAACCTCAAGCCTGTAACGATGCGAGGCATCAAGTCCGCAGCAATGGTGCTTGCCGCGTCGCCGCGCTTGAAAGAAGGTGAAGTAGATGATCACAAAGGGCCGGTAGAGCTAGTAGACCCTCCCGAGGGAACGAGCGCAGGGGAACGACTATCCTTTGAAGGATGGGAGGGCGAGCCGGAAGGTCAGCTGAATCCGAAGAAGAAAATCTTCGAGACCTTACAGCCAGGTTTCACGACTACGCAAGAGGGTCGAGTTGGGTTTGACAATGGCGATGTTGAAGCGTTGAAAGGGGAGGTGAAGCCGCTAGGGATGCTCAAGACGAAAAGTGGAGGCATTTGTAAAGTCAAAACCTTGAAAGGCGCAATCGTACGGTGATTGCAGGAGGTCTCAGAAGCGGATAAGATTTTATATAATAAAGACAAAACGCTCGCCCGCTCTTTGTGAGCCAACGAGCGCGTCACCTTCATCCTCGTTTCGTTCTTGGGCTATGCCTTGTTTTCGATTCTTCGACATCAGAATCAGCCTCATCGCAACAGCTAGTATTGCCACCATGCCCATGAAACCCGCACAAGTTGCCATGCCTTTGACAAAGTAGGGACGGTCGCTTTGAGGATAGAGATGTACGCCTACTAGAGGCCCCAGCTGACCTATATACTGGATGATGGATAGCCCCGTAGCTTTGCCTGTATCGTGTTTTTGATTGTTGAGTGCCCAGGTGATGATAATCGTCACGGCGGAGAAGAAGCCCATCGCCGCTGGATAGACACCTATGTACCGGATCAAAGGACCTGCTTCGTTGGTTCCTGCAACAGCCATCAATGTGTACCCCGATGCGGCCAGCAAGGCGTGGAATATGACGAAATTGCTGCGGACACGGTATGAATCTGAAAGCCAGGCAGTGACAAGGACGGTGAAGAAGGCAACGAAATAGGGTGGTGCAGACAGCGCTTGTGAGCTCAATCTGGAATAGCCCATTTCATTAATGATGGTAGGAAGGAACACCGGTAGTGAGCTGAAAGCCACGTTGCAGCAAAACATCATAGCTGCCATAAGGTACGCTTTCGGATCGATCAAGGTATGGCCAATGTCCTTCCATGTCAGACCCTTTCGCTCTGTCGCCTTTGGATCATCGTCCCTTCTCAAACGCAGCTTTGCCACCTTTCGCTGCCGGGGGTTGAGAAATTTAGCATTCCCCGGCTCATCTGGGATGTTAATCCAGACAAAGACTGCTACAACGGCACTCGGAAACCCCTCAAGGAGGAATAAAAGTCGCCAAGATGCGATCGGTACCTGGTCCCCAATCTTAGTTAACATCCAGGCCAGCGTACCGGCGATCGCAGTTGCCAATGGAGCCGCAGAAATGAAGAGTCCTGTCCTCAATGCCAACTCCTCACGTTTGAAGAACATCGACAGATAGAAGGGAATGCCGACGAACCCCGCCTCTCCAATACCCAAGCATGCACGTAGAATCAAGATTGACCAAAAGGAAAACGTCAGAGCTTGTAAAGACGCAATTATACCCCACGATCCCACAACGATTGCAACTGAGCGACATTAGTCACTTCCTTCCCAAAGATCCAGAGGGCAGGGTACAAACGGTATTTATGGGCCGCAAAGACCTTCCACAGCAAGGTCATCCATTCAAATAGGACATATGTGATGTAAAAGGCCCTTAGTAGCCATTCAAATTGCTCGGAACTCAAGTGTAGATCATTGTACATCCCTGCTACTTTTGCATTTCCAATATCTTGTCATCAATCAGCGACGATCTTAATCAGGAGAAATGGCAACCTTTCGGACATACTCGATCGATCAAGAAAAGATAGCATGTACAAGAAGGCAACAAACAAGACAAGTCTGCGATCCAGCCGCCTTACGACTTCGCGCTCCTCGTCCACGGTGTAGGGCATGGAACTCTGGATGGTAGGAGGTCTACCCCTTCGAGGTTTCTCCTCACACAAAGTATCCGCATCATCGCTGAAGTCATCGTCCGCATTGTAGGATCTGCCATCCCTCTTCCGATTCCCAGACTTGACCGCATTGCCCGTCGTCGAGAGATCTGCTAATTGATATTCTTCATGAGGAGTCCTGGGCCCGTCAAGATATGATGAGGATTCGGATGCTGCGTTATTTGTATCGAGTGAGTGGCCGTCACTGACTACCAGGCTGTCGGTTGATGCATGACCATGATGTAGGAGTTCGTAGGACGACATTTCACTGGTCAATTGATATACCCATGGTCAACGCGGAGCTTCCTCTTCGCGCGGAGTAGCGCCAGTCCATGAGGAGCCAACACACATTCAAGCTTGATCACTGCGAAACGGCACTGATTCCACTTATGCAATGATAAAATTCGGCGTGAAATGTTGACGCTGTAAATGGTCGCACCCGGGGATAAGCTTCGGAGATCAGCGTCGTTGGCGTGCATGTAGATTTCTACGCCCACCAGTTGCATGTTAATTCTCCTCAATGACGGCGGTCCCAGACAGGCGGCGCGTCAATGGCCCGCATACTGGCAAAGTCAGCCCAATCTTTGCAGCAAGTGTGTCAGGGACCAAGCAAGCTCGAAGTCGACTACCGGGAGAGTTGAGGAAAATATGTAATTAAATCTATCTCTTACCTCGTAAAACGTCGAACAAACAGACCGAAGCTGACTTCATCGTAGTCCTCAAGACCGGACTCACACCATCTGCATCAGGTTCAGCCTACCTTGAGCTTGAGACAACCCCACAGCATCTCAAGAAACCTCACTCTCGACAACCCGCCCTCAAACTCGCATGTACTGTTCATGGCCCCAAACCTCTCCCGCGCTCGGCACCCTTCTCTTCTCAGCTTATCCTGTCTACGCGTGTGAAATTTGCACCCTTCGCCACTAGAGAGAGAAAGGGTTACGTCCCAGATCCAAGTGAGCGTGATCTTGCGGCTCATCTCGACACAGCTCTGCGAGGCGTTCTGCTTGCCGAGCGTTGGCCCAAGAGTGGCTTCGATGTAATTGTCACTGTGCTAGAGGGCGAGCAGGACACTTCTGTTGTGGAGAGTGCAAACACATGTGGGATGCTGGACATGATGAACATCCTATCCGGTTGCATCACAGTTGCTTCAGCTGCGATGGTGGATGCGGGGATTGACTCTTGCGACATCGCAACGGGTGGCGTAGCGGCTCTTGTCGCTCATGCAGGGGACGAGCAATCGTATGTGCTTGATCCTTGCCCTTCCGAGGAACAAACAGTCATCGCCGCGTGCGTCGTCGCTTATTTGGAATCAAGAGACGAAATCACTGAGCTATGGGCGAAAGACAGTGGTCATAGTCTGAACGAGGAGGCGCGAACGGTTGTGAACTACGAAACGCTTGTGGACAATGCCGTTGAGGCTGCGTCGGCAGCAAGGCTTGTATTACTGGAAATCCTACAAGAAAGATAAAGGGAAAGGCAGCGGGAGTGTAGAAGCATGCATTGGCAATGTAAAGTCTATACGTCCCTTCCAGCTATGAGAGGTGAGTGAGCCTGACTGGGGGCTGAACATGCAAGATCCATCTATCGGATTCCTCTTTAGTACATCAATGGCTCTCATTCACCAATCAATCCCACGATTAATCATATCAGACCTCAATCGCGAAGATTGGACAGGGGTCTAACCTATTTGCAATCTCAACACTTCCATCCTATCGAGCGCTCTCGAACACTTTGTGTTCGTCAACCCTCCCAAAGGTCACGAACAGTGAATGGAATTGAGGAACATGTTAATTCATCGACTGCAACTGATCATTCATTAAGCTCTTCTATCCTACATTTTTCGAGGAACGAAGACTCTTGCACGATCCAAAGCCCCTCGAAATTGCAATCATCAAGTGGCAAATTATAAAAACCCAAGGTCAATAAATTGAACACTGTCTTTTGTAAGCTATATATTCTTGACTTCCTTGTTCTTACTAAATCGACTTATAGCTCGAATACTAGAATCAAGATGCCAATGACATTTGACTTCACCCACAAATTTCTGTTTGTATGCCTACAACACAAAAACGGTACTCATGTGAGTCTTAGAATGCACTCCTACTACCTTCGCAATTTCATCATCAGGAACTCAATCGCTGAGAACTATTGCTAGATCGATTTCAACGGCGTTGCCAAAGAATTTGGAGATATGACCCAAAACGCGGCCAGTCTTCGTTTTGCGCGCATTAGAAAGGCAATGGTTCCGGAGCATGGTGATAATGCAGCAGGACCAGACGGAGGAGCGACGACCACAAAAATTCCAAGCAAACGTAAGGGAAATAGTAATGCCGCATCTGGAAAACCTGCGCGCAAGCGTAAGGCTCAAGAAAAAGGTAGTGGCAATGAGGATGACGATGTGAACCGTGGAGGCACAAAGCTAAAGGTTGAGGAGTTGGGTGAGGAGGTAGTCCAGATCGAAGAAGGAGAAGGCGTTTAGAATGGCCGGATCAAGCCCGCTGAGATATATGCAATTAGGAGTGCAGACTTCAGGGTGATGGACAGGGAATGAGCCACGTGTGTTTTCTACAACACTTCTCAACTAAGTAATTACATTTGACTTGACTTTCTTTACCTTCACCTCTCCTTGTGTATTTGACCTCGATAGGATTCACACCTCTCTTGGTAGCAAAGAGTCTTCGGTTACAATTCATCATCTACTTACATCCAACCACTTCTTCTCAACCATATTCATTATTTGCAACACTTCCGGCTCCCACTAACACGTCCATCCAGCCCGCACATACTATACCATCTTGATACGAGATGGCACCTTTCGCTCCCGACGACCATTTCAAATTCCTATATGTCTGCTTTCAGAACAAGCACAATGAATCTGTATGTCCCCCAAAGGCAATTGACCGCGCAGAACCTTGACTAAATATCGTAGGTCGACTTCAAGGGAGTAGCCAAGGTTTACGAAGGCATCAAGGAGAATACACTACGTATGCGTCTCCAACGAATCCATGAGGCGATGAGAGGAAAAGGACGCAGCAGCACCATCAAGGCCCTTACCGGCGCAGCTACGGCGCCAATCAACGGAACGAACGGGAAAGTTGGTGCTAATGGGAAGGGTGCTGTCAGTGGGAAGGATGGTGCTGATGCGAAGGGTGGTGCTAAAGGGAAGGGAAAGGAGGGAACGAAGCGGAAGTTTGAGAGCGATGAGGATGAGGATGATGATGATCGTATGAGTGGCCCGCTGATTAAGAAGGAGAAATTGGAGGACGAGGACGAGGAGGCCGCTTAGGAGGAAGAGCGACTAAGGATTCGCCACGAATGATATGCGCTATCTTTGATATTTGACCGGAAAACATTGAATAGGTAGGAAGATCTGGTAAGTGGAGGATGAGGGTGAAGTTTCTCATTCAGATATATATCTTATCTTATGAGGTCCGCAGTCAGCTTTGTCAAAGGCCAGAAACGCAACATGCCAGATGCAATGGCTTGGATGATGTCTTCGAGACTGCGACCTCAATATCATTTACGCTGCATTGGCAGACCTGAGCTTGGTCTTTTTGAAATCGAAAATATCGGGAATCTCTGCAATTGGATGGCTATACGACAGAATCCCCTCAGCTGTGCACGCATTGGTCTACTGCAATCCCACCCCGATGAATTCTGCCCATTGCATCGAGCCTTGCTGGTGGAATATTGGGCATAGACCGACGTACGGACATACTTAGCCCCGCCCGTACACATGGGTTTGGAGACCCTGGCGAAGTGATAGTCTGAACACCTGCTCCGGTAGCCTCAGGGCTCGTTTACGAGCACATGAGGTCAAGACCATATTTTAAGCCCCTGGAGTAAGCGCTGACCACTTTTAAAGCAGTGGATTGCCAAAGCTCAGCGAAAGAATCTCCAGGGAAAGTTACCATTCCGCGTACAAGCAGATTCAGCAGGTGCATAGTGCCCAGCGGACGCCCGTTCATTTGCGTCAGGGAGGTCATCAATACTACACTCACGGTGACAAGCAGATGTTATGTACCTCGCTTGAGAAGTAAGTGCATCGCCTTAGACCCTAGATGATTCCTCCAGAAGTTAGCAAGAAGCCTCACGACACAAGTATTTCGTTCTTTACAGCAGTCGTAACTTTGCTTCAGAGATTTTTGGTATTGGTAATTAGTATCATCATGATTGTTCAGAAGCAGAACTGATGATTGTTTTCTCATCATAATGTAGATAAAGACGCAAAGGACGTTGAGGAGACGCAGCGAATACCTTTTGATAAGTCTGGACTTATCAAATTAGCTTCAACTCGGCAATCCCACAAGAACAGTGCTGTGACGAGAAAATTGATGTTCAGATGGTAGTGCATGTAGTTCAAAGGCACACGGAGAATCGCCCGAACTGGATGTGTGATTTCTTCATACGATAGATTCGAGACGCTTGATGGGACACGAAGAACTGTGCTTACGTGGCGAGATGTGCATGCTTGTGCGTTAGCGAGATTCATCTATCCTTGCACCGTCGACGGTGAGGACCATCTTCATCGTTCAGGGCTGATCCCTTTGATGTCGTCATATTTGATAAGGGGCATTGTTGAAAGTCATGCCTTCAAATCCGCGCTTGAAAACATGAAGTCGATCGAAATTTGGTGGTAGAGGATGGAGAAAGCCCTCAAGCAAATTTGTTTAATTTTGAGGCCGCCCGAAGTTCCCGGTCGGCGCATGCCAAGACTCATGCCCCCAATTGGGACAAGGTGTCTCCCTTTCCGACTTTTTGGACTGGTTCCTATCTCTGCTCGAGTGTAACCTCTTCGACCTTTAGATGAAAGCCTCTATTCACTTCCATGCCTTGAAACTACGTATTCGATCTTGAAGCAACATACTCAAAGCTGGCCTTTACGCACAACAGACCTCACATACGACCCCCTTACAATCCTCGACTACTCTCAGAAACACTTCTTATGCAATCTCGTCTGCGACTATCTTCTGGTCACATCTCTGGTGAAGAGTGCTAAGAGGCTATCGCGCTGCCCGCCTCAGCAGAGGCTGCGGCCCTGCAGCGACCATGAATAGGAGAGACGTTCATGTCAACGAACCTAGGTCGTATTCGAAGGAGGCTGGAAACATCTCTATATCTCCCTCAAGGTACGCACCAGTACTTCAATTGATAATTGGGAAGATTGGGTACTTCGCAATATTTTACTCACTCAACAAACAGATTTCAACCAAAATCGCAACCTGCCCTTCGACGGAGAAGGCAACTTCTATTACGATTAGCATCGGCTGGAGCGCTCTCTTTCTTCCTTTCGGTGTTGTTTGTACCTTCACTTCGAAGCTCGGTCACCAATGTCTTTTCATTTGGGTTGCTTTCGGCACCAGAGGAGCTACAGCTTGAGACGGTTCGTTATTATGACCTCTCAAGTTCCGGAGGAACCGCGCGGGGTTGGGAACGTGAAGAAAGGGTGCTCATGTGTGCGCCTTTGAGGGATGCAGAGTCACATTTGCCAATGTTCTTCTCTCACCTTCACAATTTCACGTATCCCCACCATCTCATCGATTTAGCCTTCCTGGTCTCGGATTCCCGGGACAACACATTAAACCTCCTATCCCAACTCCTCACGGACCTCCAGAACGACCCAGATCCCAAGCAACCATACGGGGAGATATCCGTTATTGAAAAAGATTTTGGACAAAAAGTAAACCAGGACGTGGAGTCTCGGCACGGTTTTGCAGCTCAGGCTGGTCGGAGGAAATTGATGGCACAAGCCAGGAATTGGCTCCTCAGCGCTGCACTTCGGCCAACCCACAGCTGGGTCTACTGGAGAGATGTTGACGTTGAGACTGCACCGTTCACTATTTTGGAGGATCTCATGAGACACAATAAGGATGTGATCGTGCCCAGTAAGTCCTCCAAAGACACCTGAAGCTTTTTTTCTGTGACTGACTGGATGCAGATGTATGGCGTCCCCTGCCAGACTGGCTTGGAGGCGAGCAGCCCTACGATTTGAACTCATGGCAAGAGTCGGAGACTGCGCTGGCACTAGCTGATACCCTGGACGAAGATGCGGTCATTGTTGAAGGCTATGCTGAATATGCGACCTGGAGGCCGCATCTTGCTTATCTCAGAGATCCTTACGGCGATCCGGATATGGAGATGGAGATTGATGGCGTAGGTGGTGTCAGTATTCTTGCTAAGGCAAAGGTCTTCCGATCTGGAGTACATTTTCCAGCTTTCAGCTTCGAAAAGCATGCTGAAACTGAGGGCTTTGGCAAGGTAAGAAATTGGTCAATTCCCCAAATTGTGCTCGATTAACGTGATCAGATGGCTAAAAGGATGCAATTCTCCGTGGTTGGGTTACCCCACTACACCGTCTGGCATTTGTATGAGCCAAGCGTGGACGACATCCGGCATATGGAAGAGATGGAGCAAGAGAGAAGGAATCGCGAAAACGAGGAGCGAGAACGAGCTGAGCGAGCCAAGAAGATCAAAGAGGAATTTGGTGAAACTGGCTCTCAATGGGATAAAGACAAATCAAGTATAGCAGACATCAGCCAGAAAGACGAGCAGATCAGAAAGGAGCATGACGTCGCAATGGCGGCCCAAGAGAAGGATAAATCTTCGGAATCAAATTCAGACTCGTCACAACCCAAAGATAAAGACACTAAAGGTAGTAAGTCCAGTAAGGACGGCAAGGACTCTGAGGACAGCAAAGCTAGTAAAGACGGCAAGGAGAAGGAGGGAAAAGAGTCTACGAAGGATGGAAAGGAGGAGAAATCGACTAACGATAGCAAAGGCAGCAAGGACACCAAAGATAGCAAAGACGGTACGACAAGCAAGGAAAAGAAAGATGACGAGAAGGAACAGACCACGAAAGACCCCAAAGGACCCACGAAGGAGTCGAAAGCTAAGAAGGAGACCGAAGGAGACGACACAGAGTCCAGCTCCAAGCCTAAAAAAGAAAGTCGGGAGAAGGCAGGTCCAAAAGAGAAGCAGACTCAAAAGGAACCCTGAAGTAAATTTTGAACGACCGTAATATCCAATCCGCTCACACAAGTGAAGCCATGCATCCGACTAAAGCGGTCCAGCTGAATCGCTCGGCTGGGTCTGAGGAAGTTGGGCAGGTACTTTCGAGACCAGCTCCGAGTACAAGATCACAACCGCGCCATCAAGACAGGAGCGACAAGTGGTTCGAAGGCATCGAAAAGCGCGATTGCAACGCCCTGGTGTGGCAAATGCCTAGAAAGGGAAGGGGCGCATGATGTGGATAGCTAGAACATCTGTGTAAGGGTAATATCTCTATTCGGGCTGTAAAACGTGGTGCTTTCCGACTGGTATACATTTGTTTCTCAATAGACACGAAAAGACGAATTCAATTCTGTTAGACATTCACGAGCTTGAGTGGTCTTCAAGTTACTCTTCTATACAAAACGGCTCTCGGAGCCTGGTCCGAGTAGAGAGTCGCAATGGACAGTGTTCGACAAAAGTTGCATATCTAGGTGCCTGGCTTGCCCCTGCCTATTTCGTCAGACCGCTGTTCCTTAACAGGCTTGGCGGCGTCCAAATACGTGAAAAGTTAAGGTCAATGGGAGGTCTTCAAGCTCCTGATTCCCCCAAGTTGGACCATATTACAGGATCATAGACTCAACAAGCACTCTTCATCACCTGCGTAACCGGAAACTCGTGGAACTTGTGGACATCGTAAGGCGGAACGCTCATGTGAGGCCATATGCAACCTGGCTGGGTTGCAGATAGGCATTGAGGCGAGCATGCGTGTTCACGATTCCGGGATCTGTACAACATCGCCGCTGGCTACACCTGTGGACCTGACAAGAGCACTGAATTTAGTATCTTCTTTGTGGTCATGACCCTCCTTGTTCCGGGCTCGAGTCATCATCCGCCTCCACATCCCTCGCAGACTTCGAAAGACATTACCATAGCAGTCGACCCTGTTGCCTTGATAACGACAGAATGTATTACAGTCACATCAGCCCTAAGAAAAGGGGCACGATGGGCCCAATCCTCTGTTTCCGCCATCTTAGGAGGGGTCAGCTCTACCTCCGTGGACGGGGGAGCAACTCGATTGCCTCCTCAGCTTGCGAAACCCACATCTTTCTACAAAGGCGGGAGTCACATCGGCAGGATCCAAGATGGCGCGCGAGAGGTCGATGATGGCTTGGTGGGTAATTGGGGCCGAAGAGGCAGGAAAGGGAGAAGCATGCAGGACAATCCCTTGATGTCTGCGTTTGCTAGACTACGAAGTGACCTACGAGGATGTACAGGTATGTACTCAAAGGACATTGTCTCGAATACGGTTGACAAAAGTTAGGTATCAGAAGCTTTGATACGCCCGCACTACTTCATCCCTTCCTTCAAGTCATACGATCTTCCTCTACGTCAGCTACAATCACGTCTTTGGCAATTGTAGCCATCACAAGATTCTTTGACTATAGGATCATTGCTGCGGACTCTGTTCGACTAGCGCTTGCGATGCAGCTCTTATCCGCTGCAGTCACCCATTGCCGGTTCGAAGCAAGCGACTCCGCAGCAGACGAGATTGTGCTCCTTCAAATTCTGAGGCTGATGGAAAGCATGATATCAGGCCCTGGTGGCGACTTACTAGGTGATGAGAGTGTCTGTGAGATGATGGAGACCGGTCTGAGTATGTGTTGTCAGAAACGCCTTACTGAACTTGTGAGACGTTCAGCGGAGATGTCTATGGTGAAGATGTGCCAAGTCATATTTGAGCGCCTTAACACGCTAGACTTTGGAATGGAGCCGGACGCCGATATGGATCATCGAAATGAATCCGAAACTTCTAACCTCATTATGGTCGGACCTGCCGTCAATGGGGCGCCGATAGGTACTTCAAGGTTATTAGGAGATCCATCACAAGCTGTCTCGGAAAGACTGCAAGACACGCAACCGGAGGTCAATGGCGAGCAATTGGAATCTTCTAAGACCCTTGATGGTGAGAGACCGGCTGCGTCAGATGTGCAACGTACAACACACTCACCTGAGGACGCAAATACGGACAAGAAAGGGGATGAAGGTCACTTGATCGGACTTACCCCTGGAACAGCCCCTGACAACTCTATACCAATAGCTCAGAACACCACTAAGCCCGAGAGAAAATCTGAGGCAAGCTCTGAGCTTTCCAACGCAATCAAGCCTTATTCTTTACAATCTATTCGTGAACTTTTTCGCGTTTTGATTGATTTGCTTCGCCCTCAGAATAAGGAGCACAATGATGCCCTCCGAGTCATGGCTCTTCGGATCATTGATGTTGCACTCGAAGTCGCCGGACCTTCAATAGCTAAACATCCAAGCCTTGCGACTCTAGCAAAGGATGATCTGTGTCGCTATCTGTTCCAATTAATTCGCACCGACAGTACTCAGCTTCTGAATGAATCGTTGCGCGTTGCCGGGACGCTGATTACTACTTGCAGAGAAGTCCTGAAACTTCAGCAAGAGCTTTTCTTGTCATATCTAGTCGAGTGCCTTCACCCACAAGTCGAGATACCCGATGAACCGGGAATTGATCCTGAGCTTTATGAAGGGGTTCCTAAAACCCCAAAATTAGTCAGACCGGCCGCTTCACAGGCCCCGAGTGGACGATCAACTCCTGTGCCGGTCAAAGAGCGCCATCAATTGGGTATGGATGGCACAACGAGGAAGCCCGATGCAAGAGAAGCAATGATAGAAAGTATAGGTGCCTTGTCCCGAATACCAGGCTACCTTGTCGAATTATTCATTAATTACGACTGCGAGGTTGATCGCAATGACTTGTGTGAAGATCTGATAGGTCTCCTTTCCCGCAATGCATTTCCAGACTCAGCTACTTGGAGCACAACGAGTGTCCCACCTCTTTCCCTTGATTCTCTCTTGACTTACATACAGTTTATTGCAGAGCGACTTGATGATGAACCAAATTTGGAAGGTTATCCGGATATAAAACGTCTGCGAGAACAGCGTGCTCGAAAAAAAATTGTTATCAAGGGCGCTACACGATTTAACGCAGATCCACGAGATGGCATTGCTTTTCTTGCCGCGAATGAAATAATAGACAATCCAAATAATCCTCAATCCGTTGCTGGATTTCTCAAAAGTACGACGCGAATAGCCAAAAAGAAATTGGGTGAATATCTCTCCAAACGAGATCAGGAGCCATTACTAAGGGCCTTTTTGGACCTCTTTGATTTTACGGGGAAGAGAGTGGACGAAGCCCTACGAGATCTTTTGAACTCCTTTCGCTTACCTGGTGAATCCCAGCTGATTGAAAGGATCGTCACTGTTTTCAGCCAGCAATATTGTGGAAGCGGCACCATTGAGGGTATTGCAAACGAGGATGCTGTATTCACTCTCACTTATTCGATTATCATGCTGAACACTGATCAACACAATCCAAACCTCAAGAAGGAGAAGCGTATGACTCCCCGAGACTTTGCAAAAAATCTACGAGGTGTTAATGGAGGGAGCGACTTTGATCCCGAATACCTTGAAGAAATCTACAAATCAATCAAGACAAACGAGATCATCCTGCCAGACGAGCACAACAATGATAAAGCTTTCCATTACACTTGGGAGGGATTGCTTCTCAAAGCTCAAAACGCTGGTGCTTTGACTATCTGCAATACCAACGTATTTGACTCTAGCATGTTTCAAGCAACATGGAGGCCAATCATCGCAACGCTGTCATATGTCTTCATGTCCGCTTCAGATGACGCAGTCTTCTCTCGGGTCATTCTAGGCTTCGACCAATGTGCCCAGATAAGCGCCAAATACGGTCTCACAGAGACACTCGATCGCATTATCTTCTGCCTGAGCTCTATGTCTTCACTGTCGTCTGGAATAGCCGCTAGTACATCACTAAACACAGAAGTCCAGGTCGAGAAGAGGAGTGTCATGGTTAGCGAGTTAGCAGTCAAATTTGGCCGGGATTATAAGGCTCAGTTAGCATGCGCTATCCTCTTTCGGCTTATTCCTAATAAGGAGCATGTCATCAAGCATGGCTGGAAACAGGTAAAGCCTACGAGTAACGCGAGTGGGTAGGCGCTAATGACAGACAGATCGTGCACGTCTGGCTTAATCTTTTCGCCAATTCGCTTTTGCCCTCAAACTTTCTCGACTCTGAAGAGCTACTTGACATATCACCTATATCCCTTCAATCACCGAATAATGTTATAGATAGGGAACAACGTAACGAGAGCGGGCTGTTGTCTTCCTTCACGTCCTATCTTTCCAGCTATGCTGCCGATGATCCTCCAGAGCCATCCGAAGAAGAGGTCGAAAGCACACTCTGTACAGTTGACTGCTTAGCATCGTGCCCTATGCAGAGAATTTTCTCGAAGACTCTGTAAGCGCAGCTCTCGATACTATAAACAAATGCTGATTAACTCGCACAGTTCCATGCCTCCCGAGATCAGGCAGAACCTTGTGTTGGCTTTACTGAAGCATCTTCCCGAGCCATCTTCGCCAGTGGTTCTGATGGCGCGCCAGGATCAAGCAAGACCTACCCCTATAAGAACTAACGGTAGCCGGAAGATAGTTGCTGGCCAAGTTTACAATCCCTCAATAGCCTTTATCCTCGAACTCTCCACCATTCTCGCAAGCCAAGATAGAGGTTCGATGGCTCTTATCGGAGAGCCCGTGGCCGACGCAATTCAGAATGTTGTCCGAGAAGCTAGCAATATCCACCCACTCGTTATCTCACGAGCAGTCTATTATTTGCTATATCTTATGAACGCGAATCAGGAGTTGTGTGACCAATCTTTAGTGAAAACGCCGGTGGTGCTGCATACAATCTCCAGGTTCGACCACTCACTTCTAGAGGCGGTGTCGGAGCTACTTTTGCGAGGGTTAGGACATTGCTTGCAGAGTCGTACGTCGTTGAGAAACGAGATTATCAACACTCCAGATTTCTGGCTCATCCTGAGTAATCTGCACACCATTCAAGAGTCCGCGCCTGCTGTTCTCGAGATTGTTGAGAATATCGTGGCGTCAGATCCTACGCTTGTGACCGCAGATAATTACGTGGCTACTGTCTCCTTGCTGGACAACTTTGCTACAGCAGGCAGCATTGGTGCTGCATTCGAGCAGCAAGCTTCGAGAAAGCCTCCAAACTCGCGCGACCGACGGACTCAACGTCCAGCAGACCCTATTTCCAAGTCACCTGATCCCCGTGAAAAGGAGGTGGTACTTCGCGGCTACAGAGCCGTTGTACTAATATCCCAACTGATCCAAAGAGTCCCAACTCTTATCAAGCAATCTCAATTGGATCGCGAAAAGGCTTGGATGACATACTGGTCCCAGATATTTCAAAAGCTACAGACGCAATGCCTAAACCCTTGTCGCAAGATACGCCGACAAGCATATTCCGCCCTGCAAACCGCCCTTCTTTCTCCCAGCCTATGCCCATCCATTGACGAGGAATGGGATTTCATATTCCAAGTAGTTCTCTTTGGCCTCATATCGCGCTTGCTGAAGCCTGAAGTCTACCAGACTGATCCAATAGGAATGAATGAGACAAGACTTCAGGCCGCCAACCTTCTCGGCCGCACTTTCCTACACCATCTCCCTTCCGTGGCTGAGAGGGACGATATGCTTCAGCTGTGGCTTCGTATCTTAGACACAATGGACCGGCTCATGCATAGCGGTCAGGGAGATAATCTTGAAGAGGCTATACCAGAGAGTCTAAAGAATATTCTACTGGTGATGGCTGGTAGTGAGATTCTCACACCTCCTGAACCCAAGGAGCAGCCTTCTGAGTTGTGGATCGAGACTAAGAATAGGGTCGATAGGTTTCTGCCTAATTTGATGGACGAATTGTTTCCTCGTAACGATATAGACAAGGATGTGAACAGTGTTGAGACTACGGCTGGGGAGTTGGGAGAATCTCAGGACACCCAGGGAGATCAAGCGGCTGAGGGGCCCGAAGAGTCAGCACAGACAGCCTCAAGTGCTCATGCTAGACAGCCAACTGTAGAGTCAAGCTCAGATGAAGATGAATAAAGCATTAGCATTAGCATGATGAATCTAGATAGTCCTAAGCAGGTTCCCTCCATCGGTTTTGGACTAGGTGCTTGTTCTTGTTGCCAGACACGTACTGCCAAAGCGTTCTCACTGCTTCGAGGCATGGATATGACAAAATCAGTAATTATAGTACGCTAAAACACCCCACATTTAGTAGATCAAGTTCATACCCGCTAGTCATCATCGTCAAGCTCTATGTCCAGGGCATCTGGATTGTTGACAACCGGCGCCTTTTCTGGCTGGGGCATATTTCCACCCTCAGGCCCAGTGCTGGCTGCTACAAACCCGAGCGGAGCATTAGTCTGCCTTTCCAGCGCCGTCATGGCATCTAATCTGCCGTCTTCCTGCCCATTCACGTCTACACTATCAGCCTCCACGGTTGTGCCTCCCGCCCCTTGTCCCTTCTGGCTCCTTGCAATGGCTTGTGAGGCAATGAAGTTGACGTCTGTGTTATATTGTGCTTGTACACTTCGCTTGATCCGAAGCATTTCCTTGAAGGTATCCTCATTGCCGTGCTGTATCTCGAAGCTTTCCCATTTCTGCCAATAAGTCGGTGTGGTCCTCGGGTCGCAAAATTGGGAACCATGCCCGTAGATTGCTCTGGCACGGTCAATCTCACCCAATCTTCGCTCCATCTCGGCGAATTTGAGGCACATATCCTTAGCTCCTCGATCTGACAAGACGTCAATCGCGCGCTGATAGATTGGGCGGGTTGACGTGAGGCCAAAATTTGTGGCCGATTGGAGAATGTAGAAGTTGAACATCTCCATCTTGTCTTCGTCGGAAACGGCTCGTGTTGCCCGCTCATAGATACGCATGGCATGCCTCGCCAGCCCCCGCTCCTCCTCGAGGTTACCATACATGAGGTACAGAGTTTTGGCAAACTTTGGGGGGCAGCCTTCTACCGCTTGTTCAAAGAGGTCGCGGAGCCTCTCGATGCTAATCTTCCGGTCAACGGCTTTGGTCAGGTAAAGATTCCAGAGCTCAAAGGCGACTGGGTATTTAAAAAGATCAAGACCTCTCTCGTATATCTTGAAAGATTCTTCAAAGTACTGGGATTCTTCGAGAAGGTTGGCATAGTTTACTACGGTCTGTGGAGTCGCGATTCGTAGCTCGAATATCCGATCGTATACTTTCTTCGTCTCACTTAGACCGCTCACACTCTCGACCAGGTCCACGTAAAAGCTCCACAATTTCCAGCTTTTATGCACTCTTTGTTGGGGCGACAAGGTTTCATCAAAGTAGTCGACTGTAGATCTTTTGGGCGCTTGAGTAGCCTTGGCCATGATATTCAGCGCGCTTTCAAAATCCTCGTTTCGAAGCTCCATTTCTGCCCAACCACACCACGCTTCGGCAAGCTCTGCGACAGACTTGAACGGGACCTTGACAGCCTTTTCCATGATTATGCGTGCATTATGTATATCGCCTCCTTCATCATAAAATTTGGCGTAGTTTAGCCAAAGTTCATGAAATCTGCCGACCGCTTTTCTTGGTTGCACCGCTTTCATGGCATCAGCATACGTCTGTACAGTCTCTTGTTTGTTGCTGCCCCAGAGCAGAATCCTCTTTTCCCATTCATTGACATTGTTCGGGTTCTGTCGAAGGAGTACGTCATTGACGAGGAATGGTCTTCGATCCATAAGCTGTTCAAATCGCATCATCCGGATGTCCAAGTCGAAATCTGCGTCTTCGTCCAACTGAGCCTTGTCGGACCTTGCAGCCGCTTGGTCCATTAAAGTGCTAATGATTGATTCTTCGAATTCCGTATAAGAGTCAAAGATGATCGTAAAGTCACGAACTGTCATCGCTGTAGTGATGCCTTCTTCAAAAACATCGCGCGCCCTTTCAAAATCTCCCTTTCTAATCCAATATGTTGCCAACCCCGTCCAGAGTTTGCCCCTCTGATCAGTAAAGCGTCGAATGCCGCTCCTGAGGATCATCTCCACGTCGATATCTGAAGCTATTTGAATATCGATCTCTCTTGCGTGGTCGACGATCAAATTCGCCATCTCGCTCCAAAGCTGGAAGTTACTCTTTCCCTTGTTGCTGCGAAACTTCGAGTTGTTTAGGATTTCAATATACTTTTCGACAACCTCAGTGTATTGCCTTTGATCTATCAGTATTTCGATGAGGTCCTCTATCTCTTCCGGATGTATTTGTATATATCGTCTCCACACCTTCACAGCCGTGGTACCGGAAGCTGAGTTGGCGAATGGCCTATACAATGCCCATATTCGGTTGTGTTGAGTGATAGGCAGTGCACGGAGAGCTCTGTCGAACGCTCTTCGAGTGGCCGTGACTCGAGGTTGTTTGGTCAAGAATGAAAGATACATTTCCCAGATTTTCGGCATCTTATTCAACAGAATGAGCGCCTTCTCGAACAGAGCATTGACTTTGACAAATTCGATGCCATGTTTTGCTGGATTCCTGTTTCGCAGATGCTTCATCCGGAGCTCCAGGTACATTTTCCACAATTTGTATGATCGTGGCAGCTGATTGCATGCTCGCTCCATGACGAAAGCCTGTTCCAGCAATGATCCATGTTGATGCTTGTAGTCTATATATCTGAGCCATGGTTTGACGGAAGCTGGCTCTCGTATGATGTCTAGTTCGAACACTTGATCATCTACCGACTACAGCGCAACCAGGGTTAGTGAGAGGGCGCGCAATGGGGAGAGAAACTTACGATGAGATACAGGGGTAAATCTCGTGTCATAGCTGACGCGTTACCATTTAATCCTGCAGAGACTCGTTCAGTCAGCAGGATACAAGGCATCTTTGCGCCGAGATGGGAGGTAGGGAATCCAGTGCGTTTTGAAGCTCTGATCGCGATTTCCGCTCCGGGGCAGTCCCTCGGGTTCTCAGCCCCTGGAGTTGTGGATTAGGAAAGGCAAGCAGCCCACTCCGCACTCTGAAATAGAATACCTGAAGTAAATTACAGAGGCCGCCCGCAATTTCCATACGTTACCAAAAGTTGGCATGCCTCCTTGGCATCTTCATTAAACTTTACTGCAGATACGTCAACGTCTCACGCAAGTAATCATCACAAAAGGCTACAGGACATGTCAGGAGCAGGGGTGAGAGACAAGAATTCATGCCTGGATCCTTCCACGATGCTGATTGCCTCTGCTTTCCCAGGATCGGGAGGCTGTCTTCCCCACCAGACAATCTCTAGGTGCTATGAAAAGCAAGCTCAAAGGCGCAGAAACCGGCCACAGTTTATTGAAGAGAAAGAGTGAGGCACTTACAAAGTAAGATGCCTGAGCTACTCAGTGCTCATGGGTTTGACTAATAATCGCTTAGGCGCTTTCGAGGTTCACGCAATGCAGCTGCACGTTAAATCTCTTGCTGATTCGAAAGGTAGAGATCACAAGACGGATCGATGAGGCGAAGAGGAAGATGGGACGTGTCATGCAAATCGCCGCATTCTCTTTAGCAGAGGTTACATACGCCGTGGGTGGCGATATCGCTTATCAGGTACAAGAGTCGGCCAAGCAAGCGCGCTTCCGGGTGAGAACGAAGCAAGAGAACGTTTCAGGGGTTTTCATACCTGCATTCGAAAGCTATACGAAAGATGAAAATAATGACTTCAGCCTGACTGGTTTGGGGAAAGGGGGTCAGCAGGTGCAAAGATGCAGGGAAACATATGCGCGCGCAGTGGAGACCTTGGTGGAGCTTGCAAGCTTACAGGTACATGCCAAAGGGAATGGGGGTAAAGATGACCTCTGCTAACTTTAAGATAGACCGCGTTTGTAATACTTGACGAGGTCATCAAGGTAGTGAACAGAAGGGTCAATGCGATTGAGCATGTCATCATCCCACGTACAGAAAATACCATCAGCTATATCAATTCTGAGCTGGACGAGATGGACCGAGAGGAGTTCTATCGACTGAAAAAGGTCAAGAATAACAAGCAACGTGACGCCGCCAGAGCGGAAGAACAGAACAATAAGCAGGCTTCGAGTGACAAGGAGAACGAAGAATCACCATCCGACATCCTCGGCGAACAAGAAGATCCAGATGTCATTTTTTAAGCAATGTTCAGGACATTGGAGGCCTTGTCCCCGCGAGCAATAGGCGCGCAAGGGGGCCATCACTATGCTTCAGGCAAAGAATTTTCATTTGCCAGCCTTGGAGTCAGCTGCTCTTGACTATTGTCGCTGGTACACGACCTTGACAGGCTTAGATTCGTCGCCAAGGGTCATACCGGCCGTGCTCTCCTTCGCATTTATAGCGCCTGCTTCAGCTTCATATTCCACGAAGGCGATGCCTTTTCGTCCGGGTACCAAGCGCACTTCTTTGAAACCATCAAATCTGCCAAAGATTGTTGTGAGACCTTCGACGCCATACTCGTCCGGTAAATTCTGCACGAAGAGAATCTTGTTTGGAGGGAGATATTCCTCTGGGATCACAGGTCCTGCCGCTGGATTTGACGATTTAAGTCCGGCACCCTTCACAGCTTTTGAGGGTCTAGAAGTGGCGGCGTCTGGCACAGCTGGCGGACGTTTGAGCTTTTTGGCGGCTTCTGCAGCCTCAGCAGCTTGTTTTCGTTCTAAGCCAGTCAGTCACTCAGTCATATACCATTAGGCCCAAGGCATCAAGTACCCTTCTCTGCAAGTCTTTTTCGCTTATGAGCCTCGAAATCTTCGTCTGTGCCTTCTCTTTGGACTGTAGCATCACTCTTGCTTTTAGCAAAGTCTAAAGCCATAGGCTTATCGAAAAGTTCGAAACCCTGTACCTCTTCGATTGCATTTTTGGCGGCATCTACATCATCAAATACAACGAAGGCTTGACCTTTGGCTCTAAGATTCTTCTTTGCCACGACATCGATCACGTTGCCGTATTCCGAGAAGATTTCTGTGAGGGTTTCTTTGAGCTGATCAATCTTAATACGCTCATAGAGATTTTTGACCTGACAGACGTTAGTGGAGGGGATGCCAAACCACATGTGCTACTTACGTAGACCCTATTCGTAATTAGCCATTTACAATTTGAGTCATCTGTACTGACACGTACGTAGTGTTTGGGGGGTTGAAAGTAGCCTGCTGTAGCGGAATGGCCGCCATGGCTTCAGGAGGAATATGCAGTGAGGTTCAAATTGTAGAGCCTGTCTGAGCACTGAGCACATAGAAGGGTTGACTGGGGTACCGGCCAAAACCAGGGACCGGACGGTTTCAAATATATGCAGCCAGTATGTAGCGTGCGCTGTAATCTGCCCCTAAAAGCGGGAGTCTTAAGCGAAAAATCTTTAAAAGTCTTTAGGCCATGGAAACCGCGTATTTTGAATCCTGGACGCCCTAAAATATACGTATTTTGAGAACCGTCCGGTCCCTGGTTTTGGCCGGTACCCCAGTCAACCCTTCTATCCTTTCTGGTAATTTACACAAGGCCTAAAAGTATAATACCGCCGTAAAACACAAGAAGGAATCTTTTCAGCCCGCGATAAATGTTTTAATCCTGCAACTCAAGCCATGCAAAACCTTGGGTCACTGCCAGAGATGTAGGTCAAGGTTGTGGTCAATCTTAGAGTTCTGAGGTGTTCTATGTGGCAATATGTTCTTACACGTCAAGTACGGCTTTTTCATACGATCAAAATGGACAATCCCATAATCCTGAACACCCAGGAGGCGACGTTGCGAAGGCTCTTGCTTGATGTCGCAAATCATGCTCATGTGACCGATAACTGCGAGCGACCTGTTTTACGCTTTGCAGGTGGTTGGGTGCGGGACAAATTGCTGGGATCGACTAGCCCTGATATAGATGTTGGCATAGACAACATGACGGGTGCTCGATTCGGCGAATGCTTAGAACGGTATCTCAAGCACCATGCTCATGCCGAATATCCTGCCGATGTAAAATTGGCCAAGATTAAAGCAAACCCAGAGAAATCGAAGCATCTTGAGACTGCACACACCAAGCTTCTCGGTCTGGAAGTCGATCTTGTCAATCTTCGCAAAGAGACTTACACTCAAGACAGTCGTAACCCGATTGTAGAATTCGGGTCGCCGAATGAAGATGCTCTTCGCCGTGATGCCACTATCAACGCGCTCTTCTACAATCTTTCCACTGAAATGGTAGAAGACTTCACCAAGCGAGGCATTCAGGATCTGAGGTCTAAGTTGATAAAGACCCCACTTTCACCTCTTGAGACTTTCAAAGATGATCCGCTTAGAATACTGCGAGCGATACGCTTCGCTAGTAGACTGAGATTTCAGATAGACCCTGGTGATAAGCAAGCCATGACCAATCATACAATCAAAGAGGCATTAATAGCTAAGATTACTCGGGAGAGAGTTGGTATCGAAGTCATGAAAATGTTGAAAGGTAAGTCCTTTTTTAAAGACATATCAAAATGCTCATGAATTCATAGGCCCTAATGCTCAGGTGGCGCTGGCACTGCTCGACGGTCTCAGTCTCTACAATTCGGTCTTCACCACCACGGATTATGGCCCTGTAGAGACTAGCGGCTGGTCACGGGCATATCTGACATTGCATTATATTTCCGAGGCTGACGATTTGGACGAGAAGCATCTTTCGGCTAAGATCATTAAGAAATTGCTGCTTCGTGATGCTGATGATACGTACCTCGCCTGGACAATGACATGCTTTATTCCATGGGGGCGCATTGCCCCAAGGAATACCCTAGGATCAACGACCAAGCGAGTGCCGAGTCCAGCGAGTCTTGCCGCGAAAGACGGCATCAAGGCCGACAACAGAATTACTAAACTGATCGATGACGCTGTCTTCCATCTGCAAGATATTATCGCACAGAGAAGTACCAACGTGCAGGACGAAACGCTAACGACATCGCCTCTGAAGCGAAAATTCAGCACTAACCTTCGCGTTAGTCAGGGCCAAGCTATCAGAAGATGGGGCGGCCAATGGCGGGCTTGTGTTATCTTCAGCCTGATGACTGAATGTTCGGAGTTGCCAAGCGATCAAGACGTACAGTTACTGCTTCGTCAGTACGCTGCCTGGCTCGAAAAGCTACAGACTCTCGATTTACTAGACGTGGACCAGTTGAAGCCTTTAGCTAGCGGAGACCAGATTGCCGCTGTGTTTCCAAGGGCGAAAAAGGGATCTTGGATGAAAAAAGCCCTAGATATAGTAGTAGAGTGGCAGCTTCGTAATCCTGGGGCCACTGATGTGGAACAAGCAATTGAGGAGGTAAAGCATCGAGCTAGAGAGCTCTTCCCTCCGTAAAGACTCTGACAAGACATTGGAGGACCAACGATAGATGGCAAGAGAGAATTGTCAGGATTGATGTAGAGCTTAAGAATCGTGAAAGTAACGTCGAAGACGTAGATCTACGAAATTAAGATACAAAATGATCTGGAGTCCGAAAGGGTTCGTTGTGTCATGCCCCTTTACCAGTCGGAATATATTACACTGCAATTGTTGACGATAGACCTCAACCTCCCGGTCTATCCTTCCACTAATGGCCACTTTTTTGCTGAATTCAATCAGAGAAAGATGATGAAGGGTTAGGTGGATAAGACCAGATCCATTCTCAGATCAATTTTCTGTTCCAGGCTTCACGCTTCCGGACTTAGATCTATGACTATGGATATCAACTCCTTCCGTCAAGCAGCGCGATCATACATCAACAGTATCTCTTTAGGACAGCCGCTAGACGATAGAAGAGTTTTGCAACTCACATACCCTGGAGAAATCGAGCTGCCAGGCCTTGCAAAGATCCTTGCTCTTGAACAGCCCCCGGGAAATCAGCAGGAACTATTGGAGAACGTATTGATACTAGAAGACTTCATCAAGTATACAATACGCCCTGCAGGCAGCGACCCTGTGGAAACGAGTACTGAAGTCATCAAATACTTAGTAAATAATTCATTGCCACGATCGGGTTTTCTAGACCCTTTGCCGTATAGCCAAGGTATCTGGGAACTGGTTGCAAGCCTAAATTGACTAATTCCTAAGAAGCATACTAGACGAAGAGTTGCACCTGACAGAAAAGGACATCGCTTGGTTCTATGTATTGAGTTACAGGACTTTTCTGTGTTTGAAACACTTTCAGCCTCCATCGCTCGACGCCGAGGATAATACTTTAATCTTACGCGTCGGTTTCCTAGCTTCATACACAGATCTGAATGACCCTTGGACTTCTGCTATTCTTCACAAGAAGTCAACCGAGCTTCTCAAAGACTCGTTTCAATTTTACACAAGCAAAGCATGGAAAAACCTGCTCACCGGGTTGTTGGAGGTAAAAGTCAAGCCAGCATTTGCAGTCAAGAACCACCCCAAAATCACAAAATCAGCCCGTAAAGTCATAGGTATGGGCGAAACAAGGGCCACATTAGCTGGCGAAGATATCATGATAAAGCCATGGAAATTCGACGAGGTTTTCGTTCCAACGATTCTGCGATGGGTTTTGCTTCAGCTCGAGCAAGTAGATGTAAGTGAGATAAGATACGGTATTCTAAGTACAACGTTGAGTCATCGTAGACTACATTCATCGAGGCCGTCTGGCCGCTCATTGTTCCCCCAATACTCACCTTGATCGACGACACGTCGATCAAGTACAAGATTGCCGGTTGCAGCGATCTCGCAGTACTTCTACAAATGAGACCCTTTGCAATGCTTAATCGTACTGGACTAGGTGAAGTTTTCGAAGATGCCGTTATGCCTTGTCTCATGTATTTGCCAACTTTAGAGAAGGAGGTAGACTCTGTTGCCCTTCTAAAAGAGGCTTACCCTGCTATCATTCGATTAGGTTGTGAGCGCTTCCCCACGACTGAGCATCAAGACTTACGAATGCGCTCCTTAGACAGGATCATGCGATATGGCATTCTGAAGGGTTATGCGCATGCTGGGGAATACGCGAGAATTGCAGAGGTCCTGATCACGCAGGTCATCGAGCTTGTGAAGCAGATGGGCATACATGTAGTCCGACACGCAAAGGTACTGCCTTTCATCTCAAGTTGAACCGATCTCGGACTCACACTTGCCACTAGCATCTGCTTTCCTTATATTCAACAATTTTGGCGAGCCCATTTGTGACATCCGACATAAGCCTACTGTCAATGACACTAAAGGCGCTTCAGAGCACATTGACCTTCGTTTGGCCTCGAATGGCGTATTATAGAGTGAACGTTTTAGAATCCTTGGTACTTTGCTGGCTTAGAGTTCGAGGCGATGAAGCATCATTCGCGCACAGCAAGCCGATTCACAACGAGATCAAGGCTACCCTTTCTCTAGTCGCGGCTTTGATGCCGAAAGACGTAGATTTTTTCTCAGAGTTCAGAGAGCTAGTACAGAGTGATCCTAGACTGGAGGAACTGTTAATAGACGATGGCTGGCGAGATTCATGGTAGGCAGGCGAGGACTTGAAGGGTGGATCAAGGACAGAATGTCCGGGGCGCCCTCGGCAAAGTGGATCGTTCCAAGTTTTCATATTGACGATCATACTATGTCTAAGTAAAATTTGGCCAGCCTTTAGGATGACCCTCAGCGGCTACAATTTTAGACGGCGGAAATTCTAAGGCTCGAGACGCTGCTTGAAGAGCGACTTACCCTTCACCCACTGACGATACGCTTTGTAGCGTTTCTTTGTTGAGTCTGACTCTGCAACCGTCAAAGGATTGTCTCCGATATCTAGGAACTCGGTGAAGTCCGCTAGGTCGTCGTCTGAAGTAGATAGACTAGCGACAGCGTCGGAAGTGACGCTCTTAACATAATTTACCAGCTCTGCGCTCGGATCGGGCGGTATGTCTGTAGACACGACCAGAGCCAGGTTCAGTGGATGGTCGATGTAACGTTGATATTCACGAGCCTCTGCCGAAGTAACGGAGGGGTTCAATGAATTTGTAAAGAACTGCTGGAGTGTCCACTGTGTAATCGCGGCTTTGTCTTTGAACGTCTTCTTCTCCTTAGGAGTGTTAAGTACCTCGGACACTTTTGCGTCGGCGCTAAGGGGACCCTTGAGTATGCTTTGATATCCTCGAGGCGGCGCAAGCTGGGTGCGCAGCCATCCAGGCAATGCATCGCTTTCAGAACGCGTCCCATCTAGTGCCAATTGTTCCGATTTGTCTTTCGAGGCCTCGTTCTGAGGATCTACAATCTTCACCTCCTTTCTTGGATGTCCCTTGTCTGGTGTTTGTTGGTCGTGGCCGTCTCTGACCCGAAAAGGACTGAGATCATATTTGCCCTCTTGAGTCGACTTGAAGGGTACGTATCTCAAGGTAGAATTCATTTTGAACGAAAATATTTTTGTAAAGGATGACAATGCGAGAGGACGATAGTACTCGAGCCAATAGTCATCGAAAAAATTCAAAGACTTTCGGCCAAGTATGTTCGAACCATGTGCGATGTCAGGTATACGCTGTGGATCAAGATGTTCTGGCGAATACCATTGAGAATATCGCTTGGGTGTGTGAGCTATCCAGCTCCGTGGATGTGCATGATGGAGATAGTAGTCTGTGGATAGATCCCATAACATTGGTTGGCCTTGAACATAGATGTAATTTCCAAGAAATAGGTTATACGCCTCCTGACGTTGTTTGTCGAGGAATGAGTTGTTGTAGTATCGCTTGAAGCTTTCCACCATATCTCGTGAGTGACTCGTCCACTGATTTATTTTCCTGTAGGTCTCCATCGTATTGACCAGATGCGAACCACCATATTGGATCGCGATGGTGTCCCCATGGTCATGGTACATGTGCGTGAAGAGATTGACAGCGTCGGTGTCGTAGTCGATGGAATCCTGATCAATGATACCCAAAGCATGCAGCTGATGGCCAAGGGCCCTTTTGCCTATCACAAACTGAGCTGCATTGGTGCGGTCTAAACAGTCAATGCAATTCGTTCTGACCACGCCGTTTTGCAGTCTGAAGGTGCCAGACTCGGGCCAACCGTTTTGAAAGAAGCCTGTGGTTTCTACTGCATCCTCAGCAATCGATTCCAAGGTACCAATGACATCCTGGTCGCGACTCTTCGAAGCACGACTCATATCCCATGCTCGATATTTAATTTTCTTGGCGAGGGGGAGGAACTGATTGAGATAGGTGATGGCACAAGTATATTCCTTTAACAGGATTGACTCACGAGGTGTTCGCTCGCGAGCTTTGACTAAGTTCAGTACATATATTTGAGATCCGTATCTGTCAAAGAGATTGTCAAAATGTAGGGCAGCCGCAGTGTAAAAGGGGTCAACAAGGTTCAAATCGATGCCAGGCTTTGGCGAAACTCCCGAGTTGTCCTGCGTCCAGTAAAGAGGGATGCTTCCCCGATGCTGTACGTAAGAAGTATAATGTGGGTTGCCAAAGAGAATCGGACCAGGGGCGTGAAACGAAGTTGTAAGCATCTCCGAAACTATTTGTTCGGTCTCCACGTCGTTTGCAACATAGCCTAGATCGTTCGCCCCTCGCTTCAAGAATCGGGCTCCAGCAAAGAACCTTGAGCGTCTTGCGATGATAGCAACATGCACAGTGCGACCATAGATTGATAATGTCGCTTGATCCACAAATCCGTGGATGAGAGGGACACACCAATCATAAGTATTCCTCAACGCTTGCTCCGCCGGGGCAAGAAGGTGATGGTTCCACACGAACATAGAATTGAAGGACACAGATGAAGTCGTCGCCTGACCTTTGTGTAACGAAAGCCTTTCACGTAGGATATTGACCTGCAACGTACGAGTAATATCGTACGAGTAACTAAAATAAAAAGATCTAGAGAGATCGAGATTGTTCAGAACGCTGACGAACCGACCTTCCTCGGGATCAAAGTTCTTGAAGCGCGAAGATGAAGGCATATTCAATGATATAAGCTCTGTTCCATCAACTTGGTAGATGTAGTGGCCGCCTATGACAGCCACTTGACTCCTCTTAGTGATAAGAAGCATGTAAAACGCGCTTGTGAATCTTATGAACCCCAGTAACCCCCATGTGCTACATTTCAGCTTCAAACCCCCAGATACCTTATTGCCGTCATCGACAGCGTTCAAGAGCTGGTTCATCTCCTTCTTTGTATAGACAATGTCGTCTTCCGTAACACTCAGGTCTTCCGAGTCTGTTGTCCGGTCTATCTTCAATATTCTGAACCTCTTATCCTGGATATCGCCCCCCACGAAATAAAACCTTGTGGTTGTCTCGTAGAGAGAGAATCGATGCATTTTGCAGATGCCTTCCTCGCCAACTTTTCGATATTGGGCACCTCTGTTGCGTTGTCCCGTTGAGGTTGGGCTAGTACTCCTTGGAAATGACGTAGGTGTGGTGAGCTCCTCATCTTCCTCGTCAACTCTCAAGTGTCTTGCATCTTGCTTCGGGATAGTTGGGGAGCTGTTTGAAAGTCTTGGGAAAGATGCAGTTCCGATAGGTCCAGCATCCTCATTGCTTCCGGGCTTCGTTTCGAACGATCTACTTGGACTATCATGCTCCAGTGTTACGTCAGACCTTTGTCCGTGGTTTGCATGTTGAGCAGACATAACCGCTTCATTCTCCACGGATATCTTGGTTTTGATGACATGAAAACAGCATCCACCTCAGGATCCTTAAGCTGAGTATGCAATCAATCGAGCGCTACCTCGACGAAAATGATTGCAACTTGAACAACGGCCTTCAAACAGAGGGCCCCAACGCGAAGAGAAATGAGACGCACTTCAATTGTACGTCCTTGGAGTCGGAAGATGGAGTTGGCAAGGCTATAGCCTGAGTATACAGACCCCCGGCTCCGTAGGGGCCTCCCCGAAGGGGGTCTAAGCACGATTTTTGCCCACTAGCTTATTTTTGGTATAATAACCTAGTATAAGGACTATCACCCTACTTAGCACTAATAAGTTTTATAAAGCTAAGTATTTAAATAGCGGAATATATATAAAATAACTTATTATTACTATTATTTAAGTTTATATATTATTATTACTATATTATTATATAATTATTTAATAATAAATAATTTTATATTTATATTATTAAGTAAACTTTTAACTATATGTTATACTCCTAGCTTATAGACCTTTTTTTAAACTTAATATTATAAAATATTTTTAATATTATTTTTATTATCTTTTAAATAAATTAAAAAATATATAATAAATTAGAAAATAAATAAAATAATATTATTTTTCTTATTTAACTATTTAACTCTATATAATTTCTTATATAAATATAAAAAATAGGTAATACTAAGTCCTAAATATTTATATTATAATATATTATTAAATTAGATTTATAAGTTTAATAATAAGTTTTTTAAAAGTTTAATATATAAGCTTAATAAAAGAAAAATAAACTTTATAAATAGAAAATAAGACTAAGTTATTATATTCAATTATTATAATTAAAAAGTAAATATTATAAAAAAAATAATTATTAAAATAGTAAAAAAAAAACTATTTTTTTAAAAAATTTATATTTAAAAAAGAGTACTTTAATATATAAAATATAATTAAATTAAATTAAGTATTAATTAAATATAAACTAGATTTATATAATCTTCTTTAGTACTTATTAAAGCCTTTAAACTAAAGTATTTTTTAAAAATAAAATTTAAAAATTAATTTAATAAGTAATATTATTACTATACTTAGATTCTTTTATTATTAATAATATATAATAATAAGTAATATTATATAAATAAGGCTTAGTATTTACTTATATTTTAATATAATAAAAAATTATATATTAAAGGTTTTATATATTTATAATCTTTATATTAATAAAGTTTTTTTATAAAGTATTTTAAAATAATATTTTAATAAAAATAAAAATATAATTTAAAAACTTAGTTAAAAACTAACTATTATTCTATAATATAATTATTATAAATAAATATAAATAATATAAAAGTAATATATTATAACCTTATATAATAAATATAATTAAATAACTATTATAAGATAAAGACTATAGCTATACTACTTTAAGTTATAAGAAAGAATAATTAAAAGTAGAAAAAGATAGCTAAAGTACTTAAATATACTTAAATCTTAAAAATATTAAATAACTTTTAAATTAAATAAGTTTAAAATAATTAAAAGTTTAATATTATTAAGTAAATTAAGTAAAATTATATATATAGAACCTTTTATTCCTTTCTTTAAATTAATTTTTTTATATTTAATATAAGTTTTATTCTTTATTATAAAATTTAAAATAATTAAAACTTAATTTTATTTTATTACTTTATTTTTATTTATCTTTTAACTATTATTTATATTCTAGAAGAACTAACTTATTATTATAATTCTAGTATTTAAACTAATAAGTAATATTAGCTAATTTAATTATAAGTATATAAGTTAGTTTTCCTAGAATATAAATAATAGTTAAAAAATAAATAAAGGTAAAATAGTAAAATAAAATTAAATTATAATTATTTTAAATTTTATAATAAAGAATAAAACTTATATTAAATATAAAGAAATTTATTTAAAAAAAGGATAAATAGTTCTATATATATAATTTTATTTAATTTATTTAATAATATTTAACTTTTAATTATTTTAAGTTTATTTAATTTAAAGGTTACTTAGTACTTTTAATACTTAAGTATATTTAAGTACTTTAGCTATCTTTTCCTTCTTTTAATTATTATTCCTTATAACCTAGTATAGTTATAATTTCTATTTTATAATAGTTATCTAGTTATATTTATTATATAAGATTATAATACTTATATACTTATAGTTAAATTACTTAATATTATTTACTTATTTAAATATTAGGGTTATAATATATTAAATACTCTTAAGATAAATATAATTAAATTTATAATAAGTAGATAATATCCTTAGTAAAAGTAAGTAATATATTAACTAATTACTATTAAAAAGAATAAAACTAAACCTTTAAAACTTAACCTCTTTTATAAAGAAAATAATAAGCTTAATAACTAGTTATTTTAATTAAATTTCTATTTTAAATTAATATTTAATATAAAAGATAAAGTACTATTATAAATTAATTTAGAGTTTAAGAAATATATAAATAAAACTTTTAATATAAAAATTTATAAATAAATTAAAAACTATTTTAAATTTAAAAAATAAATTTAATAAATATTTAAACTTATTAAGAAAGAATAATATATTAAATTAATAATATATTAACTATAATAAATTAAAAGAGTAGCTAATTATATATCTATTTTCTAATATTATAATAATAATAATAAAATAGAATAATAAAGCTTAAATATCTATATTTAAATAAGAATTAAAGGATAATATTTAAAATAAACTTATATACTATAATAAAGAAATTAAAAATATTAATAATTTTATAAAAATAGTAATTAAACTTAATAATAAATTATATTAATAATATATAAAGTAGAATAAGAAATAAAAATAATATATAGAATAAATAATTATAATAAGATATAGTAATAATATAATAAAATATTAAAAATATTATAACTATAGAGTAAGATAGCTAAAAAGTATTAATTTATAAAGTAACTTTATAAAGCTAAATATATTAATACTATAATATAATAATAAAAGTAATTATAAAAAGCTTAAATAAAGAGAATATTATAAATATAATAAAATAAAATATATTATATATAATTATTAGTTAAAGAACTAAGTATAAAAATAATTAAATATTTTATAAAAACTTTTATTATTATATTTATTATTAGTTACTAATTAAGAAGCTAAAAGCTTAATAAGTAATATAAGTTTAAATATATTATCTTTTATAATAATAAATAATAATATTTAAAAATAAATATTAATTAAATATAAAAAATAAAAAAAATTAATATATTAAATAATACTTTATAAAATATAGAAAAAATATTTAAATTATTTAAAATAAACTTTAATAATATAATAAAATAATTAAAATAAAAATAATAAATATATAAATAATATAATTATAAATAAAAATACTTTAAAAATAAATTATAGAATTTTTTTAATAAATTAAAATAATATAGAAATATAAAATTAAAAAATAATAATAAATAACTTTTTAAATAAATAATATTATATATATATTAGAGAATAAAATCTTTAAAATAGTAATATAATAAATTATTTATTAAAAACTTTATAAAAAAACTATATAAACTAATTATATAATTAATTAATATATATTTTATTTAATTAATAAATATAAAAATAAATAATATAAATTATATTACTAGTTTTTAATAAAAGAATTAAAAAGTAAAATATACTTAATATATATTTTATAAAAAGAAGACTAGCCTTTAATATAATAAAAAAACTTTATTAATAGATAGTAATTATAAGTAGAAAATAAAGAACTAGTAATTGTTAATTATTATTATATTATATATTAAAAATAAGTTTTATAAAATACTTTAAGTCTATATATTATATACTATATATTACTTATATATTAGTTACCTCCTCTTTTTATATATTACTACTCTTATATAGCTTACGTTAAAATATTAATAGATAATATATTATAAGTATATATATATTTATATATAATAATTATTTATAAAGAATTATAAGTAAAAAATTATTAATAATAATTATAACTAATATTATATAATTAATAAGTAATATATTATAAATATATATATATTTATATATAATAATTATTTATAAAGAACTATAAATAAGAAATTATTAATAATAGTTATAGCTAATATTATATAATTAATAAGTAATATATTATAAGTATATATATTATATATTTAAATTAAGGCTAAAGGAAAGATAATAAGCTATTAATATAAAAAGGCATAATTAGGAATTATTAAATTAATAATTAATATATTATTAATAGTATTAAAGAATTATATTTTATTAAGAATTATAGAAGGGGAACTATTAAATTAACTACTAATATAGTACTTAAGAAAGCAAAGAAGAATCTTAAAATAATAAAGATATATTATTAATAGAAAAGGGAATTATTAAGTTATTAGTAACTAAAGAGGAATCTTAAAACAATAGAGATATATTATTAATAGAAAAGGGAATTATTAAGTTGTTAACAACATATTGCTAATAGATATATTTATATTAAATATATTTATATTAAGCTAATTCTATTTTTTATTCTTCTTCTTTAGTAATTTCTTTACTTCCTTAGTTTAGCTAAATATTTTCGCTTTCTAGTAGCTTACTAGTATTACTTTAGTTACTAACCTAATCCTTAAAGGATTATATAATAATTCTATTATCTATATAGATAATAATATAATAATATAATTTAAATATAATTATTTTAATAGTATTAACTATTTTAATAAAATAATTATTTAAAGCTATTAATATTTTCTTTACTTAATTATAATTTATATAGCTTTTTTTTAGTAGTTTAAATATAAATCTTAAAATTATTTTATTATTATAATATATTTTTTCTAATATTTAGGTTATCTTTACTTATTTCTTTTTAGCTACTAGTATTAATATATTTATATTTTTTACTTTTACTTTAAGTTAACTAACTTATTTATTTAAATCTATTTAGCTTCTAATAATATAATAAT